TTCCACATATTGGTTTTACGGGGTATATAGTGGCGATATTCTCTGGTTATTATTCATTTTGCCAATAGATATCAAATTTATTTTTTAGTTTTATTATACATTTAGCACAATAAGAGTAGGATAAATAGAGGATATCCTATGATTTTTGAGGGATACCATTTTTATCCATGAGTGGATAAAAATGATAGCCGAGAAAATCATAGGATATCATATTTATCCGATGGTCGCTATTTTATATGGACTCCAAATAATTAAACCTAAAAGTTGTTGTTTTCTAATTCTTTTATATTTTTTCATTTTTTTGTGACCTTATTTTTATAAAATGATTGCATGAAAAAATGTAACTAATTTTTACTGAACACATACCCTTGGAACTTTATTGTCAAACAGACAAGTGGTTATCACAACTTCTTTTCAAAATTTTTGTTTTCAAATTTATTTTCAAAATTTTTTTTTTCATTATTTTAAATTTTTACTTTATAATTTTTTTTTTCAATTTTCTTTTTCTGAATTAATTTTCAAATTTTTTTAAAAATAGTATTCGTCGGATATGATTGGATATCACGTCATATGGATCGGATACGATTTTAGTGACACATACCAAAATTATCTTGTGTTGTTATCCCCATATATATTTAGTATCCATCAGATAAAGCTATTTATTTCTCATCCGATTTCTTGCAAATTCTCTTCTTCCACATGATCATGTTAACAAGACTTATTACTGAAAATCTATTTTTCCTATTATATTTGTATTTTAATCAATATAGAAACTCAAAATTCCTTTTTTATTCTTTGAAAAATCCATATAAACAATTGTAAAAACATTATTATCCCAAATGAATGAAGTTTTTGGGGATATACAAGTATAGAGAACTGCTATATCTGTCTATACGTACATATGTACGGGCTTTAACTCAAATGTAATCAAACCAATAGCAGTGGAGGGATTTTGTAAAAATGGCAGCCATGTCTGTTCGATGGAATTTGCTACGCCTTGGCATTGCTGTTATCTCTAGTTATCTCTCTGTTAATGAAGTATGAGGAGTACTAATCCCCATACCCCTTTCCCTCTTTCCATTGGAGAAAGATTTAAGTATGAGTAGGGTCATGATGATATTGATGTTAAAGTGGAGTAAACATCTTTCTCTTATTTAGATCAATCTATCGATTACCTCAAGTGATGAATAAAGTCTTATGAACTCTGGTATAATTAACTTAAAGAAAATCACAGAAGTAGCATGTTGGCATATTAGATAGATGAATTGTACTTATTAGGTGGAATTACACCTACGATGTAAAAGCGCTTTTTAAAATCCTATCGGGTTTCGACCCGCCTTTAGAGTCAGGTGTAATCACGATTGCGGATTTAGAAAAGCGCTTTTGTAATCCTCCCAGACCCCTAGTCATTAAAAACCGCTTTCACACCCAAAGGCGGTTTAACGTGTAGGTGTAATACCGATTGGTTTTCAAGGCGTTTTAACTCGATTTACACTGAACGAAAACTATATTTGCGCATGAGTATCAAGCATGTTATTGATTTCTGGTGTGGAGGAAACTTCAAAAAACAAAATTCAAATATTGTGCAAAACTCAATCAAATCACCAAAATGTCGAAACAAAGTAGAATTTATTGGGACCACGTCAATACTGAGCGTATGCTTTCTATTGTGGCTGACAAAAAGATCCAGGCCATGATGAACGGCACGTTAAAAAATGCGATTGCGTATGACCTGATCTCGCAGGAAATGAAAGTAAGCCTAAGCTTAAGTTAGGATAAATAATTTCTCAAAGATCCAACCCTCCAGTTACCCTATGGGCCTACTGTACAAAGATTATATAACCACAGATTTTGAGAAAAGCTATCCTATATCCTGTACATAGTTCAGCAATGCTAAACTCCCCCAGACTTATTTAACGATTTTGAGATTATTTGATGTCTGGCTGTACATTATCTGATTATGGGTGAAATAGGGATAGGGTCTCATATACATGTACCCTAGGGGCAAGGGGGCTTTTGTTCACTGTGAATCAGAAACATCTACATAATGTTCAAACACATATATGCCCATTTGGCGCTGAAATGAAAGTCTCATTTAAACGCCCATGGGCGTATAAAAAATGATAAAATAACGGACGAAATTACCCCTTCTTTCAGTTATACGCCCAGGGCTTATATACGAGAAATTCCGGTACTATTGTAGATTCGGGAAGGCGAGGGGAGGGGATGATTGAATAGTTGAAATTACCTCTCTACAATCACAGGCTGGTATCGAAATATTTGTCCGCTGTGACGGAGCATGCTATTTTTCATAAAAACACTAAGAATACTTCACGATTTATTTTTTAACTCATATGTTTCGTTATACCATACAGAATTACTTACTCCATGCAATGGATGTATCATTTGCGGGTAACTTTCACTTCTGTTTGAAGTCCAATTACGCTGGGAAGAAAAGCTATTGAAAATGGCGCCGGAGTATCATACTTCAAAATGTACCATTTCTTGTTTAACTTTCTAATGGCACGATATAGTGGCACGATAATATTTACACATGGTTTCAGCATAATTATGAAGGTATAAATGAGATGTTGATGTATTTGGTCTTTTTAATTCTTTTATAAAAAATAATGTTTAATTTTTTTGTCCGCTGTGACGGAGCAGTTGCAAATGTGAACTGTGAAAATGCTCCGTCACAGCGGACAAAAAATATTAAAATTATTTTTTATAAAAAAAATTAAAAAGATCCAATGCATTAATATCTCATTAATACATTCAGAGTTATGCTGAAAACATATGTTAATAGTATCGTGTCACTATATCATGCCATTAAAAAGTTAAAAAAGAAATGGTACATTTTAGAGTTTGATACTCTGGCGCCGTTTTCAATAGATTTTACTCCTAGCGTTATTGGACTTGAAGTGAAGGTTACACGCAAATGATATATACATTGCATGGAGTAAGTAATTATCTTTGATATAACGAAACATATGAGTTAAAAAACAAATCGTGAAGCATTCTTAGTGTTTTTATGAAAAATAGCATGCTCCGTCACAGCGGACAAATCTTTCGATACCAGCCTGTGACAATGAAGTCAAAAAAATGACGAGATCTTTGTCTTGTCCACATCGTTCGTTCCTGTCCCATATTACCAAGGATGCCAAACAGCCCCAACAAAAGTACCATCTTCATTTTACTGGATCTCTCTTGGATCTCTCCTAACGACCGAGCTTCTCTCTTTGCGCGCTTGTGCATTGTTTTCCATGCTTTCTTTAGCACATATTTGTTAACGCCAGAGGTAGATTGAATACGATTTAAGAAAAAAAGGAACATACAGTATCGGATCATTTTGAATCTCCAGAGATGGCGCTACGGTTGAAAGTGTATATCTAAATAGCATATTTTGATGCAAATGCGATGGTTGATGGCAAATTTTTGTCTTAAATCAGTCTAAAAGCGCTTTAGAAAAATCAAGTGTAATCACGAAAAGTTGTCTTCAAGGCGCTTTTAAAATTCTGGTGTAATCAGGATTGCGGTTTTCTAGCCTACGTTACCCAAAACGCCTTGAAAACGCCCTTAGCCATGAAATAGGTGTAATTCCACTAATTGATTAAGAATAAAATCTCATCAAATTATGATAGAATGTTTTATAGTATGTTAGAGTTTGCATGTATTTCTGTAGGTGAAACAATAAAACATTGGTAGTATATTGTTCAATAGTTGTGGCTAAGTACGCAGGATTAATTGCTCATACCTGTTCAACATTTTACAATGCAAAAAGAATTCCTGTTTCAAAATACTAACAGTGCATAGTCCACAATCCTCATGGAGATATGATACAAAGGGTAAAGCTCCTTAAAATGATAAAACAATAGGTTTAACATGTAACCAAGAATTTAAAGTTAACAGGAAACCAACATGGACAACTTATAAACTCACTCATTCGGATAATTCTGAAATGACATTCATAGTTATATTTTTTTCCATTTCAGATCGATATATTTTGTTTGTAAGACATATTTATTCTGATTTATGAGTATAAATTAATTCTAATCTAATTTAATAGAGGCAATTCCTTTAAATTCTTCAGCTTTACAGCTTTTACTCGAAATAAAAGTTGTATCAAATGTGCTCTGGAAAGTTACAAGATGAAGGAGAACTTTGATGGTTAATTGATATACAGCATACCTCATATGCTGGTATATTGTCAGATTTTCACTGTTGTGACTCATGTTAATCTACATCACTGTTAAACCCATGTTAATCTATATCACTGTTGTTACCCATGTTAATCTACATCACTGTTGTAACTCATGTTAATCTACTTCACTGTTGTAACTCGTGTCTACATCACTGTTGCAACCCATGTAAATCTACATCACTATTGCATGCAACCCATGTTAATCTACATCACTGTTATAACTCATGTTAATCTACATCACTGTTATAACTCATGTTAATCTACATCACTGTTAAACCAATGTTAATCTACATCACTGTTGTAACTCATGTTAATCTACTTCACTGTTGTAACTCGTGTTAATCTACATCACTATTGCAACTGATGTTAATCTACATCACTGTTATAACTCATGTTAATCTATATCACTGTTAAACTCATGTTAATCTACATCACTATTGTAACTCATGTTAGTCTACATCACTGTTGAACCCATCATAATTTGTTTGCATCATTTTTGTAACCCATGTAATCTATGTCACTGTTGCAACCCATGTTATTGTTGTAATTTATATCACTGTTATAATCAGCGTCACTGATGTGATTGATGCCACTGTTTTTTTGTCTCTCCCTTTCCAACATTTAGGTTATTGGTTTCTGTAATGTTATTTGGATATAGACATCTCTTGTCTTGGTGTACTATATGGATGTCTCGTATTGTACATGTCCAAACTGCTTTTTTCCAACACGTCCAAACTTTGCTAGCTCTGCCGACTTTATTTATAAAATTTTGTTAATTACATTTTTACTTACTTTTCAGTTTATGAGTGAGAAGATAGGTGGAGCTAAAGGAACAGAGCTTGATGATGAATTCATTGAAATGGAACGGGTAAGTTTTATTGAGCGATTGTTGGTTTCTAAGAGTGAACTGTTGTGGGAGAACGAAGTTAGTACTTTATCATGTAGAGCAAGGGTTTGTCTTAAACCTGGGGTCAGGACTTTGTACCGAACAAAAGGAAACAATATCCAAGGCTTTGTATGGCCATTATCTCACTCGTGAAGAAAGAGGGTGAAATCCCCACAAGACTGTGGCATGATACAAGGTTACGTGAAATGCAGATGAGATAACCTCATTGCTTTCCTGGCAGAACAAAACAAATATGGACAGTCTTCGCTTTAACTGCTGTTTCTGAATGTCTCGTGACGAAATTTCACAAAACTATCAAATTATGTTATATTGTCAGACTAGATTGATTTTACTTACCAATCACTAACATTTGCAGACATTTTAGCTCTGAGCCACCATGCACTAAAAGGGGGGTGGGGTGGCACGATTATCAAAATAATATCTAAACCCCCTCTTTCTAATGGTCGATATAACATTATATAGTAAAAAGCTAAACACCGAATACATTGATATTTGCAAATTGGGCACATTCTAGGTATTACGTTTGGGGTAAAACCCTCAATGACTGACAATTTCATAAGTGCTCGAAGAATGTTATTTTTGAAAAATTCAAGTGATAGGCAAATCAACATTTTCAGATTCTATAATATATGGGGGGAGAGAGAGGGATTAAGTCGCAATGAAATTATCTTATTTTGTTTTTCTACAACTGTCAATATTTGGACTTCATACGGAAATGGTCCTACTATAAGGGAAGTCATTCCATTAGCAACATCAACTGATCTGTTAACTCTTACAATAAAAGGAATTGTAATCTCCTACTTTTAGAGATGATATCCAAAGCTTGCATGTTTTCATCATGTCCAGTGTTATATACCAGGCTTAGCAATGTTCCCAATAATATATAGCATTATCGGTGCCTATTGATTTTTGCGTATCTGACTTCACTTATTAATTGCTTTGGTAGTGATACTGAGAGTAAGTGGAATATTCTATGGTATGCATACACTTTCACTTTTTCTAGATTTTCCAAGTATGCATGATTCTAGCATCTTGGGATTTACTATATTGAATCATTATGATAAACCATGACATCTCATTTCTTCTCACCCCTGAGATGCCATGATATAGTGAGCTTGATTTGGCGATCCAGGAGAGCCCAAAATTGAGGATTTTTGAGATATTTCATCCCAGCTCATATTTCATCTAATTGGGGTCAATTGTGCCTGTACTAATATCTGCTGTTAATACAATGCCTATTATGGTATGTAATGTATTGACATCAAGGTAAATGATTGAATAGCATTCTGAAAATCTAATAATATTTTCTTTAGATGATATAACATTTTCAAAATGTCAATTTTTTCAAAATCTATCTTTAAGCAGTGATCTGTTTAAAGTAATTGAGCTTAGCTCCAGGATGAGTTGAGCTTATGTTTATTATTTAAAACATCTTGACTTTTTTTAAAAGGTCAGTTACACTATTCTAATCTCTCAGCATTTGATATCCATTCTTTACTTCACAAATCAGCCTTGGTTAATATCCCATTGGGCTTTGAAGTCAATTTTTACTCTATTATGGAAACAGATTTAATTGGTCGATTAACTTTCATGGATCTTTATAAATTCAATCTGTGCAATTTAGGGGATTCATCAAAATATAATGTGAAAGTATAAAAAATTGAAGAAGTTTAACTATTTCGTAGGTTGCCCAGATTAATTTGAAATTCTTAGATTTTTTAAGTTCTTCACAAGAAGTATGAAATTCACCTAGACTCTTAACATTACTGATAAATCTTGGAATTCGCTTGGTTCAATCATAGCCTAAGCCAGTCACTATTGAAGTTAAGCTTCACATTTTTAAGAGAATTTATTGTGAATGTGTAGAATTATGGTCCCTCAGAGATTCCCCATCCCTTTCATAGTATTTATAATGGCTGATTGAGTACACGTATAAAGGTACAGTCCAACTTTCAGAATGATTGATAAAAATGAATAAATACATCTGTGTCAGGAAAATGATTATTTCCCCTGGAAAATCAAGTGAGAGGGAGGCAGTAATCTATAAGGGGCTAGGTTTAGGGTCATAATATTACATACTCATATACAGTAAAACATATATTTTTGGATTGTTATTGACTGTCAACTAATACTGTATATTATATACTCTGATGATCATTTGTGCTATCTTCTTAAATACAAAGCATATATATATGTTATATTTAACACTTAAATATACTCAACCTGGCATAAAAATAACATTTTGGCAACATTTTTATGAGCTTCATGTAATGACAGGTTATAAACATCTTGACTGTTTTCAATATTTCATAAGAAAGGTAGTAAGATCTCACTATGAGATTTTATGCAATTTTCATACACACTGTAGGAAAGATACAGTCAAATAAGGTTTTTATTATCATTTTCATATTTTTCATCCCAAAGCCTGAATGGCTTAGATTTTAAGTACATGTAACATTTACTGGTCATTCGTACATGAGCACAATCTCAAACAGAGCACAATCTCAAACAAATCACCTGTTTTTGAGGCTGATATCTCATCTCATCATAAAATGTCACCTCCTTTATCCATATAAAAATAATCTTATTTGAAGAAAGTAATTTTCTCCCTAACATCAATGTTTGCTCATAAAAGTCAACAACTGTTCTTTTCTTTTCAATGTGCTTTGTTCCTTTGCTGGTATTTTCTGGAAAATAACCATTTAAACTACTAATTTCCGTGCACCATTTGATAGAGACCCCAGCATGCTAGTGGTATCATAATGTGAGCCCTCTCATTGAGGCTATGCCAGAACAAGGTTTCCAATATGATGTGCCACATCAATATCAATGTTCTCAAGTATCTGTGTTGGAATTTTCATATCGGTTTTCATGACTTCATATATTTTATCAACACAAGATTCATGTGGTTTGTTCACACCATGGAACACTGAGTTGATTTTCATTGAGCGAAACTGTGTATCTTCAACTTGATCTTTCAATACATTAATCTTCTGGTCCATAGCACACATTTAACCTTCCATCATTGAAATGCATTCACGAAGGATTTTATTCTCAGTTTTTAATTCGGAAACCTGTTCATGTAGACCATTGAGATTCACCTCGACTGATTCCGTAGTTTCCTTGATCTCATTGATAGCTTTGTTGTTGTTTTTCTTTACAGTCACATCAATATCCAAGTTTAACACTTTTCAGAGTCTCAAGACCAACTTAATATTCCTTTATAAGTGGAACACCTCCCAGGTAAAACACTTTTACAGGTACCAAAAATGTAACACTTAGGCAGACTTTACTGTATGTCCAGTGGCAGATCTGGAACCAACAAAGGGGGTGGGGGAATATTTAGTCAGTAAAAAAACTGAACCCCTGAAAACAAAAATTGGATCAGAATTTTGAAAATTTAAGATCATATTTTGATTTGGCTTAAATTTAAAAGATGGGGGGGTGGGACACCATGTCCCCCCCCTCTTCTGGATCCTTCAGTGATGTCATTTATGATATTTGCCTAACAAAATAGCCAATAATACATAAAATGTTTATATTTCTCTGTTTCAATATTATCATAGGTGTTCTATTCTAAATCATCAATAATCCCCACAGGTTTGACTCGTGCCATATAAATTACACTTGATTCACTTGAATAAGAGAAACAAAGAGAATTTGGCAAGGAATACATATAAGGAATAGCGGGGACATGTTATAACTGTCCATGTTCTTGACAATTTAGATTCAGAAGTGAGTTTCTGTAAAATTATACCAGAAAAGAAGAAAATCTATGATACAAGACGAGTACCCGCCTACAATTGAATACAACACCCAAGTGGGAACTTAAAAACATTCATAAGAGAATAATTCTATATTTGCCCTTGATTATATAGATCATCTCAACTAGGTAGTATCTTATTAGAGGCTTTGTGCCATTGATCTTGCTCTGGCTTAATTCACTATTACACATGAAAGTCATTGATTTTAGGCTATGAGCAGTTCTGAAATCCTGCTCAAAAAATGTAAAAATATAATACGATTTTTCAGTTAACATTAAAAATTCAGCGATGTTGACAAGAATGAAGAAAACGCAAAAATGTATATGGAGTTTTAGGAATTTTGTATTTACATTGAAGGTGTAATGAAAGAATACAGAGAAATATAGATGGTTTTTATGAAGTAAATTATGGATGGGATATCGCAATGTCTCAGCCTGTAATTATTCTTTGATTAAGTGGTCTGTTTTCTGAATAATTATTTATTATGAAGCCTGGTTGCTCATAGGCATTTATATTTCTTCTTTTCAAATTCTGATTGATTTGCTGGTCTGATTCTTTTACAATTGATATGTAATCAGGATTGGTCCATTTTTGTTGTTTTCTTTTTCAGATTTGTAGCTTCACCTTCACATTATATGATAACATCAGCTCCCTTTTAGTTGTCCAAATCATTTTATATTTCAATGGATTGTCAAAATAGAATTGAGAAATACTATATTATTGAGACTTTTGATCTTTCTGACCTAAATGAAGATCTTAGTTTTTTTCAATATTCGCTTTTTTTCTTAAATTTTTTCTAAAATGTGATTTTTATTTTATTATCTGATACATGTATTTCTTTTGTTTCAATTGAATGGTTTACAACATTCTGATATTACATAACATTGAGCAAAAAGCCTGGCATATAAGAGTTGTATTTGTTTGCCAAGCAATTTACCATAAAGTATTTTAACTGGAAGAAGAAAAGAATTCCCTGATTTATAGAACTGGTTATATTTTTTTCTCCCATTGCATTTACAATGTGATGATGTCTGTCACATTGATATGATGCTAAAATCATGTTACATGAATTGGCATTTCCGAAAGTAAAAATCATTACTCCAAGGCACTTCCTCTTATATTGTATATTGGAGGGTCATCATTCATAACAAGATCTCTCATATACCCATAGAGTATATTACCCTAGCTTGTCGCCATAACAGAATAATATTCCCTCAAGAAATTAACTTGTCTCTTGTAGAATAATTGAATTATATGATATAGGTGAATGGAGAATGTGATTCCTGTTGGGTCATCGTTGGTGTCTTGTAGATTCTTAATGTTTGTGTTTTTGTTGATGAAATGGTCAGTATGAGATATGATTCGAGGGTTAACTTCATGAGTACTTGAGTATGTTTAACTGAGCATTAAAGTACTCAGAATTGTATCAATATTCAATACCTATTAGTCAAATGATATCAGTGTCATGCTTTTTCATATTACAAATAGGCCAGGAAAGCATGCAAAATCTAGAAATGAAATAAGTACATCATGTAGGTTTGTAATCTATATTCTGAAATATGACAGGCAAATAAGGATATGTTCCTTTAAAAGGCAACATACCATACATGTTTACCAGTTTAGTATGGGCACTGTGGGTCACAAGGGCTTGAAGCAAGACTTCATGTACGGTATGATGGAAGATCTGCAAAATATAATAAATTTTTTTATCTTGCACCAAGCCTAACCCCTAAATGATCTATTTCTAAGATGGTATGTATGGTTTTTTGGGTTTTTTATGGGGGGGGGGAGTTAGTGTTATAATGGTTTGATGAAAGAATAGAAATTAGACTGAAAGTTTCTTCTGAAGTTACATATCGTCTTCTATCTATTTTGCCGAATGACAACAAAATTATTTCAATTAACCCAAAAGTGTTGAAGCATACCAATATAATATCGACCAAGGATATACAGCCCTTGGCCAAAGATAAAGAATGTCCCTTAATAGCAAATGGAAAGCATATATGATTAACTGAAAATGTAGAACATCACCATCATATGAAAGTGCTAGAGAATATGTTGCTGTTTTACATTAATTACATATTCAGGGTTTCAGGTTAAATTCCCATATACAATACCATACTATATCACCTCACAAGGTCTAATGAAGCAACTCTAAGCTAAGCATCTTATACAGACTAATGTTACTAATCTATTATACCATAAGCTGGTGTGACATAAAATGGCATTTTGCATGGTATAGTAATTTTCGTGTAATTCAGAAAGTCCCTCTGGAACCCTTGTATTCAACGATGGCAGACTCATTAATATATTTGTATTCTACCATATTCTTTATATAGGGTAATACCAAGTCATGAAAACTTGAATGACTTTAGTATGATAGCTAATATTTAATCTTATTTTTGAAAATGTAGAATATAATTTCATATTGAATCATTTTTTCAGTATTAAACTCTCTTATCTTATCGGAGAATAACAGTAAAATCTGGCTAATTGAAACACATTTGTACCTCTAAAAAGTGGTGCACTTGGGAGGTGTTCCACTTATAAAGGTTCATTCAACATAAGTCAGTTATGTTACACTTTCAGGTGTTCTATTCTACAGGCTTCACTGTAATTTTGAAAATCATAATAAAGTAGACTTAACTGTATACATAGCTTTGAATAGGTGCCACATTTAATGATTATTAATGAAAAAGTTATCCAACATAGTCTAATATATTATACATGCTATAGTATTAATTCAGATATTTTGAAGTTTTAATATTGATATTGTGATATTATGGTTTAACTTAAGAATTTTTTTAATTTCCAGAAAATTGATGTCACTGGGAAACTTGTGCAAGACCTCAGCGACAAAACATCAGAATTCCTTCAGCCGAATCCAGGTAGATAAACATATGAATAATTCAGTGCTGTGTTTTTCTATGCTTCTCTTCAATATATGAATGAACTACCTAGCCCAGGAAAAAACTCTTCTCAACAGATTATTGCAAATCCATAAATGTGATGGGCTAGTTTCAGTCATGTGATATAAGTTTGGAGACATTGGTTTGATATATCCAAGGTCTGAATGTCAGATTTTATAATATGAATAAAGTGAGCCAAGTCTACCCATTGAGCTATTTTGGTAATCACCCCTCTCCCTGAAAGAAATCTAAAGCTATTTCTTTCAAATTATATATGAGAAAGGCCACATACCATTTATGTACATCCATACTATTTGTTTGAAAAGTATTGCTTCATTGGTCAAACTACATATACTACTGGAACACAATCATCAATGCATGCAGTTACTAATTATTGATATACTAATAGAAACTCTAAAAATATTATATACTATTGAATTCATAGTTTTTGACATTTCGAAGAACAAAGTATTTGAGTTAAGAGTTTTTTTAAACTTTTTCAATTGTAAAATGCAAGTTAAACATCATTCAGTGGTTAATGTATTTTTGGTATTATTTCTGTAACAATCATTACAGTTTTGTAATTTCAACTTGGTTGTGATATTTTGTCATGTTAATGCCTTGTTTATGCTTTGTACTTTTCAAAATCAGAATACAAGTTAATCCAGTCTTAATTACATGTATTTGAAATCAGTATATACAGTAGAACATGTGTAAGTGGAATACCCGTGGTACAACAAAAAGTGTTCCACTTGCAAGGTGTTCCACTTACAGAGGTTCATTAACATGGCGTCAATGGGCCACTGGACTTTAAAAATTTGTTCCACTTTAGGTGTTCCACTTAACAGTTTCTACTGTATTAAAAGTATGATTTGTCCAAATGTTGAGTGTCCATTCGTATTCTACTTTTTAGGTCATCGGTGCATTACATTTGGAGGTGTGAGATTATGTCAATTATTTGAGATTTTTGGAGTGAAATTTATGTCAAATTTGATGTGAGACTATATTGTCATAGCAGTAACTAAAACCAACAGAGAGTTTCAACAGTGTGTCTTCTAGTGTGTGTGTGAATTAAAAATACCTAAGTTTGTAAAGCTGTATGTGACTTGTCCAATCTAATTTAATGTAACTCACTAAACTTATCTCATATACGTATTATCATCTGATTTTATAACCTTCATTTGATTTCAATTCCTGAATAATAGGGCTGATTATACCTGGTATTCTACATCATGATAAACTATGACATCTCATTTCTTCTCAGCCATGATCTAGCAAAACAGAAAGATTTGATGAGTATCTAGCCTCATCAAACCTTAAGAGAATCAGGATAAAGAAGTGCTGAAAATATCATCTGATACTAGCCTCATCAAACCTTAAGAGAATCAGGATAAAGAAGTGCTGAAAATATCATCTGATATGTATATTCAATGATTGACACCAGCTTTTTCATATGTTGAATTCGGCACACATTTCAGATTTTAGAAAACTTTAGGTCAATATTTTTTTAAATGTTGGTCCCATTTCTAAAATTCTTGTCTCACCCAAATTGTTTATTGTTTGCATTGTAGATCATTGGCACCCCTCTTTGGAAAGTGATTTACATAGATTGAATATAAGGGAGTCTCATTGATCCTGATTTAGATTTAGATGGCTTACACATAAGGATGTAGTTCGATGTTTCAATTAATAAACATGAGTATGAGAGGATCCGAAATCAATCAAACAACTCTAATCATGCTTTTGCAGTAGTTCCTGGATACTAACTGTGTAATATCAAATGTTTGGTCAAAGAATATAGCCAAGCAACACTAGAAGCTCATTCATCAGCCATTTGTCTTGTCATGCCAAATGACTACCAGAAATTATACCAGGCCACATGCCAGGCCAGCATTTAGAGCTTACCCTGTATGATTATGTGTAATGTAATCTATCATTGTCTCATCTTTAAATTAATGCTCCTGTCATCTCATTAAAGCAGGTACCTATCTAGCTGTATGTGTTGTGTTGGGATTATTCATAGGCCTGCATCAAGTCTCTGTACCCTTTTGCTATGAACATGTATTCTACATCCTCTTTGAATACAGGAAATATAGGGAAATGTAGAGGAAATATAAGAGAATAGTAGAACTTGATGCATGTCTAAATTCTTTAATTCTTTCTTGCATGTTGTATTTCATATTGCACTTAGGGTTGTTACTATTGTCCCTAGAATATTGTAATGATTAGTCGAGGAAGCAGTGAAGAGGAGAGGAATTTTGAATGGGCTCGCTCGAATCATATTTTTTCCAAAATAAAATAAATTTAAAGGTAGTGGAATCAGCATACTAAATAACAATAGTGTCTCTGACATATTAGGGGTAATATATAGAGTACGATATGGTGACAATAATGGAAATATTTATTCAAAGAGGGTGGGGGTAAAGCTTGGAATAATTCTCATGATATTCTTTAAATAGCTCACTTTAATTCTTGTATCATACACACTATCACAACCTCTCTCAAATTTGATTATTTTTGTTTTCAGTTCATTGGTTTTTGAACTGATAACATATCAGTTTGAGCTAACAGGCAGCCAAAATAGATCTCAAATCAAGTAATCTAAAAAGTCAGAGATGACTAAACCAATACTAAGCTCTCATTGCTTTTCTCTGGATATGCGTTAGACAAGTCAAGATGGACTATAACCCCAGTCAATCAATATTTGACTTCTTAATAAGTAAATGCAGGTCTGTTGCCAGCTTTGCCAAGGGGCTATGATTTTTCAAAGAATCTGGGGGGTCAACATTTGACAACTTTGGCCGAAAATCGCTGTGGCTATGGGTGGGTCCAACTTTTTTCTTTCTTGTATGTATAACTTTGTGAGAATCTTCAACCAAATGTGAATGTATTTTGATATTATATGACCAGATTTCTCTTGGACACAATGGGGATGCATCATGCACAGACAAGGGTTATCATATTGAAGATCTACATGAACAAGTTTTATTTCCTTTCAATGGAAGAGCTTGGCAGAGTAGGGACAGAATCTCGTTCAATCTACGGATTTAGAACTTAACACTCGTCTATGAATAATAGATGAAAGTGAACCTGATTGTATCCTGCCTAACAAAACCGATTTCCCTTTTTGGTGAAATTATCCTGCCACACTATTGCAAATATAAAATGAATGATCATGTAATACATTCCTGTCCTTTATGTTTTAAACCAAAAATGCTCAAAGAAAATGAAAAATAGTCTCAAGTAAATAAGTCTTTTGGGATGGTTTTTTGTGAGAGTTTTATTATAGTTTTTTCTGTTTCTCACACATTTTACCACTTTTATCACCTTTAGATTGATTATTTGTCATTTTAGTGCTTGTTCCATTAATCTAGTCAGCAAAGTAAATTGGATATTGTCTCTTATTACATGTCTTTGTAATTTATTTTTACAGGAAGTTATGAATTGAAATAAAGTATAAAATATTTTTTATATTGTATGGGGGGAGAAATAATACTTATAACAATTTTTAACTTTCTTTAATTAATGATATTTTTGTTTTTTAGATTTTATTTTGTTTTCCTTATTATTCACTTAAACTTACAATATTCATTTCATTTTCTTAACATTTGGTGGGATTAACATTTTAACTGATTATTATGATCAATAAAAAATAAACTTTGGAATTTTTTATGATTGTAATTACACCAATGTCTCTATATGGGTATACTAAATGTTTATTTGTTTGTATTGTTTTGAATTTTGCATTCAAACACCTTCATATCTGTATCCAAATCTAACTAATTGCATGATTTCACTAAATCAATGATAATACATAATATATATTATGAAAGTTCTTTATGCCATTTCAGCATCACGTGCAAAAATGATGACAGTAAATACACTTGCAAAAATCCGAGGCCAATCAAAGAATGCCACCTATCCACAACCGGAAGGGAACCTTGGAGATTGTATGTCCAAATATGGTCGTGAACTTGGCGATGACTCTTCATTTGGTAAGTAAATTCTGTTTTCTTTTAGGTTTCTGTCATTGTAGTCTCCATCTCTACTATTTCCCTCACAAGTGAAAATATGATAAAGGCGAGTAATGTAAATCAGATTGGGTCTTTAGATAAATATATGATATTAGATTGCTTTTATAGAGACATCAACTTGTATTAGTATGTTGCTGATTGAAAAGCATATGTCTAAATAAATAAAACTATACATTAGGGCTACAGCTAGCGAGGAAAGTATGAATATTTCCTAATGACAGGATCAATATTATGTTTCAAGTTACAAAACTACTTTATCCTAAATCTATAGTAGCTCTGATTCTTGATCGTGGCTTTGTCCATATCAAAATCATATCATGATTTTTAAGCACTGATAACACCATTGAAGCTCTTAGAGTACCAAGGATGTGTTAATATTTCACTGTCACATTATTATAAAAGCTGATGGCTGCATCCTTCCTTATTATCTTAAGCTCATTGTCTTTAGTAGCAACTCAAGGACTTTTCCTAGTTTAACTTGACATTTTGTTGTCATGCGATCAGGTAATGCAGTATTGAAACATCCATCAAATACAGGCTTTTCATTAGAGTTCCTAACAACAAGAAAAATTGATTGCACCACTTGGTACAATTATTATTAATTATCATTTTAACATTGAAAATAGTGAAAATTCCTCTAAACAACAGGCAATTTTTGTAGAAGTGCAACTAAACGTTTAAAGAAAATGTTGTGGTTTTAAAGTATATTAGATCAAATGGAAGGAATAAGCAAGAAGTCAACTCATGGTTTTTCAGTGCAATCAGCAAAAAAATCATTTTAGTTTCATACAAAAAAAAGATGAGGTAACCTTGACTTTCAATTTGAAAATGCTGAGTTCAGATTGATTCACTGGTCATGCAAAGGTCACATGATCAAGCAGGGAATGCTGGGATGATCCAAAATGAGATATAAATCTACAAATTGAAGCAATGTCTGCATTTATAGTAGTCAGATATAAGGGTTGCATACATAATATCAAATAAATTGAAATATCACATTGACATCCAGCTAGATGTTTAGAGCTTATATGGCAGGATTCATTGCCCTTTAGTTTGACATGAAGTGTCTGGGCACCAGTGTCTGGACCCCCTCGCCCCTCAATCTACTTCCTTGGATGTACTTAACCTCCAGATTGTGGGAATAAGATACAAATATACATCTAATATATCTATACATCTAATACAAATGTATAGGCTGGTGTCACAAGAGATTAAAGCAAAAATAATTTCATAGGCATAGCCAGGGGGACTGAAAACCGAAAAAAAATTGGCCATCACACCCCGCCCCCCTGACTGAAAGCTGGCTATGCCCCTGGAGTTTGAAAGCTCATAGAAATGATATACAATAATAGTCTTGCATCTTCCTTCCTGGAGTGATTCTACCCAACTTATAATTTGAGGCACAGAGCAGAGGCACTATGCACGTTAATGAGGCTCACTTTTGGAACTATTTTCAGACTATTGGGAATTGTACCAAAGTTTTAACATTAGACAGGAAATAGATATCTGAGGAGGGGCAAAAATATTAGGCAAACTGCCCTTACCATACAGTTCTCTAATACAAATGTCTTCAAATACTCTGGGTTGACTCTGACACATTCATGCAATATCTAAACTAGATACTATTCACATATGTATATAATACAACATGTATAATTAAATCCATGGTCTTATCTGGTCATTATATAAACATGCAAGTAAAGGTCAGGCCTAATCAATAGTCCAGTAACACCCCAGTGACATTTGTCGCACGGCGGCCTCCGTACGGCGTATGCAGATTTTTACAGGCCGCAGGGAAGGCGTAGAAATTATAACTCGGAGTTATAATTTTTGTTCATTTCTGAGGTCGCCGTAGAAAAACAAGATTGAATCATTATTTGTCAATGTTTCACGATCACTTTTCATTTGATATTACATCCTAGCACTATGAATAACATTTATAAGTTGTCCCGATATAAATAAAATGAAAAAAGTATTATTTATCAACAGAAATTTAAAATTCACCGTGCGGCTGCCGTGGGAAATGTGACTGCAAAAGTATAAGAGCGCAGAAATTCCGCGGCGAGCGTAGAAATGTTACTGGCCGCAGAAATGATAGACCGTAAGGTCGCCGTAGGAAATGTGACTGGGGTGTTAGATAGGTATCTTTGAGGAAAACTTCACATGCGTATTCTACAAATTTCTTATTTTAACATGTTTCTACATAATAAATAGAGTATCACATTGTGTCTGTTCACAACATTCTTCACTGTTTTATTTATTTTTTACTGGCCAGACCATTAAAAAGTGGGAGAAACCCTATGTATAAAACAAAATATATTTCTACACCATCAGCACTGAAGTAATTTTCGGTCTCAATTAACTACATGTAGTGAAAAAATGAAATTTTTTCTTCAGATGTAGTGTGCAAGACTTTTCTGAAAACTTGAAATCATATTTTTACGAAATCTACAAAAATACTTAATTCATATGATCCTGAATTGAAGGAGTAGGGGATGCTTGTTTTTTGTTAGTTAGATCATTGTTTGGGATCTTGTGGTTTTTTATTTTCCTTATATCTGGTTTTATTCTTTGACACTGTTATAGCATCCTTTGGGGCTATATTTTTTTGCAGAGAGAGAATGATACAAAATACAATAGGGCATCATTTGGGATGTTTGGATAGTTTCCTTTTGCCCGGGTGAACTCTTGAATGTTCTTTTACTATAGCTCTATAGTCAATTTATAGTTTTTATACTCTCCCTTTTCCACTTGTGCTTACATATTCACACAAAGTATTAATTGAAATTGCCCATTTATTCTGCAGCCGATGATGAACAATGTGACATTTAAGCTCCAGCACTTAGCCATAGTATGTGGGTGAATAATGCGAATGCTGTTATTCTTGGCAATCACATTATAATGAATCAATGGCAAATTATACAATGTTTATAGAACTATCAGAAATTATCTTTATAGAGATAATGACAATATACATGTTCAATGGTTTAACAGTTTCCTCTGTAAGTTCTTTCATTTCTATTTCACCTCTTCCTGAGAGTGAGAAGGTTCTTTCATTCATTCTGGGAAGGAACTGATTAATCTGTCATTTTATATTTTAATTTCTTGTAAGTGATGCAATATTTTAGCATGTGACTGTGATATAGTACCATTTGGAATATTCTGTTTGAACGGCAGTTTAATTTATGAATTATTCAACTTTTTCATCATCTCCAAGAAGTATTGACATTAAGCTTGTTATAGCCACCATTTTTTGCATCTGTAACGAATTGATACATCTTTGTATCTATTTGCAATAACTTACCAATTGTTGACATTTTGTCACGTTAATGCCTTCTCAATAGTTGTCATAAAAAAGTGGAGTTTTATGGCCAGTTTTTCCAATCCTATTGCCAAGAGTGAACAATTTTTGACATTGACAATTTGGCAACTGTTATTTCTAGCCCTGGTGTGGTGAATGCTACTCGGAGCTCATAAAATTGTTTGAATTGATAGGTTCATTAAGTTGCGATGAATTTATAGTAGTTTATAGAACATACTAGAATTTGAGATGATAAAGTATCCATAATTTTATTTCATAATGTTCAATTTAGAGGGCTGGTTTCATTCAAAGAAAGGTTGTAGTGTACTAATTGGTAAATTGAAGCACATGGACAGTGAACGGAGTTTATAGTTAACACATTCAGATCCAGGAAGAGAAAGGATTTGGTTACATGGAAGTTAATGTGCTAAACAAAATCTGTTTGATTGGTTTGGAAAATGGTGTATACTAATAACCTATTACTGCATTTCTTAAAACATACTATGGTTCTATGATTCCTTTCTTCAAAACACAAATTAATTCATGAATTTTAGTTTCATGAGATGTTTCAGTCGTAGCCACAGTTGCAAGAAAATGTATGATAAATTAGGAAATCAAGCCAAGTATATGAATGGAATTGAAACATTTCTTGATTAACAATGGGTTTACTTAGGAAAATAATGAAGCAGTAGATAATCTTATCGATAGTCCGCATATGTCAGTCACATGTCAATTAGTGTATGGTTCAACTAAAGATAATATGTATGAATTTTACTTCTTAATTAAATCTGCTCATATCTATTAACAGTGGTATTATAAGGGTTATGTTATTTTTAGGAAATACTTATGTCTTGATTGAAATACCCTCATTTTTTGTTGATTGCAATACTTTTATTTCTGGTTGATTGGAATTCCTTCATTTTTTATGTCACCACCAAAAAGTGGTGACATATTGTTATGGTCTCTGTTTCTCTGTTTTTGTGACGTTGGTTGGTGATTGGCAGTCAGCGGTTGATGTCTGTAACAAATGCTGGTGACATTTTGCATGTTAATGCCTTGTTGGTTGATTGTTGGTAAATTGTATGACCAACTGGAATGTTTATAAACATTGACCACCTTACTTAGACCATTGTTATAATGATATGTTTATCTACAACTAGTCACTTTTAGACCTATTTAAGATAACAATGTACTATGACTGTACTATTGCTCATATCAAGGGGTCAAATTATAACAAAATGAATCATACTGAAAATTCTACCCATTTTATCCTCCTTTGTAATTTATGTCATGATCCTGTTCTCTTTATCTTTTCCTCCCAATCCTTTTCTCCTGATCCCATTCTCTTAATTGTATTCTCCTAATCCTGATCGCCACACGTGAACATATCGACCAACTTACCATGAAATATATGTTAATAACACTGGATATATTTTCAGGGGTGTGTCTCGCTGAAGCTGGAGAGTCCTACAAACAACTGGCAGATGTGAAATATTCACTAGAAGATAATGTGAAACAGAATTTCCTGGACCCACTTCATTACTTACAGACCAAAGAATTGAAAGAAGTTAATGTAAGAATCAAGTGTATTTTCTATACAGTTAAACCTGTCTAAGTGGGGAACACCTTTAGTGTTCCATTTGTGAGGTGTTCCACTTAAAAAGGTTCATTTAACATTAAGTCAGTTGATCTTGGGACTCTGAAAAGTGTTCCACTAGCAGAGGTGTTCCACTTTACCCCCCTATCACACCAAACTAGTTCTTACCCGTTCTTGCCAGTCATACGAAAATGTCGTAAAACGGGCTCAATCTGGCTGCGGTCGGAATATATGTCTAAAATAATTAGCTACTTCGTTCATAAACAGTCTTCAATACGTCCATCTCGTTCGCAGTTCGTTCAGGTCACACCACGTCGGTGTGCAACATAGTATAAACCGTCCCTTAGTCTAAAAGTTCATCATGACCTGATTACAGAACGGTATGGTGGCCATCGAATTTTGAATCGATTCAAAATTCTAAATCACATTCCCCGTCCGGGAAAGTCCATGAAGTTCGTAAACAGACCGTAGAACGTTATAGCTACGTTCATTCAGTTCGCACACAGTTTAAAACCGATTCGGCAACGTTTTGACGATCACCAGAAAATTTTGAGCATGCTCTAAGTTCTGGAGGACCTACTCGTTTGAGTAGGTTCATGAAGTTTGTGAACAGATCCCAAACGGTTATTAGTGGGTTTTTAGTACGTCAAATCCGTTCGTGCACAGTTAAAGCCCGTTTTCGAGAACGTAGTGAGGACTAGTTTGGTGTGATAGTAGGGTTACAGCTTTCACTGTATTTGAAAAACCATGGAACAGAAAACATTAAAATACAGTCTAGAGGTAATAATAACTGCCTTCTGACTAGAATAAAACATTTATTTAACAGCTGAATGCTGATAATGTCTGAATGACCCCGGAAGTAGCTGTCGTGGCCTTCCTTTTGAATACGTAATCCATTCCAGCTACTTCCAGCTACTTCAGTGACTGCAAAGTTAGCTTCGATCAAAGGATTATCTCTAACTGAAATTGTACAGATGAACATTTTTCTTTAAAAGATTCTAAATTAAAATCTTGAACAGAGTAGAAAAAGACAGATTCTGTCCTTAGTTATAGCAAAATACAACTAAACCTGTCTAATTTGAACACTACAAGGATCCACCAAGAGTGTTCAAATCTCCAGGTGTTCATACATTTCAAGGTTTTTTTAACACAGAAGTATCGTTTGATAAAAATAGGACCAAAAAGCAAAAATCGTTCAGATTAGAGAGGTGTACTGATATTCTGCACCAGAAATCCATTGGCTTAAAAGTCTATATTTCAGTTCATCAATCTATACAGAATACTTTAAATATAAATTACTGGCTTTTTGATATAAATATGTTACATTGATTTTAATAAAAATAAAAAAAAGATACTAGAGATAGTACTAGGTATGAAATTATAATAAGAATTCATGATAGCTACTCCCTCATCAATTGGTTGGTCAATAACACTACCATATTAATTCAATTTCGCATCAGGATAAATTGATAACGGAAACATTTTCACGGCTGAAGAACTATAATTGCTCTATTTTTATACTTCCTAATATTAGAGATGCTGTAGCCATTTTATATTCAGATAAATTTCTGTCACGTCTCAACTGATCTGTAATTTTCTTTAGGTCTAATAAGAGTTTTATTTTTGCATCAGTTGTTTTCTGAGAAATTCGAGATCAAATAATTTAATCAAAATTTAGCACGAGCAGCAACACAATAGACTACATGCGAGTAGAAAAGCAATGTCATATTTGAAATCTGCATGTAAAATTAAATCTAGAAATATGGTTTCGAAAATTGTCTATCAACTTTGAAAATTTAATTTTTTTGAAAATGTGACTTCTCGTTTGGGTTGACTCCCCATAGACCCCATTTTACAAAATCACAAAAAGTGAATTATCTTTTCTTGTATTGGACAGATAACATTTTCTTTTACTGGACATATTTTAATTTGCATAACTATTAGATACATAAGAGTTATATGAAAATTGAACCACACAAATAGATGTAATTTAAGTTAAAGGGAACTTTCTACTATACACCCCATGCTATCTGACCCGAACGAGCCACCTGATGGTGAATCTGGTAACTACCTACTCGCATCTGTGTTATTTAGGAAAAAACATTGAGCAAAGGCAATCTGTGGTGATGTCAAAACCTTACCTTAGTGATAACAACGAAAAAAGATTATAAGCAATATTTTTTTCTAAGTTTTTGTATGTGCGCTTATGGAATCTCACAATATCTTATCCTTTTAAATTTAAATTTGGAAACTGCACTCTGCATTCATTAGAGAGGATACAGTAATTTTTGATCTAGCCTCCATTCAATCAGAGTATGTCAGCATAAAGTCAGAACACTACATTTCCTCCCTCTTAAGTAACTCACATTCAACTTATTCAAACTCCCATCAATGAAATTACCGTTCAATCAAAATGTGTCAGCAGAATATCACGACACTACTTCACCTTCCTGCCTTGTAAGTGAAATATACTCAACTCATTCAAACTCCCATCAATTAAATAACTGTTCAATCAAAATATGTCAGCAGAATATCACGACACTACTTCACCTTCCTGCCTTGTAAGTGAAATATACTCAACTCATTCAAACTCCCATCAATGAAATTACCGTTCAATCAAAATATGTCAGCAGAATATCACGACACTACTTCACCTTCCTGCCTTGTAAGTGAAATATACTCAACTCATTCAAACTCCCATCAATTAAATAACTGTTCAATCAAAATATGTCAGCAGAATATCACGACACTACATTACCTTCCTGCCTTGTAAGTGAAATATACTCAACTCATTCAAACTCCCATCAATGAAATTACCGTTCAATCAAAATATGTCAGCAGAATATCACGACACTACTTCACCTTCCTGCCTTGTAAGTGAAATATACTCAACTCATTCAAACTCCCATCAATTAAATAACTGTTCAATCAAAATATGTCAGCAGAATATCACGACACTACATTACCTTCCTGCCTTGTAAGTGAAATATACTAAACTCATTCAAACTCCCAAAAATGAAATGAAAGCTAAATAAGTTCTTCAGTATAAAAACTGAAACTGTAAATCGTCTGTCGTAGTCAGAGGGTAGTACACCTAGTCAATTGGGATTAAGGGTACATTTGTTCCAGTGTACAAAATTCAATTTGGAATTATAGATAGATTGTTCTGGTGGAGATAATTAGATTTTCTTATTGACAAGTTAATGATACATATCACCATGTGCTGTTTCTTTGAACTATTGAATTATTTAATTTTCTTCCTTAGTCAAAAATCCATAGTCCATGAAATGAAGTAAACATACTAATTATATTCTTGAAACATGTATCTATACTCATAAGGATCTGTTTTTTAGCATATAAATTTGGTGTATCAAAACCTTGTTATTCATATATATGCAGCAGAAAGGATTATTTAATAATCTGAATAGCCTTTATTGGCTGAAAGTCAAAAATTTACAATTATTTAAATTCCATATTTTTCCTGTTTTCAGCACCACCGCAAGAAGCTGGAAGGCAGGAGGTTGGATTACGATTGTAAAAAGAGGAGACAAGTTAAAGGTATTTCGAACATTCTTGTTAACATTTAAGAGTTCTTTAAACGTTCTTCTTGAGCTCATAGCTCTGGAAGTTGTTCTCTTGGGGCCATTGCTGTGAAGAGCTACAGACAGTCAGAAATGGGGCAAAAGTGAAATTTTTTTTAATTTTTAAACTTTTCACAAAAATTGCTTAAAAAGAGATATTTTGTGCACAAGGGTAGATTTGAAGAGAGTATAATTTTGGCATTGCTCGTCTAGAAAATCTAATTTGCCTCTGTTATAATTGTAAGATCCTGGCAATGGCTTTGCTGTACTTTATCTTTCTTGTGAAGTCTTCAATTTTCAAGCAAGATCTTCAATTAAGAGTGGATTGAATCTTCAAATTAGAAATCTGCTTTTAATCACAAGATTGAAAAGTTTGAACTCATCATCTTATTACTTTGATGTGCTTATCAGTCTATTTTATACACTGTCTATGAAAATAGTATAAAACTCTCTTAGAATTGCTCTTCTTTAAATAAATATGATTCTTTTGAAACTTGTGTGAAACCTTATTGAATTTGATATAATTCATTTTGAAATGAATATGATTTCTTGTATTTCTTGTTTTTATTATTTCTTGTTGGTGGCTACAATGTGACACGACAATGAATAGATATTCTTGAATGTAAAACCTCATTCATTTTTGATTCTCAGACGTTTTATCTAGACAATAACCATTTTCCAGGAAATCGAAAATGAATGATGTTTTACACTAGGTACTTGTATTGCTTCAAGTCTGTGGACCACCTGCCCCTACCTTTTTAACCTTCAGTTTGTGGAAGTAGAGGGGGGATGTATGAGGGGTAGGTCACGAGGGCTCAAAGCAAGACTTGGTAGCTACAAAATCACGGTGCCCATGTCAAGCTGCGCGCCTACTTAGGCGCGCAGTTTGTTTCGATCACAAACTGCGTGCCTAACAACATTGGATCATTTAAGTTGGAGTCTGTATTTTGAAACGTAATTTAAAGACATTTATCCTGCATTGTTTTCTTGTTCAATGCGTTCATTCTGTGGCGAATATACGAATCTTGCAAATACTAGCAAAAACTATGTGCAAATGAATCTAAGTTTTAAAACATAAGCAGATTAATGGCATTTTCGTCACTGATTTAACGGGAATTTATACGTAAATCGATCTAGCACTTTAAACATAAATGACAAATACTTTAGACTCGTTTTATATTTAATTCCTTACACATTTATCATGTATAATCCAAAATATTTCGAGATAAAACAGATTATCAGGAGATTAAAAAGAAATAAATCACAAACTGCGCGCCTATTTTAGCCAGAAATTACAAACTGTGCGCATACACTATTAAAACTACATATTATCATTGGAATTTCTACAGAGGCACGTATAGGTGTTTTTCATGTAGCTTTGGAAATTTTGCTTTATCGTCAGATTTTATGAGATTTCATATTGAAAGTCAAAATGTATAATAGAAGTGACAATTAAGTTGGGAACGAAAAAAACTTTTATTTTCAGATCACCATCTTGGTGGATGGACTCTCATAGTGTTTCAATTATGGGGTTCTACTATTAGACACATATGTGCCTTGTACACCCTATGCAGACAGAGCCTGTGGGAAATATTGGGTGCGGCGCAAATGAGCGGAGGGTGCGGAGCTAACGGTCATTTTTGAATTTAAAATTGGGGTATTTCTGAAACTAAGCCGTTTTGGGACTTCAAATATACCAAGATATGTGTATTTGACACCAAATATCAATAAAATTGTGAAAATAGTAGTGCAATTCATTTTATAGCGACGCAGTATGCCTTAAACATATCCCAGACCTATATATTTTGAGACTATCCTTTTAATACTGCGTCCCCAGCATTCATAAAAAATGGTGTTCAAGATACACTACCCATGCAAATCATTTTTGCATCTTGGAAGCCAGGCAGTATCTGTGTGATTTTATAAAAATTCGGAAATGTTCTTCAGATATGAGCCCCCTCTAAATATTGGGTGCGGAGCTACGTTTATGGAGCTGCTCCGCACCCAATATTTAGAGGGGGCTCATATCTGAAAAACATTTCCGAATTTTTATAAAATCACACTGATACTGCCTGGCTTCCAAGATGCAAAAATAATTTGTATAGATAGTGTACCTTGAACACCATTTTTTATGAATGCTGGGGACTCAGTATTAAAAGGATAATTTCAAAATATATAGGTCTGGGAAAGGTTTAAGGCACACTGCGTCGCTATAGAATGAATTGCGCTACTATTTTCACAATTGCATTGATATTTGGTGTCAAATACACATATCTTGGTATATTTGAAGTCCCAAAACGGCTTAGTTCCAGAAATATCCCAAATTTAAATTCAAAAATGACCGTTAGCTCCGCACCCTCCGCTCATTTGCTCCCCACCCAATATTTCCCACAGGCTCTGTCTGCATAGGGTGTTGTATGGCGCTTATGTTTTCTAATAATACAAAACAAGCTTGGATAGGCAAGCAGTTTGGAAATATTAGGCACGCAGTTTGGGAAATACATGTGAATATAGGCGCGCAGTTTGACAAGAAAAATGTTTAAATCATGTTTATGGCGTATTATCGTTTTGAACACAAACTTTGCTGATTTAATCAGATGGAGTAATCCTATATATTCTAGAATTGAATAAACGGCAAATGACGATAAAAAGACATAGATATAGCTTTACACTGCAAATTTTGAACACAGAAGTTACTTAAGACCCTTATATTGAGATAACTAGGTTTACATCGGGAAAAACATTGAGTACTATAAGTAAATTAAGTTCATCTTCACAGAATGGTACTATCTTTAGAACGAGACTAACCTTGTATTTTTCGTATTTTGGCTCTTTTTGGGAGTCGTGTCCTCCCCGTCTCGCATTTTGAAATATGCGCGCAGTTTGTCAGAGTTTCAAACTGCGTGCCTAGTAGGCACGCTGCTTGACATGGGCATCGTGAAAATGTAGAAACCTTTCTCATATGACCTTGATTTTATCAAAAACTGCATATTAATTTAACATCATCTTGTATGTGTAAAATATGTTTTCATGTCTTAATGGGTTAAAGATGTTTGAATCTTAGTAGGTCACATGAGAAAGGAGCACATGTACTCTTAGGGATTATAATGACTGTTATCTAACCGTGTGTTTTCTCTTTTTTCCATGCCATTTAGGAGGTAAATAGAAACTTTTTATTTTATTACTTATCATTCTTAGAATCACAGGGCTACAAAACTCGTCTTGGGATTTTATACAATTTGGAGCATTAGCTACGTGCCTGCTTAATGTATTGCTTGCTGATTTTTCCACTCTATTTTGAATTTCAAAACTTGATATTTTTTTCACATGGGGTCCTGGCCTAAAGAACAAGAGGCTTATATGTAGTCCTGTATTCAGAGTGATTCTTATTATCTTTCAATAAGTAAATATTTAAAATGACTGTCATTGTTTTTCTATTACAAAAAAAAAAATTCTTTGAAACAAGATACAGTTTAAAATGAAAATACAGGGTGGTCAAAAAAATGGAAACCCTGCATTTTCCTTAAATCTTTGTCACTTTAAGGAATTACTCTCTGATATTTCACACATTTGTACATCATTCAATTTCCTACCACCCTACCATATTTCATGACCATCAGACCGATAGTCACAATTTTACAGCACTTTAAAGAACATGCTTCAGATTTGACCATTATCGCGCTGTAGGCAAAACAGCACAGTTGTCAATGAGCCGAATGCATTCTTCAGCAGGTATGGCCTGAATGAAACAGATGATCTCACTTTGGAGGTTCGCAATTGTCCTGAGGTCATTCTCATATACTCTATCTCTGCCATATCCCCACAGGTAGGGGCATTTTAGACGATGAGTACAGGTTTCCCCACAACGCAATAGTGGCCACTGGGCATGTTCTTTAAAGTACTGTAACATTGTGACTATCAATCTGATGGTCATGAAATAAGGTAGGCTGGTAGCAAATTGAATGATGTATAAAAGTGTAAAATATCAGGGAGTTATTTTTAAAATAACAAAGATATGAGGAAAATGGTAATAGGGTTTCCATTTTTTTGACCACCCTGTACCAATGAGTGTCCAAAAATTGTCTGAATCTGGACTACAAAGTGTCTAATTTCTAATTTTAATTGTCAATCAAAATTCATTTTCAAGTATTGAAACATAGCAGTCATTTCAGTGCATGCAACTTTAAACTTGTCATAGACAGCATTATAGATAATAACAACAAATTGAACTACTCAATGTAGTCCGATATTTGCACAGAATGTGGGAAGCCATTCCCCAATTTTCAAATCAGATTCTTCACACCATGCAATGTGGATAAAGGGATGTATGTTTGATATAACATTTGATGGGTGTAAAACCAAAGGAGTGTTTCGGTTGGAGGATTACTAAATAGATAATCTTCAGATCTATTTTTCATTTACATACATGCTATTTCTTATCTTCTTTGGGGCTGTATGCTGGTCTGTATGTTAAAGGGTCTCTGTAATATTAAACTCTCTGAAATATCATTAGAATATTGCACCCTTTGTGAAACTGGCACTTAATTTGAATCCTGCACTACAATTAAAATTGGTCAATAATATATAACAATCAATTGCACCAATCAGGAGTTGTAGCTTAGATTTCCTAGTTTTTGGGTAAAGAGAGAGCCATGGAATGTCTCAACCTAACCTCAAAAAGAGGTTAATAATTATTATTATATGCATTGTATCTCTATTGTTTTTTAAAGGAGGTTCAGGTATGATGAGTGATAAGTATCCATTCTTTACTATGCATGTTCACACTCTCAAGCTACATGGGTATGCTATCCCATCATTCATGTGTTCATATGCAAATGATTCTAAAAGCTCATTGACTGTGCTGTGCCATATGGATGTTTTGAGAATCATGGGATAGCACCTACCCCATTGCCCCTACCTTGTTTCTGTTACATGTACAGGTATTGTATTTAATATGTCAATGATACTTATAAGAGTTCAAAGGAAAGATAAGTTATTTCCTAGGTGCCTGAAACAGTAACATTTGAATTTTTGGGATGAGGCGTAAGTTTCACTAAAGGCACCTGGGAGCCAACCTTCCTTAGATGTACTACAGTTACAAGGGTGGAGGCCATAGAATATCACAATGCAGAGGAGGGTATAAGTCCCCAGGATGCAATTGGCAACAAGTAGAATTTTACATCAATCAGTAATTGTTATTGAGTATAGTGTTGACAGATATTTAAATCCTGCTTTGAATTTATAGAAATATTTCGCTTCAATTGCAAAGCATCTTGGTGCTTTTTTGCCTTCTTTGCATGTGAGAGTGTGAAATCTGGAAATACTGTAAGGTGTGACTAATTAGTTGGACAAGGGCTGAATATGTAGAAAAAGGCTATTGGTGGATTTCTTATCTCCTAAGTATATGAATTCAATAGTTTGGGTATAGATTGGATTATCGTTGACCATTAATATGCAACTATAATTTTAGGAATCAACAAAGCAGTGTTATGGCTTTATTTTGTGTAAAGATTGAAATATTTTTTACAACAATGTAATATATATATAGTTTGCTTCCGTCATATATACCATTTTTATATTTTGAAAGTTCACATGTTTAGATGTTTAGGCTTCACATTCTTCAAAGTGCATGTTCCCATTTAAACTAATCCCCTATGTTCATTTACTATACTGTATATGTTTATAATACACACCAGTAAATGAGAAAAATGTAGAATAGAATACAGAAACAACACAATACTGTTATAATAAGTTATATAATTCAATTAAAACTCTTCTCTCGAACACATACAAACTTTATGAGAAATAACAGGTTGGTCATTAGTAGTTTTACCAAATAACATGTTAGTAATATGATTATCTAATCTTTCAAAAGTGAACACTTCAAAAATATGAATAATTGATCTTATAATGTCCCATTTACTCCCATGTTGTCAGATTCTGTAATTGTCTCACAGTGTAACAGTTCACCTTATAAAATATTTTTGATACTGTGTATAATTCATATTCCTTTATGATATAAAATTTCAATATCAAATAAAAGTACATATAGATTAAGTTAAGTTACGACCATAGCAACTATTTAGCAAACAATATAAAAGTCTGCGAAAAAAGATCCAAGGACGATTCTCGGTTTGGAGAACAGTCTCCTGGGCTAATATTTGTTTTCATGAAAAATATAGAAATATTACCCAAATTAAACTATGAATATTCAAAAGAGGACATTTAAATCTACAAGATGTAAAGATAACAAATTGGTCTGAAGCAGGGATAATGCTCAAATAGACCTATTCAATATAAATACAAGTCTCGATTTGGGGAAAGAAGTTCATCAGTGTACTGCGCTAATATTTTTTTGCAAAAAATCTAGAAATATTACCCAAATTAAATTATGACTATTCAAAAGAAGACATTCAAATCTTTATTATGTAAAAAAATCAAATTTGTCCGAAGCAGGGATAATGCTCATTTAGATTGACGAACTTCGTTCTCCAAACCGAGAATCGTCCTTTGAAAATTAAGTCTCTCAGTGCTGGCATAATGTCTTATATTCAGTACTTACATCTCAGAAAATTGTTTACAAGTACAGCATTCAGTCTTCTTCAGTTTTTACATAGCTACCTTGATATTATACCTGAAAAAGGAATTATGGTTCAGCAATTGCAAAGTACTACATGGATAATGGATATGTCATGATGTGTGTTATATAGGAGCAAGCATTACAGAGGATGAGATTAGAATGGCAGAGGAGAAGTTTGAAGATTCCAAACAGCTTGCCGAGACTGCAATGTTTAACCTTCTGCAGAATGATGTAAGTTTAAGAGAAAAACAGTGTGTGTTTTCAAATGTTTCAAACTGTTTGTTTAGAGGAATTTTAAACATTTGAAATTTTAATTTTTTGTCATTTTCAGTCTATACATAATTTTTTAGAATACTTTAAAATTGTCACAAATGGTCAATTAGATGTAATGACTAACATGAGAATTTTTAGAGAAATTATCCATCCAAAATCCTGATGACAGAAACACTTACAAGTGAAGCATTAACACCAAGCTAAAGTGTAATAAATATTATCTATTATATTTTCCTTGATAATTATAGGTGGAGCAAGTGTCCCAATTGACATCATTTGTCGAATCCCAGTTAGATTACCACCGTCAGGCCTCCGAGATACTACAAACCTTGTTAGAGACACTGCAGGAAAAGTAAGTTGTCAATAAACATGTATTTAGGCCCCTCTTAACCAGTTAAGTAATCCCTTAAAAGAGCAATGGAAGGCTCTTAAGGGTAACATAGGATGGTTGTACCCAAAGGAGTGGTATCGATGTGGAGAACTGAATTCAACAATGTTTTTCTCTTAAACCAATCATTGAAAACACTCTGTAAAAAAACACAGTATTTTATGTAATGTTGACTGATTGACAACAATTTAGGCTAGGCCTAATCCGTAAATTATTTAGAAATATTTTATTTAACTGTTTTTGTTAACATTTTTTGTTTTTTAGTGCAATTGTTTTTGCTCCTTTCCGAACCTTTTTGGAACAAAATAGCATATACAACATGTTTTTAGACCTCTCAATATTATAGTTATACAAAGGAATTTTTGGTTGATTTAAAAAAGTATTCAAAGATAAAAATAAAATCCCCCAAAATAGATAAAAATGAAGATAAAACCTTTTATTTCATTAACAAGATACTTTTTTAAAATCAACCAAAATTTCCTTTGTACAATTACAATATTGAGAGACCTAAACATGTTGTGTTTATGTCGTTTTGTTCCAATGAGGTTCGGAAAGATGTTTCATTTCACTCTGGAAACATGATACCAAGAACCAAGATTTTTTTATGACTGGTTTAAGAGAAACGTGTGTTCAAAATTCAAAAAGTTCTCCATATCGATACCACTCCTTTCTTGAAACTAGGACATACACAATAGCACTTAAAGTATTTATGTTTCCCTCAGAGAATCCCACAGAAAGGATGTCTCCTTTAAAAATTATACATCATTCCATTGTACTTGATGGATATTATACAATTAACAAGTTGCACTATTTTGCTGAGGGGTGCCTGAATTTCTGGTAAAAGTTATAATGGCATAAAAACAAACATACATTTAACATGTTATATTATTTCTAATATAAACAATTACAATCGATATCCCTTAGGTAATTGCCAAGGTTTTACAACATATTGAGAAATGCACTAAAAATTAGAAAAACAACATGTTGTACAACTTTAATTGTGGAATTTCTTGTGAAGATTTTACATGTTTTATTGTGCCCTACATAAAATATAATCTGATGTTTTATATTTATGCATTTCAGAGGTAACGAGGCAGCGAGTCGACCTAAAAGAGAGCATATTCCCAGACGAGCAACTTCCAATGCATCATCATACAAAGGAGACAATGGAAGTATCTCCTCTCCTTATGATAACAATTCTAATGGAGTAACTGAAGCAGCAGTATTCAAGCCACAGTATGAATCTGGTGAGTAAGGCCTAAACATTCTTGTGACCTTATTTTGAATATTGCAATATGGATTGTGATGACATCACAATGAAAATTGCATACTAGGGGTGACAAGGATGAGTTTAGAACTGTATTCGAAACTACTTCCACTGTTTAAATCTGATCCAACCATTTAAAATGTAATATGTTTAAATTCTTTTCCTAAACTATATTTTATTGAATTGGTTTAAGGCCTTATAAGAAGTGATGTGATTTAATTTTTTTTTGGACTTACACATTAGTCACATTTGCGCCGAATGCCGGTCAATAAGCAAGCCAGAGACTTTTTTCTGATGTCTTGGATTTGCCTTGAGTATGGTCACATAAGGTATGGGCACCATACAGCACCCTCAAACAATTTGTCAAAATTAAAATGAACGGAAATCTGAAGGATTCTGTAGGTAAGGAGCCATTAAGACACCTTGGAACATGTTAGGTTATATAATTGTTCTTCCAAGATGACTGTATGATAATTATCCCATCGTAGAAGTTCGGAGGGATATAGGGAACGCCTCCGTCCATCCGTCCGTCCATTGGTACGTACGTACGTACGTCCGTCCGTCCATCCATCTGTCCGTATGTACGTCAGTCCATCCGTACGGGCAATAACTCAAATACCGCTGTCCCGATTTTGTTCATATTTTATACATATATACCCTATGGGGGTAGAAGTTCTGCTCTAAAGCCGATTTTAAAAATGGCGACCATTTTAGTGCCGATTTACAGAAATTTAGGTGCAATATGTAAAAAAGTTATATAGGACATTAATAAAGCTAGAAATGTAGATATTAAAGAAGCACATGGCAGTCATCTTGAAAAATGGCTGCCTTTTCTCGTTATTTTACGATTTTTGCTGTAACTCGAAAAGTAGTAGAGTGATTTTGTTCATATTTGGTATGTGAATACTATAAGCATGGCACACTGTCTAATGACACTTTTGGTAGAAGGTGCCCATTTTGAAGGTGGCCATTTTGAAAAATGGCTGCCATTTTTGCTATATACTTTGTTTGTAAAAATGCCAGCCATGACTGTTTGATGGGATTTTCTACGCTTTGGTGTTGCTGTTGTCTAGTTGTACGATGCCATCAGCAAGATTTATCTCCACATTTGCAGGCTCCGAGCAACCATGTGGCAGTTAAAATCAGTCGGTATTGTCTGACAATCTCCTGGGATACATACACCAGTTTAAATTGGAGCAAATGTAACTAATGTATTATCCAAATATTTTCAATATATTGTTGTTTTATCATTTCAGCGGAGAAATTCCCTTGCTGTAAAGCATTGTACGACTTTGAACCTGAAAACGAGGGTGAACTAGGATTTAAGGAAAATGACGTCATCAAATTAACACAAAGAATTGATGAAAATTGGTTTGAAGGAAGCATAAATGGAAAATCTGGATTCTTCCCTTGTAATTACGTAGAAGTGGTCGTTGATGTGTAAAACTTGTGACGTCACATGTCATGTGATTGATTCACATCAATTATTCCAACAAATTGTGATGTACTGGATTAGGCTTCTAGAATGCAAAAATGATTAGGATTAGCCGCAACACTTGGGATTATTTAATGTGTAGTCTGTATGGAATCAAATGAATATACAAAATGAGTTTAATACAGAACTTACGGAATACAATACAGTGTTGTCATGTTTGGCTATATGGAGCCATTTTGGACTAAATAAAATTGCAGAACTATATGGGAGACACAAAATATAGGCTGTATGGATCAATAAATAATAACATTCTTCTTTTGGCCAGTTAACCATGTAGCCTTAGCCTTGGTTTTTGAAGGAAGGAATTTTATATTCATGAATTCAAAATTAATCTTTCAACCATGAACTTTCTAAATATTTGAAAATTATGGAGTGAAGTATAAGAGTCAATATATGAACCAGTGAATATAGAAAATATGCAAATAACTTATTAATAAAGTGTGTTACGAAAGCCAGGGTCATGTATTTTCATTTCTAAATCAAAACTATATGAATGTGTGTTCAAGTTGCTATTTTTGAAGATGCTAAAATGTCAAAAGATTTCCATGGAGGTTAATTACCAAAAAATACTGGAAAGTATTTTATTTACAGAATAGAATCTATTATCTATGTTTGTTTTGAATTAAATTAATTGCTGTTTTGAAAAAAAGTCATATAAATGTCACTACAGTGCAGTACATGTATATAAGGATTCACTAAACTACACACAATTTGAATAATTTCCCACCGTTCCTTGGAACTTCATGAAACAACCAAGTCCACCATTGAATTAATGTGGAAGATATGGTATAATAATATATGTACACACACTTGTCACATACTACATCGTACTATATACACTTTTATATGCAAACTCATGAAAATTATATGAAAGGACAGGCGCCTTTGATTTCTACTTCATAAAATCAGAATTATGAATCTTAGTCATAGATTTGAGACGATGTTTCAAATTTTCATCGTTATATTGACTAATTAGAGGATTATTTTAAAATGGAATAATATTAGTCATGTACAGTATATGAGTATGTTCAAATGAATGTACAGTTAGTCGTGTAGGATAGTCATGTAGAATAGTCCTGTTTATAGCTTTGTTATGATTAGAATGCATAATAGTGTTCTTGATTTTATGTACTGTACATACAATCAAAATTTGACCTACTTTAGCGTTTGGTCCCTGAATGTAAATAGGATATACATTGTTACCATATATGTAAATGATTGTAAAATGAATGATATCTTATGTATAGAACTATATACTCCTGTTATATGCTATAAATATAATATAAATATATATATACAAACTACCCAAATGCTATAGAAAATGTGAATTAAACTGAAGTGTTTTCTCATTGAGCATGGGCTAATAGATATTCATGTCTTGAATGTTATAAATGTATAAGCAATAATGCCTACTAACATCCAAATCATGACTTTACAGTGTTATAGTAAATGCTTTTCCTATTTGAGGCCTGTTTAATGTGGAATTGAATCAACATTAATTTTCTCTGTTACTCTTGTTATTGCATGCAGCCTGTGTAACCCCCAACACAATCACCCCATCTCCACTAGGAGAGGAAGTAGTGGGAAAGGGGGTTAAGATTTTATATTAAACTTTAAATGACTACATAGATTTATTTTGTATTCTGATTTTGGAGATGTTCTGAGTTCTTAAACAGGCCTAAGATGGAGCTCTATTATTTCATTGGAAGTCCTATGAAGTGTTCCTGTGCAAAAAATCTTGAGGTGATCATAAATACACCTGTTTATAATAGTCTGCCATATGTGACACCCTAGCACTATCGCATAAAAGATTCAAAGTGGTAAAGGTGTCTACCATGGAATATAGTTAATGAGGCTTCTTCATTGTGACATCACACAGCGTTACCACCAACAATAACAACAACGATGTTGCTCTTTTTGGTAGGTTTCCATGAAAAGCAGTGATCCCACAACATTTTAACACAGGAAGACTACGCTAGATATAGTAGTCACAGAATACAGGGTGTCAAGTCATTGTAGGCGATATTTTATCCAGTGTTTGTATACGTATTTTGAATTAGATCAAGTGAAGTAGATTCTAGTATGTAAAAAAGTTTTGTTCAATGGCCTAACTTAATTTTTAGACATATCCATATAAATTCTCTATTGTGCTGTACTTAACTTACTCTTTACAGATTTGGTATCTTAAAAGAGAGCTTTGTCTACTTAGTTAGTAACTAGGCTCTACGCTAAGGGCATGAGCACACTTTAACAATTTATGAATAGTTGTAGCTTTTTCACCTTTGAGGAGAATGCATGGTACTCCATATATGTTGTGGTAGCCTATATGAATGCACTCCAACTATTATTTCTCATTTGTTCCAGTCTGATCAGTCTAGTTACTTACATAAAGAAGCCTATTACTTCTTTTCCTCTAATTCTCAGTCGTATAATCCTTCCATTAACAGCAATGATAAAATAATATTTCATGTAGAGAATGGCATGAAAATTAGGCCATTTGAATGTGGCCATTTACAGGGTATGTGACACATGGTTAGACTATACTGGATTTTACTAATAAATTTGTCTGAAGAAAATTCAAATATAAAAATGGTATGGCTAGAGGTAAATTTATATGGACGTTTCTGTATCATATTATAAAGCACAGAATTTCGAAAATATCGAATCAAATGGAGATACTTGGAATTTTGCTTGTGCTGATATAGGCTACAAGGCGCATAGACTATAATGCCGGGGGCCTTGTTACTTATAGGGCTTTGAATAGTATACAAATATTTCATACTACTGAGGTGAATACCTGTTCATCTTTCAATGATTCTAGCAAGGTGCATTGGACAAAGCCTGGAGGGCCAGGGGAATATACCTGTGGAATCATTGACAGTGCAACAGGTATTCAACAAAAATAGTATGAAATATTTGTTTTATTATTCTCTTTTATTCACCACTCTCTTATTGGGAATGTCTTATAAGAACAAAAGTGATTAGATTTTTTTTGTATCATTTTCATATTTACACTGGACGAAACGCCCATCCTCCGATCACAGGGCTTCAAAATCCAGAATATATTCTTTCTTTTTACCGCCTGCGATAAGCAGTTAGCATTTCTTCGATTAAGAACTTGCAATCTGATTGGCTGTCGCAACACTGTGACAGGAATCATGTATAAGTGATTGCGCATTATTAGATCACGTGATTCAGTTTAATCGGGCGCTTCCAAATTGGTTATAGCAGGGGGAAGGAGGTACAGATTCTGGATACCTGCTTAGGAGGATGCGAAACGCCACACCTGATGAATATGCCCATTGAACACTTCTTTTTTCTGATGTCACATGTACAGATGTATGGCCTTTGAATACATATTTTTTTATGTCCTGTGTAATTTATATACCAATGAGAGAGTGGAGAATATGTCTGATATAATAATTTATGTTATCACAAGGTAGCATATTAGTTTGTCACTTGGTAACATTTGATTATGTATAACTAGGATACATATTTGTTTGCGTTATTATGAAGTTACATAGCCTGTTATTGTTACATAGATTTTATCAATTTAGCATGTACCCAATAATGTCATACTTTATACTCTCACTTTTACTGAAAAATATTGCACCTCGGTTTTTAGATATAAAAACGTGTATTCAATTTTAAGCAAATCAAATATTCATACACACTTAAACTTTGAATAGCATCTTTTTGGACAGATTGCCAAAGGATGGGTAATCATCTAGCTCACTTTAAATGTAACATTCCAAAATCACGGATAGCATCCAAAGGATTAAAGGTCTCTTGATAATGTATGCTATATATTGTAAATTGTATGGTGGTACAACAAGGGGCCATAATCTCTTGGAGATGACGTGTAGTATTGAGTATTATAATGGCATTTCTTTACAGTGTATCGTGTACCTGAACTTCAGGGTATCACACCAACTTACAGCAATTGTTCTGAATTTAGTTTTTTAGCTTTAGGGACCATCTCAAAGCACAATCAATAATTTTTATAAAAAGTATTACATAATTAATTATGTAATTTGAATTGATGTGAAAGACAAAAGCATATCAGTGACCCCAGTTTACTTTTGAAATGGTTCCTTACTAAGTACACATTGTATGTTCTACCTCAGAGGCTAACAGTATCATGAGGCAAGGATAAGGTATTCTTATGTTTTGCATCAACCTGATGCAAATCACAGAAAAGGAGAGAGGTGAGAACAAAACTGTCATAAAACTTATGTCAATGTCCAAGTGATTTATTAGTTTTAGAATTCTACTCTAAGGGGGACTTGATGAAAAACATAGAAAACTAAGAATTACGTTACTGTATGTCACATATTGTAAGAATTATGTTACTGTATGTCACACATTGTAAGAATTACGTCACAGTATGTCACATATTGTAAGACTTATGTCACAGTATCTCACATAGTGTAAGAATTATGTCACTGTATGTCACATATTGTAAGAATTATGTCACTGTATGTCACATATTATCAGAAATAGGTCAAGTAAAGTAAGTAGCTTACTTTGGGTATATATTTGGCTGTTACATGGAAATTACTAACAAAACACACAATGTTCATTACAGTGTGACTATGTATTACGAATTGTATAAAACTGTAGATATGAAAGATGTGAAATCAATACAGGAAAAGTAACATTACAAAGTCTCTTGTTAGTTTTCATATTGTATACCACTTTGCTGTTGGTTAACCCCTTGTGCAATAATCAAAATTTAACCTCCTTTTGAACTGCATGGATCAGGCTGAAGACTCAATACACAATGTATTTTTCCATAAAAAGCGTTGATTGAATTAAATACTTAGAACTAAAGATCTGTAAGTGGAATAAGAATGATCAGTTTTGATCATCAAGATAGATTCCCTTTCCAAGGAGTTTCGCAAAACAGGAAGTTGTGAGTGAAGATTTTGAAGACGAGAAGTCAACCAAAATGGGGTAATTATTTGTTCATTTTTTAAAACAATTCAAACCTATTAGCGCCTAATTATACATGCATCTGAATGTGTTAGTTTGAGGTGACCAATTCTTTTAGCATGTCAAGGTCCACCATTACTTTCCACTTTCTATCATCAAATATCAGAGATTTGATGCGACACAATGCTCAGTATAAAAATGTCCAAAACTGGTACCAGTTTTTCAAGTATTGTTTCATTGAGTCTGGGCCCCTCCCTTCAATTCACTTTTTTGAGATTGGGTGTGTAGGGGGTGGAATCTCTTGTAATTAAAGGATAATTTAAAACTAACAAGTAATAATTTCACCAAAACTGCCATCTGAAAAAGAAAAAGAAAATTCCAGAAGAATATATTTTGAAAATATTTTTCAACAATTAACTTCTATTTGGGGTGGAGGGGGGGTGGTTATCTCTCATTTAAAGTTTGAATTCCTGAATAAGATTAACGACCCCTTTTAGAAATCACGAATAAACAGGCACTACAGAGTCCTCTTTTGATAATGCATTCAGATTTAACACATGTACTATGTGTTAATAACATAGCTTGACTAGTACAAAATAAAAAGTTACTGAATAATAGATGGAAGCCTCACATAAAGTATCACGCGATAGAATTACAATAAAATCGTAGTATATTTCTTTGTTTTAAACATGTATTATGTACATGTTTAAAAGAATTATTGGATTTCAATTGAACTCATGTCAATGTGTCGCCAGATGTTTAGACTCCCAATATATTGATCACAAAGAGGAATCATTTTCTGTGCTCAATGTTTACTTAATGCTAAGAGAATGGAGTGGAAAGGTAAATTCCTTGAAGTATATGAAGTCGTTATAGCTTAAGTGTTCTATATAAGCCTGGGTCTGCTTTGTGTGATATTGCAGATTGGCTTAGAATATAAATATTCATATGATGCATGAAGCATGAATTAAAAAATAAGCGATATTGGTAGTCTCAAGGACGTATATTGACTGAATTAAGAAATAAGCGATATAGGTAGTCTCTAAGACATGGAATTTGAGTGAATTAAGATGTTTCCTATGATGGGTGTCTGGAGGCGATAGAGATACGTTGTCTCCAGGACATGCACTTTGGAATCTGAGTTAAGGTGTTTCCTATGGTGGGTGTTTGGAGGCACATTGGGAGTGTGTCTTCCAGACATGCGGTGAAAGTCAAGGCCAAGGCCATGGCAATCATCCTGAAGATCACTGTTAAGGCTGATATCTCCCAAGTCAGTCCCTGGCAGTGGTTCCACTGGAGATAACCTTTTAATTTTGCATGTTGGATACAAGATACTTAGCTCACTTTTGACAGCCTGTAATATCTGTCGAAGAGTATGGTCGCTGGATGCTGTCACGAGAGAGATTTACCACAAATCAGCTGATAAAGAGACAATAACTCTCTTGGAACCCATGGCCTCACTAACAATGTGAATAATTATATTTCTAGTAAAAGTTCTAATGGCATAAAAAACAAAATCCCATTGATAAAGTTCTACCATACTCATGTATAGAAAAATCATAACATGTTCCTGAAGGAGGTAAGAACCAAACTGTCATAAAACTTTATATCCATGGACAAGTGATTTAATTCTGTACAGTGCTGTCAGTGGTATTATGTCTCGTTTTAGAATTTGCCAAATTCTTACAGGGAATTTGATGTAAAACAGAATAGTGTTAATTTCTGTTTTTTTTCACCTAAAATAAGTTGCTGTTAAATGTTTTAAGAAATATGTCACTTAACATCACACATTGTTAAAATTATGTCACTGTATGTCACATGCAGTTAGAAAGAACTATGTCACATATTGTAAGAATTATGTCACAGTATGTCACATTTTGTTAGAATTATGTCACTGTATGTCACATAGTGTAAGAATTATGTCACTGTATGTCACATTTTGTAAGAATTGTCACTGTATGTCACATAGTAGAGAGGTTAAGCTACACGTATAAATGCAAACCGTGAACCTGAACGCGCAAGTCCACGCTCAAGTACACGTTTAAAAAAAAATTCTGTTAAAGTGTGCGCCAAAGTTTAAAACTGCGCAGGCGCACCGCTCTCGCTAAACTATATAAAGAGATTACCAGGTACACGATTCAGAGGTAAGCCAGGAAGGCGAACTATCTTCGTCTCGTGATGATTTCCCATATAATCGTAACCAGGGAAGTTTCACCATTGAAATTGAAAATTACTATTAGATATACTTTGTAGATGTTATTTATGAAGCTATTTAGTGTTTGCATCAATCAAATAGCTCATTTTGAACATATAAAAAGTATTTGTGTTTTGTTTCCAAGGGAATTGTATTGTATGTAGAACACACATAAATAGTGTACATTATACAGTACTTGAATAGCCTGGTTTACATAATATTGAAGGGCATGCTGATTACATGCACACGAGTACATGAATGAAGGCCTAATATTGATATACGGAGCTTGCATACCTAAATAAAAAATAAACTCTTCAAATCCCCTAATGTAAACACGGCGGTATTCACGTAGCCCGATTTATCGGGGACTTTAAGCTACACGTCTGAAACCATGTCAGTGGACGTGGAGCTATATTTATGTGGTGACTGTGTCTAAAGGTCATGTCTCTATGGTGTAATTGATAGCACTGCCAAGTCGTGTCCGTTAGGCCTGGGTTCGAATCTACAGTAGTCGCATCAACACATTTTGTTTTTTTTATTTTTGCTGTATTTAATATTCAATGCGCCCTCCATTACGATATTCCCATGATCAAAAATGAATTCATTTAATTTTTTAAAATGAATATACTGTTTTTATTATTACATTTTTATGTACACTAGTATCGTGTTGACCTATATTCAGCACTGCATTGATGAATGGGCCACTTATTAGGGCCAATATTCAATCATAAAGTGTACAGGGGTAGAGATGCCAAACCAGGAAGTATTTTTGTGTCTGTCAAAATCCATTTGCATCCTACACATCCCTACATCTTATCCAAAAATGTTATTGATTAATGAACATAACAGTATAATCTTTGGATTTACAAAGTTGTATGGCATTTCAAAAGTGTAAAAGTTGCTTTGAAGCATTTTCCTATAGCCATTTTCAAACCAAATGTAGTGATAAGGCAATCGTAGGCCCTGGTTGTCATTTCATTTCGTTTAGTATACCTATTGTACTAAGCCCCGGGTATCAAATTGGCCCTGCCTGTTGATGTTGTACGGAATGAACAAACGATCACATTTGAAGTTGTCATTTACCCATTAAAATGTATTCTTATTTCCAATTAAGGATTGGGGTTTACCAATATAACAAGCAAGATTGTCTGTATCAAATATGGGCTCCAGGGCCATCCTAGAACATAGCTAAAATCAATCACGTAATGAGCGACGTGTAATCACTAATCTATACGTAAAAACCTGTAACTTTCACGCTTACCTGTAGAAAGTAGACTAAACTGACGTCATTTTCCTGCGCGCGCATAGAAGTACACGTTCATGCTTTGTTGAATACACGTCTGTAAATTGCACGAATATGATAATCTCATGTAAAAACCTGTAAACTTCACGCTGGACCACAGGAAATAAACAAATCCGACGTCATTTATCTGCGCGCGCATTGAAGTTCACGTTCAAGTTTTGTTAAATACGTGTAGCTTAACCTCTCTATTATCAGAAATAGGTCAAATAAAGTAAGTAGCTTACTTTGGGTGTATATTTGGCTGTTACATGGAACTTACTAACAAAACACACAATGTTCATTACAGTGTGACTATGTATTACGAATTGTATAAAACTGTAGATATGAAAGATGTGAAATCAATACAGGAAAAGTAACATTACAAAGTCTCTTGTTAGTTTTCATATTGGTTAACGCCTGTATGCAATAATCAAAAATTAACCTCTGTTCCTTTCGAAATGCATGTAAAAGGCTGTAGACTTAAAATGGAATGTTTCCCATAAAGAGTGTTGATTGAATTAAATGCTTAGAACTAAAGATAGCAAACATTAAATGGATATTCAAACTGTATTATTATTATATAGGATTTTCACAAAACAGGAAAATAATGAAGTATATGAATTTGTGAGTGAAGATCTTGAAGATCTGAAGTCTTCCAAAAGATCTTCTAGTGTAGCATCATGCATCTAAATAAGTTACATTGAGTTTTCCGATTCTTTTAGCTTGTCAAATTCCTTACATTTACTTCTCCACCATTCTCTATTTCAATGCAAACCTCAGTTCAGGAAATGTCCAAAACTGGTACCAATTTTTCAAGCAGTGTTTCATCGAGTCTGGACCCCTCCCACCAATCACTTTTTGGAGATAGGATATGTAACAGGGTGGGGGATGCAAAGGCTAGAAGCAATACTATTTTCAACATTCTGAATCCTCAATCAGGCAGTTTTCAAATTCTTAACTGAGTACCAGTTGCTTCAAAGTTATAGCAATGTGAATGTTCATGCCCCTAAATCACAGGTCCACTGTGGCTTCTATCATAACTGCTCTGTCATAGAGGTCTGTTTCATAGCATTATAAATATATGTGTTGTTGAACGGCACAAACTGTGATGTCACAATCTTTATGGCTTCCTGAGCCGCTATTCCACCCATGAATGACGCAACAGAATGTAACTCTGCAGCTCCATAGCGACAACTAAAACATAAGAAAACTCAAGTTTTTCAAATACATGCAACAATATACTACTAGAAAATGGTAACTAGAAAACAATTTCTCAAGCAATAGAGTGCATTTAACTCTAAATCATTCACAACAAGATATTAAATATCCTTTAAAGGGTTGATTTGTTTTGTTTTTCAAATGCTATATCTTTGAATATAATAAAGCCAGACTTACATTTCATGGATCATATCATCTTTGATGTTTGAGGTGAGTCCCCATTCTTGTGTCATCTTACCCACGCATCCCTAATAAAAGCATAGAATGTACAGCCATTCAGATATTAATGTTATATTTTCTATCCTTTCCAATAGACTAGATGTGAGTGAGTGAGTGGAAATAATCTTGATTTACGTCATTAAATATTCAAAATTCAGCCAAAGTGATAAAATATTTGAAATCTACATGTAAAAGTAGTTTTAGAAATATGGTTTCGAAAATTGTTTATCAACTTTGAAAATTTAATCTTTTTGAAAATGTGACTAACAAAACACACAATGTTCATTACAGTGTGACTATGTATTACGAATTGTATAAAACTGTAGATATGAAAGATGTGAAATCAATACAGGAAAAGTAACATTACAAAGTCTCTTGTTAGTTTTCATATTGTATACCACTTTGCTGTTGGTTAACCCCTTGTGCAATAATCAAAATTTAACCTCCTTTTGAACTGCATGGATCAGGCTGAAGACTCAATACACAATGTATTTTTCCATAAAAAGCGTTGATTGAATTAAATACTTAGAACTAAAGATCTGTAAGTGGAATAGGAATGATCAGTTTTGATCATCAAGATAGATTCCCTTTCCAAGGAGTTTCGCAAAACAGGAAGTTGTGAGTGAAGATTTTGAAGACGAGAAGTCTACCAAAATGGGGTAATTAATTGTTCATTTTTTAAAACAATTCAAACCTATTAGCGCCTAATTATACATGCATCTGAATGTGTTAGTTTGAGGTGACCAATTCTTTTAGCATGTCAAGGTCCACCATTACTTTCCACTTTCTATATCAGAGATATAGAAAGTGGAAAGTAATGGTAATGGTAATTTCTATATCAGAGATTTGATGCGACACAATGCTCAGTATAAAAATGTCCAAAACTGGTACCAGTTTTTTTCAAGTACTGTTTCATTGAGTCTGGACCCCTCCCTTCAATTCACTTTTTTGAGATTGGGTGTGTAGGGGGTGGAATCTTATAATTAAAGGATAATTTAAAACTAACAAGTAATAATTTCACCAAAACTGCCATCTGAAAAAGAACAAGAAAATTCCAGAAGAATATATTTTTAAAATATTTTTCAACAATTAACTTCTATTTGGGGTGGAGGGCGGGGGGTGGTAATCTCTCATTGAAAGTTTGAATTCCTGAATATGTTTCCTGAATATGTGATATGGATATTTGTCAGATATTGATGGTTTGTTAAAGTGGTTGAACTTGAAAAGGCTTTGTGAATGATTTATAAAAGACCTGCAAAAGATTAACGACCCCTTTTAGAAATCACAAATAACAGGCACTACAGAGTCCTCTTTTGATAATGCATTCAGACTTAACACATGTACTATAATGTTTTAATAACATAGCTTGACTAGTACAGAATAAAAAGTAATAGGCTAATAGATGGAAACCTCACATAGAGTATCACGCGATAGAATTACAATAAAATCGCAGTATATTTCTTTGTTTTTAACATGTATTATGTACATGTTTAAAAGAATTATTGGATTTCAATTGAACTCATGTCAACGTGTTGCCAGAGGTTTAGACTCCCAATATATTGATCACAAAGAGGAATCATTTTCTGTGCTCAATGTTTACTTAATGCTAAGAGAATATAGTGGAAAGGTAAATTCCTTGAAGTATATGAAGTCCTTATAGCTTTAAGTGTCCTATATAAGCCTAAGTATGCTTTGTGCGATATTGCAGATTGGCTTAGAAGCTGTTATTATGTTGAATGAATTAAATATAAGCGATATAGGTAGTCTCTAGGGACACGCAATTTGGAATCTGAGTGAGTTAAGGTGTTTCCTATGGTGGGTGTCTGGAGGCACATTAAGGGAGTGTGTCATCCAGACATGGGGTGAAGGTCAAGGCTAAGGCCATGGCAATCATCCCGATGATCACTGTTAAGGCTGATTTCCCTAGTCAGTAACTGACAGTGGTTCCACTGGAGATAACCTTTTAATTTTGTTGTTGGATACAAGATACTTAGCTCTGACTTTTGAGTTTTGACAGCTGTAATACTCTGTCGAAGAGTATGGACGCTGGATGCTGTCACGGGAGAGATTTACCACAAATCAGCTGATAGAGAGACAATGACTCTCTTGCAACCCATGGCCTCACTAACAATGTGAATAATTATATTTCTAGTATAAGTTATAATGGCACAAAAACAAATTATAGAAATATCATAACATGTTCCCGAGGGAGGTGAGAACCAAACTGACGTAAAACTTTATATCCATGGACAAGTGATTAAATTCTGTACAGTGCAGCGCTTTCATTGGTATTATGTCTAGTTTTAGAATTAACTGAATTCTAACAGGGAATTTGATGCAAAACAGAATAGTGTTAATTTCTGGGTTTTTTCACCTAAAATAAGTTGCTGTTAAATGTTTTAAGAAATATGTCACTTAACATCACACATTGTTAAAATTATGTCACTGTATGTCATGTGCAGTACGAAAGAACTATGTCACATATTGTATGAATTATGTCACAGTATGTCACATTTTTTTAGAATTATGTCACTGTATGTCACATAGTGTAAGAATTATGTCACTGTATGTCACATATTGTAAGAATTGTCACTGTATGTCACATATTATCAGAAATAGGTCAAATAAAGTAAGTAGCTTACTTTGGGTATATATTTGGCTGTTACATGGAAATTACTAACAAAACACACAATGTTCATTACAGTGTGACTATGTATTACGAATTGTATAAAACTGTAGATATGAAAGATGTGAAATCAATACAGGAAAAGTAACATTACATTGTCTCTTCTTAGTTTTCATATTGGTTAACGCCTGTATGCATTAATCAAAAATTAACTTCTGTTCCTTTTGAAATGCGTGTAACAGGCTGTAGACTTATAATGGAATGTTTCCCATAAAGATTGTTGATTGAATTAAACACTTAGAACTATAGATAGCAAACATAAAATGGATATTCAAATTGTATTATTATTATATAGGATTTTCACAAAACAGGAAAATAATGAAGAATATGAATTTGTGAGTGAAGATCTTGAAGATCTGAAGTCTTCCAAAAGATCTTCTAGTGTAGCATCATGCATCTAAATAAGTTACATTGAGTTTTCCGATTCTTTTAGCTTGTCAAATTCCTTACATTTACTTCTCCACCATTCTCTATTTCAATGCAAACCTCAGTTCAGGAAATGTCCAAAACTGGTACCAATTTTTCAAGCAGTGTTTCATCGAGTCTGAACCCCTCCCATCAATCACTTTTTGGAGATAGGATATGTAACAGGGTGGGGGATGCAAAGGCTAGAAGCAATACTATTTTCAACATTCTGAATCCTCAATCAGGCAGTTTTCAAATTCTTAACTGAGTACCAGTTGCTTCAAAGTTATAGCAATGTGAATGTTCATGCCCCTAAATCACAGGTCCACTGTGGCTTCTATCATAACTGCTCTGTCATAGAAGTCTGCTTCATAGCATTATAAATATATGTGTTGTTGAACGGCACAAACTGTGATGTCACAATCTTAATGGCTTCCTGAGCCGCTATTCCACCCATGAATGACGCAACAGAATGTAACTCTGCAGCTCCATAGCGACAACTAAAACATAAGAAAACTCAAGTTTTTAAAATACATGCAACAATATACTACTAGAAAATGGTAACTAGAAAACAATTTCTCAAGCAATAGAGTGCATTTAACTCTAGATCATTCGCAACAAGATATTGGGTTGATTTGTTTTGTTTTTCAAATGCTATATCTTTGAATATAATAAAGCCAGACTTACATTTCATGAATCATGTCATCTTTGATGTTTGAGGTGAGTCCCCATTCTTGTGTCATCTTACCCACGCAGCCCTGAAAAGCATAGAATGTACAGCCATTCAGATATTAATGTTATATACTCTATCCTTTCCAATAGACTAGATGCGAGTGAGTGAGTGGAAATGATACAATACAATACAATACAATACTAGTTCAGGGAGATCTGAGTCATTGACATTGTAACGCACTGTGTATATACTATTGATAAAACATTTTATTCATTATTTAAGCTAAAGATTGAAAAAGGACAATATGCAGGAGTGCTTATTAAAAATCACACCAGAAATGGTATTTCTAATTTCTTAGGAACCAGGCACTGAGGAACTCAATAATATGGTAATGTCTGTTAACAGATATAGAATTTCAAGCAGAGAACAAAGTTTTTTACACTCTGAATTCCTGAAAATATCTGTATGGGAATTATTAATTATGTATGGTAACTTAGTATGACTGTCTTTTATCTTTTATAACAATCAATAATCAGATATTGTAAGTACAAGAGTAGTGAGGCATTATGTTTTAAAGTCAATGAATACACAATAAAGAATCTAAATGGAATACCACACAAAGGTACTGATGAGCAAATACATATTACATATTTACTAGAAAATAGCAACTCCTGGAGAAGCAAATCCGAACAAACAAACAAAAAATCATTTATAAATCTGAAATATGTCCCAATGTACATTTTACTAGTTCATGTTAAAAAACCCCAATTTGGTTGTGCTGTTATTGACAAGGATTTGTGCTGATAAGGGTTGAGTTAACCAGTTACCCTTACAGCATACTCTGTGTTCCATTTCTAAAACAATTTAAATGTGTAAATTATGATTTAGTCATTGTTCATCTAAAAGCAGAAAATGGTTTCTAACAATAAGTTATGATCATACTAAGTATTTTGGGCACCACTGACCTTGAGTTTTGCTATGTCTGCCTCCACCTGATCGTCATATTGTCCAGGGTAGCGATTGTACTGGGCGTGAAATCTATCGACTGCTCTCAGCAGGATGTACCATGTGATGTCTTCACTCGATGGGTCATCCAATAGTGAAGCTGAAAGGAATAACATTATCAGAACTGTTTCATCAATAACTGAGTTAACAAAACCTCAACAAGGAACAAATATTTCATCGATTTTTTTGACTGGGAAAGCATAGCCCTCATAAGAAAAATAGTTCAATTTAGTGTACTGTATACCGCTGTTATGATTGTGACAGTTGTTAACTTGTGATGATCATGCAGAAACGTATTAAATCAATGATTTTATTATTACTTTACAAGCCAATTCATTCAACTTCAGCAGGCCCATAGCCAGGATTTGCCAAGGGGGGTTCACTTTTTGAAAATAACCGACCCCCCAACTGGCTATGGGCCTGTTCAGGATCTTTTAATACCAACTGGTCTGGTATGTTCATCAAACTTACTTAATAAAATATAATTCATTTTTCATTTCTGATAGAAGCTTCCATATGACAGTGGGCAGTACTATTGTGTCTATCATTAAAACTCCTGTTCATTGAAAATATACAGCTAGTAGTTGCCAAAAAATATTTGAACATAAAATGCCAAAAGGTCATTAGTGGTCAAATAGGTAATTTTTGAGTTCGTACAATGGGCTGAGAGAATCATAAAGTGTACCTGTATATATTAATTTGGATTTGGTGATTGTCTTATATTGTTGATATACAAGTATGAAAACTCTGATTTACCCACGATGGCCTGCAAGAGGTCATGAGGGGACAAAATTCTGTAACACTCATAAGACGTTGTAGCACCTTATCTCAAAATTAACTCCTAACTACATTGTAGTCAGTGCAGGAAGAGCTAAAAAGTTTTTAATCCAAAGTGGGAACACAAGGTTATGTCTATTACTCACCTATGTGTGAGAGACTATTAGGGTCTGGCGTGTGCTCCTCTTCTATTGACCTGCCACGTATCAGTCTGAGGAAATAACTATTTTTACAGAATAGTCTAACATCTTCTTCTTCAATGAAGTCATGTGGCTGAAACAAAAAATACACAATTTCATTTGAAGGTAAATAGTGGTACATTTGATGTTTGTGCCTCCCTTAATGAAAGTGGGCTAGGGGCATATTATACAAATATTTAATTCTACTGAGATGAATACCTGTGCATCTTTCACAAGTGATATTCCAAGAAGCCTGAAGTGAAAATAGAATTAAATATTTGTTTTATTATTTACTATTATATTCTTTACTCAAATTAATGGAATAACAAACTATTGATGTCTAAGTCACGTGAATTCCATTGAATATCGCGTGTAATCAGAGAGTGATGAATATGACAGTGATATAATAAATTCTAATATTATAATAAAATCTGTAGATCAGGTAATTCATTATTAATTAATAGAATAATAAGAATTATATCAATAGAAAAAACTATGAATTCAAAATACCTTTCACAAGACATTCCTTACCTTTCCATTAGCTTTCAGTAAGTTGACAACCCTTGCGTATACTAAACTCATGTCGCTATTTGCCTTGTCCTTATAAACATTTTGTAGCTTAATGTATCTCTCAGAGTCAGCAGTCATGTCTGGGATACTACCACGTAATGGCAACATGCCATCTCCTTCATGGTCCACAAAGTCCTTGACTGCACGTGCCATGATCCAAAATGCTGAGCTCTGAAAATATAGGTAGTAAGCTTGTATTCGCGAATGCAAATAGCGGTTACCAGCTACCGGGTTGACTGCACTTAGTCTTATTAGATGCCAAACTCATTTAAATGTATATGACCCAGGTCAAAATAATAGCATACATATTCAGGGTAATCATTAGCTAATGATTATGAAACAAATAGGTAACAAATAGTATAGCAATTTGACATGCAAATGAGATAATCATTCAGGGTAATCATTAGCTAATGATTGTGAATTTAATGAAACACTGATTTCTTTCTTCGTTAATCATTCAGTAATTATTCAGAAACAAATAGTTAATTATTCAGAAACAAATCAATAATTATTCAGAAACAAATCGGTAATTATTCAGAAAGAAACCGTTAATTATTCAGAAACAAATCGTTAATTATTTAGTAATTATTCAGGTTATCTGACTCATTTTCTTCTTTATCAAAACCCTGTTGCCTCTCCTGGAGCTGTCTTGTATTATTCTGACTAATACATGCTCATATAGAGGTGACATATATATCTCCTGTTTTTTGCAAAATATCTCCTGGATTTTTTTTCTCTGAGAGGTTGGCAGGTATGCATTTTAGATACATGGGCGACGGTGTACAACGATACTCTTTTCTTATATGAATAGTGGGGTGGCAGGATTTCTTAGTGTTTTCAATTATGGTGACAGAATAAGCTGCCCCGAGGGACCCATAAACGCCACTTCGAAAAACTTATGGTTGAAATTGAAAAATATCGTTTCTACACATGAGATGTTTTCGACTCCCTACTATTAAGTCAACCATTATTTTAGGAGTGAAATATCATTTGTTAGAATTCTACATTTTCTAGGTTTAAGTAGAAAGATATGCATGTTCAAAAATTAATCCTCAATTATTGAGGCTGGAATAGCATTGATTACTATTTTGGAAAGCAGTAAAATAGTTAGAATCACAAAATACTATTTATTTGTGACGGTTTTATTTTAATATTTAATTAATATGAATGGCTTTAAAGAGAAAATGGATGTAAAAACAATGATGCTATTTGTCTCAAGGTTAAAATATACCATAGAAAAGGGGAAATGTCAGGAATGAGGTTGTAATGATAGGCTATTACAGACGTTTTCGAGTTTCAAAGTTAATAAAATAATGCTTTCATGAACAGGGGGCAAAATTTTGACATTTTCCAAAAATCCAAAATAGAATCACCTTTATTTTTTTAGATAAAGGGTACAGAGATAAAGTGTACTTTATGACGGCCTTTGGCAGTCTGGTGTCTGATGACGACTAATGATATGTTGTAACACAGAGTGTGCATTTTAACCTGTCAAGTAGGACACCTCCATGTAGACCACCTCTATAAGTAGAACACCTCAATAAGTGGAACACCTTCATAAGTAGAACACCTCAATAAATAGAATACCTCTGTAAGTAGAATACCTCCATAAGTGAAACACCTCCATAAGTGAAACACCTCCATAAAAGGAACACCTCCATAAGTAGAACACATCAATAAGTAGAAGACCTCCATAAGTGGAACACCCCTATTAGTAGAACACCTTCATAAGTGAAACACCTCCATAAGTTGAACACCTCCATAAGTGGAATACCTGATCCATAAGTGAAACACTTCCTTTATAAAGAACCAGGAGGGCGTTGTTCCATTTGTTTGACTGTCTGTGATTCTCGAGCATTTAAAATGTAGGCTACTGTCCATTTAAAATTGGCCGATATGGTTAGGAAAATGGCGCCAAATGCTCATTCTTTTATACCCCGGCATAACTTTCTCTTAAAATGGCTGCTTGTCGGAAATGAACACTCTATAACTGTATATGCGACAATGAATGTTGCGGAAATTATGAAAAGCCTTTACTCAACTGAGACAAATCAAATATACCTTGTTTGGGACAACTTTAGTTATATATTTTGATCGTATCTATAAATAAATAAATTATGTCTGTGTTTTATTGGAGTTACTAGTAATTGCTCTTTATCCAGCAATGTAATGGATGTTTATTTGGTTCACATGGTTGACATGTAGAATCACCCGTCCGTCTGGCCGTAAGTATATATAAATATGTAACGTACGTACAATTTCCAGTATGAATTCTAATTGTAGTTGCAATAAATAGTAAACATTTTCCAACATTATGAATCCTTTTGTGAAGTATATTATTGAGCAGCTGCGTTCTCTGCTTCAGTATGGTTTTGAATGTTCGAGTGCGGGCCGATCTAATTTCCCTTCCTCCGCAACAGTTTTCGAAGATCCCGGCGAAACGTAGGACCAGATAGACAGTAAAGCAAAAAATTAATCGAATTATTTGTGTACATGAGTAAATTACATATAACAAAGTGAAGCTTCCTCTTAGCAATTGTTAATTCATCACTACCCGGGTTCCACGTTTCGTAAAAATTTAGATAGAGAACAATAGGCGATGTGCAGATAATGAACACGAAATTCACAGTGAGGAGCATTGCCGTCATGAATGTCATCTTTGATTCGTTCGTTGAGCTCAGTTTCCGAACCTTGATAATAATTAGAACGTTGCTTGTGAACATGATGAAGAACGGGATAAAAGAGGCGATACACATGTCAAGCCATGGCCACGTGTACCTGGCGAAATGTTTATATTTTTCTTCAGCAATAATGCATGCAACAAAGATGTCACCACGATCATTTATTTTGATGTATCCGTATGTCCAGAAGAAGTGAAGGTTAATAAAAAACAAAACGAAAGAGATGGCGCAAACTGTGATGAAAGTTGTAAAACTAGTACAGTATACCCGAGCTTTGTAGGGAATATAAACTGCAACTAGCCTCTCAAACGTTACCGCAACTAAGATCCACGCAGATAAATCCAAGGAAAAGTAAACTAGGAATATGTGAAATTTACATCCACCAAGTGTGATACTCCGTATGTCTATGTCGGAAATGTGACGTATCCAATGTCGCAAAAGACCAGTGTAAAGTACAGTTGAATCGACTACAGCCAGGACGCTGAGATAAATACTAGACGTGCTTTTCCGCATGTTCTTCCTGGTGAGTATGATAAAAGATAAAGTGTTTCCTATTGTACCGACAATAATGATCAGCGGTGCACAGTATGTCCATAATTCCTTGGCTATTGTTGCCTTGGTGACAATATCTGCCATCGTTGAGCTCATCCTGTTGGTAACTGAGCTTTCTTGAGTGACTAAACTCGTATCGTTGGTAGTAGCCATTTTGAAGAAAAATAGTGAACAAATATCTAAAAAACAAAATAAATTGATAGATTAAAGCTTTAGAACCTCTTACCATGTAACATCATAACAAAACTGAAATAATTCCGCTAAGTGCTTTTCCTGGAATCGCGATGACAAGATCTATCTAAAAACTTCCAAAATGGCCGCCAAAAAACAAGATAACCAAGGTGGAGTGACTTTTTCACATCAGCTCTACAACTTCTTACCATTGAGCATGTGAAAATTTGAAATAATTCTGTCAAGTGGTGCTCCAGGAATTGTGATGACGATAGCACCTGCCATGCTTCCCGTTTCCAGCTCTTGCCCAAAAGCAATAACTGACTCAAATAAAGATTTAATCTGGTTATTAAAGCACCAACCATGACAGACTATCGAGGTGTTTAGAATTTTAAATAGCAGAAGTACATCTGGCGCATGTGCATAGACACAAGACACGTTTTAAATGAATTCGATCATTTGACAATGGGATAAGAAGTCACGTAGTCACTGTTAGTTGACAAATGGGTTGTTCGTAAATTACAACTTCAGACTAACGGGTTAATTTATGCAAATTGATCGGCTAATCTGGTAGCTGTTAGATGTATTCACGAATACAAGGTTAGGAACAGATTAACCCAATCTGCCAACTGGCATTTGAGTTATCACCTGGACAGATGAATAAACAGACAGATGCTTGATGGTTGATGAACAGAGTCAGGCAAAATGAACCTGAGCGACATCTATGTACTGTTCTGAGTATGAAAGGCTCTATTATGGAGAGATAATAGAGCCTTACACACCTAGAACAGTATATAGATGTCGCTAAGTGTTCCTATGATGCAGGAAACTGAAATAAATCAGAGTAGTAACATGTAGCTCCATGTACTTAGTAGTTAACAAGACCCCATTTTAACAATCAAGAGAAAGAAAGGCCAAGATATAAGCAATGTTATAAACGTAGTTGGATTATAAAATTACCACAATTGTTTTTCTCTAAGCTCATGGAAATTAGTTACCAAAATGTACATCTCTCAGTTACATTAAACAGGAAGTGGAAATATTGACAAAGAAAGGTATTGAAGGGCATTTTACCAGATATTTAAGAATACTTATCTTCCTAAGTTCATTGATTGATACAAATGTAGACAATTACACAAAACTGAAGGTACACGGACAGACTGTATGGCATTCACTAATCATATTTTGCATTTGAATAACAAATTATTTTGAATACAAATTACATTCAGCCTACAGTGGGGGACATAAAGAATTACAAAAGCTATGGAAATTACATGCTGTCGCATATGTAATAAATTCTTACCTCAGTGTATTCAGTGCTCTATTTTCTCCGTCCTAGTAAGTCCAGATATAGTGGAATTTGTGTCCATAATGACAAATAAGAACTTAAAAATTTGAAGTGCAATTCACATGTTAATGCCGACTCTTCAAATGTTGAGGTGATTTTGGAGCCCGATTTCGCCGCAATGTGCGTTGGCTCCCAGAATACAACATGACACGTGTCATCTTTCAAAATGCCGTTCCGCCATTTTGAAATCTGTCACGAATAAATAAGGTTACTTGATGTTGCATTCTGGGAGTTAATCCTCCTTGGATCACAAACATGGCGATTCATGAAAACATCAGTCCGATTTGGTAGGGATTTATCCAGCATTTGCAGGTATGAAGCTTTGGATTCATTTATTGTGCTACTTTAAGTGAATGGGAATTATTTTTCTACCGCTTGGGAGAGTTTGAGACACGAAACTTAGAATTTAGCTCAATGTGACAACTTTTGAGGGTTGAGATTTATTTTTGTCCCCCACTTTAGATCAGAGTCTATGTAATATGTCTCTGCATAGATTCGAGGCCTACTAAAAATATGTCAATCTAGGCCTAATACAGTGTGCAGAAGTATATCTTGGATTCAGTCAGGGTAAACCCCTAATAATAATGTTGCACCCTGAGGGGTTCGCCGCATAAGATGCTGGTGAACTAAGATCTTGATAATCTCAGACTAAGTTACTTCTTTCAAAGGCTGACTGATTTGATCAGATAAGTCAGCCTTTGAAAAAGCCTTTGAAAGAGGGAAAATCTTATTACCCTGCACGCAGAGTCTAGTTTTAAACTACCCTCTGCATAGTATAGACTATATTACGGTTTAGCATCCCCACCCTCACCACCTATGCCCATTTCAAACCTACCACGCTGATCATTTCTTGACCAATCAGCAAGCTGGAAGGAACACATGGTAAATGTGTGCGCATTAAATTTGCGATAATGTCAAAGGAAATTTGTTTATAGAAAGTTGTCTGTATTTTGAGTGAGTTCAGACATTTATATAGTAAACTGAAAGATTGAAGATGAAGCCCTCTTTTAAGAAGGGAAGTCAAACGAATGGAAAGGGTAAAGATATTTATCCTATGCCAAGTAGAGTTTTAGGGAGATAAGTTGGTAAGATATATATATTTCTTTTATTGACATTTTGTATCAAAACATGACACATTAGTCTATGTACAAACTAGGCTGTCTTGACACAAGACAATACTACACTATTAACTAAATGCTAGACTACATTTAACTAAACTAAACTTTATACATGTAACATATAATCATTAGTATGAGGCTACAGGCTTTCTATTAAACTTGATGCATAAAAGATAAAAAGAAGATATTAGCAGTGTAGCACAGTAATTGTAGTCTACTCTAAATTTTGGAAAGAATGGTAAACATATTTGCCAATATGCCTTTGAACAGTAATATTTTGCGAAGACAATAGCATTCTAAAATTTGTTTCATTGATTAGAAAATCGGGTCCAAATATTTCTTTCATTTTTTCTAGAAGGACACTCCTTTGTGCATCATGTTTTTTACAATTAATAAAAAAATGTTTTTCATCTTCTACAGATTTACAAGTTAGGCAAAGTCTATCATTTATTGGAATAGGTTTAGGTTTAGAATAGCGGCCTGTTTCAATTCGAAGTTTGTGTGAGCTTAGTCTAAACCTGGCTATTGATTGTCTATATTTTCTATTATCAAGTTTTGTATAAGTATCCAAGGAAAAGTCATTCTTAAAGGTGTTATATGTGCGAAGTATAGGGAAGTTGTGATTAATATCAGTTTTCCATTTATCAACAAAGTTACTCCTCAAGGTTTTTTCAACATTGAATGGTACCATTTCTTTATTTTCTAAATTATCTTGATCCTCCCAGTGTTTTGTCATATTAGTTTTACATAAAATATCATAAACTTTTGTAGCCCAAGTTTGAAAACCTAATTCGTGCATTTCCTTTTCATAGGAATATGCTTTATGGAGTATATTTGTTGGGGGGAGTTGGAGGATTCTTATCCAGTATTTTATTAATGCAGTCTCAAATTTTACAGAAATTGGAAAACGGCCTAAGTCTCCATAAATTGCTGGACTGGCAGTTTGTCTTTTTACTCCGAGAATTGATTTAATAAATCTCAAGTGCACCATTTCAAGATCATTTATATGTTTTTCTGTTTGCCATATCTCACACCCATATGTAAGAATGGGTGTTACTAGGGTGTCAAAAAGATGTAAAGCTACATTGACTGGTACATCACCAAATTTCTTAAATTGGCTTTTTATTTTAAAAATTGCCTTTCTTGATTTACCAATTAGATGTTTAATATTTATATCCCGTATTCTGATTCTGAGGTTTCCATATCCTGAACCTCCATATCTCCCGCTCCAGGTCATATCTTCCCGCTTCGAAAAAAATTTGAAAAAATAAGAAAAAATTGAAAAAAAAAGAAAAATTGTGAAAAGAAATTTGAAAAAAAGAAAAAATTGAAAAAAATAGAAAAAAAATTGAAAAAATAAAAAAAATTGAAAAGAAATTGAAAGAAAATTAGAAAACTCTACTTGGTATAGGATAAAGCAGTTATGTACGATCGGTTTGGATATTGGGTTCATCCCTCGTGAGATATGCACATCTACCTTCGGTCCCTACGGTCCCTCAGGTAGATATGCATATCTCCCTCTGGATAAACCCCATATCCAAAACCTCCCAGTACATAACCCTTAAATATTCTCTCCAGAAAAAACATTGGTAAACTGGTTTTTCAGTCTGTTGGTTTCAGAATATGTTTGTTTACAGAACAAGAGTGTTAAAATAATCAGGATGTGAATATTGAAGTTTCTATCCATTTCAAATTCAACACTCTTAGTCAGAGGCTTCAGTAGAAAGAGTTCATTAAAAGATGGCAATAATTGAATGACATAAGTCATATCTATTTTTCAGGTCTAATTAGTGGTGTCAACTCTGGGAAATACCCATCACCATGGCAGCAAAGCAACAAGGGGACAACTGCTGCAGAGTCATGGGAGAAGCTCTGACCAATCAGCACAGAGAATGCATGGACAGGTGTTGGAGTATCACCTTGACAACCAAACCTCCAGTGGACAATCTCAAAAACAACACAACCATATCTCCAGAACAACACATAGATGCATTAAGCACATACTTGCCTCGCACAGCAAAACAGGGGTACTATGCAGGTGTTAGATTCTTACTTTCAAAAGGTGCTAATGTCAATTCACAAGATAGTAATGGTGGGACTGCACTTATGAAAGCAGCCCAGTCTGGGTATATCAACATTTTAAAATTGCTGCTAGAACATCGTGCTAGTGTGAATATGGTGGATATGGATGGATACACTGCACTTATATATGCCACAAGTTTCAGCCACATTGGTTGTATACAGGCGTTGGTTGCTGCTGGGGCTTCCATTGACATTATGAACAATTATGGTTGGAGTGCTCTGATTCTTGCCGCTATTAATGGTGACACAGATTGTATTGAACTATTCCTTGCCAATGGTGCTAAGCCTGATCTGGAAGACTACAGTAAGTTAACAGCACTCATGCACTCTGCTACGGGAGGTAGAGCAAAGAGTATAAAGTTATTACTTGAAGCTGGGGCACAGCCAAATCTTAAAGACAGCTATGGTACAACTGCACTGATATGTGCAGCAGTCAATGGGCATTTAGACTGCCTTGTTTTACTTCTAGAAGCAGGCGCCTTGCCAAATTTGCAGAACTATGCTAAAAAAACAGCACTTATGGAATCATCGAAAAATCGTGAAATAGAGTGCACTGAGTTGTTACTTAAATGGGGGTCATTGCCCGATTTGCAAGACAAACCAGATCAACGAACAGCACTGATGTACGCTGTATTGCGAGGCCACCCAGTTATGGCAGAGGCTTTACTACAGGCAGGGGCTGACCCTGGGATTACAGATCGCCAGGGCCTAACTGCATTCATGCATGCAGCAGAGAAGCGACATACAGACTGTGTTCTATTGCTATTGGCTCATGGCTCAGATGCAAACATTAGTGACAATAGTGAAAAACATTGTAAGGCAATTCATCATGCATTGGATCGGGCATTTAGTATATACGACCTTGAACTCATACAGATTCTAATCATCGCAGGGTGCTACATTAACACTGCTCAATTTTCAATTATTGTTCATAAACATTTTTATGATACACCTGCATTAACAAAAGACAGATTAATTCAATGGCTACAGAACTACCAGAGTGTGCCACGGTCTTTACAACATATGTGCAGAATAAAAATAAGACAAACAGTACATCCAAAGTATTTCAAAGGGAACATAGAGGATCTTCCATTGCCTGAGGTTATGAAAGACTACATCCAATTTGCAGAATTGGATGACTTTGAAACCTCAATCAATATACAGCCAAGCTAATACATGTAATATGAAATACAGGCCCGTAGCCAGGGGGGGGGGGGGGTTGCAGGCCCCTCTGGCCACTCAAGTGATTTTAGCCATATTTGGGCCAAAATTGTCAAATGTGAACCCCCCTGGACATTTTTGAAAACTGAACCCCCCTTGGCAAATCCTGGCTATGGGCCTGTACTGGGTTGATCCAAATTAAAACATCTCTGGACAATACACAACTTTTGTTTCAAATAATTGATGTAATGAACCACTTTGTAATCAAAAACCAAAAAGTGCAAGTTATAAATTATTGCTCTATGTCAACTATGAAAATCTTAATCTTAATTTCCTTGAGTCGTGCCCTGTAAGTCTATTGATAGTTTTCACAGACCCAGTTTACTTAGCTTGTTGGCTACCGGATTAACCTACACTTTTATGACCAACTCATTAAAATATGATTACATACTTAAATGACTTGCGCTTGCCCATAAAATAGTGGGTTAATCCGGTAGCTGACAGGCATTAGTTGCATTCGCAAATACAAGCTTCGATTGATCCCTCTATTTATTTACGTGAGCTTAGAGGGACTTAGCTTGGCATGAGGCTGAGGCAATCGAGGCAATCTTCACAAAGTTTTCTGAAAATATTTATTTACATATTTTTTTCAATTAAAACTGAAAATTTTATTCTTTTTAACTCTTGGCCCTGCTTTTTACTTCATGACTTTCACTTTGTCCCTGGCTCATTACTAAATTGTGCATGTTTTTCTTGGAATTCTTGTAGATTTAATCACATTTAGAAGCTTGATAGATAATAGTGATTTTTACCCATTTGCCCTCATTCTGCTTCTGTCAAGTTTTGACTTGAAATTAAGTGAAAGAAAAATATATAAAATACATGTACTACGTTTGTTCTTGAAAGACAATGAATCCAAAACTAATATAGTTTCCAGCACATGAGAAACATGACACAACTTATTCAAAAATTGTCCCTTTTTAACATGCAGCCTCTCTGTACATGTATGTTATGATCTTCCAAAAAGTGAACTGTTCACCTACCTCTGTATGCAGATTACAGCAAGCATTGTCATTGAAGATCTCACATACGCTGTCTGGTACCTAAAACATACCAAACATTATTAAACTATATTAAACAAAGGAGGAGTTAAAATGTATATCCATATTTTGATGAACCTTTAGGAGCAGAATAACATGTTGAATAAGCGATGGTGCCCAATTATCAACAGCTGTGGAAGAAGGAAGTTAATTTTGTTAGGGGGAGGGCTTGGTAAATAATGATATTTGATTTCATTTTGTTGATAATTAGACGGCATCCCTAATGCCGAAGTCACAATTGCTCCCGGCATATTGCACCTTCAACATCAATTTACCCAATTTTTTTTATTTTATGGGTAATTGTTCACCTTTTACATTTTTTAGAAAATTTATTGTTAAGCATTTACTTTTGATACTAAAGTCTCTTGACGATGGATCTAATTCAACTCAAGATTTAGCCCATTCAATCAAAACTTGATGACAAAAAAACTTATCTTTGTTGGAACAAGTACCGAGTTGACATATGTTACAGCTTATCTTTGTTGGAACAAGTACTGAGTTGACATGAGTTATAGCTTACCTTTCTTGGAACAAGTACTGAGTTGACATGAGTTATAGCTTACCTTTCTTGGTACAAGTACTGAGTTGACATGAGTTATAGCTTACCTTTGTTGGAACAAGTACTGAGTTGACATGAGTTATAGCTTACCTTTGTTGGAACAAGTACTGAGGTAGAAAGCAACTTACTTTTTCACCCATTGGAATACATGTAAAATTGACAAAGTTCAAATCATAATTTCTCAAATCCCAGCCCATCGAATCCTCGCATCCATTCAGATCATGTAGTCCTATTCAAAAACTTCCCGTTCGGTTATATGGTGAAAAAAATATCCCACGAACGAAAAAAGATTTTGCTACATTTGTAAGCGAGCATTGATTTCTGGGTCTGTAAAAAGCACGTAGGACCTGATTACCCCATTGATTTACTGAGACCGCCAAAAATATAATTCAATTTTTTGGTTCAAAATTATAATCTGTCAGCGGTCCCTGGCACACCTACTAGCTATTACCAAACATTAATTGTCAATACATGTACACATTTACGTGCCATACATCAACAAAGTAGCAAACTAGTGTTTTAACTACTAATTTTCCTATACCATGAACAAAACAAATCGCACGTGGGTTGTATTGACCCTGAGTTGACATGAGTTATAGCTTACCTTTGTTGGAACAAGTACTGAGTTGACATGAGTTATAGCTTACCTTTCTTGGAACAAGTACTGAGTTGACATGAGTTACAGCTTACCTTTCTTGGAACAAGTAATGAGTTAACATGAGTTATAGCTTACCTTTGTTGGAACAAGTACTGAGTTAACATGAGTTATAGCTTACCTTTGTTGGAACAAGTACTGAGTTGACATGAGTTATAGCTTACCTTTGTTGGAACAAGTACTGAGTTGACATGCGTTATAGCTTACCTTTGTTGGAACAAGTACTGAGTTGACATGCATTATAGCTTACCTTTGTTGGAACAAGTACTGAGTTGACATGCGTTATAGCTTACCTTTGTTGGAACAAGTACTGAGTTGACATGAGTTATAGCTTACCTTTGTTGGAACAAGTACTGAGTTGACATGTGTTACAGCTTACCTTTATTGGAACAAGTACTGAGTTAACATGAGTTATAGCTTACCTTTGTTGGAACAAGCACTGAGTTGACATGTGTTATAGATTACCTTTGTTGGAACAAGTACTGAGTTGACATGTGTTACAGCTTACCTTTATTGGAACAAGTACTGAGTTGACATGAGTTATAGCTTACCTTTGTTGGAACAAGTACTGAGTTGACATGAGTTATAGCTTACCTTTGTTGGAACAAGTACTGAGTTGACATGAGTTATAGCTTACCTTTGTTGGAACAAGTACTGAGTTAACATGAGTTATAGCTTACCTTTGTTGGAACAAGTACTGAGTTGACATGAGTTATAGCTTACCTTTCTTGGAACAAGTACTGAGTTGACATGAGTTATAGCTTACCTTTGTTGGAACAAGTACTTAGTTGACATGAGTTATAGCTTACCTTTCTTGGAACAAGTACTGAGTTGACATGAGTTATAGCTTACCTTTGTTGGAACAAGTACTTAGTTGACATGAGTTATAGCTTACCTTTCTTGGAACAAGTACTAAGTTGACATGAGTTATAGCTTACCTTTCTTGGAACAAGTACTGAGTTGACATGAGTTATAGCTTACCTTTGTTGGAACAAGTACTGAGTTGACATGAGTTATAGCTTACCTTTGTTGGAACAAGTACTGAGCTGACATGTGTTATAGCTTACCTTTGTTGGAACAAGTACTGAGCTGACATGTGTTATAGCTTACCTTTGTTGGAACAAGTACTGAGTTGACATGAGTTATAGGAATAAGTACTGAGTTGACATGTGTTATAGCTTACCTTTGATGGAACAAGTACTGAATTGATATGTGTTATAGCTTACCTTTGTTGGAACAAGTACTGAGCTGACATGTGTTATAGCTTACCTTTGTTGGAACAAGTACTGAGTTGACATGAGTTATATCTTACCTTTGTTGGAACAAGTACTGAGTTGACATGAATTATATCTTACCTTTGTTGGAACAAGTACTGAGTTGACATGAGTTATAGCTTACCTTTGTTGGAACAAGTACTGAGTTGACATGAGTTATAGCTTACCTTTGTTGGAACAAGTACTGAGTTGACATGAGTTATAGCTTACCTTTCTTGGAACAAGTACTGAGTTGACATGTGTTATAGCTTACCTTTGTTCGAACAAGTATTGAGTTGACATGAGTTATAGCTTACCTTTGTTGGAACAAGTACTGAGTTGACATGAGTTATAGCTAACCTTTGTTGGAACAAGTACTGAGTTGACATGAGTTATAGCTTACCTTTGTTGGAACAAGTACTGAGTTGACATGAGTTATAGCTAACCTTTGTTGGAACAAGTACTGAGTTGACATGTGTTATAGCTTACCTTTGTTGGAACAAGTACTGAGTTGACATGTGTTATAGCTTCATCAAAGTTTTCTTCATCTTCTGGAATATCTTCATCTTTACTTCTTATTCCTACAATAACATATAGTTTCAAAATGTCAGAATATAAAGAAAACACCAACTCCACGGAGTAGCAAATCCCACCAAACAAAACATGTTTTGATAAATAGCAGCCATAAAAAATGAACCGAATCCATCAACAGGTATTTGAGTTATTGTCCACACAAAAAGCAAACAGACGACATTCGTTCTATGGACAAATTATTGTTCTATAACAATAATTTAACAGCAACACAAGAGATAAAGAACATGCCTATAATGTTGTGGACCTTTAAAACCATTATTTAACTTAAAACATTGGATACATATTTAGAGATAATTCATGAAATTCATTCTCCTAAACTCACCTGTTTTTATAAGTTCTTTGAATTCCTTTTTTTCTTTGTAATTTTTGGGTGGATCACCGTTATGCTGGAAATATGAATGCACCAATTGAAAAGCTGGTTATTTATTAAAAAATCAATATTTTTATATAACTATTTCAAAGACTAATTTTTATGATTTCCTTTCCTTGAACTCGTGACCTGTGTTGTCTAGATACAGTACTAAACCTAACCTAAAACTGAAAAGAAGAATATCAACCTACCCTCTCTTTCCATATTTGTAGGTATTTGTATATGATGACTAGCCAAGGTGTATGCATGTGGTCCTTCTTGCTCATTTCATCAAGATTTAGGCTATCGCAGAAGTCAACTAGGGCAGGGAATGGATGGTCTAGCCTCAAATCTTCATGTGAGCTGTCCGGATGGGACTCTGTCACTAAACCAAAAAAAAAGTCTCATGTCATCCTTAGCTGACTTCAATAAGTGCATATCAATCATAGAGCATAGTATAATGAAGGTGGAGACAATGGCTTTCAGATGATTTGAACTTGACCATTCTTTGGCTATTCTTTTGGAGAAGTGATATTTTATATTGGATAACAGTTATCAATGGAAATATCCGTCAAATTTTGGTCATGTGGTAATTATCAAGTTGAAAATCTGACATCTATAAATGTTGAACTTTTTGTTTGACATGTCTGCGCAGAAAGAATAAATACCTAATGAACGAAAAAACATAGCATTAGACATAGGAGTGAAATTATCTGGGCACTAGAGGAAATGCTAAAGCGTATCCAAAAAGCAAAAAGCATTATTTTAGGCATTCAAGGATTTTATATTAGTCATACCTTGATCACTGTTATAAGTAGACAACAAATATACTGAAACATAAAACTCATTTTCCTAAACATGGATGGGAAAGAAATCCATAAAACAATGGGCTTTCAAGAGACCCTTTTAAATGACACAGATCATCAAGTAACCACATACATGTACTAAATTACTCAGGCCGGAGTAACTTCTCTGCATAAGAATGTTACCATTTCCAATAGCTGCAAATTGCATACCTGTATGTTCTTTGACAGCCAACCTCATATATCCAATCAGTCCATAGCTTCTTGTTATCAATAATGGTACTCCATTTTTCCATAGTAGGTCCGCCAATGTTAGGAGACCCCTTAAATGCAAAGAACACATTTTATATACCCTTGTCAGTAGTTTGGTTTTTCTTCTTCAAAAGAGAGCTTCATTTTCACTCATTGAGTTAGAGATAATTAATCCTTTGATCTAGCCTAACCCAATCTACAAAGACATAGCTAACATACTCCTCTGCCACCATTAGTTCAAATATGCCATCATTACACTGGACTAATCAAGAGTATATGATCAAAATCCAGCTACCCAATCAAATAGCAGTTGGTGAATGTAATACTGTACTTTGAAAAGTACATGGCATTTCTTTCATATTGAAACTCCCATTAGAGGCAGTGGCAGCTTTTTTGAGGTAATTTGGATCGCATAAGCATTAGAACATCCTCTTATTCAAAGTTTTACACTATAATTATAAAATGTTGATGTTGCCTTTTGGCAAAATCTACATCCATGACAACACACAATGCAAAAGAGTTATTAGATATTTTTTTGGAGGAGAGGTTCTTTGCTCGTAAGACATTAGGCTGTAAAATTTGGACCAAACCACATAACAGATATTTGCAATTATCCAAAATTATATTTCATCTGAAAATGGTTGTTATTTTACCCTTTGCATTCGTTTGACTTCACTTCTTAAAAGAGAGCTTCGTCTTCACTCTTTCAAACTAAAATAAACCTCTGAACTCACCGCGCCAATCAGTGTTCGTCGGCCAAATTTGACCGACGTTCTATATATGGTAATACCTTCTGATGTCATCGTTGAGCCCGGAATTGACCAATGACATGCGCATATTTAATAAGAACGCATTTGGCGTATGTTTCTTCAAGCTCGCTGATTGGTGGAAGAAAGGTCAGAGCGTAGGTCGAAAGTGATTTATTATCCAAACTGTCACCGGTACCCGTCGTGGGGGCGGGGCTATTAAACTGTAATATGGTCTCTACTAGGCAGAGTGTAGTTTAACTAGACTCTGCACGCAGGGTATTGTTATTTTGAATTCAGTTGTCATCTTGGAAATTCCTTTTTGAGCAGACTCCTACAAACTCTTAACCATATCTGAGAGCTGGCATTTGAGCTTTTAAAATTCTTTTCAGATATATCAGTCCCTATGACAACTTATTTTTCAGTGATATGAGTCACTATGACAACTTACTTTTCAGATATGTCAGTCACTATGACAATGCTGAATGTGTTGAAAAATGTGGGGTTGTTCTCAACTAGAACTTCTGGTTTCTGGAATAAGAAATTAATATCTGTTACTTCTGAAATAATACACTAAAAGTACATAATATACATATTAGAAGCTCACTCTGTTTCTGAATTTTTTGAGTATTTGTTTCTTTATAATGAAACTTCAAGATGGTAATCCTTTTCACAATTTATAAGATCATTTCATCAGTGGAACATTGTGAGGATATCACGATTTCTAGCCACTTGTGGACAATCTGGTCATAATGACCACTAGTGATGTCATAGAGCAAGCATACCTCATCCACAAAATCGCCACTGACATCTTCATTCAGTTCAAGCAACAACTCTGTGGCAACTTGGGCTCGACTCTAAAATACACAAGAATTACATATCAGCTGTTCTGTATCATCTCAAATATAACAACATGTAATGCATCCATGTTATGATATATATTTATATTTATATATATTTATTTAAAAACTTTGGTCTTAAAAGTGATTATTGTACACCATAGTGTCTCATATGCCGACACCGGCAGGGCCAGTGATTTTCTGTAGTTTTTAATAATATGTAATTTTATATATTGGCGTGACACTTAAATAAATAAATACATACATATATACCTGGTACAATTTCATTTTTCATTCAAATAAGGAAATTACATGTGGATTGTTCCTTGTGAATTAAAATGTGGAGACAATAATAAAAAAACAGGTTTGAATAAAAATATTCTGTATTCCATATTCCATGGGGTTTCTCCCAAACTTAATGTGGTATTATTCTCAAAAATTTAGCACATGGCCATTTTATTCCTTAGTTTAGCATTTTCAAATTAATTAAAAAGTGGAATTCTTACCTTTCCAAGACTGTCTTTGTCAAGGAAGAAACTAAAATAAAAAATAAGTAAATTTATTTACTTGTATAACTGATTTAATTAGTAAATGATTGTCCTATTTGTTTTATAATGGTTGGAAGGGGGTGTCCTAAATAACAACACAAACACAAATTTTAGCAAGTTACTTTAAAGTTTTCCTTTTTCTTATTTAGATGTATTTTGTATTCCTTACCAGTTGCCATAAGGCTTCTTATAGAATCTCAAGGAGCTCTATTTTAATATGGGATCATCCAAACATGGATCCATGTATGCTAGGGGTGCGATGCTCTCTTTAACTCTTAGAAGACATGTATTTATATTTCTTACTTGTTTCCAATATCTTGTCCCGTAACTTTGTTTCCATCAACAATGGTGAATGACCCCACTCCTGTCATAAAATGAGGAAATTACAGATAAATCAATGACTTACTCTCTGCATGCACTATAATCACTACACCTGTAAAATGTACATTGTCAAAATAGAAGGAGGAAGATTGTATGATTTTGCAAGAAAATTCAACAAGCCTTCAAGATTTTCTTTTTTGTTAAATTAATAACCATATGGTAAAATATGTTCAGATGCCTCCAATGGTTCACATTCTGGATTCTTTACTGCCAATTAAAATCACAAATCTAGAATATAGTTACAGAGATGAAAATTACCTGGCAGGATAAGATTCTTCAGGATTTCTGTCCCAGTTGCTGTAGCATTGACGAGGCATACTGTGGCTGTTTCAAGAGACTGTTGACCATGATCACCCCACAGCCTACAATAGAAATTTATTTATCAGTCGTATACTACATTGTACTGGCCTCGCTAAGAGCATGGGCTTTCAACAGAAAGCCCATGGTAAGAGCGAAAATCAACAATGAAGCTCAGTTGTATTTTGGCAAAAGGTCTATGGTAAATTTTTTAATGTTGAGTGTCCCCAGTACACAGCAACAAGCCTGTACTACTGGTAAAGAAGGGCGATGACAATGCGGTAGCACGGGGCGGTAGCCTGAGAGTAGTCTCTGTATTTCCCTGTGTATTTCAACATAAATGAGGTGAGACCCTATCTGTTGCAAGACTAACGCCTGGTGTAACCGTCACCATGTTATTCAGTGTTTTTAAGTAGCGCAAGGATGCTGCCATGACCGTGGTAATGTTATACCAGGCTTTCACGATGAGGGTGGCAGGCCTGTCAACTGTCCCGCAATTTGCGTATTTGTCACGCATTTGCTGAAGAATTTGAAGTCACGCCAGTTATTTTTGCGTGACAGAAAATGTCACGCAAATACGCATTTTACCTGGTAATTGTCAAGCAAAAATATTTCTGTAGAAAATTTTCTAAAAAAGATCGTCTACACAGCAAAAATACGAACGACGGGAAAAAACGTACGCATTTCGTTCGGACTTTTCACGCGAATTACGGATATGTCACGCATTCCGTTTGAAATTTGAGGCGAAAAATTTGAGGTGTTCAAATTTTGGCAAGATGTAATAAAATTTAAACCAAGGTGTTCAAAATTTGGATCAAGGTGTTCAGATTTGGACCAAGGTGTCCACATTTTGAGGGGAGGTGTTCAACATTTCCAAGTCACTCATGTTAGGTGTTCCCAAGTTGACAGGCCTGGGGTGGTAATGTAGAAATTTAGGCTTAGTCCTACTATGACAATTACATATAATGTATTGCAATGAGTAGTAAATATGTATGACATTAATGCCAGGAATATCCTTAACAATTTTAAGTGATCGTCATTACAATTAAACAGTTTAATACTATGATCATGGTGTTTAACTACCTTAATCATGTCAAAATCAAAATTACTACTATACAACATTAATATCACATTCGCTTATAAACCACAATAAAGGCTACGGTCGTGCCAGGCTTCCACGATAACACTTCCAGGGTCATGACAGGCCTTGCAATATAATACAGCATTGTCACGGTTATACCAGGCTGTCATGGTTATACTAGGCTTACACGATAACACTACCACGGTCATGGCAGGATCCTTGCACTACTTAAAAACACTGATTAACATGGCGACGGTTGTGGCAGGCATAAGTCTTGCAATAGATAGCATGTGCTGAGAGTAGTCTCTGTATTTCCCTGTGTATTTCAACATAAAGGAGGTACAGCGGCCAGACAGGGAGTTTCCTTTCAATATTATTAATAGCATATATATAATATCTACTGTCTTCTGATACTAAGAGTATTGATATATAGGGACATAAGTGTAGTTAATAAATCTCCCGGGGAAAAACTAAAATGTGAATATTGAAAAAGAAAGTCGATTTTAGATCGCAAAAATATAAGAACAAATTTAACATTAGAATAACGGGCTTCGAAGATTGGCATTTCATCAAATTGTACATACATATATATATTAACAAAAAGTGAGGTAATACCTGAGCTGACGGTCGTACTTCTTGTTCTTATCCATCTGTTTTGTTGACATTTTTCAAGCGACTTTTAGAAAAAATATCCTCCTCGACAGAAGAGCTCTTACTATTTCGTCCAGTGTGAAATCCGCATGCACTTACAAAATGGGAATAACAACAGATTTACTGTTTCATTTTGTTTTATCTCCGATTCATGTCTGAATGTGGTAACCCAAACGACTGTCATTTAATATAATTGTGTTCAAGTATACAAATACACCGTCTGGAGCTATACAGAGCATTTCAAAGGTGAGGATAATACATCTAGATTTTTTCAGTTTTTTGTTTTCCTCATTCATTTCAAAAGTCAAATCTAAAATCAATAGTCTATTCATTGAATAGGCCAGTTGAATTTTATCAGTAAATATCTTTTCAACATTTTTTACAGTTACAAAGGCCTTAGTTAGGGATTCTTTTCTTCATCCTAGGAAAGGGCCTAAATGTTAGTTTGTTTAGAATTGTTTTCATTTACTTCCTGAGAAAGCTATTTGGATTTTGATATAATAGCTTTCCCACGGAGCATTTGGACAGCTCAATGATTGTGACCTTTGAAATCGAATTAAGTCGATCAGCGGCTTACTTTTGGTCTCTAACTGTGTCTTACATCAGTATCATGGCGGTTTCTGCTCGGACATTTTCGTAAATCTCCGGAGGTTGTCCGAACCTTACTAATTTTCAAAATTCATTTCGTTCGTTGCGTATCTCGCACCTAGCAAACCGCAATATTGGAAATAGGTCTAAAAAACTTTCACTCGATGAACAATTTACAAGTCTTGATCGAAAAAGAAGTACTCCAGCGCTCCAATACTTACACGGATTGATGATACTGATGTAAGACACAGTAAGAGACCAAATGTAAGCCGCTGATCGACTTAATTCGATTTCAAAGGTCACTATTGATCAGCTGTTCACTTCTCCGTTTGAGAGCCATAAGTTTCAAAATCTTACATGGCTCTCGAAGTGAGTAAGTTTTCATGGCCTGAGTTCGTCGCTAACATGCTAAATATAAGAGTTAGCTGACGTTTGGGAGTCTGACTTACCTTCTAAAGGTTAGAACCCGAATCTTAATATATTGTATATTTCAGATAGTATAATGTGCAGCAAACCCGAGCCCTTTTTAATTTATTAATATAGGGAGTTTCAGCCATGTTAATCTTTCGAAAATAGCATGGCAGAGAAGCATCAAAATACAAGAGGCCACACATATGCAAGCCAAACTACAGGGTGTCCCAGAACTCATGAGAATTTTTTGAGGGAGATATAAGGCATGAATGATTTTCCTTCAAATTAAGTGCAATTAATAAACAAACATTGAGGAATAACTGACATGAATTTCAGGCACATATCTTTTATATTTCCGAATTTATTGACATTTGAATTCTACATCCCCACAAACCCTGGAGTAGTCAGAGAAATACAACAATTTACGTCACATTTTGATAATATTTACACATCTTCTCTACTCAAATGGCATTGTTTTCATTGAATTATTTCAGCGTTTCAGTACATTAGTTAATAGGATCATACACATTCAGCTAACGTATCTCTACAGATTTTTATAGCATATTATCTGCAGTTGATGTTGCCTATTCAGCTTCTCTTTATACACATTACCAAATCGTCCATTAGCCATTTCTGTAGGATCCTCTGAAACAACATGACTCAATTCTTCCTCTGTTTCAGTGACATGGCTCACTAATCTTTGTTTAAGGTCCCCAAAGAAATCAAAAGTCTAGTAGAGCAAAATCTGGCAAGTATATGGAGCTACAATATACTGTAACGTTTCAATAGAAAGTAAATTGGATGCACTACTGGCATGCATGTAGTGACTTATTCACTGGTGCATTGTCAATATGCAAGATCATATTGGCTAGCAAATGGGGACATTTCTTTCAGTCCCTCAGGAACATGTCATTATGATCTTTCAGCAAACTAAATGTACAATCTGTTGATGTGTTGGGTCTCTATGAAAGTTTATATATCGTTTTATCAAAGTGCATCATCAATATGAGAAAAATGCTGAACTAAGCTTGTACAAAAACGTTGGTTTTATAGTTGAGAATTTGTATAAAATTGTCAAAATGTGACATAAACTGTTGTATTTTCCCGTTAACTCTGGGGTTTGTGGCGATGTAGAATTCAAATGTCTATAAATTCGGAAATATAAAAGATATGTGCCTGAAATTCAGTTATTCCCCGAAGTGTGTTTAATATGTGTACCAAATTTGAGGAAAAATCACCCATGCCTTATATCTCCCTCAAAAAATTCTCATGAGTTCTGGGACACCCTGTACAAAACAAACCAAAATATAAAAAAGTTCAGCCATATATTCTAAATGTTTCTATTTTTTCATACCATACTGTTTCAATATGGTCCTTTAATTGCTTATTTTTTAGATTCAAAGTACTCAAATGAATCTGACTTTAGATACATTCTATGGCAAGTTGTCAAGGTAACTTTAAGCAAACATCACACTGATGATTCTAAATTCCTTCTCATAATTTGTGATTTCGTTAACATTGTTACATGTACCCTACCAACAACGAGACAAACATATAGTTTTTCACTGTCTTTCTCTTACCAAAAACGTAACAAACATGTAGTTTTGTCTTTCACTGGGTTATCTTGATGTGAAAGTGCCGAACTACCTTTAAATAGAATTGAATATTTAAACATGAGCATAGCCAAGTTTGGCCATGCCAATATTAATTTGCCTATTAATTAGTCCTCGGACCGGTAATGAAAAGTGGTGCCGATATTACCATATGTCATTACCGATATTTAGCAAGTATTTTGAAAAAAGCTAAAAAAAAGTTTTCCCCGGGTATATTTCGCCAAAAATCTCAAAGTACGCCATATGTACCACGTAATTTATCTGTAGAAACAGAAGAACCCACTCAGAATCATTTTAAACCACTAAACAATCCTGATTCTAACAGTTCATGTGATATAAACTCGTAAAATAAATACGTTTTCGTTCGTTGTATTATCACTTTATGCGCGGTGTTGCATATCCGTTGTAATAACAAGAACAGGCATAACAAAAAAGGTTAGTTATTTTTTCTGGTTTAATTCTGTTTATTTCACTTAGTAATATACACAAATCGGTTTCTTTACATACCAGTTTAGTTAAGTGAGAAAAGAAACTATAAAGATCATACTGATGAAGGAATTTGGCTTATTCCGCCCGAGAATCTAATTCAGCTGAATGCCATTTATTGCCGGTAAGAAGATTTTGATGCCGACATTAGGTCAAATTAGTACCGTTGTCGGTAATGCGGTATTACCTCTGACCACTACTATTAATCCAGGAAATTAGAAAATCAATTCCATACCAGTACATTTTTACAGATAACGTCATTTATAAGTTAGGTAAACCAATTTGGCCTGTAAGTGACATAATCCATCAAATATCAGCCAGGCAACCACTAAAATAACTTATGGTTACAGCATACCTTACCTTACTATAAGGTACGATTTTGCAGCATAAGAAAACACTGTTAGACATATTAGAACACAAGTTTCATTTTGGTAAAACACAACATAAAATGTCAGGTCTGTACTCAGAATGGTAAAAACTGCATGATTTTGAAAGAATTTTTGGCTAGGGGGGAGTTTCATTTGAACCCCCACGGGGTACAGGCCTGATATGACATTTATGCTTTCTTATAATCAATCCTCTCATTTTTCTGAGATGATGAATTATGCAAGTATAAGAAATCAATTCTATAAATAGTCTGCACTTTAAGATGAAAAATACTATACTAATTGTCATTCGTTTGTACTGCAAAAAACCCTCGGAGAAATGTTTTTGGCACTCTTAGGTAAATTAGAACCAGAAACAGAGCTTCTGAAACTAAAAATATAATGGTAAGGCTTTATCTTGATACCAGGACATATCTATCATAGAAGAGCATTAGAATTACAAAGAAATTACTGAATTATTAATTTGCTTACTAATAAAAAGTATTTTATTTCTAAACTAAGAGGATAAACTCAAAGCAGTCTCTACTAACAAAAATGATTGTTTTGTGTTAATGTCAGAATGACCTTTACTCCTGTAATATCTAACACTAATCAAATGCCTAGTGTTTTAGTTGATACTACAGTGTTTGTGAAACCAATACCAGTATGAACTCTGAACAGTCAAGTGGTTTTGGTTTTAGTTTCTTTATAGCAGGAGAGGTTAGTTTCACAACATGTAATGGATTTTTAGGAGGCCCTTCCATAAAGCATCTGTCTTTTGCATGACTATCTCAATATTTTTTAAACTTATCATTAACTTGATCGTATTTTTTTAATTTTTTGTCTTAAGCTCAAGAAAAATCTAGCAAATTCACGAGGGAATTGAACTTTACTCATAGGATGCAGAAATTTACTGATTTTCAGTAGAGAAATTACTTTTAACCTTCAACACTTGATTTTTAATGTTGATAGATTATCTTTTGAAATACTTAAAAATCCTTCAATATAAAATCGACAAAAATCCTTTAATGTGATTCTAGGCTGTCACTGCAAATCAACTATGAAATTACTCCACATGCGAATAAAATACTGTCATTTGTCAAGATTATGAGAGTCAGAAAAGATAAAAAGCTGTATTCTATTTAGAATTAACTATAGTAAATAGCCTTTATGTTGAAGTGGTAAAACCTCTTGAACGAAATATATTGAATTGTAAAGCATGTAGTGTATTTGAAAAGCTACTTTGTTGACATACTAAATGCAAACCTTTCTTATCAATGATCGGGAGTATATAAATGGCGCAGAACTATATTCTAATACAGTAAGTACAAACGTCCATCAAATATGTTTGTGACTCTTGGATGCTATTTTAGTACATATCATATGACTTTTATATCTCTTTTTTTATCATGTATTACAAATTTTACATGTCTACTGTTTGGATTGAAAAAGTTCTGAATTGTGAAAATATTGTATGGTAGGTTTCTAGGTGTGTACATTAATGAAATGACCTATATCTAGGCTCAGTGTACACCATCACCAAAAAACCTTAAGTCATCTGAAAATGTATCTTTCAGTATTTTTATAAGTCTCTGTGGTAGATGTCTGTATGTCTCATCCTTTCTCCAACTGGGCAGCTTTAGTAAGGTTTCAGTTGAACTTTGGTCTACCAGCTTCATAACATACTCAGTTAGTTCATCCTTGTTGAAGTCAACCACATCATTTTCCATTGTGTCAGGTATATGTTCAAGGTAGCCATGTTGGTAGAGGTTGTTCATAATACGTTTTGGTAAATCTGTTCTGTTCAAACATCTCCTTTTGTTGAGCTTGTCTTTCCATCCTTTGAAAGAGTTCTTAATCTCAAGCTCCATGATGTGTTTACGAACAATCAGCGATTCTTTATTGGGGAGTTCAACTTTCTCCTGAGCACCAATATTACATAGCATATACAGAATATCATCATTGAATGAACTTAATTTTCCGATGATATCATAGTTGATATGACAAGGAGCGCAGGAACTTGTCATTGGTCGCCAATGTTGGTCCATATTGTATAAAGGATTATCCATCATATTCTGATGCTCTGTAATGATAAATTGAAGAAATTCCTCAAATGTAATATTATGACCACATCTTTGTGAAGTCTTATCTGGACTGTGCCTCATCTGGGCAATGATTCTTCTACCATAGGCCCAATATGGAGGGTTGACAGTGACGAACTTATTGGAATACGCTGAGAAAAATCTACCCATTGGCTCCCTTGTAAAAATAGCTTTTGTGTATGTCCTTAATTTATCTACTGCATTTGCTGAACTGTTTAAATCACTTAACTTCTTAAATTTATAAGACTTCGAATCTTTAGTATTTGGTTTGCCTTCTTCTGACATCATGTAGATTACTTTCCTCAGAAAGGTGCTGCCAGCTTTGGGTATAATACAGATGAGGAGTTTGTGTTCTTCACAGATCAAAATATTCTTGAAAACTGTTTTCCGATAGTTGTCTGTCATCATAGATGGCTGTGTTTGGCTGCATTCGTTCATAAGATGCATTTTCCTTCTTTTCATCTCTACTGAATATGTATTCATGAATGAGCAAAGTTTCTTATATTGATCATGTTTGTTCTCATTCACTGCTTCAGTAACTGTATCAAAAGTGCCTTGAAGATCTTTTTTCATACTGATTGGGATATCATGCTCTTGTTTGTTGTGTTTTCCTCTTAGTTGTTCATGATGCTGTTCTTTTCTATCAAACTGTTCTTTTCCATGATGTAGTCCTTGGTATTTGGTCATACTAAGCTTTGGTCTCATAGCTTTTTGAACGGTAAGGTCAGTATTTCTTATTTCACTTGTTTGTGACAAATAAGAGCGTTGCTTTGTATTATATATCTTCCAGTTTATGTGTTCCACAATTACATGAAGCAATAGAATAAAACTGAAGATTAGAATGACAAATATTATTCTTATCCTCCTCATTTTTACATTCATTAATTTGATGGACCTGTCTTTTAATTTGGATTTAGTATTTTTACCCTCTTGTTGATAATAATTTGACCCTGGACTTTGACTCTCATCGATCCAAGTTCACATTCTGTCAGTCATATTGTTATTAAAATGAACATTTCTGTTTAAGATAATGTTTGATTTTAAATCCTGTCCAAATCTACCGTAACATTTTTCATATGATTATGAATTCAAACTAAATTCACGTTTAAATTTAAACTTTATGGCTCTAAAATGAAATACATAAAAAATCTGCTCTTAATGGTAACTAGTATTGTCTGGAGGGCTATGATTGCATCCTAACAATCATAAAATCGAAACTTGGAATTTGATGATTTTCATTACTATGTTTAATGTTCAGCAAGCTTTTATGAGAATGAGGGATTAATAAAAGTTAAAAGTTGAATTGTATGGTGTCGAAATGTATTTAATATATTACATGTGCATGGATATGCTAGTTTAAAATGTTGATTTAGTGCTACTTAACTCATTATAAAAATATTTTAAATCTCCCAAAGAACTTAAATGGTAAGATGTGTTGCATTATCATTATTTATGAGCTTTTTATTTAGTATTTATCATTAATTATTAATTTTTTAGACTGCACTCGAGATTCATGTTTGTAAACTCAAAGTGTGATGTTACGAGCCAAGAGGAGGACTACTGGTTCCATCTTTCCTCATGTATATGAAATCTCGAAAAATACAGAAGAGGTACATGTTTAGCTATAAGAACAATCTCATCATATAGGCCTATATTATACACTTATGACCGCAACAAATATATAATTGAGTAATTTTAAAAAATTAAGAATTTTTTCATCAACTTACATGCCATTATGTTTAATTTTATAATATTAACTATAAGCATTTTTAATGTCATGAAGAAATTCTTTTGATATCATAAAGGTAACTAATGTTGTATTTTTTTGAATTTCTGAAAACCAATTAACAATAAGGGATCAGACTTACTCGAGTCTCTAGCTTACAGCTAGACGAAACTTCATTGATTTCGTATGTACTGTGCTACACGCACCTACACGCACCTAGAACTAATTTTTAATAAATTTTATAAATATTTTTAAGAATATTAATCATATTTAGGATGAAGCGTTGCTTGTCTGGATTTAGATATTTCAAAATTTCATTTCGGAGTTTGACACATGGTGAAATTTTCTCTCTGTAGCTAAAAATGGCTTCCGGTTCTGGACGTGAATAACATTTGAAATTATTCTCGCTTAAAGAAATCAAATATAACAATAGATTCAGACGGGGATGTGAGCTGATGTTCTTCAAATCTATACATAAAGGTATATTTCATATTATTATGCCATATTTACTGTGCGTGTGACACAATGATTTACAATATTTATAATACTAAGGCAGCTCAATCTTCCTCCTCAAAGCCGGAATATAGAGAAGGCTTTGGACCGAAGTAAGATCAGACCATTATTTTATTCTTTTTTTCAAATTTGTTAATTATAAAAGTTTGTTTAAAACAGTAGCTTATAATAAATGAATCATGTTGATATGTTAGAATATATGATATATGTGTTATTCAGTGTTTTTATGTCGCCACCAAAAGTGGATGCATTTATTTTTAAAAATCTGCTTTGGGAATTGTTCTTTACTTCCAAAAGCATAGTGAAAATTTACATATTGACAACATTGGGTAAGAAGTCTTATAGCAAGTCGGTTTAAACATCTCAACAAGCCTTTAAAATAATTATTTTATATACATACACTTCATTACAATCATTAATCAATGAGGGAATTCTGTGAATTTCAGCAGTTGTTAAACAAAACATTTACATGACCTCAAATTTTTTCCCTCAAAAGGTCAAACAATAGAATAAGGAATATGTTCTCTGATGATATTTTCCTTATATCACTCATTTACAACACTATGGCAATCTCTTTATGGAATCATATTTTGAAAAACATTTGTAAGAAAGAAGACAACAATGTTTATTATGTAAGATAATAGCCAGGCAAGAACCAGGTGTCAGAAATACTGTTTATTCCAACAGTTTTTCTCAACTCAAGCGTAGAAATTTGTCGAAATTTGTCTTGCCTATTTTAGAACCTAGCTAGGGCCCTGTAATGTCTCCTACTCTGACATTCTTGCCATCTACATTCTTCACAATAGAGTCTGTGATTCCAAATGAAGAGATTCACATGATTGTAATTCATAATATACTGCATGTCTCCCCATTTGATATTATATTAGATAAAGCAATACACAAGCATCTGATTGTTTCATAACTTTTGAAGAGAACATTCTCTTAGATTATTAATGATCTTGAATTATTAATGAACCTAAAATCATAAACTCTGAATAATTATGGGACTGAAGTTCCTCCTCTATATAGACCATATACATGTAGTACAATGGTGCATTGTATTTGTTATATGGTTTCAAGTGGTGTGTCATTGTGTCACCTTTTGATAAAGCTTCAAATAATATTTCTCATGTCATATATTTTTTATGCTCTTAGATGGCCCATAGAAGTAATGAAGAAGATAAAATGCCTCATCTAATTGAGTGTACATCGGATGAGTCTGATGGGGAAACTCTCCCAAAGAGAGCCAGTAATATCAGTAAGTAACCTTTGTATATATTCATATATAATACAGGTTTTTCATTTAAAGATGGTAGTTTGCAAAATCTACCTGATGTTTTCGTCAAGTTCTCCCATTTTTGATGTCACTGTAATTTGATGATTACTCACTACAACTTTGGGACTTTTGAAATAGCTGATGAGGTACATTCATCCAAGTCATATCTGGAACATTTAGAAAAACTTGTGAAGCATGAGGGATGATCTTTGAAATATTGGTTAAAGTTAGTGGTTCGGACCAATTTTGGTTGGATGGCATTGGCAAAGCCCTAATACAAGTTTGCTATTTTACTTTTCATGTACATCTGTTTGTCACATCCAGTATGATTACCAGATTACCTCCTAATATGATACCCCTCAATGTAAACTCCATTGGCTGGTTACATGTGGCATCTAGCAGCATGATGTTATAGTGTATATATAATATATAAGCTATTATGAAATGAATATTAAAGCAAACTGTTATAAATCATGTCATGAAGTCAACTGATAAAACACCCTAAAGCAAATATTATGAACCATAAAAATACTAGAATGTGTCAAAAATTACAATTTGGCCATAAGGCAAGCCACAGGAGTAAAATACTGTACTCCCAGTATTTCTTGCATGCGATTAAATTTCGCGCTTTTCGCGATTGTGTCAAAATCGCGAAAAAAATAATCTTCTCGACATTGTCAATTCAATCCCGGGGATTTGTTAAAGATGTTAATTTAAGAGCAAAAAAGCCTCCAAAACTTAATGAAATATGTAGTTTGGATGTTCATTTATGTCTGTGGATTATATTTTATACCACAAACACTTTATAAATACCTGAAATTTGCAATAAAAGTGCCCCAAAACTGTTGTTTCGAAATTCCCATTTTTCCTGTATCGCGCTAGTCACGTGACCATTACGCGTAGCAGGCAATGTACAGATATTACAGTACATATAGTATGTTCAATATGGCAAACATCAGCGATTCTGATTCCCGGGTTCTGGGAAATGGCTATATAAATCGGCGAGAGGGTGTAATTTGAATGAAGACAATTTAAGGAGGGGAAATGTGTGCAAGTATGGCAGTAAGAGAGCAGATATGGGGACTTTAGACAAGAGAATCAACTAAAAATGTGAGCTCTGGAATGAAGATTGACTGAAGATTCCAGCGATCCTATTATCATACTCAGTTTGAATCTAGACGAGGAAAACAGATTATGAAAACAGGTTTTCTGCAAAGTTATCAAATTTAGAAAATATGGATCTTGTTTTTGAGTGGCTTAACAAGCATTTAGATACAAGACTTGGCGCTATCTCTTGTCAAATACATGCACTGGACTTGCAGTAAATTGGCCATTGCAAATTGCAAAATCAGATCGTCAAATTAATCGCTTCGTTTTTAAACCTACGCTTCATATCTCCTTCCAAAACTTTAGGATTCGATAGAGATAAGTTATAACTTGTACAGGAAAAAATGGCAGATCCTACCTTAATTTAGAATCGCTGATTTCTCTGGACAAATTCCGAGAAGAAATTGTTCAACATCGCGATCACCTCAGACAACATGTCGCGTGCGTGTCACTCTGAACTCACTCTGAACTCACGTGATAAAATACGGCATCTTGATTGGTTACTACTCGTGTTGTCATGACGCGAAAAGCAGTAGTAAACACTGAATATGTTAATGAACTGCCATATATGGAACAATTGTCTTTCTGATTGGCTAACTTTACACGCGTCCTAAATGAATATAGTAGTCGTAGTAAATGATTCATTGATAACTCTGAAAGTGGGCGTGACCAGCTTCATTTTGACACCAAATTCAAGATGTTTCAAATCAAAATGGCCTCGCAAGACGAGGTTGAAATATCAGCAATTTGATACTGATATGGTCTACGATAGATCAAAATTGCCTGCCCTGCGTCACATGTCACGTGAGCCTATATTTGTTGAAAAGTGAAAGAGATAGTGACACTTTTTAATCTTAAGTTTATACCAATATTACAAACAGATATCTATTTTTTCATTATATATTTATTTCTTCATTATACATACATTTGTTTTATACTACATTGATTTATTTTTGCTAAACCTTTGCTATTAGATCTTTAAATTTTTTATTACCTGGGATTCCATTGCATTTCGTGTTTTGTAAAATGTTACAGTCGAAATGTTGAGACATGCGCAGAGCTCTATTTAGTGATATTTTCATTTCAAATATGGCGGCCAATCCGATGTCTGACGACCCTTACAAAGAATCTAGGCAGTGTGCATTTTTACCTCCTGTGAAATAACAAGTGGAATTTAGTAGTTGTTCTGTGTTTTATTATCATTCTGCATCGTAATTCTATGTGATGTGGTGTTGAAATGTCAGCAGAAATACATATCCATACGATAATCGAGTGAATCAGATAACAGATTTTTCGAAAACCCGTCTCGTGCTAAGAGTGTAAAAACTTGTATTAACATGCTCAAAAGTGCCAATGTGCACATCAATGTCAAGCTAAATCAATGTTGTGTCTAAAACAGGTATCTGATCTACTCAAAACAGCTTGTGATTCACGTATACACGCTTAGCAAACACGGCGAAATGATCTGAATCTTGGAATTTCGTTCGAGAGCTAGTAATGTTTGCTCCGCTCTTCATCATAAGTGTTCATCAGACTTCACGCATGCTCATGACAAAAACCATCAACCAATAACGTTTATAAATCAATTTTGCGCATGCGCCTTACAACGGTAAAGAAATTCGTATTTAAAAACGAACCAATTTGAGATAACCCGATATCAGTCGGAGAAATCTGACGATCTACGAAACTCACTTCAAAAAATCAAATGCGGACTGACGTCGTATTCTACTATGTTTGGATCTAAGATTTTCAGTATAGATAAAGTCTTTTATGATCTTTCGAATGAGGTAAGTCTCTAGTTCGAAAGACAATCGTATCAACTTGAACAAAAGTTGAGTTTTGACAAAAAATTTTAACATGCGCAGAAGTCCCATTTTCGTTGTACCATATTGACTGGTTAGTCAAGTGTTTTTAGGCAATAAATGGGAAACTAAGTTATAATGTCTGTTACAGTGGCTTATTAGATCAAATAAAACCAAAAATTACGATGTAATAGAGGTGAAGGTGCAGCGTGTCATTGACCAAGATGACAGAGTAGTAAGTGTACATAGTGAAATAGTGTTGCGAAAACACCTTTCAAATGATGCAATTAATGGTTAAAAATATCTCCTATAGCCTCATATTTGAAGGCCACGGGTGGTTTAAAATTTAAAATTTTTAATATTAATTAAGGGTAGAAAAGCCAGAAATCATGTTTTAAAGCTACCTCAGATCACCACTTATTTCTAGATCTGAGATTGACCTTAATAGCTCTTAATATCTTTTGATAATTGTAATCAATAAGTCACCTGATGTGAACTCTGTAAAAATAAAGTTGTCAATCAAATCTGAAACAATATGAGAAAATGGAGTTTAGGTTCATCTCATGGTCATGATTTTATTATAGATTCTGAACTACTGAAGTTGTGTCTTAATTTTGAAAAATGATAAAATAAACACATGCTGAGGTTACTGTGACCCATTTGCAAAAAAATTAATGTTTAATTGACCCCAGGTTAATTGGATGTATGATAATTATATACATGTACAGTAGAACCTGCTAAGTGGAACATCTCCGTAAGTGGAACACCTCGCAAGTGGAACGCTTTTTCAAAGTCCCGTTCTAAAAACCCATTGACTCAATGTTAATTGAACCTCTGTAAGTGGAACACCTCCAAACTTGAACAGTGAACACCCCATATTGAAAAATTAACCTGCTAAGTGGAACAGTCAATTTCCCGTAAATTTCAGTATTGATACTTATGTAAACAAAATTAACCTCCTACAGTGATATCTGGGTATGAAAACAGGTAATAACGTGGTAATTAGCAAAATAGGATTTTAATGGATTACCATAAAGTAAATTGGATTAACCTCCTGTAGAGATCAACATGTGATGCTACCACTAATTAATTTGATAATTAGCAAATTAGAATTTCATAAGATTATCATTCAGTAAATTGGATTAAGAGATGGACATGTGATGCTCTTGCCTCTTACCTCTTGCCGTTTGTTTCATACTTAATAAGTAAGCTTAAGAATGTCAGTTAAAAAACAAATGAATTATTAGCATTAGGAGCAAGTCTTTAAAACTTAATTGCCTTATCTTAGTGTCTGAGACTGGCAGAATGAGGAGGATTGAGAATGTCAGATAACTTTTTGAGTAAAACAAATGGATAATTAAGGCTATATAGCTGCCCTGCAATGATCATTTTTGGCAGAATGAGGAGGATTAAGAATGTCAGATAACTTTTTGAGTAAAACAAATGGATAATTAAGGCTATATAGCTGCCCTGCAATGATCGGAGAATCTTATTTTCAGTGATACATATCAACTCTTTATTTAATCTTGTATGTTTGTTAAATCCCCGCGAACCCAAAACCTCTGTTAGTGGAACACCTCCTAAGTGGAACGCTTTTTGGCAGAACGGAAGGTGTTCCACTTACACAGGTTCTACTGTATTACCAAAATTTGCATTAATGTTATTGTATTATGTTGAGTTAACCATCTGGATGAGACATTGTAAAATGCATATCTTTGATTTATATACCACTTTGATTATAATCATAATGTGTCCAATACCAAATCGTGGTAGTCTTTGATTTTTTTTTTATTTGTTTATTTTATCCACCATTTCTGATGTGTTATACATTGATTTTTATATAAATTTTATATTAGATAGATTAACATATATACAGTTACACATGTACATTGGTAAACATATATACAATATGGTATTATGTGATGCCAGGCCCAGGGTCTGGTCTATTTATGTAAATTTTGTGAATATATACAGATATTTCTTTATACTGCTGTAAATTAAATACATCACAGGCTCCAAATATCCAGCCCAAAAGGATATCATTAGGGGTATCCTGTGATGTATTAACAACAGATTTAAGAATCCTTAGGATTGCATCCCTTTCCTCATAATGGCCAGGTCATCTGAGGATCATGTGACTCAGAGTTTCAGGTTCTAGGTTACATACTTTACATATATTTGACGTCTTACCATTTGTCCATTTGTTAACATTTACCATAATATTTCCCTCTCCAATAACCAATTTAATTACAGTTCTGCAACACTTTAAGACTCTTGGGTCTGATTTTGCAATATGCCACCATATAATGGGTTTAAAAATTGGGGAGATGAAAGAAAAACATTAAAAACATACATTGATACTTCTATGTTGGGATTCAGGACACCAGTCTCTTATATGAACACAACTCTATTAGAACACTTTTGTCAGTCCAAATTGTTATCTCCCTATGACTCGCATTAAAAATCGATGAAATGTGAATAACACCTGCGTCCTGCTAATCCGACCACTTTTGAAAGTCCCAGTGGCATCACAATTAGACAAGTTTTGCTGTATGCACTGTAACTGTACACTTGTATGTATGCCATATTTTTGTCATTTTTTAGGTGAAGGAATAGATATTTGGTTCAAACTTGCAAGAAAGGTTCGACAAAAGCATGAGGATGTTGCAAAGATTCATATGTTATCTTCGTTCATGTTTGGCGAGGTCTACCAGGATGATCTCTGGCTAGAGTGGGCCGAGCAGTGCAAGATTAGATCTCCAAATGCGTGAGTTGAATTGATATTCAAAAAATACCCCATATCAGATCCCATATTTGAGCCCATATCAGATCCATATTTGATCCCGTATGAGCCAATATCCTGTATCAGATCCTGTATCAGAACTATTCCCTGTGATTTCTTTCGATTTTTACATTTTTCATTCATCACAAATCAATTTGAACTTGTTTGGAATTCATATTTAAAGGAATTTATATAGAGGAATTCATATTGACATTTGGGCTAACACCCTCGGCCAATATGATATTTTCTTCGCATTAAATAACCACCATGTATTTTAAATTATTCTGTAATTTCAGGGATGATCGAGTTGATGAGTTGACAGATAAGCAACTTGAGATTATTGACCAGCTAATCAAAGCCATGGACCTGCTCAGTAAACAACTGGTAAGTTTTTTATAAGAATTATTGAACCCAAAAGGGCTGAAAATGAAATGTGAATGAAGACCTGATTGTACTTTTTTCTCTGTGATTTATATTTTTGTAAAATCTTTCCTCCTGAATTGATCACATCATCCGTCGAAGTTTATAATTGGTCAGACCATCCCTCTAATATTATAAATTGGTCAAACTCTCCATTTTTAGATTCATATTTCTAATGTTACAACTGCTAGAAATCCTTAAAAACATGTGCAGAGCCAAATTCTGTGAAATTTTGCAGTCATTTTTGCTCTTTTTTGTGTCCATTGGTTTTGCCTGTTGCTTCTCTGTCCATCCACTCCGACCCTTCTGAGATTTTCCCTCGATATTGTTTTGACTTTGTGTTCCTTTTGTTTTCAGAGCAACAAGTCATCCCTTAAGGAGGTAATGGACTGCATCCAAACATGCGTAAGCATGAAGATGTCCTTAGATGATATGCTGACACATATGGAAAAATCAAAGAAATTTTTCTCAGTTGCGTAAGTATACAGACACTCCATTGAATTGGTTCGAATCAGTAGATCAGATAGAACATTTATCTCTGTAGAAAATGAAGATTTTTATTTATCAGTAGAATGTGTTCATCATAGTATACACATATTTTGATTGCTGAATTCGGACTTTAAGCAACCTGAACTTGATTGGCTGGGAAACATGAAAATTTGTATGCCTGGGAATATGTCTTCTTTATTAATCACTCTGTAGAACTTCACATCTGAAGGTTGAATCAGAAAATCAACTTTTGAAGATAAAGTACAATATATAGTAAAACCTGTCTTAATGAACACCTCTCTCTAGTGAACACCTGTCCCTAGTGGACACCCTTGCTACGCACATAGTCCACTGACTTCTGTATAAATTACCCTCTCTCTAGTGAACACCTACCTACAGTGAACATTTTTTCTTGGCAAAAAAATGTTCACTATACACAAGTTTTACTGTATTCTGTGCCTGGGATATATGAAGAGGTAATCAGAGAATTAGATATTGTGTCAAATAACCTCAAACAGGTAAATCTTCTGTCGTCTTAAACTTAAGTTATTTAAAAATGTCAGTCCATGGGTGCAAATCTACTGATTTCTTTAAGGGCTGAGAATGGAGAATTTTGTCACATGTAAATATGTTTTTCAGATCTCAATTAGACCTGGCTGAAAAGAGACCTTCGCAAATGATAGTGATGCTGGCTGCTCTGCAATGTAAGTGTCACAATATTACATATTATTACAAATATTAAACAATAGATCTAATAAATGTGAGCATATGGCTTCTTATGTCATCACAAAAAGTGGTGACATGTTATTAAGGTCTCCAACTTTTTTGAGAACGTTGGTCGGCAGTTGGAGTTCAGCGTTTGGTGCCTGTAGCAAATTTAAAAAATGGCACATGGTGACATTTTGCTTGTTAATGCCTTGTTTATATGTGTTTCAGACACTGACAGTATTAAAAAGATGGTGCTTGAGGGGAAGAGTCTCCCTGATGAATATAAGCAAACTTGTAATGCTGATAAACATGTAGGTTCATTTCAATCATTTGCCTTTTCTGCTGATTTTTTCTGCTTCTATCTACCATTCAAATCAGAATAATCAAGAGTTTTTCCTAAATTTGTGGGTTTAAGATTATTTTTTCAAAATTTATATGTAGTATTTCTAAAAAATATGAACATGGTCATCTGGATCAATACTTATGTGACCCATTAACTTTGTGATCTTGTTTGTTTTTAGAATATGGAGGAGTTGAAGAAGAAAGGCAATGACGAGTTCCTGAATGGCAATTATAAACGGGCAATTACTCAGTATACAAAAGCTATAAATCAGAGGTAAGGGATATTGTCTTCTGTATACTGATGTGCAAGAATGTAAATAATTTTGCTTTGGTTTCAGACCCCCTCCTTAGTGATAATGTTGTAATTTGATTGACGAGATTTTAGACTGTACTGTACTTTACTATGCCGTTGTATAATCAATGAAAAATCGATTGTCATAAAAAAGTTACTCCTGACCTTCCCTCACATATGGAATTACAGTTTACACCAAGTTTTTCGAAATATATGTACAGTATATTATAGCTGTAAAAATGTACATTGTATTCCTTCCTTTCCAGCCATTTTAATCATGTGTTGTATAGTAACAGAGCCCAGGCTTACCTGAAAAGTAATGAACACCGCAAGGCATTATCCGACAGCAAACGCTCTATAGTCCTAGAACCCACGTGGACAAAGGGTCACCACAGGTATGTATCAAACTAACACTACCTCTCTACAGAATATTTTTAATTAGATAAAGTATTATGGTCTTTCGAATAGATGACGAGGCATTTCCATACAAATGAGGTAATTGATTATAAAAATGAGCCAAAATGAGTTAATTTGACAAACTTGTAAGAAAGTGTGTATGAGACAATAACAAAGCAACTAATTCGTAACTCAGTTTTGATCAAATAAGTTTGTAACCCCTATGATACATCTTATGCACCGTAAGTGATATTTATTACCCTTAGGTATGCACAGGCCCTGTTTGAGCTTGGTAAGAAGTCCGAGGCCCTTGCAGCCAACAAGAGAGGCCTGGATGTGTGTTCAAAGGGGGATAATAAGATGGTGGAGCTATTGGAACAACAGCGGAACACATTCTCAAACGGTATATATCTATAGCAGTATATGATCTTGAATACTTAGAGTAACAAGAAAAATAAAAGCCGCTGTTTATCTTTTTTAGTTCACAAATTGGGTTTGAAAATGTGTGTATCAGGTCTTCCTTTATCATATTTACCAAATTGAACCTCACCTTTTAGTATGGTTTTGATATTTTGAGTGTCATTAAAGCAAGTTATTTAACAACTTTTAATGTCCAACCCTTTACATGTTAACTCTAAATTCCTCAATTCACTTAATATATGATGTACAGATTTGTAGAATTTTGTTCAAATTTTAGGAAGGATTTCAACAGAAAAAAAGTCAAATGAACCCAAGTTTAAGTTTGGAAGTGTTAGCAATGGTTTCCCTAAATCTGATGAGTAAGTATTTAGTATCTACTTTAATAACTTCTGATTTTTAACTCATTTATGTTATCACTAAGAAGTAGTGATAGATTGCCATAGCAACTGTTTTAGTGTGACATTCATTTATTATTTGCATATTGCATATCCACAAGGATTTGGCTCATATTTGGATTTGCATATTCTAATTTCTTTTTTAAAATGCAAAATGCAAACTGAAGTATTGGGTATAATATTATGATATTTTAGAACCATATAGGTTAAATACATCCATGTTTTTCTACAGTATATCGAAGTATACATCAAAAACTTGTGTATAGTACTATATAGTCCATGGTTTATTTCTTAGGAGCGACAGTGATGTGCCTGAACTTGTGTCCTCAGACTCTGACAGTATGGATAGACTCACTGATGATGAAATGTCTCCTGTCAAAACAAAGAAAGAAGAAAAAACTAAAACACAGCCCAAGGCATGGAAATCTAGATCAGATAAAAAGGTATGGACTTTTGTCTTGTGTTGAAAAAATACTAGTACTGCTATTAACAAGAAAAAATTGATATTCTATTCTTAGATGTCATGAAAAAATTCAATAAGATAAAAAGTCAGGACGAATTTGTTGCATTCACAGATGAAACAAGAAGTCATGATTTTTTTTTTTTTCAAGTGGGTGAAAATGGATTTTCAGGTGGGTACAAGCCTGTTTTCAAAATCTCAGGTGGGTGCTGCACCTACTTGCTTTAATGCAGGGAAGATCACTGGATTGTGTTGATTAAAACATTTATTCTTTTGTAAGATTTGTAGGATTCTTGGTTGTCACTTCAGCACTACCAATACAAACCATATGATCAAATTTACGTCATTTGATTGGCCAGTGATTTAGTTTGACATTATTGAATGAAAGATGGCTCCAAAATTTTTGATTTTATGCTTTTAAAGCTGATCTCAACTATAAGACAGTCTGTAACCTTTGAAATTTTGAGTTTTGAAATATCTTTGCGATGAAACATTTTAAAAATCATTTTTTCTTCTTAGCGAGTGTTAAGGGATGTTAGGCTACAACAAAAGCTATTTATATGAATTTTTTAAAAAAAATACCCATCAAAAATTTTAGGAGGTATGAATGGGAAATAATAGGGAAGGAGGTTGAAGTTCACCATTTCATCCATACTCATTCAATTTTTCTCTTAGGCTTTGTGAAAAAGAATATGGGGGTCATTCATTGCTTTATACCTATTTATTTATCATATTAATCAATTTATTAATGGATGGGTTCTTTAGGATTTATAAAACCAGGGGATGTTAACCTTTACCTTCTTAAGTCCATACCCCAAAATCATTTATAGGGGACAGTGGGGGATGGGTTTACACAGCTTCAGATATCTTGGCTACATGCTTGCATATGAATTCCTCTGAAGGAAAATATGACAATATCTGTTACCATGGCAACAAATTATTAGACGTATAAGACATTCAGCATTTTGTAACATAAAGTCAATTCAAGGAGTAATGAGCTATTGTCTCCAGTTTAAGTTTCCATGATTTAAAATGTTTAACATTATTGAATATAATTTAAATATAAAAGTTATATGGTTAGAATTACAATTTGTCCCCTGAATCCGTTTTGATTCAAGTTAATGGGAACGTTCTGTATGCCCAAATGAGTCATCTGGTGGTGAAACTAAAAACTAATTAAAGGAATCTTGGAAATAATCTTGATTTATGTCATTGAATGTTCAAAATTCAGTCAAAGTGATATCATATTTGAAGTTGACATGTAAGATGATACCTTGAAATGTGGTTTAAAAAATTATTCATCAACTTAAACGTATTGATCAACTTTAATTTCATCAAAATTTAATTTTCTTTGAAAATGAGACTTCTAGGTCAGGTAGATTCATCATAGACTCCATGTTATAATATATCTTTTCCTGCGTTGGGCAGATCATTTTTTTTCTGGACATATTTTCATTTGTATAATTATCAGACACATAAGGGTCATATGAAAATTGATCTACTTAAACTGGTTAATATTCATATAAGTTTCTATCATATCTGCTATGTTATATGACCCAAATTAGCCACTTGGTGATGAAACTGGAAACTTCCTATTTGCATCTGGGTAATTACTATTGTAATGATGTACTATTCATTTTTATTTTTATGCTCTCATTGATGTTATCACAATTTTTCTTTATTATCTCAAGCTAAGCATATGCTGTTTAATTAACTAATGCGAGCTAAATAGTAGTCGAAGGAATTAATTTGTTCACACTGAGTTTATGATTCCATGGAGTATTGAGTAATTAAGTTCTATAAAGGGCAAATAAATAGAAAGGCAAATGCTTCCTGGGTTGCTGATAAATATCTCATTTTGCAAACAATACATAAGAGTATTTTGCTCGAAGATGTAGGAACCTCTCAGAAAACTATCAAGATAAAGTTTATTGCATTACGGATTGTTGAATTAGCAAAGATGTTTGACGTTTTTACAATTATATGCAGACTTCACATAATATATTATTTCATACTGGTAATTTTTGCAGTTCTTAGTAATAGTTCATGATTTTGCATTCGTGTTGAAACGAATTAAAAAGATTAATTAAAAGGCCAGAGAATGTGACATAAGGAAATTTGTCATTTGGGCTATGTTTTAATATAGAATTGGAAAGAATGGAATAAAAGCGGAAAAAAGAGGAAAAAGAGGAATATCGGAGACAAATGTGCTCAACACTAAATAATTTAGAAATGTGTCAGTTCTTTTGAATTATTTTTATTCTTAAAACAGTAAAGTTTTGACATTTATATACTTCCTATAAAGATGTATGGTTGACCATGTTTAAAATTTTAGATCCAAAATTAACAAGCTTAAAAATGACAAAATGAAAGTTAGAAACGCATGAAACTAGACTTACCATGAAAAGTAACACTCGCTTAATTCATAGAAACCATTTACTGAGTAATTTGATAAAGATAATTAGTAATACTCATTTACAAAACTCAGCCTGAGTCAGAAATTATCAGAATATTTTCATTAAGAAGATAAAGAGATCCACTTATTTTTTTATCAAGGCAAATCATGATTCAACTCCAGTATGATTTGAACTTGTTCAGACAGTGAGTCAATGTGTCAGTGTTTCAGTGTGTCAACAAGTTATTGTTCCACTGCATTTAGAATTAATCTCCTTTTCAGACTGAAACAGATGAAGCCCCGCCACCTCTGCTCACAGATTCCGATTCTGATGATGATCATGTGAGTAGAAAATATAATAGTGTTTAACACAACTTGTGCATCCTTCACATTAGCTCTACGGCAACCGTATGGGTCATATTAGCTCTACGGCAACGGTATGGGTCATATTACCTTTATGGCAATGGTATGGGTCATATTAGCTCTAAAGCAACTGTACATGTGGATGCTGGTTCCCAAAATCGAGAGAAATATGCAGCATAAACTATAGGGATAAGCAGTGCATTGTAGATTTTCTATATTGATTTTGTGAAGCTACGGTCGCCGTATGGTTACCGTTGATCAAATGTGACTGAGGTATTAGCCAGATCTGAAGGGGTTTAGTGAAATTTCATTGTGTCAGTTTTAGCCCCAACTTATATATTTTAAAGAAGGTTAAAAGCTCATTAGTTCATCATTGAGTATGAAATTTAAAGGGTTCCGAATATTTCATTCATACCTAGGTACTACGAGTAGGTACCTAGTTAATACTTTTTTAGAAGTCATTAATTTTGAAATCATCATAGTGAAGGTGAAAGTGCACAAAGGTAATATACGGCCAAGGAGTTATTGAATTAAACCATGTTGTGCATATTGTTGTGTAAATATAGTTACACTTATATCAAGTTACCACCCTCAGGCTCGATTCTAATTAAAATGTTGTATACCTGAGAACTTACTTCTTGTTCTGTAATGAATCTCGCATCTCTTTTGAAAAATACCCACAAAAACGCACTCCTGTGTCTTTAGTTTTTTCAATAGATTTTGCAAAATATGGTAGAAGAAAATCAAATTAATTTGAAATAATATCTAGATATTCCTTATAACTTTTATATGTTCAGTCAAATGTAATTAATTAGCAACTACCTCTGGTATTATCTATATTATAGTGTTTTTATAACTTTTAGTATTATTAACTGCAAATGTATGACGTCAATCATATGTGAATGACATGCCAGGTTCCATGACAAAGTTTGCAATCATACTATGCCCTTAGGTTGTCCTTTATATTTATTGTAGGCTCTAATCCTTCCAGAAAAAATGATAGAGTCGTTGGTGTCCTTAGATTATTCCGTTCGAGAGAATCTCCACAGTTTTTCCACTCATTATGTTTTTGCTTCATCTAGTTTACACATTTCATTCTCAGTCCATCCTTTTTGTTGCTATCATCAATCCATTTGTTAGATTGCTTATTTTGCGGGGATGTTACAATAACATGTTTTATGAGGATGTATTTTGATGATCATGGTTAATGCACATCTGAAATGTTAACCAGTTTTATTCTGTATTCAATCCATGGACGATAGGATTTTTCATAAAACAGATACAAGAACTGAACATGGAATTAATACTAAGCTTATCAAGAAGTGCATTTGAAAAGGTAAATCACTCTTTTGACCAATGAAATTTAGATGAAATGCATTTTTTCAAAATGATAAATACGTTGAAATGAAAAATAGAAGCTAGGAAAGATTAAAATCAAATCAATGTGCCATTATGGAATGATTTCTATGTCACCACCTAAAGTGGTGACATATTGTTCTGGTCACCAACCTTTTTACAGACAGTGTTTGGTAGTTGGCAGTTGATATTTGATGGTTGGTGTTTGGCAGTTGGTGTTTGACATCTGTAGCCAATGGCTCAGTGGTGAAATTTTGCATGTTAATGCTTTGTATTTAGTTTGAAGTTTATAGGGTTTATCATACATATTTGTATTATATAGTCTTTTCTGATGATGTTGCTAAAGTAAGCTCAACAGGTTTCAATTGAGGCCTTTGTTTTCTTCATTATTTTTTAAGGAATTAAAAGTGATAGAGAGGGTGAAATGATTGATGCAATCTTTTCAAAATCATTCCAGTGTTATCCTTCTAATCCTAATCATTTTAATTAATTAATAAATTAATGAAATTATTTTACAGGCATTTTATCTTATACCTAACATAACTGCTTATTCCAATATAACATGCAGGTATAATTACCATATCCAGGCATAAGTACCCTACTGGGAGGGAAACCTAGCCAATTGATGAATTTATTTATGTCTTATTGCATCTCCTTTCAATTTGTGCCTATACCTATACTAAATACAATGTGATGAACAATGGGAGTGATCATTTTCATCTGTCCAGATGTAAAAAGTGAAATAACAAGATTCCATTTGAAAATTATATTTTTATTTATTCTGGTAGTTGTTACAAAGATGTCATTTCTCACAACAGGCTAAATAAATGAAAAAAAACAACTGGCAAAATTAATGGGAATCATTAAATAATTTAAATTTGACATGGAAAAGTTGAAGTCCCTAAAATCAACAGGCGATTTTGTGAAAACAGTGGTGGAAATCGCCCCTTGCCTGCTGCTAATGAAACCCCTGCCTTGAGCTTAGACATGATACCTATTATATAGACAAGACACCATTAGAAGAATTTGCAATTCAAAACTTACCAGAAGATGACGTTTCATCATGTTAATTTAATACCTTGTTTTCCTACAGGGAAGACACAACAGGAAATTACCACCAAGGCAGGAAGCTGAGCTTATGAAAGGTATAGAAGAAAGAGAAAGCAAGCGACAAGCTGAGAAAAAGCGACTACAAGCTGAGAAAAGGTGTCAACAAGTAGATAGACTACTTTTGGAGCAGGAAAAACTGAAGAAGAAAGAAGCAGAATTAAAAAAGAGAAAGCAAGAAGAAGCTAAAAAGCGGACAAAGAAAGTGGAAGAAGAGAGATTACAGAAAAAAAGGGAAGAAGTATGTGTTGCTTAAATAATATTTCAAACTTTGCATAGGGCCTTTAAATGTTGATGATTCTTCTTGTTTGAGGGTTTATTGGAGTAAAGACTCCAGACAGCATATGACAATTATCAGTACAATCTTTGAAGCTAGAGTTCTGAAAGAGTAAAGCTAGATCTGTGGAGCATATCATTTGTCTAAGTATAACATTTGTCACGAAACGTTACGGTATTATAATATGTATCTAATGAGTGACAAATTGCAAAATTACTTTTTTTTCTTTATTCCTGTTAATACATTTAAATATACAAAACATAGACTGCCTTTAGAAAACATTGGTGGCAGAATTACTCAGTTACATGTTTTCTATATTTTGAGAAATCATCCCAAAAACAGTCAAATTGGGAAGTGTATCTTAATGAGTGAAAAATTGCCAGAATACTCAGCCACATACTTTCTATATTTTGAGAAGTCAAGTTGGGAGAATTTGATATCGCTTGTAGAATCTATAGTGCATATTATAGTGCTGGAAACAAGCATGTGAGAATATTAATAATATATAGTGTTTTCCTTGATGTAAAAGTAATATTGTTCTGCCTGTTTCAGGATGTAAAGCATGTACTAATAAGTTTCATTACATGACAATACAAGAAATAATGCTTATTATCCCAACAAATGGAGGGTTGTTGATAAGCCTTCGTTCTGTCCATTCGTCCATCCATATGTTTATTCATCTATTTTTACTATTACTTACGAGATATCATATTATGACTTAATCGTAGATACCAGTTGACTGTTGACTTGATTTATTTTATGATTAATTGTAAATTCTATAGGCTTATGCATTATGGGTATAGGACCTCTGTTATTAATATGGCAGAATGTATCTATGATACCTTAATTACAGGTTGATGGCTTTGGTTCTAAATTTATTATGTCACCACAAAAAATTGGTGACATATTGTAGTGGTCTCCATTTTTTTTCGGCGGTTGGTGATCAGCGGTTGACATCTGTAACAAATTCTTGCAACTTCCAATAACTGTTTAGACTGACTTCAAATTTTTCAAAATCATCTACAAGTTTTCAGAAGTTGACCTTCAATGACATTTTCAAGGTCAAAAAAGGTCAAAAAGGTACTTTTCAACTTGCTTCAAATTGACCAATTTTTTTTCAAAATCATCTTCAAGTTATCAGAAGTTCAAATCTGACTCTAGATTTGAGATTTGACCTTCAATGACCTTCTCAAGGTCAAAAAGGTATTTTTCAACTTGTTTCAATTTGACCAATGTTTTGTCAAAATCATCTACAAGTTCTCAAAAGTTTAAATCTGACTATAGATTTTACCTTAAATGACATTCTCAAGGTCAAAAAAAGATTTTACCTTCAATGACCTTCTCAATGTCACCTTGATTTGAATTGACCAATTTTTTTCAAAATCATCTACAAGTTCTCAGAAATTCAAATCTGACTTAAAATTGAACTCATACTGTTGTGAGCAACTAGGTGGTGACATTTTGTCATGGTAATGCCTTGTATGCTCTTGCCCAAGAAATTCTTAAGATGGCCACTGATCTCAAATTTTATGAAAAAATATAATCTTTGATAACTTGAATATTGATTGATGGCATTGATTTTATATACAATTCAAAAGACATAATCCTAGGGGTAGATTTAGCCAAAATGAAACAATATCAGTGGTAGATTTAGCCAAAATGAAACAATATCAGTGGTAGATTTAGCCAAAATGAAACAATATCAGTGGTAGATTTAGCCAAAATGAAACAATATCAGTGGTAGATTTAGCCAAAATGAAACAATACTTGTCCCAGTTGTTTCTTTCATGAATGTTTCAAAATGGCAAGTGATGTAGTAAAATATGTTTTGTTTGATGGAATTTGCTACTCTGGGGAGTTTCTATTTTTGTTGTTGGTTTTTCAGCCACATCTTGTAATTATGTGTCTATGCTATAGTTACCTGTGTTCATGTATTAAGAAATGTAATAACTTATTATAAGTCAATCTTGCCTTACTCTGTGCTGACCGCAGGTGGGACTATAGGCACACTGATTGAGAAAGTAGGTAGATCAGAGAATAATTAAACCTATACAGTTAACATATACATCCAATTCACAGTGAATGGTTCTCAGTGTTAATTGAGCTTATTTGGAAATACATAGAATGGTTTGACATTGAATGGTTCTAAGTATTGGTAGAGTTTATTGAGAAATACATTGAATTGATTGGATTGTTACTTCTTTTAGGAGTCAGATTTTGCATCATGGTGGCTACAGTTGGTCCCTTGCCACTTGTAGATAATGGGATTTTTGAATCTTATTTTGACCATAGTATTTTTGCACCAAAATAATTACATGAGGAGGTTAAATCAAGAAATGTATTGAATGGGAGATAATTTAAGATGGTATATTGCTTGACAAAAAAAAATACAAAAATGATATTTTGTTCATTTCCTTAAAATTATTTTACTGTTTGTTTCAGGAGGCGAGACGGGCAGCTGAGAAGTTAAGGAAGTTAATGACCCCAGATGACATTGATCGCGAGAAATTCAACAATATATTATGGCAGGGAAGTGAGGCCCTAATAGAGAAGAGATATCGTAATGCCATTCAATACTATCAGGAATGTCTGGAAAAAATTGAGAAAAGATCAGTCAAGGTAGGATTGCACTAGACGTGTTATTATCTCAACAAACGAAGGAATAATAGAGAATTCCTTTGTCTGTCCGTCCATCCATCCGTATGTCCTTACATCCGTACGTCTGTCCGGACGATAATTCAAATGCCGCTGGTCCGATTTTGTTCATATATTTAAAATACATGTGCCATATGTCAGTAGATGTTCTGCTCGAAAGTCAGTTTTCAAAATGGCAGCAGCTCATTTAAAAATGGTGCTTATTTAAGTGCCGATTTTACAGTAATATAGGTACAAATGTAAAACTGGAAAATGGCGGGCATTACACACTATTTTACGATTTTTGCTATAATTTGAAAAGTAGTGGTACAATTCTTTTTGTTATGTCCCCACCACATAGTGTGGGGCCATATTGTCGGCCTAGGCGCGTCCGTCCGTCTGTCCGTCTGTCTGTCTGTCCGTCCGTCTGTCTGTCCGTACGTCCGGCAGTTTTCTCCAAAACCGCTACTGATATCACCTTCAAATTTTCAGGGATAACTTATGAGTGCATACAGATGTGGATGAAAAAAAATTAACTCGATACCTACTTCCTGTCGGCCATTTTGAAGTCAAATGCTAAAATCCTTGTCTGCAAACTTTAAGAAAAACGGCTTCACAGTTGCTTTTAAAACTTTAATATCTTGTTCAGCTCACTTCATTCTAGATCTGATTAGGTTTTGGACCTGTTAGCTCAGTCATGTCAGCCATTTTGAATGTTTTAAGAAAAGTTAGCGCACGATAATACTTCTACGCATTTTCAGGTGAACTGTTTGGTAGATCAATTTCAAATTTTCAGGGATGATTCTCAGTATGAAAATCTAGATCTGATTAGATTTTGGGCATTCTGGGTAAATGTCAAGGCAGCCATTTTGGATTTTCCGTCCTAAAATCTTGTCTGTAAAGTCTTGTCTACGCATTTCCAGGTGAACCGTTTGGTAGATTAATTTGAAATTTTCAGGGATGATTCTCAGTATGAAAATCTAGATCTGATTAGTTTTTTGGCATTCTGGATAAATGTCAAGGCAGCCATTTTGGATTTTCCGTCTTAAAATCTTGCCCGTAAAGTCTTGTCTACGCGTTTTTAGGTGAACCGTTTGGTAGATCAATTTCAAATTTTCAGGGATGATTCTTAGTATGGAAATCTAGATCTGATTAGTTTTTGGGCATTCTGGATAAATGTCAAGGCAGCCATTTTGGATTTTCTGTCTTCAAATCTTGTCTGTAAAGTCTTGTTTACATGTTTTCTGGTTAACTGTGTGACGGATCAATTTCAAATTTTCAGGGGTGGTTCTTAGTATAATAATCTAGAACTGACTCATTTTTTGGCATTCTGGGTAAATTTTAAGGTAGCCATTTTGGATTTTCCGTCCTCAAATTGTGTCGGTAAAGTCTTGTCTACTCATTTTTAGGATAACCATTTGACGGGATCACCCATTGGTGGGGACATTTTGTACACATTTGTGTTCTTGTATTTGATATGCGATGACTTGATGTGAAGCATGGCACAGTCTTTTGACACTTAAGTTCTAATGTGGCCATTTATGTTTGATTATTTACTACATAACACGAAATGTATAGAGTGATTTTGTTCATATATGATGACTTATAAGCATGTCACATTGTTTAGGACACGTTGGCTGTTACATGGCCATTTTTAATTTGGCTGTCATTTTTACATGTTCTACTGCAATTCAAAATGTAATAGAGAGTAATTTTTTCATATTTCACATGTGACTTTATATAAGCATCGTACATGTTTATTGACAATTTTGCTAGAAAGTGGCCATTTTGAAAAATGTTTTGTTTCGTGAAAGTGCAGAACTACCTTAAACTAAACAACTAAGAAACAAATATACATGTGCATGATAACTTGACCCAGAGTCTAACATTATTGCCTTCTTTGTTTACAGTTCTACAAGCTTGAGGATGATCAATATCTTGTCCTGCTCTACAGTTATGGTGTGGCAAATGTGGACACAGGATCACAAGTGGTAAGATTCTATTAATACAATCAGGGGCCTGTTTCTTAAAAAATAATATCAAATTCCTGAAATTCAATTTTTTAATTTTTACATGAGAAATAGGAATTCTTCAAAGATTTTTGGTAGAACATGGATATTTTGTACAGTATTATTGTTTATAACAGTTCTATAATCAGAAGTTATACAAATACAAAAAAATAAAATTAATAAAAAAAAGAATTTATACAAATAGAGCAGTTACATGTCCCTTGTACTACTCTGGCATAGTTTTCAAAAACAGCGGCATTGTATAATTTATATATATATTATTTCTAATTTTGATCTATCTCACAGGAAATTTTGGAAGCAATTTCTAAATTTGAGCTGATTTTGAATCAGTACAAGCGCATCAAGTTTCCTCTGGCATACCTGGGACTTGGTAAAGCTATGATTAAACAAAACAGGTATGGCTTGCCAATAGTGATATATATCTTATATATGGCTAACAATAGAACTTATCACATATTGATCACCCACATTTTAGGAACACATGTTCATTCTGGTTTTACTCGCTTATTGTCTTGTACTTACATGAAATTAATTTCAATTTTCACCTAAGTAATGGTTTATGTTGAAAAGACTATCAGTCTATGTTATGCCTGCTTTGGACTATTTTGATATTTTTACATATTGTAGATTTAAATGTCCTCTTTTGAATATCCATAACTTAATTTGGGTGATATTTCTATATTTTTCATAAAAAAATTATTAGGGCAGTACACTTTTCTCTAAATTGAGACTTGTCTTTTATTTTTTTGAATCGGTCTACTGCATATTACGCCTGCTCCAGACAGTTTTGATATTTTTACATCTTGTAGATTTGAATGTCCTCTTTTGAATATTCATTCATTTAATTTGGGTGATATTTCTATATTTTTCATAAAAAGACTTGTCCTTTATTGAAACACATGCTGATCGTAATTCTTTTGAATTACAATGTATCACATCAGTGTATTGCATTGATGGCAGTAGATTTGTTAAAATAAATGTTCAAAAATTATTTTTATAGATACACAGATGCCTTGGTGCCCTTGAATAAAGGGATATTTGTAGTGAAAGATTCTGCATCATTTGGAGTGTACAACTGGCCTGGAACATTGACTTTTATAGATGACACTCTACCTGGTAAACTTAAGGTAACCTAATTATGCGTGGATTATCTATAATTTCAAGACTTTGAAGAACTAAATAAGTATTCTACTGTATATTATCTATAATTTCAAGACTTTGAAGAACTTAACAAGTATTCTATATTAGTAATTTAAACGCTGCTCAATCATTTACTTTTTAAGATAATATATATTGGATGGAACTAGGGATCTGAAGTTTTGCACCAAACAAAGAACATTACATAAGGTTTATAATCCAGCGTGTATTTGAAAAACATCCTGTATTTCCTATCAGAGTTACTTACAATGGTTGACTTTGACTGATTCTCTTTCTTTTTTTTAGATTGCATTTGAATGTGCCATGGAGACTTGTAAACACCCACCTAAACCTGATGCCATCTGTCGCTATAGTGATTGCCATGGCTACTACAAAGTCCAGATCTACTTTACTGATCCTGACTTCAAGGTAAAATATCTAAACCTGAAACAGGGAACTTTATGTGCAATAAGATCAGATTTTTTTATTAAGAATATTGTCTGCACCATAATAAGGGTTGAGAACATGTGACAGTTTTGATGTACATGTGTTAAACAGATGCCTTATAAATAATGTGCCATATTTGTGAAATCAAATATTTAATGTTTGATTTTCACAAGATTAGTAATTTCTTAGGCTTTCCTAAAAGTAATATTTTGTTTTATAATTTTGCAAAAAAACAAACTTAAACCTGAAATAAGGAAAGAAATTGTTTACTTTTCTGGGTTTGTTTACCTGTGAAAATGTCATTTTGATGATCATATGTGAATCAGTAATTTGTTGTATAATCTGTTGATGGATTTACTCAGGTCATTAGTTGCTTTAATTTATCTTGTTCAAATAAACAATCTCTACAGAATAAACAGTCATATAACCTCTAAATAATGATTATGTTTTGTTCCTCTAGGGTTTTGTACGTACATTATGTTACGCTAACTGTGCAGTGGATTTCCATCCCACATGCTGGAGAAAAGTGAAGTCTGCTGGGGGTGAAAAACTCTCTGACAAGGTACACAAGTTTAAATTGCCTCATGTCGTGTACCAAAGTCAACATAGGGGATACAAATCAGATCTGTTATTTATATTAGCCTGTATGAATTTTGATTTTATGTCAATCCAGAATATCTCCTATTCTCTCTGTTTTTAATGTCAAAACTCATATTTTGTGCATGCATTGAGGATTAAGTCTGCTATATAAACTCACTTTGTGAGCATAAGGGTCATGGGTCCTTAATAGGATAGTTTCTAAATAGCAGAAAAATCAATGAAATCTCGTGCTGCCATCTTTTATTCAGCTTTTAACTCTGGCTAGAGCTCCATTCACTTACATGCTAAAATCTTGGAAAAGTGGCTTAATTTCATGATTTATCAAAGTGTGTTTGTTGAATCTGTATAAAACTTGAATGATATACCACATGATGACCCTGTTTATGAACATGTTGTGATTAAACATGCTAATGTTGATTGACATACAAATAATCCACGGTTTTAAAGAATTTTAGCATTGCATCTATGGACATTTGGCCCAACTTTTTTTAAATTGTCATAGAAAATTATTCAAATTACATAACTGTGTAAATCAAAGCTATTTTAGGAGAAAACATTCCACTGAATTCAAATATACCATTTAAAAGAAGGTAATGTAAGTCATTAGAGGTCTAATATGCAAGTCTCTTAAAATCTCACGAAAAACGAGATTTAGCGAGATTTCAAAAGCTATATGGAAACTATACTATTGATAAAATATAAAAACCTATATAAAGTTGACACTGCTTGTTGTGTTCTCATTCAAACTTATTCACTTCAAAATGTCGTGATAACATCACTTTAGAGATCAGCTTTCGATACATGTTCTGTGGTATATGAGATCTATTGGAGATGAATATTTCTAGGACTACCTGAATTTGTCATGTTTCACACCTGACTGTCCAGCTGCTATATATAAGATACAAGTCTATGAGGATACTGGCGATGTCAAGAAAACATTTGAAGCCCCTCCACTTATACCAGAAAGAAAAATTATCAAACCACAGAAAAAGTTGCCTCCGTCAAGGTGAGAAAGGCTGTATTATTAAAGTTCAAATTATTGGTCAAATTATTAAAAGTGCAAATTTGAAAAATATTAAGAAAATTATGTAAATCATGAACTATTTTAATCTTATTGACCATTTTTGTAGCAGAATGTATCGCAAAAATTGCAATTGTCATATGTTTACAGAAAAGTTTTAAACTAGTTACCTGAACAGTGAATTAAAGACATGACTGTTTTGAATCAAAAGTAATTTATGCTTATTGGTGAATAGTAGTATGTAAAATATAGATTTGATTTAGTTTTGTTAAAACATAAGAAGTGATGTTTTGTGCTTCTTTCTAAATGGATGAGTTGAATGTAGATTTTTTTTATATGATTATAGATATTGGCTTTAAAGGAATATTCCTTGCCAAAGCATTTCTCTCCTCATATGGTAGCTATAACCATATGTATGCTTGCCATGTTTAGCAAAACACGCAAAAATGTTTTGATATGGTCAAATTTGATCACTTAGAAATGTGATGCTCAATTCCAGTAAGCTGCCATCTTTTAAAATTTCACACAGGAAGTGATGTCATCGACTCTCAACTTTGCATATAGCATTAGGTGAGGAGCTATAAAGAATTACAAAACCAGCTAAATATTCTTTTTCAACTTTGTATCTTATTTAATCCTTTTGAAAATCTCTTCTTTTATTCTAAGTTGACAAGTCCTGAAAATATTTTTGCACAGAAAGTAATGATCACATGTCTAGAAGTGATTTTGAGCTACTTTCCTATCTGTTATGGGCAAGGTTATAGAAGTTGAGAGTTGATGACATCACTTCCTGCAAGAAATCTTAAAAGATGGCAGCTCACTGGAAATAAGCACTAGATTTTTAAATGATCAATATTGACCATATTAAAACATTTTCCCATGTTTTGCTGAATATGGAAACTATATATATGATTATAGCTACCATATCAAGAGAGAAAGGGTCTGGCAAGGAATATTCCTTTAATGAAACACACATCTCTGCCCCCCCATTGTTGACAGCAGCTATGTAACTGAATACAATTTATTTATTTTCAGTCTTAAAGTTATTGAAAGAAGACGTGAGCGGAAAGAGACGAGAAAACGATTGAGAGCAGAGCAAGGAAAGAAATCTCACTCTATTATTGATGTTATTGATGACCTCAAAGATGGTGCAAATAGTGAAGCAACAAATACTGAAAACAAAGAGAATGACAAACCTAATGGTATGTCTTCAAGGAATAATTGATTTTTATCAAAAGTCAAATCACAAGTACTTTAAGTGAAATCAGCAAATCATTTGATTTGATTTTATTGTGTAATATGAATTTGGATGTAAATTGGAGTTAGTGTGAAATTTTATGAAATACTAATACTTTTTCCTTATTTTTCATGACTACATTTTGCTTGTTATGTCTTTTATGCAATTTGACTAGATTAGCAAATAGCTTGAATTTATGCTTATTGGTGAACAGTAGTAGGTAAAATATAGAGTTTTGTTAAAACATAAGAAGTGGTGTTTTGTGCTTCTTTCTAAGTGGATGAGTTGAATGCAGATTTTTTTATTATAGATATTGGTTTTAATGAAGCTGACACACTTCTGCCCCCCATTGTTGACAGCAACTATGTAACTGTGCTGAAGAAGGACGAAGAAGAGGAAGATCTGTTTAAGGTATGCAACTAGAAATTAATAACAAGGAATGGTGAAAGATAGAAAAAGGTTATTTAATGGGAGGTTTTTGATACAGGGTATTGGATTTACCGAGGGATATACCCTGTATCAAAAACTGAGCATTTAATAGTAGATTATGAGGGTTTATAGTCAAGTCCCTTGGCTCAGTATCTACTCTCTGAATTTGTGACGTCATAGATCTGATGAGCTGGTGATATATATATCACCCGCTCACTTCAGAAATCAATTATATTCTGCATGTTATTTACCTATAACACTACTAAGTATGGAATAAAGATTCTTATTCGTTAAATTTGAACTGTTGAATTTCGAGCATTTTTTACCCAATTGAGAGTGTTATACATGCTATTGCAAAGTTAAGAGAAATATTGCAGGCCGGGAATCTGGATAAACTGCAATTTAATTTTTCTTTAGGGTGTTAAGACAAAGTCTAAGAAGAAGAAAAAGGCTAAGACTCCAAGCGCAGTATCCCTTACAGGTTATTTCAGCCAAGGAAAGGGGCTTGAAGATTTAGAAGAAGACAAGTATGTTCACTTGCATTAAAGTCACTTTTGACTCCATAAAAAGTCATTTATACCCAGTTTATCTAAAGCAGGGTGTGTCATGAGAATATCAAGCCCAATGTTCAAATTGAGTTACAGACCAGTTGCAATTTTAATTTTCAATACATGTTCAAAGAAAAGGCATAGCATACGCAGATCAAAACTGGTATAGATTAATTGTGACATCATGGTATAATCAGCATCGTTAATGGAATAAGCTGTAATTTTGATTATTCTTCTATTACATATGGCAATCAGTATACAGAACTTTGTTTGTAAAATTGATATTTTAGGATTTTTGCGAGTTCAAGGTATTGGCAACTCCTGTTATCTGTTCATTCTATTTAATTCCAGTGGCGGAGCTGTGAATGTAAAATACTCAGAACTGGACAGTAAAAATCCATTTTCTGTCCCCGTACACCTTAAGCAAGATATTGCCAAGTTTGAGAGTGAATACAGACCCCCGACCACCGCTGAAGTATTACAGGCCAGGAACCTGGATAAACTTCCATCGGAAACAATCAATATTCAGGAGAATTTATTCTCGTGAGTAAAACAAGTGTTATGTAAAATGCTATTTTGATGGTAAATGGACAACTTAGACACAAGACAACTCAAATTCTGGATAACTTTGACCACTATTTGAAACAATCGATTTCATGTAATACATATGCAATATGTATAGTTTATTTGTATCATGATTTTATATATTGAATTTTTTACTCGAAAAGATACTGTGCCTCTTTTTTCAAAATTGTAAAGAAGTTGTCTGACATAATGTTTATCTTTTCCTACTGCAAGCCATAATAGAAGTATCAGCAAAGATGATTTCTACACTAAGGTGCAAGTACATCACCTTTGTCTTTTTAATAATAGGATGTATGGATAATTTATATGTGGGGATGTTTCACGACCTCACATATAAAATTTTATTCACTTTCAGTTAAGGCACCAAATTATGAATGATTGTACAAAGATTTCAAGTAATATTTGATACAAACAGTCATTTTATATCTCCAGGTTCTTTGCTGGTTACTTGAAGGAACATGGTCCCGTTGCTCTAGATGACATACAGCTACAACGTGAACTTGATCTGTTCCCTGCCGAGGCTTTGGAGCTTATTAAATCTACTGGTGGACTTGGACGATTTCTCAGGCAATCCCTCCAGTTTGCTCTCATGGACGATGTTGTGTGCCTTATGACTGACGCTGTTCATGCGAAAAAAATTGCAGAACAGCGTAAGCAAACATTACGACAGAGTCAACTTGGACTTGACAATTTCCCTGAGATGGGAAGCATATCAAATGCTAGTGTTAATGTGGCACGTCAGGCCTCACTTGGCCTGGAGAACTTTCCTGAGATAGGAAGTGCCCCTAATGCTGGTGCTAGTATTGCATTCACACAGCAAAGTGTTAATTCCCCTCGTGGTATCATGCCAACAAAACCAATACCACGGCGGGATAGCACAAGTAGCACATCAAGCAGTTTGAATTTTCCACCTTTCTCGGAGATATCTTCTGAACATAGTTCCAGATCAAACTCACCCGGAGCACCAATCTTACCTGATGGGAAACAACCACTTGGGAATACATCTAGGAATACCCCTGTGCGTAATCCAAGCCCAGGATTAGGGCCCATATCAAAACCCCCAGGCATTGTCAGTAACCCAAGCATTATAAACAATCCCTTGAGTGCCACTGTAAGTTATCTGAACAATGGTCGGAACACAAACAATGGTTTTAACCCAAATGTGAACTTTCAAATCAATGGTAGCAACCAGAACAATAGTCATAATATAAACAATGGTTTCAACTCAAACAGTGTGTATGATCAGAGCAGTGATGACAAACAAAAGAATGGAAATACAAATGTGAACAATTTCCCATCAGTGCATTCAAGTTTAGATTGGACTTCTAGTGATCTAGTTACGGAAAAAAAGACAAATACTGTAATGACGTTAGGTTCAATAGCAGATACTGTTGTGAAAACCTCAAATCTTGGGGAAGTATTGAATCCTCTACAGACACTGCCAAATGCAGAAATGACTAAATCTTTTTCTAAAAGTGCAGATCCAAAAACTAAATCCAATGATAAGAGTCCTGGTTTGGGCTCTGAAAATTTCAAAACTACTGATTTAAACCAACCTATAGGAGACATAGGGAAAAATATTACACCTCCTAATGTACCTGGTTTAATAGATCCAGAGACTCTATACTCTGCCGATCCCTTAGACATTCTAGGCCCAGATAGCAAAGGGAAAGGTCTGGAAATGACATATGACACTCCATCTGTTAATACTTCTAACAATAGCAATGGAAGCAACAAACCAACCAATGCAGACATTGACACTGTCAAAGCAAAATCTCCAAGCTTCGGTACATCTGATGAGAAAGATAAAGAGGCAGTTGTGGAGGACTTGCGGCGTCAGATTCAGATGAAACTGGCCGAGAATAAAGCCACCGACATTGACACTGTCAAAGCAAAATCCCCAAGCTTTGTTACACCTGATGAGAAAGATAAAGAGGCAGTTGTGGAAGATTTGCAGCGTCAGATTCAGATGAAACTAGCCGAGAATAAAGCCACAGAGGTTTGTGATGAGAAGATAAAAGAACCCGATCACCTAGGAAATGAAAGGAATAATGAGGGCACTCCAACTGTTAGTGAAGAGAATGCCACTAAACCTACTGACGCTAAAAGTGAAGAAATCACAAGTAACGAAATAGACAACAACATGAATAGTGAAATTGAACAAGACAAAACAATTGAAAAAACTCTAGAAAATGATTCTGATATTGAAACTATACATGCATGGAGTAAATTACCGGAGGTTAAATATACATTGGGTACTTTTGAAGATGAAATATCTCAACTAAAACAGAGCTTAATAGGAGGTAAACCTGAAATGTATGCGAGAACTTCAAACCTAGGTGTAGAATCATGCAAAGAACAAAAACAGGCCATGTCTGAGAACTGGGATACAATGAGCCCTAAAAGACTTGATGAGAAAATTGAGAGCCCTCCTGGGCATGAAAACAACAAAGACACTGCTTTGCAGTCTAGATTTACTCAGCAAAACTTTATGGAGCAATCTTCATATTCTTTGTTTGGAAATGCAGGATCAATGAACCAGTCAGGATTCAAAATGATGGACAAGTATGAAAGTATTGGTTCTAAATTAGATTCTGGATTTGGTGATTCTCAAGACTCATTTAAAGCAAATCTGTCACCTTTTGGAACTAGAATGAATTACAAAACGCCATCTATTGAAGGTAGTGAGAACTGGGACCATGAATCATTGTCAAGTTTAAGTTCCCGTAATTCATCCCATAGTGACATCAGATCTGTTTCTGCTATTGGAGTTATTGGTGACAAATCCTCTAGATTGAAGGCATCTGCTCTGGCAGAATCAGATCTTGGAACTCAAAAGGTAAACCTTGATCTGGAGGAGCCTGCTGTACAACTTGACGATGATCATGAATTTGCACGGGAGCAAACGGAGTTGATTATGAGAAATTTATCTGGTCACATAGCCTTTAATGACCCTTCTGTGTATAAACAAGTTTACAATGACATTCTTAAGGATTTAAAAAACCCATTATCCACAAAAACAAAATCTGAGGAATCTAAATTGAATAACCCTGAAACAATTGTGAAATCCCTCCCAGGTCCTGAATGCGACAAAGCTACTCAGGCAGCCCCCATTGTATGTAACAAAGCCTGTAATACTCTCATATATGAACCTTATAAACATGAATATTTGGAACTGTTGAGAGATCGCGAGAACATGGCTGGTCATTTACAGACCACTCTAGATAAGTATACCCAGTTACAGAATGCAACGGGTATGGAGATAAGAATGTTGAAGCAGTCTGTTGATGAACTACAATGCACCAAAGAGGTGAGTTCCTTTCAGATAAAATTGTCGCTAATATTTTTTTTATAAAACTTTGGCAATCAATTGCATGTCTATTATTGTTTACTAAAGGAATAAATTTATGTATAAAAAAAGAAGATAAAATTGTCTATTGAGCAAAGTTTACAAGATCGCCCAAAAATTGAAACATTCTACCTGCTGGTCAAAAGTTCTTCTTTAAGGATTTCGGGGCCTTTCTTTCATTTTAGACATGTATATTTGCAATCTTTATATTTGGAGTAACATAAAAGCCTTGTCATTCCATTGTGTTATTCCAAAAGTTACTCCCAAGTTGTAGTTGTAGTTGCGAAACAGATCCTCATTGTGGCAAATTATAATGGAAATTAGTCATTACAAATAGCCTAAAGCCACTTTACCTCATCTTGCTTATGATAAGTTGTCAATTCACATTACCAAAACAGTTCTTATGAGCTTATTGTTCCTCTTTACAACAATGGTTGCCATGGTTATAACATTGAATTATGTTATAACAATGTTACTTAATAAGTAGATATCCACAATGAAACCTGTCTATTTTTTCAACTTAAATAGCATATAAAATTCTCCATTTTAATTCAGCTTGATGATCTTTATATTGGTGCATAACACTTAAGTTGTCTCGAATATATAGTATAGTATGTATATATGACCCTAAGGGGCATATGTACCTATGTAGTGGACAATCAGTCTGTACACCCTCGTGTATGTTATACATGTAAAAAGTCAAAATGTAAACTCTTGAATATAAATTTTAGGAATTAGAAAGGGAGCTAAAGGACACAACTAAGTCACTTAAGGATGTAACAAAGAAGCATAAAGATGACAGGAAGGCCTTTAGTGATGAAGTACAAGCAGTTAGGACTGAAATCAAAGCACTTAAACCTCAACAATTGAAGTAAGAATTAAGTGTTTTATTTTAGGGAAGTGGGTCACATGGGTTTAAGCTACTTGTTTCCATTTGGACATCTTGTGATGACCCTCTTTCGCCTATTATTGCAGACTTTGATAATCATTTTTACATGTTTATTTTTTAAATATATAGAATGAAATGGTCATGAATCTTTCATGACAGTTAATTAATTACACCAATTTCCTTCAAACATTCATATATGTAGAGAACTATTATCTCCTATGGAAACTTTGGGCAAATTGTAACAAACAATTAACTATTCAATCAAGATAACATATAATAGACTTTTTGTCATGGTAACATACAATAAACTATTTAGGCAAGGTAACATACAATGAACTATTCAGGCAAGGTAACATACAATGAACTATTCAGTCAAGGTAACATACAATGAACTATGCAGGCAAGGTAACATACAATGAACTATTCAGTCAAGGTAACATACAACAATGAACTATTCAGTCAAGGTAACATTCAATGAACTATTCAGTCAAGGTAACATACGATGAACTTTCGGTCAAGGTACCATTAGATTACCTCTCCAGTCAACTTAAAATATAATAGACTTTTTTCAAGGTAACATGCAATGAACTATTCAGGCAAGGTAATATTCATTGAAATATTCAGGCGAGTTAAAATACAATGAACTATTCAGGCAAGGTAAAGTACAATGAACTCACTGTATATTCTAGGCTACAGAATGATATTGCTGCCAGAGACCAGGACATAAGTAAGTTAAAGGTTGAGTTGAGGGATGCAAAGGGTGTCCACCAGGCTGTCATGTCACAGTTGCAGGAAGAGAAACTTCTAGAATGTTCCAGAGCTGAACATGCTGAGGTTTGTATGACCTTTTTTTTCATTTGAGATATTAATTGTAGTTATTGTGAAATGTGAATGCTTTTTTTCGCACTCATCCAAGGGTTTGTTTAATACCCACAGGTTAGTATGTGTACCAAGGAAATTAAAAGACATGGGGCTTTGCAATGGTCCTCATTGTTCTATTGGTTGATAGAATAGTTTACGGTAAGAAGCTAAACACTAAATACAGAGAATTTATGAACGAGGCATTTTCTGGGTATTATGTTCATCTTTGACTCTTCCTCATTGTTTAAAATTTTAATTTATTGACTCATCTATTTCATCAGTGATTCATGATTGGTCTATGCAAAAATAATAGTCCTTTCTTTGAATTAAAGCACAGCTTAGAGTTTTAAAATATTTCAATATTTATGTGATAGGTGGAGGTGCTGCAGCTTAAGAGAAACATTAATATTGAGATGCATGACAGGAGCATCAAAGAGGCAGATACCAGACTATCACAGTTAGTCTCTATGCTGAAAAAGTAAGAGCTTAAGTTTTATGTATTTGCTTAATTATTTTACAAGATATTATGTAAGAAGGAAGGCCTTACGTTTAAATTATTAGCCTGTCAGTAAAAAGTGTGAACGATCTCTGAACAGATTTACAGTCATACTCTTCACGCATTTAGATAAGTAATGTCTGACTATGTAGCAGCATGTTCCTATAGCTTGTATATTTCATGTTTTAGGGTACAAGATTCTAACCAGCCTGTTCCGCCACCTTGGATGAAATTATTGACTGACTGGAAGGCCAGGGCAGATAATCTTAGGAGCACAAAGGACAACATTCTGGTAATGTTATAGCCACTGATTTTTGTGACAAGCACTCAACAGTTGATGGTTTTCGTCACATTCTTATAAAAGTCCACTTACAAGCAGATAGGGAATTTCTGAAATAGATAGTAAAAGATTATAGTGTACAAACAAATATAACTTAGCTTGCAAATGCTAATCAAACTACATACAGTACACATATACTTCAGTACACATAGTGTGTATATGTAGACTTACTTATGTATCAGAAAAATTTCTGTTGAATCCGATCATCTATTCATATTTTGATCAATTTCAATGTATTTCCAGGCAGTGTTTGATGAGCAGATTAAACTAGTTAAGTCTGGAAAAAACCTAGGCACACTCCCAGAATTGAACATACCCCCTCCACAACCTCCATCTGAATTCATGGTAAGTTCTTTTAGTGAATTTTAACCTCTTATGTCATTTTTTCATTAGCTTAATTTTTACTGACATAAGTTAATTCATTTGATTTTATTGAATCGAAACATATGCAGTGCATCTGTTTCAAAAGTTTAAGTGAGAAAATGTTCATTTCATTTATTTTTGTGTCTCATTTACTTTGGTAATGTACATAATATTATACATGTACAGTTAAATGGCAAATGTGTATGGCCAGTCTTCAAAGGCTTGTGGGAGACTATTTAAACTGAACATAATTACAGGATACCTTAGTCAGTTTTAAAAATGGAAAATAGACATTATAATTTGAATAGAATAACACAAATAGTGGGGTAAGTTCAGTTCCCTTGTCATCATTCCAGATGCGACCCCCTGTACCATTGACTGCCATGCCAGCTAGGAGGATGGGGCCTCCACTATCCATGCCATTGCGCCCCTCTGGTGCCACACCCTCTGGTATACAGATGCCCCCAGGAATTACTCTACCATCAAGTGCTTCCATGCCTTCAATGCATGGGCCCCCAAGTGGAAGTGTAACACCCCCACCCTATATATCCTTACCTCCAGGTGGTGTCATGGCACCGCCAAAATCAAGCTTTGAGAAAATCATGTTGAGGATTCAGTCCATGTTTCCTAAATATACAAGGTGAGCCTACAAATTGTCATTTATATAAACATTCTAAGAACTTCACCATATATTGGCAATGCTCCAATATGTTCAATATATTATTATTCACCTTAGATCAATGCAATGTTACAACATGCAAGTTGAACATTCTAGATTTAAATATGGGTACTTACTGGAAGGAATTTAGTATTGAATTTTATTCTGTGGATTAAAAGATCGCCTCTAGGATATAATCTGTTTATTCCACTGTTGTTTCTTTGGGACAATATTAATCTAATAATATTGAGTATTGTTTCATACCTTTTATAGGACAGAGATCACAAAATTCATTCAGGATGTCCGTGCGGCACGGAGTGGTTCACTCTCAGGGATGAGTCTTGATGACATCATCCAACATACCACAGAGCGTATCTTACAATGTCAAGTCACTAATCAACAGGTAATAACTATAATGTACACTATATTTTATATATGTAGCAATATGCACAGCTGTATCAAACATACAATGTTTCATGATAATATTATAACATTTATCATTTTCATGCCATCACAATGTAGTGGTGACATTGTTACAGTATTCATGTTTTGAGTTTGGATTTTTTGTCAGTGTTCTGCATCTGTAACACTTTTGTCATCCTAGTGGACAATCCTAGTAATAACATCAAAAATGTTTCACCCAAAAGGATCGATTGCTGTATTTCAGGGAGGTGCTGTTAAGTCCCCGCCACCAGTATTCACAATGACTAGAGACCCCCGGATGCCTGACCCCCCTTACCCCTCTCAAAGGAGCCGTGAAGCAACCCCTACCCAGGAGATATTCCATGAGGAAGAGGACCCATGTATAATTTGTCATGATGAGATGACCATACAGACATCCCTGCTGTTGCGCTGTGGACATAGATTTCACGAGAGTGTAAGTTTATTTATAAGTGAATCTGAAAGGAAATTACATATGGAATGAATTAGATGAATAAATACAATGTAAGTCTATTCCTTTCCAATAAATCCTAACTCCTTTTATAAACCAAAGAAATCCGGGTATATTGGCTAGATTAATGATGTCATCCTTTATAGGGAAGAATTTTTTTCAGCAAAATTGTAAGAATTTGCAAAAATTAGCAAAAAGTTAATACAATTTCTGCTCTGAAACTGTAAGAATGACGTCATGACCAATAGGTGACACGATATCCTATGATGCCTATATCTGCCCTGGTCTGCCATTTTATTTGACTTGAATTAGCCATCTGTATTTCAAGAATACTCACCATCTTTAAATGCTGTTGTTCATTTCAGTGTATTAAGACTTGGTTCAAAGAACAGAGCACCTGTCCTACATGTAGAGTACATGCGCTTCTACCTGAGGAATTCCCCTCTTTGCGATAGTGATTCCCTGGGGAATACTGTGTTGATGTACATAAAAGGAAATCACCAAGACGAATAGATGTTTATCTATTGATTAAAAGTGGACTCTCGAGAATAAAGGACTCAAAAGTTTTCCAATTTAAGAATGTTTTTTAATTTAGTTTTGAAGATTCTTAATCAGTTTTTAAGCCCATCAAATGATGTTATTTTGAAGAATTTTTACATAGCTGCCCACATTCGAAATGGCCACCAGTTTTTTGAAAAAAGTTTTTGTTATACGAGTCGACATGTTTAGTTCAGAGTTTACATGCTGATATGTCACCACCATATTTTTGTGATATGGAAACATTTAGTACTGCATTGGTTCTCCATGAAATGTTTAAAATGATGAATGATTTTTAATTGTTTTGTTTGGTGGGAGTCAGTTTTTCAAGTTGTGAGATCATTTTATTTTTTGTACATAGTGCTTTTGTGATTACCTTCAGTGATTAAAAAGAAATAAAGTTCTAAAGTAAAACCACTACTCAAAGTTTTTTGTTCATTGTTATCACAACTGTTTTGAATATATGACACAAGAATTATGACACTGTGATTGTATTAAATATTTATATGAGAGGAAGATGGGAGATGATAAGGAGGAAATCACAAGGAAACAAACACTGTTGTTAGCCTCTGCTTCCATAGACAGCCACATATCTTATTTTGCCTGGACACCTGTGTCACCAGCTTGATTTACATTCTCATTAGAAACTTATATACATTAAGGGGAGAAAGAGAGGAGTTGGAGACATGATTTGTTATTAACAGAACTAATTTGTGTACTTCCGTTTTCCCTTCATGTCAACCAAAGATTATTTAACTCAAGAGGTGAACAATTAATGTTTAACATAGAGTTTATATTTTAACTTTATACAAATATTTACATTTTAAGACATTCATCTTGAATTCATATTATTTACATCATGCAAAATATCTACAACAATTTGATGAACAAGACAACAATTTACATCATCCTGTTATCAATTTCCAAAATGGAAGTTTGAATACTAGTATTATGATTACTTTTCTCTTGAAGTATGTGTATGAATGACTAACTTTCTCATACTGTACATAACTGTACAAAACAAAACCTGAACCCATGGTTATAATAACTGGAGATGGTTATGGAGACATGTTGCAACACTACCATAATTTGAGTTTTAATATAAAGAAACTATGAGATAAATAACACAGTGAACAATATTCAATATAAAATAAGAAATACATAAAATAATATATTCAATATCAACTTAATCCAGATGGTTCACAACAGGGTGTGACATAAGGCCATAAGAAGTAGATTCTTTGTTTTGCATCCTGGCAAAATCCAAATCATGCAAGGGTACAAGGAAAACAAACACAAACTCAAGAAAAAACACAAACTTGTTTGCTGAGAAATGTATACATTTAATTGGCAAAAATGGGATGACATAGCAATTTGCAGTGATTACAAATACATATCTATACATTTTATACAATATATTTAAACATAGCTATTATTCAGGGCTATAGAATAAGTACAGAATGTATGCCAAAGTAATCAATAACACTGTCAATTTGACGCACGTCAAATAATCTGCCATTTCGTCTGATTCTGATTGAACAAAATGCGATGACATTAGCTTTCAGACCTTTGTAATTGCTATTTGGATGTGTTTGTTTTTCCTGATTTACTCAAAATCGTGCAAGCAAGGGGACGCAAAACAAAGAATCTACTTCTTATGGCCTAAGTGCTGGTCTGGAGTCCTATATAGGAAAATATTGGCAACTGGTCTTTAATTCATTTTGAGCTATAAGTCTACAACCCTTATGACACACCCTGTTCACTGACTTGTGCTGACTTGTGTTGTTTGAAGAATATTTTGGCTAGAATGTATAAAACGTGTGTGTATCTCAAATGTTTAATGTCTATGCCTTCTGGGATACTTGGACGTTTGTTTTTCTTTCCACTTGTGCTAAATATTTTTCTGGAATTCCTACACCTCTGCAAATACAAGAACAACAAAACATTAAATAACTGTTCAAATATGTCTTTAGATTTGATATGACCTCATTGTGCTTGTCTGTTTAACAAACTGTATGTGCTTATAATTTTGAAACTTTAGGTGAATTATGAGCTGTATTCAATATTTGTAGGGTTATTATTATAGCATTAGAATTCACAACAATGCTTAATAATATATTAAGAAAAATGGTAAAGATACAATGCGAAATGCATATACCTATACATGTACTTTAAATGAAATATGATGGGCTTGAGTTACGCTGTCAAAGTGACACCAGCCTTGCGTGCAACCTGAGACACATATTTATCTGGCACTCCTAATTTCCTGAAATATTGCAAAATCAGACATGAGATGTAAGAAAAACATCTACTAGATTTGATGATGCATATTATCATATGAATTATCAATGATAGGATTAAAAGTATATTAAACTCAGGTGAGTCAAAAAGTGCTAAGAGATGCTGTGAAATCACCCTCTCTCAAGGGTTGCATTATAATGTGCATTGTTCGGATATACTGTAGGTGTATTAATATATTATGGCAGACATCATAAAAATTGTGTGTTAGTAGAGATCATGAGTTAAGTCAATACCACATGTATAAAGCCTTCAGAACTAACCTTAATTCTCCCAATTTCTTCCTTTTAATTTCATCTAATTTTTGCCGCCTCATTCTGGCTTCTTCATCCAGTTTCACACCCTCCTCAAAGAATGCATTTCTTTCATGTATTTTCTGTTGTTCTTTCTCTCGAATTTGTGTGCGAACATCTTCAGCATGGTAATGTTGTTTAACAGCTCTAGTATCTTCCTCCCTCTTTTCCTTCTCTACTAGCTCCTTCTGGGCTCTGAAATAATTAAACAGTTTTACTTGTTTGTTTAGATGTTTTGTTACCTGATCTTAAATTGAAGCTCCACATTGGCTGAAGTGTGGTCATGAGGAATTAACGAAGCTTTTTTAGCCATAATAAGTCCGAAACCTCATTTGTTACAAAGTAATCATTTTACCATGTTGCATTGGAATTAGCTTCCTTTCATATGTAATGAAATGTAATGTACTGTAGCTTACTAATGGGGAAGACCAAAAAGTATTTGAAACACTTAAAAAAGGAACAATGAAAGATATAATTGGCTATGTGAAAATGAAGCCAAATACCCCAAACATAATCCGACATACAATGCAATGGTGTCCAATGCCACCTTCCCACCATGCAGAAAATATCATCACGATCCAACTTACTTGAGCACTCTTTCAAATTCTGCTCTCTCTCGCTGAGCCTGGACTGCAAGGAAGTGCTCCTTTTGTTCCATCTGGTTAGATCTAGCCACTTTCAACATGGCCTCTGTCTCAGCCTTAACTTGAGCCTCCTCAGCTTCTTTCTTACGCCATTCACGCTCAGCTTGTTCTTGAGCTCTCTTGGCACGTAGTGCATCACGTTCTGCTTGCTCATCTCGAGCACGTTCTTGGAGCGACCGTAATCGTGCAACTTCTCGTTCTTTTTCTATCCTAACTCTTTCCTGTTCACGCTCAAATGCAGCCTCTCGTTCCTAAAATTGAGATGGCACATAAATGTGAATGAGACATAACTTTGTTGTTTCATATTATGCAATGCTAATACAACAAGACGTAATGCAAAGTTCAGATATAACATCCCTAAATTATTTTGAGCTATATAGCTTTGTACTAGCTACTCTGTTCACACATTCAGTTTAATAAGAAGTGAAAAACTTACTGCTTTTTGTCTCTGGTATTCCAACACCTTTTGTTCAACCATTTTTTCTTGTTCTTTCTTGACTTCTCTTCGTCTAAGGATGTCATCATTTGCAGCATTTAGCTGCTCCCTCAGTTCAGTTTGTTCAGCTGCTTTCTTGTCAAGTTTTTGACGGTCTTCCTCCATTAGCCTTTCCAGATATTTCTGCATCTGGATATTTTCCTGATCTTTTCGCTCCAGTTCAAACAATCTAAAATAAACATTCTAACATGATATGTGATCTCACAATAACTAAAACAAATGATATAGTTATCTATGCTACTTGGGTATGTTTGACTCCTAAATTTCATATCAACTATTCAAGGATATATGCAGAGTAACTGTTTTCCAGTTTGTTTTTCATTTATCGCAGTAACAAAGACCTAGATTTTGTACCTGAAAGTGGTAGAAAATCCTGATTTCCCAGTTGTACAGGGTTTTGCTAAAATTACTTGAAAAATAATGAATGTACATGTAGTTTGAACATAAAGCAGAATATCAAAATTAACTTATCACATTTTGATAACATTGGGAAGAACTAAAATGTAAGCTAAAATCCTCAAAACTAATACATGGGGCCTTTAAAGATCCCCATATCCAAGGTTAACAATATTGAATGTCCATTAACATACCTCTCTTGCTCATTCTCAGCAATTTGTTCCAGTATTTTACAAGCCCCGATGAGTTGCTCCTCCTTTCTCTTCTTTTCAATTTCCTCTTGGACAACAATTGCATCTTGACGCTCAATTTCCATCATGGCATCCAGCCTCTGCTCCTCAGTGATCATCTCTCCTTTGATCTGTCCCTTCTCTAGGATCTGGGCATCACGGATTGCATGGCATTTTGCATTCAGGATAAGCTAGTGAAACAAATAAAAATAATACATCTTTATTGTTGTCAATTTCATGCAATTAATTGTGTCAGATATTCATTTTAATTAGTTCTTGTCTATGGTATTTTTTGTTTCTCTGAATAACAATGCAACAGTAACACTCACTGTGATTGTTTTTTAAATATGTAATTAACTATTTGTTTTCCAAGTACTTGTCACTTTGAAATTACCAACAATCTTTTTAACAAAATATCAAGTCTGTTGGATTGTCTGCCAGTGTAAAGATCATAGGGAATTCATCAGTGGATGATGGCAAATCATGCCTGTTTCGTCACCTACCTCATTGAGATGTTTGATTTCATCCTCTTGTTCTGATCTCATCTCATTGGCATGCTCAAGGAGATGTTGGGCTTTCTTACTAGCCTCTTCCTCAAGATCATTCAGTTTTTCATTCTTACGTCGTTGAAGATCCATTGTCTTCATCTTATTTTTCCTCTCAAGAGCATCCTCCTTTAAATAAAAAATCAAAACAATATTGTCACTTTATCCCATATGTGTGCTCATTAAAACAAAATACAATATAATAATTCAATGAAAACAAGACCATGTAAACAATTATTGATGCTGAATCATCCAAATCAATTTTTCAATGTTGAGGGTATTCTAAGAGACACATGATCCTGTCTGTTATTTATGACTTTTGAAACATACAGATACATTCATATCATTTTGTTTTGTTGAAATATTGCTATTATGTGTGAGCGTGGACACTTGGAGATATAGTATTTAACTGCTTCCACTAATTTTCTGTAAGTTTACCTGAGCTTGAGCTTTCTCTTGTTTCCTTCTTTCTTCCCTTTCAAGTAACTCTTCTTTGGATAAAACTCTAGATGCACTTTTTATTCTATAGAAGTCTCCTGTACTCAAAATGAGTGTCTGGCCTGAAGGATCCTCTTTTGGAACACTACAAATTAGACATAAAATTTGAAATTCAATACATTGATATTTAATTCAACAGCCTAAAATACATTTAAACACTAATAGACTATAGGGTTTGAATCCATTGTATAATGAGGCATTTTTCATGAAAAACGTTGCTACCTGGCTGCAATTACAAATGTGTAAAAACAATTTTTTCCAGATTCTGAATCCAAAATGATGGCCACAAAAATGGTTGCTATAACAATATGTCATCACTCCTTGGTGGTGATATAAAAAATATATGCACTCAGTTTCTGATATGTCTAATGATACTATGTGTAATTCAAATCAATGTACATATTTAAGTTATTTCAATTACAGTATACTTACATTAAATTTCTAATTAGATCTTTGGTAATAACTTGAACAGTTTCTTTGTTGTTCTTGCTCTTGCGATTTTTCTTTCTTTGTGCTGCTTGTCTTTCAATTATAACCTCATTTTTGTCTCTTAAAGGATCATTCCTTTGTTCTGTTGGTTTAGCTCCTCCAAATAAGCTTTCATCAATCTGTGATGTGTAGCTTACTGTTCTATATTGGCGTGTTTTTGCACGGCGAGACTGTGAGGAGCCTGCACTGTGACCAGAAGCATAACTGATTGCACTGCCAGGCTGAAAATAATGTTTCAATAAATTTAGATCTTATGGGATGATAAAAAATAACAACATATTAATCCATGGTTAATCATGAAATGACAACTTAGCACAAAGGTTTAAAACATTTCAAATTAGGTAGAAGGGATGAGTTTGAATCATTCAAGGTAAACATTTACAACATTTGCATCTGTAGAAGTAACAAATGAGTATTTATATGTGAATGCTGTGACAATAATTTACACAGGCCAAGGGTCCTTGTCACAAAATCTTAGTGTCTTCGTAATTCATTTCCAGGATGAATATTGAATATGCTACAAGTTAATCAGACTACTCTCATAAATGGGAGTGTGGGATGGCTACAAAATTCATTTTTGAAAAACACCAACATACTGGATAGGTACCCTCTCAAACCCAGGCCCATCCAGTATTCACCTTGGATCAGACTAAGGAACTGAATACAGGTAATCTAGGTTAGGGCCTAGAATAAATGTATAACTTGGTTAAACTTGGAATGATTAGACTACATATAGAATATGACGTATGGGCTACTCCATCATGGGGCTATTTCGACCAGCCTGGGGGCTTTTTTGACATTGGCGACAGCATACAATTTCAATCTATGCAGTCTGCTTTGAAAATTTTAAAAATAAATTGAAAGGTTAGTAGGCCATGTACATGTAGAAAAGGTCTAGATCTAAGTCAGTCATCTATGGTCTATGGTCTTATATCAGCATTTAAATTAGGCTAAATAATAGAGCTAGTAGTCCATAGCCCTGACCACACACCAATCTGGATCTACCTTACCAATTCAAAGGCTGGTCTTGAAGTACAAATAGGGAAGAGCCTCAGAACTAGGTTGGCTCCATGGATCTGATGCAACTTGAACTTGCCTGCATGCCCAAATTTTCTGGCTCTTCTTCTTCTTCTATTAAAGTACAGACTCCTCTTTAGGATATTTCGTACTATGTGTGCTTGCGTGCGGTGTATATACAATTGTAGTGTGAGTGTGCATTAAAATGTCTAAAATCGTTTTAAAATCGTCATCACTTAGTACGAAAGCATCACACTCCCTGCCTCCTTCTTAAAAATGTCCAGGGAATCGATCATGGTTACATTTGCTGGAAGAAGGTTCCATAGTCGTATGGTTGCAGGGAAAAATGAGTAAAGATGTAAATCTACTCTTGAGGATGGGACAAGGTAGCGTAGGTTGTGACCCCTGGTCACAGATCCTACTAGCTCAAGGTATGCCGCTGGTGGAATGGCTACCTTATGGTGGACTATCTTGTGAAGCATGACTACTCTTGTCAAATTACGTCTGTCTTGTAGTGGTGGCAGCTGCAGATTCCTCAGCATGGTGGTAGGGCTGCTGGTTTGTCTGTAATCTTGTGTTATAAATCTGGCTGCTCGTCGCTGTACTCCCTCCACCTGCCCGATTGCCTTCTTCGTGTAAGGGGACCATACGGAAGAGGCATATTCCAGCTGTGGTCTAACAAAGGTGGTATATGCTTGTTTCCTCACATTGCTGGGGCAGGAGCTAATGTTACGACGGAGGAAGCCCAGGGTGGAGTTGGCTTTCTTGGTGATGGCAGACACGTGAGGATTCCAAGATAAGGTGTTACTGATGTTTACACCTAAGTACTTAGCAGTGTCCACTGCACATAACGGTTGGTCATGGATGCAGTACTGATGTAAACGAGGTGATCTTTTCTTGGATATGTGTAGTACCTCACATTTGTCTGGGTTGAATCGCATCAACCAAGAATCCTCCCATCTTTGTAGAGTGTCCAGGTCTTGTTGGAGTCGCTTTGCATCCATCTCAGATTTCACTCTGCGATACATCAAGCAATCATCTGCAAAGAGGCGAGTGGTAGAAGTTACAGCCTCTGGCAGGTCATTGATGTATGCAAGGAATAACAGTGGTCCTAAAACAGTCCCTTGGGGCACTCCCGATGTTACTGGAGCTGATTTGGACTGTTCACCATCAAGGACAACACACTGTGTTCGATCTGTGAGGAAGTCTTTGATCCAAGCATGGGTTGATCCTGTAATGCCGTAGAACTGAAGTTTATGGAGCAGCCTTCTGTGTGGGACTTTATCAAAAGCCTTGGAGAAGTCAAGCAAGATTGCATCAGCTTGATCTCCGTTATTCAGTTCTCTTGCAAGGTCGTGGATGGTTACGATCAGCTGCGTTTCACAGGATCTCTCAGCCCGAAACCCATGTTGGAAGTTGGTGAGAATTTTGTTCGTTTCGAGGTGTTTCATTGTCTCGCTAAAGATGATGTGTTCAAGAACTTTACAGCATATTGATGTAAGTGAGACTGGCCTGTAATTAGATGCCAACGATCGATCACCCTTTTTGAAGAGGGCTACAATGTTAGCATCTTTCCAGACTTTTGGGATCTTGCCCTGATTAAGGGAAGCCTGGAAGATCAGGCTAATCGCTGGTGCAATCTCACTTGCTGTCATCTTCAGGAATTGTGCTGATATGTTGTCCGGTCCGGTGGCTTTGTGTGGTTTTAAGGTCTTAAGTTGTTTGAGCACACCATCAACATGAATACTGATATTCGGCATTCTAGGATGGGGAGAAGGGCCTTTGTTGGGAATGGCACCTTCTGGCTCATGAGTAAAAACTGACACAAATTGGTCATTGAGCACCTCTGCCTTGGCTTTACTTGAGCTGAATGTTGTGCCATCACGCTTCAAAGGGGCAACGCCTGAGTTGTCACATTTCTTGGACTTAATAAAGCTAAAGAAGCGTTTGTTACAACCGTCACCCACCAAGCCATCCAAATAGGTGTTATAGGCTATGATGAAATTGAAAATTTGACCAATATTTGAGCGAAAAAATAGATATGGAGACCATAAATGGATCACTGGACTGTTTCAATTACTTACCATGATCGTTTAAGGTATTGATTATCCTTATATATGTGTGTATTTTACTATTTTTGTAGAGAAATTTGTGAAATCAACGTCTTGGTTGTCAACTGCGCAGAACTCTATTTACCTGCCTGTTGTTATAGTGACCGCGCAGATGACGTCACTTTGCGACATTCGAAAAGAGCTGATTTACGGTAACTTGAACTTCCGGAAAAAAATATCTTCACATTTTTTCATTAAAACTGATGGTTTTACACTCATAATGACAACTATTACAAATAATTATCGCTTATACAAACTTCTTGGAAGATTATCTAGATGTGAGTAGTATTTTATAACGCTAAACGTTCACGATCTCCCACATGCTCATGATTAAATAATTTTTCATTTTTCGGGATTTTTCATTGCATTGCAGTGCACACAGTCAGAGAGTAAGGATGATTGGTTCCTGTCGTTCTATCTGATATTCTGCCATATATGAAGATTTCATGAATGCAAAATTATTTCCAAACAAATCAAAAACACACAAGTGATCACAGGTTATCTCGTTCCAAGACTATCTCTACGTTCTAGTCTTGCGGACGTCTTATTCTTTTGTCTTTACGATTACAACATGGGAGAATTTTCTACGCTACTTACACTTAAGATACCTATTTCAATAGATTCCTTGGTATTTTAGCATTCTTTTTGTGTAGTTGAATCATGGGCTTTCAACTAGAAGGGTATGCAACTCTATGTTATAACATGAGACCTTCAAAATGAGCAATGACATGTTTCCCTTTTATGGCAATATTTCAAAAAGTATTAGATAAATGTATATGTTTTGGTATTATTTTGAATAAAAATCAATTTTTAATATGATTTAAGCATAAAATATATTCAATATCATATAAAAGTAAACAAAAGAGACCAATAAGAATAAGAGTTATCAAGATGTTCTCTTTGAGTATTGCATTGTGGGTAATTATTCAAGAACACATTCCAATAAAAACATAATTTGTGGGAGAATGTTCACTTTCTGTATTGTCATAATTATGATGAATTCCAATTTTTATTAAATTATCAAGATGTATGTAGAAGATCACGTTTTTATTTTTGAGTTATTTCTTTTAATCATCAATAAAAAGTACAAAATGAGATTTTCTTGGAATGTTTATGTATGAAATATGGGAAGTTGCCTACCCTTCTAGTTGAAAGCCCATGGTTGAATCTACAATTGTGTGGGTTTATCGGCAGAACGAAGAGGTTTTCGTTTTTGATAGCAATATTTGCGTGTAATATTTAACTTATTTCAACCGTCAAATTCCTCCATTCAGTTCCCGGCATGCACCAGTCATAAGGGAAATCCCTGGGGAATTCCCCTTCCGACATTTTGAAAATTGCTGATATATTTCCGATGTAAAAACTAAAATCTCTTCGTTCTGCCGATAAACCCATACAATTGGCGATCTAACAACATAAAAAGAATTCTAAAATACTCTGGAATGTATCGAGGTAGGTCATTTAATAGTGCAATGCGTAGTTCATTCTACGACATTGTAGAAAGACAGGCTTACTAATAATACAGGCGTACGACCACAATCTAAAGGGGTCGTAGGATGCGATAAATCACAGGAACCTGTATCAACACCTGACAGTGACATCTATTGGTGACCAAACCCCAGAATGACCCTTTATCCCTTATAAGAGATATATTCCCAGGGTTCTGTCACCAATAGATGTCACTGTCAGGTGTTGATACAGGTTCCTGTGCAAGTAATCTAGATATTGGGTCGATTCTTTTGGACCATTGATTATGAATTTATAGTCAGTTAGGTACTGGTTCAACGAAAACATTTTTGAAAAAATTATAAGATTTGCACATGTCATTTTCTGCTACAAAATAAAGTATTATTGAAGACATGTGTATTTTTCCTTGATTTTTTTAAAAATAACATGTGCAGGTATAACAATTTTTTCAAAAAAGTTTTCCTTCCAACAGTACCTAACAGTAACAGACAAATTTCTCCAAAAATGTTTCAGAGACTCACAATTTAAGAATGACTTCCGTCTAATCTACTATGGGCCCATGAACCTAGAAGGTTAGGTGTGAGCTCATTGCATATTTTTCTTCCTTGCATGGTCATAGGTGCATAATTTCTCTTGCAGAATTTACCAGTTTAATTTGCAGAAAAATGTTCTATGTAAGATTAATTTTAAGTTCATAATAAACAATTGAACTGGTAGACCTACTGCTTTATTTTAGGCTGCATACAAACACAATCAAGAAATGTTACCAACTCAACAGCTAGGAAGAAAAGGGTGGATATATTTAACAAAGAGAAAGAAAGACAGTTGTCGCTGATTAGACGAATAGAAAAAATTCAAGTTGAACATAAAGGGCCACCAGAAGATTGTACACTCATTATGAACAAGGATCTTTCGACTCCATTCAATTGTGCAATGCGTAAGTAGAAAAATTGGATATGACATGATGGTCAGCCAGAAGGTAGTTGTAATACATGTGCATTAAAGGTGAAATGGATAACAAATTCTCTTACTAAATATTCACCCAGCTGATCCCCATTTGGTACCAAATACAGCATTCAGAAATGTAGTGACAGTGACCCAGAGGTAGAAAAAGTGATGTCACTGTCAGTGAAACACATCTGTAACAAATGCCAGGTGGTGACATTTTGCATGTTAATGCCTTATTTCATTACTCATAAATCATATTTGGTGTCCAAATATATCAGAAAATGTGACGAAACTATGGTCCTTACATTTGAATATGACAAATATAGAATTTTTGCCATTTAAAAAATGCCTAATTGCTACTGAGTGTTTGACTTCAGGCTAGTTAAAATAAGAAATTTTACTCTCAAAAATTCTGCTGAGAACACTGCTTTTTATTCGATCAGTTTTTAAATTGTTGTCCTATTTTCTTCATAGATATTCAGGAACTGCTAATGAACAGATCTGTGCTAGCATTAGTTAATGGCAAACCTTGGGACATGCATCGCCCCCTGGTGGAAGACTGTGAACTGACTTTCCTGCATGAGAAAGATGAGGACCCATATCTGGTTAATCAGGTAGCTATTGGGAAGCCATTTAATCAAAATAATCAGAATTTGTACATAATTTGATGATCATTTTGATTATTAAATGCATTAATGAGATGGGTACTATATTTTTACATTTTTATTTGGATATTTACACATTAAAATTGTGATGAAATGTTGAAATGACATTGACCCATTTTTTGTTTTTGAATTATTTTGTGAAAGTGGGGAATTACCTCAAAAGTTCATATTTACTCCAACTTCATCTGACATGGCCTATTTGCTTTGATTCCCTTTGCAGATCTCTCATCTATAAATATTTACTGTCCTATCCATAGTGTCAAAATTAAACTCTTTTTATTGAAAACATGATTCTGTAGAAGTGGTTCAAAATCAATTGTGTCAACAGTTCTGGGGAAACAAGGTGAATTTTGATAGGAAATAGAAGGTAATCGAAGATTTTTTCAGTGGAAAATAGCAGAAAATCAAAAAATGGTTTTACAGGGAAGGGATGTTGTATTTCAACTTTTTCCATGACTATCAACAATGGACACAATCCCTTAAGATATTTTCAACCAATCAAAGTTCTTAGTTTGATGTTTTATTGCAGGCAATATGGAGAAGCGGTTCCTTTATTCTTGGTCATATTTTAGAAACAGCCTTTAAAGATCAGCATTATGTGGAGTTATGTTGCTTCCCCCCTCCCAGTGGTGAGTACACATGTCCATACAATTACACTGTAAGAACACTCCAGTACTGCACTGCATGAAACTCATTGAATACTCACATTCACACAAATAAGACTGGCACAAGGCATATACTATTCTAGTAGTCACTGAAAGCTTACTTTTAAATAACTTGCATACAATAAACAGTCATAAACATACATTTTGCTTATAAACTCTAGGATGATTTATGTATTATCAAAATGTTATTTAAAGATTTTTAAAGATGAATAAATACCATTTAATCTTGAAGTTAAGGAAATACATAGAGGATAAATATTTTCTATTGCATTTGTAATACACGGTGACACAAAAAAATTGGGATTCACTATATCTTTGCATTGCTTATGTCATAAGGTCATAAGAAAGTTCATTTAAATTTATTTTGCAGTTAAAAGTGGCAGCTTTATATATGATGTGGATCTAAAAATGCCAAATTGGAAACCAACCAAGGTAAATATATTTACAGCCTAATAAATTAGTTTATAAAAATATATGGATTATGTTAATGAGGTGAACACTGAAAAAACAAAAGTGACAAGCTAGTAATAATATAATAACGATAATATGGATTGCAAAAAACAATTAAAGGTAATAAGCTCTCTAATCACAAGTAGATGAGGCATTTATTTATTAAGTTTTCTTGAGGGAACTTCATGTGACACATGAAAATTTCACAAGATCATGGTTTAGGGTATGTAGGAATTCATTGATGTTTGTTTGTGTAGAGTTATCACAGGAAATTAGTGAAATTAACAGCCTCTTTATTTCAATATTAACAATTAAGGTAACCCTGAATGGATAAAATAACAAACTCAATGATTCACTTCAAAAACTTGCAACGGTGTGTTTTTGTTGCAAAATTATAGTAAACTCAGGTCTTTTGATGTTATTGCATACCCTCCTCAAGATTGGGGTGTTAACTGAATGTTTGAATCATTAAAAGTCATGTATATTTTGACAAGATACATACATTGATACATGGTATACTTGACTGACATTAAATAAAAATATGATTACTAGAATAGTAGTTTATTATACATCCTCGCATATACAGTACATAACAGGCTGATAAAAAGAATGGCACCCTATATATTTGTTTCATTTTGCAAGAAGTATTTTCCATATACCATGTAAAATGGTATTATGTTTTGATTATTGTTGCACACATATAGAAAACTGGTATTAATGAAGTAAACACTACAATTGAACCAAAAACAGAAATAGATGACAGTGAAAATCTACTGTTTTCATAACTCATCAAAGAATCTGATAATACATAGCCAAAGGTTATTTGGAATGTCATTTTCGTTTTATTTAACCTTGAAGTGTCATTACCATTAATTTCACTCTAAATAACTAAAAATAGAGCTGTCAATCAAATCTTGAAATATATCAGGTCTAAAAGAAGTGATGTTTACTTATGAGTACATTCAAATATCTGCATTGTTGAGAATTGTATCAGTGTCTGCTTAATTTAAAACACATGTACACACATCTAAGTTACTGGTCCTATTTGCATTGTTCTCATGACATATGGCATTGAGCATTTTAAAATAGCACTCTAATAAATTATAGAGTAAATAGAAAACAACATACAGTTTAATTTTTCAATGAGTAGAAAGTAAAGAGTAGATTAAATGTGTAATCTAACAGTCTGTTCATATAGCAGAGTGGTAGATCATGCACCTGTTATTAACTGGGAAGTAATAGTATCATGGTATAAATTAGTTTTAATCAGATAAGTTCTCAAGAGCTGAAACCAAATTATAATCATTGTCAGAAGTTTTGAACTTATAGTGCAGAATTTTTTGAAACAGATTTCATAGAATTTTACTGTAAAATGATGTATTTCAAATATATACTGCCTACCTACATTGATGGTGGTAAACCAAAAATTTGAGGAAAAATAGATGTATCATTTGAATATGTGTGTTAAATAAATTCCATATTTTTCACGACAAAATTCTAATGGATTTTCATGCTGATGGTGTTAGTTTCTTTTGTCCAATCAAATCTGGTTTTCCAAAAATAATTTTTCTCATAACTTCCCCTAGTGTTGTATCAAGATGAGCTATTTCCATTGGGGATGTTGGTAAATAACCTTCACGTGCAGCTGGGTCCCGCCACCATACATGAATTGCGTAGTTATCAGTCCAGTTATAATGATATCTAAATAGTAACTTTGCATGTAGAAAATTTGGCTTAATGAGTGATTTCTGTTCTATGTGTACAAGGTGCGGATAAATTTTTGCTAGTTTGTTTGGAATTTCAACTGAATGTTTCCCCCATTCATTTGTGGTGTAGGTATGGTAACCCTCGAGAATGAGGCGGAGAAAAGGAGCACCCTTCTTAGCGAGTATTATTCCATTGGCTAATGTATACTCAGTCTCTTGACCCATTGTGACATCATATTTACGTAATGGGTCAAATGATTTCAGAACCAAAACATCTGTGTCAAGGTAGATGCCACCATGATCTGAAACATAATTTGTATCCAGTTTCATCAAAAATATTCATGTAAAGACAATTCGATATATTCTTATTCTTTGATGCATTAATTGTTGTTTTATTTCTTTTTGAGTTGGAATTAGTATAAATAAAATTTTAATGAGGTGACACATTTTAATCAAAGCATACAACCCATACCTTGGAGAATCATGAGGCGTAATATATCAGCAGAATGTTCCACATGTACTAGTTTCTTTCCATACACCCTCAATGGCTTTAGTGTATGGACAAAGCGTACACGCTTTGTGTTCCTTAAAACAAAATTCCACCATTTCCCAGAGGGCACAGTATCACCATGAAAAATAATCTCAAAGGGATTGATGAATCTGTATGCGCTGTAAACTGATAATGCATTGAGAAATTCAAAGTTTCGTTTCCCAAACCAGATATAGTGTACAACATTGGGTACGCTTGTAGGGTTCTCCCTTTCAATGTAAAAATGCCTTGAGCTAATGTCCCGTGAAAAGTTTATTTCAGTTTTGTCATTTTGAGTATTAGTGCCTTTGTTTGCACTGTTGTTACTTTGAGTGGCACTATTGTTACTCTGATTGGTACTATTTCTACTTTGACTGCTATTAATCCAAATTGCACCATCAGTGGTACAATTGTTCCTCAGGTTAGTACTGTTGTCTCTAAGATTGGTTCTGTTGTAATTCCAACTGGTACTTTTGTAGTTTTGATATGCTTGATCTCTATAATTGTTGAAACATTTTATCGAAATATCGCTCTTATCCCATAATATTTTTGTGGAATCATTCTTAAATAGTTGATCAATCCATAATGTCAGAACAATTCCAGAGAACGACAGAAATAAAAATACTTTTAGTTTCTGCATATTTCGTTTTTTAAGAAAAAGCAAAAGTGTTGAAAATTGCTTCTCATGTGTACTTTGTGATAGTTGCTAAGTTGCTGTTTGATTGTCTTGTCATTGACCCATTATAAATTTGACAAAACACACTGGTTTTTTGAAAGATGTAACATCAATTTTACCCTTGAAGAATTGAAGTGCATTATGTATCCTCCTCCTTCATTAACTAATAGCTCCTAGTAGATAAAGCTTAGGTACATTTCTATAACAATAAATGTGACATCAAAACCTTTCATTGTTTGTATCATCAATTAAAGTGTTACTAGTATTAGTAGATAATCTTTACAACCCTAAACCAATGATTTGCAACAAATATATTGATTTAGGTTGAAATTGACACCTTACAATGTACACATGAACCTAAAAGCTAGATTTTAGAGTGCAAAGTAAATACTTATTTAATTGATTTGTTAGATGACAAATAAAGGTGCTAATGGGGTGTGCTATAAAATATAAAAACACTTCAATACAGGGTTGAAAATGACATGTCCAGTGATAGACTGGGAAGACTACACCTCCACTGTAAGAGGTACACTGGGAAGATTGTATACCTCCACTGTAAGAGGTACACTGGGAAGATTGTATACCTCCACTGTAAGAGGTACACTGGGAAGATTGTAAACCTCCACTGTAAGAGGTACACTGGGAAGATTGTATACCTCCACTGTAAGAGGTACACTGGGAAGACTACACCTCCACTGTAAGAGGTACACTGGGAAGACTCTTTCTTCACTATAATCCTAAATTTTCAGTTTTACTAAGATTCCATGATGTGAGCAAAACTGACTCTGAGGTTAACTGTGAATGAAAAGTTGGTGAAATCTAAGTACGAAAATAGGTTACTAGGTAATTTGTATACCTCCACTGTTGACTGGGATTTCACTGTTTCACCAACTGATGGCACATAAATGTGATCATCTAGTGAAAATTAGAAATTTGGTACCTCATTTTCTTTTCACTAATTTCACTAATTTTTAGAGTCCTCAAAAAATAAAATTATGAAAAAATAAGTATTACAAGAGCTGGACAGTCGTGAATTTATTTTACGCTACGGATCATTTACAGTTTACATTTTTTAGAATGTTGATAATATTCTTGTCCTATAGATGGAGCTCAATGTACTATCAAGACTTGGAGGACGCTTGCAGTATGAAGATCTCAGATTTGAAAGGCTGGAAGTAGACGCATCAATCGCTCAGAAAATGTTCGAAGATAACAGGTAAAAAGTGAACATATTTGGCACAATGTTTACAATAACTAAATTATAATACAATAATGTTTATTATAATTTAAAAATAGGAAAACAGGTAAATTGTAGCATAAATTCTGCAATATGATTGATGCAATATGTAATTAAGTTAAAATTAAGTTTAATGAATTCTTCTAGTTATGACATTGTGACTTAATTCTAATAATTTTTTGGGTAGATTCAAAAAAGTCCAGGTGGAGCAGATTGCCGCAAAGTCAGACTCTGGTTCTTCCATTACGCTATATCGTATGGGGGATCATATAGACATGACAGGGGGCCCTCTCATAAGCCATACTGGTCAGATCAACAGGTTTGCAGTAACAGGGATACATGAGATTGAGAGTCCTGATTATGGAGCACTACAGAGGGTCCAAGGCATCATAATACCAGCTAATCTCAGTGTAAGATATGTTGAGGTTATACCTAGGGAATGATTGTACAATACTAGAATAGTAGGTGTTCTGAGGGAAGATATATCATCTTGAAGGATGAAGCTAGAATACAATTCCAATACGTGGAGCTTTTTTAAACCATGGTCACTACTATAATATTCTAAATAAACATTAAGGCACTGATAAAAGGATAAATAAAAATGTTTTATTTTTCTTTAATTTAAAAAAACATCACACAATTTCTTTCCTCACCTTGCTCTCTGATGACAAAACAAATGAATTTCCAGAAGATCTTGATGTAACCTCTGATAGATTATTTATCTAGATAAAAGTTACGTGAGTTTGTACTTTGTTCTATGTTGCAGATTCACTACTGGACATTTGAGTGGCTAGCAGAAAGAGCAGCACAGTTTGTAAGTATCTGTTAAGTCAGGGGCACCTTGAGATCAGATTCAATCAAATGCCCAGTGTGTACATATAGGTTACTTATTTGAAGAAATTGAGCATGTATGCTCTTAATAGGATAGGAAGAGCTCCATATTCAGTCCACACCATTAACTAAATGTAAAAACATAAAAGAAGATGAAGCATAGCATAATCCAAGGCATCCATCATTTTAATTTATTTGATTTTGAACATTTACTGCTCATACCTCTGATGCTTTCTGAAAAGGGTCTGAAAAAGACTTCCCTACATTTTTGCTTACAAAACAACCTTGAACAATCCAGCCACAAAATAAAATTCATAATATGTAGAATTAAATACAACTCATTAGAGACACCTAAATATTATTTGTGTGATTTCAGAATGCGGCAGGTATCCCTACCAAGACTGGTTATAACACATACAAGGCAAACAAAGAAGACAAAATACATGAGGATTTAGACTTGGGAGGATAACAGTATAAGATGTATATTAACAATGTATAATTATAAATGGAGGAATAAAGAGGATACAATAAAGGAGGATTAATAATTCACAATGAGGATTAACTATTTCTGAAGATTTTAAAATGTGATCTTGCAATCCAAGTGAGATATATCAATTTAAGAGCAGGCCAACATGCCAAAAATGGGAGATTCAGCATCCATCCTTTGAGCCTTGATCTTATAGAGATAAAAAATATGAATTTATCGATTCATTAGGCTCAAGATGTTGGTAAAAACTGTTTTAATTGTGATGTTAGACTGAAATAAATTAGATAAAAATAAATTTGGATTAGTCTATTTCTTAAAACTGTAATAGTCTTTATCCTTATTAACAGTTATATCTCAAGTAACTGGTTCCAAATGTTTGAAAATAATGAATTTGGTTTTACATTGAAACCAGGGATTCAATTCAAAAATGTACATATTCCGATGGTTAATATACTATACCTTTTCCCTAGCTTAAGTGAAAACGACATGCAAAATGTCATAATCTGTTGTTTGTTATTGATGTCGAATGCTGAACACTGTCCACAAAAAAGGTTGGAAGCTATAACAATATGATGGTGGTATAAAAAACTTTGCATTGATATTTAGCTTGCCCCTTTAAGTAAGAACAAACAAGTATTTTTTAGTGCACATCATTTATTTTACCAAGTTAAAGATTCTCGCAATCTTTATCCAATCAGCGTTTGCGAGTGTGTCGGCTCACGTATAAAAGGCGAATCCATCTCAAATCCATGCAGGGGTGTATGAGGTACTCGAATAGGAGAGCTCGTGAAATCTGAATTTATATGCACATGGTCAATGTTTACACATGTTTGGAGTTATTGAAGAAAATGTGATATGGGTGTGGTTCCGAATTTGAAGTCATTGCTGGAAAATATGATTTTAATACGTGAAATTATATCTATAAATACAGCACTAAAAATAACAGCACACATGAAGTACATGTATGATTGTGTCCAGAAATGTTTGAAACCCTTACAGAAAATTCTGTCTGCATTTTGTCACCATTGCTCTTTCTTCCCGCATTCTAGTGCTGTTTGAATGAATATATCAATAAATGTATTTCTAACTAAAATATATCACATTTTTTGTGAAACCACAAACATTTAGATCATAAAAAAATATTCAATACTTGAGTGAGCACGATATGCAAGGGTTACTAAGTTGACACAGTAAATGACCACTGATATTGTGTTAGCAAATATGTATTAGCAGAATACGCTGTGTGCATGGACTAACACCCCTCACTTTCATATTGAAGTGACTAATTGGTTTATGTTTACGTTTTAATGTGTTTTGGGTTCCTTGTTACAGCAAGGGGGGGGGGCAGTAAAGTAGACTAACATGTTTGCATGGCAAATTTTGATCGAATATGTGAGACACTTTAATATGGAAAAGCTTCAAACCTCAACTCGTAGTTATGAAGGTAAAGGTATACTGTTCAACCAGTTCACTTTCATCTAGATTCAATAAAAAATCCTTCTAGATCAAACACAATCGTAAATTTTGTTTTTGTTCTGTCAAAAATTGTCTGATCAATTGCTCCACATTTTCATTAGTTCTTCGGACTTGTTTTTCCATGTGTATTTTGAAGTCCTCTTTTACTCCTTTTTGTTGGCCTCTTGTGACTGTCCTTTGTCTGGAAATGAAAGATAAGATTGTGACTATTATCCTGCTTAGCTCTTCTCAGTTTACCATTGAATATACCCCATATACTATTCTTTCAATATCAAATGCAGTCAAGTGCTCAACATTGCTAAAAGAAAATGGAGATTCATATGAAGAGATCATTCCTTTATTTTTTTATTCTTGGCTCAACATGTAATAGAAAAATCATGAGTAAGAAAATGAAATGATTATGAAATTAGCTGTCGTGCATTATGTAAGAGGTTTAGTCTATCGAAAGATGGTGCTTATACTCACGGAATTGCTGTCTGCACATTAACAGGAAGTACATTCAAGTTCACCTTGCCGCCATCTTGGGTTTTCAGCCAAGTGAACTCTTCTAGCATATCAATATCTTGTTGCCAGTTAAGAAAAATACATTTTTATACAATTTCTATACAATTATATTAAGAAATTGCCAAGAAAGTACATTGTAAAAAGATTACCGTGGTTAATGAATAAACATTAACACCAAATGTAATAAAAATTCACTCTGATGTATGATAAATATATAATGTTTGACTGTGTTGTAGATCTGCTTGCCCCCAGTTTAGAAAAATAGTTTGCGATTATATTTTAAATTCAGTCATTCCTGAGTTACCCATGTCTGTAATTTATAATTCTTTCATATTTTCAATTTTTAGTTTTCAACTTTTTAAGTGGTGAACTATTATCTCAGACTTTTTGTGTAGATGGCATTTATTTTCTTCAATGCGGCATCTATAACAAATTATGGCATTTATTACAAATGGCAGGTGGTGACATTTTGCAGATAAATGCCTTGTTGTGTAAGATCCACCTGTCACACCCAAGTTAGAGTGACTTGTATAATGAGAGTATGTAACATAACAACTTGCATAAAAGTCATTAGCTTGGAGTTATTTCCATTACTCCAATACCTACTTTAATTTGTCCAATCTGAACACCTCTTCTTTATATACAATACACTGCTAATTTGCTAATATAAGAATGAATATGGAAACAGGAGTTCCGGATTTCAATCATAACATTTATTTTCACTGACTAATTGTTGTTTATTGTTTCAGGTATGCTAATCATCAATCACCAATTTCATTCACAAATTGCTTTAGAGACCTTCCAGATGACTTTAAAACTTTAACAATATACTAATCATGCCACCTATTGGTGATAAGCATGCCTTTCTTAGGGTTTCACAGGAGAAATAGGATTATCTTATTGCTTAAGGTTCATAAACTTCTTACAATGCTGTATAATTCAGTGGCTTGGCCAGGAAGAAAACGATGAGCCGAAAAATATTTCCAAACCTGTTTAAAAAAGCAATGAGGCAGTGAGCCTCATCCTGGCTTCACTACAGCATTTCCATTATTTAGATTAAAAAATGGTGGCTATGTAACTCAGACAGAAATACTTATGTACATTATGATGGCAATGGAAGAACACAATGATAAACCTTTACATGATGAGATTATGCACAATTGAATCAAAAATTCATGACAATTAATTTACAACTCAGCACTGATTGATCTAGACAAATTTTCTCAACGGATGTGAAAAAAGTGACGAGGCTTGCCTTGTCTGCCTCATCCTGTCTACGCTAGAGCAATTACTTTCTTTGACCTTGCAATATTTTCAATGTCTTCAGAATATACCAGCAATTCATGATTAGTTTAAAACAGGGAAAATGCTTTTGAATTGCCATTCATCAAATATCAATTGTAACCTTGCTTCAAGCCCTTGCAACCACTTCCCCCCATCCCAAGGGCTCCCAAGTAGATGGAGGGCCCAGGAGGGACTCCAGGCTTATGCAAGACTTATCAACAATTCAGCTTGATTATGTGCAATTTTCTTAGATGAAGAAATGAGAAGGATTTGATCTTACAGCACAAAGCCTATTTTACAGGAAGCGTGTTGTTTATTGTAACAACATATTAATAATTCAATGGCAAAAACATGAAAGGTGCCCCAGGGGATGAACAGTATAGCTTGAAGGTGAGTCAAAAGAAGAATGATAAACAAGAATGAACAATTATTTTGGTAAAATTTGTGGATTCTTGAATGTTAAATGATTTTTGGATGAATATTTGAGTTACAGATAAAAACATTGGGTTGGAGATAAGAGATACAGAGTAGACAAGATTGGAATGTTAGGCGGAACAACATGTACAGGGTGTTTCATAATGTCCATCACCCACCAACTGCCAGCCCCACATGTTATATATCATATGAAAGCTCATTCAATTCTGGACTTTATGAAGCAACTTTGATAAAGATCAACAGTTTTTCTAGGATTGCATGTGGATTTGGAAACAGCCGTTATAAAACACCTCTTTTTAATTCTGTAATCCAAAGGAAAAAGAAGAACACCTTGTACATTTTGGTTTTGTAACCACTTACATATCAATATTACCTAATATATAATTACTAAATGCATCATCAAAACTAATTTGCTTTTCACCAACACAATTAGTACACAATAGGTATAGAGTTACATATGAAGCATACATAAGTAAATAACAATTCATAAAGTTTCACTCTGTTAAACACTTCTTTATTTTTCCTACTCTACCTTCATATACCTTTACATTGAGAATACTCCCTTGATGTCAATGTATCACAATCCTTTCGAGTTTCATTATTAATTTATCAACTCTTGTGTTTTACATTTGAAAACATGACAACTATTATGATACTCTAGTCACAGGTAAACTAGATTGCTTTATTGTTCAACAAGTACATGTTACACATACTTACTTTCACTGTATTACAATAACTAGTATTACCTAGAAATGTGTGTTAATTACTTTTCAGGTTCTTGGAATTTATGTATTAATTGATATAAGTTCTACTTATTATTCAACTATAATTATTCAACCTGTTCAATTTGCGAATACAATTATTAAAAAAATGACTAGTATTTTTCTCCAGGAAGATATCATTCAACCTGTTTAATTCGCAAATACAATTTTAACAATGGAATTTATGTGATAATTGATATAAGTTCTACTTATTACTCAATCATAACTAGACAACAGCAACACCAAAGCGTAGCAAATCCCATCGAACAGCCATGGCTGGCATTTTTACAAACAAAGCAAATAGCAAAAATGGCAGCCATTTTTCAAAATGGCCACCTTCTACCAAAAGTGTCACTAGACAGTGTGCCATGCTTATAGTATTCACATACCAAATATGAACAAAATCGCTCCGCTACTTTTCGAGTTATAGTAAAATATGTTAAAATGGTGGCCATTTTTCAAAATGGCTGGCTTCTACCAAAAGTGTCACAAGACAGTGTGCCATGCTTATAGTACACACATACCAAATATGAACAAAATCGCTCAACCAAAAGTGTCATAAGACAGTGTGCTATGGTTATAATATTCACATATCAAATATTATTGTTCAACAAGTACACGTTAATCATACTTACTTTCACTTTATTACAATTACTCGTAATATGTTAGGTCATCTAGTATTTTATTTGAACTGATACCCTTCTAAGATATGAGATCTATTAAAAAAGGCGCATCATCACCAATGTGCAAAAGTCTATGTTTTTGCTATAAATTGGTCTACACAACCTGTAATAAATAGGTATAAGAGACGTTATTATCACAAAACTTATGTATCAGTATCATATAAAAGTATCTACCTCCAAAGAGCTATGTGTAACTATTTTAAAGCCCCCATATAAAGTTTAAACTTCTCTGACTTATATTGTAGTCTTACCCAATGTAATCAAAGTGTCATATGTGAGACTTTTAATTTTAATTTCAAAAAGTGGTTTTGGAAGGCCTTTTTGCTCAAAAAATCATGAATTTCTTTAAAACTAACTTTTAGAGGTTACACATCTCTTTTAATAAGGGATAATTCATACCAATGCACTGCATTCATCCTCACATGTTTTTTGCCGAAAAAATTAAGAAAATCAGTTCATAGATAGGCGAGAAGTGAACTCATCAATCCATGAAAATGGTTCAGAGAAAAATGCATTTCAAAATTTTAGTTCTCATAGAAGCCAATGGTACAATAGTATCTAAAACATAATATATTCTTCATTTTAACCTGGTAACCCTACTATCACACCAAACTAGTTCTCACTACATTCTCGAAAACGGGCTTCAACTGTGTACGAACGGACTGGACGTACTAAGAACCGTTTGGGATCTAATTACAAACTTCATCGAACGTACTCGAACGGGTAGGTCCTCTAGAACTTAGACAATGCTCAAAATGTTTTCGTGGTCGTCACGTTCTACAATTAGAACGAGTGACAACGTACTAACAACGAGCTAGACGTACTACGAACGGAACCGTCGTACTTCATTCCTACTAGGGACGTTTTAACAACGAGTGGAACTGTCTGAGGACGTGTTGAGAACGAGGTAGAACTCATTGCAAACGGGTTTAAACTGATTAAGAACGTATGTAACACTGCTTATGAACGAGTTAGCAAAAATATAGCTATCACACCAAACAAGTTGCCACTGCGTTCTTCAAAACTGGTTCTAAACTGTGTGCGAACGGAATGAACGTAGCTGCAACTTTCTAAGGTCTATTTACGAACTTTATGAACGTTCTCAGATGGGAATGTGATTTTAGAATTTTGAATCGATTCAAAATTCAATTCCGACCATACCGTTCTGTTATCAGGTCATGATGACCTTCTAGACTAAGGGACGCATTCTACGGCGTTGCACACCGACGTGGTGCGACCTGAACGAACTGCGAACGAGATGGACGTATTGAAGACTGTTTAAGAACGAAGAAGCTAATTATTTCAGACATATTTCCCAACCACAGCCAGTTTGAGCCCGTTTTACGACGTTTTCGTAGGACTGGCAAGAACGGGTAAGAACAAGTTTGGTGTGATAGGGGGGTTAGACAATCAATATTGATTTATTTTAGAAGTTTAGCATATTTAGAAAAGATTGACATAAAAAAAATTTCATTTTTTCAAAATTTGTTTACCACCTGAGTGAGTCATCTATGACATCACTCTGGTTGCAAAATATTTTTGATATGCTAAAACATTGAAGTGGCACATCAGATATATAAGGGTTATGTACTGGGAGGTTTTGGATATGGGGTTTATCCAGAGGGAGATATGCATATCTATCTGAGGGACCGTAGGGACCGAAGGTAGATGTGCATATCTCAAGAGGGATGAACCCCATATCCAAACCGACCATACATAACTGCTTTATCCTATACCAAGTAGAGTTTCAGTGAAATTACCGGAAGCGGGAAGATATGCACCGAAGTGGGAAGATATGCACCGAAGCGTGAAGATATACACCAAAGCGGGAGATATGGCGGGAGATATGGAGGTTCTGGATATGGAAACCTCAAACTCAGGATACGGGATATATCTTTCCAACTTATCTCCCTAAAACTCTACTTGGCATAGGATAAGGCATCTTATTGTTAAAATAGTGTGTACTTTGTTCAATCTTTGCATAGGTGTTAAAAAGATAATCTTCTTTGAAATGTATGGTGGAATATTTGATGATTGAAGAATTTCAACTTTATTTGAAAATTTGCGGGAAATTTGAATATTTGAGAAATGAAAAGCTGACAACTTTTTTTTCAAAAAATCTCTAAAATAACTTCATGTCATGAAAAATAGTGAAGGAATGATAAAAACATCTTTTCAAACATAACACTGGGACTTTAAGTATATCTATATTATAAAATCACCCTTGTTTCTCACAAGTTTTCCAGAATTTATTAATACAACACATCAATGTGACGTTTTAATCAATATAAGCATATGCTTACATCAATAAAATAGAAGTTTAACTTTACATGGAGGTGGGTCATCTTTGAATTTTTGGTTTATTCTCATCTCTTCTATCAGACCTAGAAATTAAAATTTCAAATTTGATAAACAATTATAAAAACTACGTTTTTCGATGTCATTTTTAAATATTGAATACTTGTACTTTGTGATAAAATCAAGATTATTTGTACTTGTATCTAGTCTATTATAACTTAGAATCCATAATATACAAGATCATAAGTCCATACTTTTTTTGCTTTAAAGTAGTTTTATATGAGTGCATATGAGGATGAAGAATTCATTATCTAATGCATAATTCTGCTGAGCAGACATATTTACCCTAAAGCTGAGGGGACAGATATTTTAGTATTCATTTTACAGTTTAATAGACAAAAATTTACAAAATACAAAAGGTAATTGGTTTTGTATCTAGAGTATCATTCATCAAATATCAGAGTAACTTTATTTTCACTTTATACCCTTCAGAGGCCCCACGTTCATTACTATCAACAATGTCCTAATTTGGGATATGTATTGGTCCATTTGTTAGAGCGAAAATTGCATTGCTATGGTAAAATATGACGTAAATATGAGAGGTGTTAATTTAACAATGATATAAATACTGTGACATGATCAAAGATTTCATTGTTGAGAGAACAGAGGACAGAACAGAGCACCATGTCTTCTGCAGGACTACTTCTACTGATGTCCATAACATGTATCAACAATGCAGGGAGAGTTATTGGAAAAAGCCAAATCACATCAGAAAAATATAATAATAATGATGTCACAACTACAAGCACAGTCTACAGCAGCAATGAGACGGCTAAGCTGACCGAGAGGACAAATGTTGCTGGGACTAAAGGTGATGTCACAACTTTAAGAACAACACAATGGGTCCTGATGGAAGAGACTTCAATGAGAGATATAAACATGACTACAGGGACAAATGTCAATGGGACAAATGTCAAAGGGACAAAAAATACTAGAAGCAAATCGTCTGAGCGATCCAAATCTAATGATGTTGCAACTTTCAGTACAACACATTGGGAAATGATGGAAAACGTGTCAATGGAAAGGACTAACATGAGTGTGAAGACAAATATCACTGGGACTAAAACTACTGAAGATTTGAGACCAGTTATGCAGACACCAATCACTGATATGGCTGATAAAATATTCAAATTCATGAATCCTTTCATTTATGCTATTGGCATCCCAGCAAACATTTTAACCGTCATTGTTTTCAATCTATCCGAGAGCAGAAAATCGACAGTTTCAATCTATTTGAGCTCTCTGGCTATGGGCGATTGTGGAGTCCTTCTCTGTTCAATGATTAACTACCTAGAGAAGAATCTTGTGAAAGGTCCTGTGCTAAAGTCGCTGTCTTCATTGAATTGCGGACTATATTTTACCATTCTGCAAGCTTCATATCTTTTTGGTACCTGGATGTTGATTGCAGTGTCAATTGATCGTTACATCGCAATTTGTCACCCCCTGAAAGCGAAAGTCTGGCTGAGGAATCGCTATGCTCGGATCTATGTCTGTCTCACAGCGATTGCTATGTTAGCTGTAAGCATGGTCAACATTAACAGTTTCATAGCGTTCCCACCCAACTTCTGTATACCGAAGATACCTGATGCCTACATGGGCCTTTACACGATCATACCCTTGTACACAATCATTCCTCCGCTCGTGTTATTGCCATTCAACACTCTTATTATCTACCAAATGGTGAGGAAAACAAGAAAAAACTCCATCAATTCATTGACGACCATTCAAAGCATTACACGACGCAAGCAGCTCATCCAGCTAACGACCATGACAGTAGTAATGACGATAACGTATTTGGTTCTTACAACACCGAGCGCCATTCTTCAAGCTGTTAACTTCTGGGAAAAATGGGAGATAACTGACGTGACGAAATTCATCCCGAAGCTTGTAAGCCAGATGGTTTTGATAAATCATTTTGTCAACTTTTTCCTCTACATCATATCAGGTAAAAAATTCCGACAGCAGTTGTTACAGATGTTTTGCCTAGCATGCTCAAAGAAAACAGGCAAGAAGAGGTCAGCTCCTCTTCCTAAGATGAATGTCACGACTGGAAGTAAGCAGCTAACTTACATCAGCAGTTCCCAGAAAAGCTCGGAGGTAACGGAAATTCAACAGGACTTGGGCCAAATGTAATGTGTATTGAGACTAAATAGTGTACCTGTTAGCAAAAACTAACTGGAGCTCAAATTGCAGCAAGTCAATTTCACAAACTCTAGTAAATATTAATCAATATCACTGCTACCCACCTAATTACACAGACGTATCGTCGGTGTATCATGGCGGAACTTCCTCCGGGACTAGGTTTCGGTAAGATTTTTTTATTTCCCGATTTACACCTACTTATAAGTCACGTTGTGGATAATAATTTGGCTCGAAGTTAAGGAAGATAGTCTAGTTTGAGAATGCGTCGATTACCTGTGTAATTAGGTGGGTAGCAGTGAATATAAAATCTGAAAGTTCATTATAGATGTTGACAATTAACTTCAAGCACTTGGTTTTGAAAATGGTATTAATGCATTAGAAAAAGCAGAACACAGGGTAAAAAGTATGGTACTGTATATATAAATATGTATGATGTATATTGTAGAAGCTCGATTATAGAATTGTTTGTAGTTACTACTGTATATGCTCTTAGATGTACATCTGTACTTTTCATTGCAGTAAAGAATTTAGGATGAATTTAAAAGTAAAAGTATTGCATGTTCAAAAACACTAATCAATTCTATATTTAAAGGATTTAATGAATTGTAGATCATTAAAACCACATATACAAGGTGTTTCATATGTATCCACCCCCTCTAAACTCATACATATAGCATAGCCACCCTATCATGTTATATACCAAAAGATGCAATGTATTGAAGTATGTGGGTACAGGTTATTGAGAGAGCAATTTCTGGTCACTTTGAGGGGAATTTAAAGGTCAAAATTAGTTTCCATATTGCACATTTCTAGCAGTTGTCATCATGGCCGAGTTTAGTCCACATGTTTGTGACAGTTATGATCAGAGATATATTGCCAGGATTCATACAGTGGCTTATAAGGAAGCCAGACACCATGATACCACTTTTATCACTAAAATTGGGCTGTGGACAGAGTGAACAGATCACTGGACTGGGTCCAAAAATGCTCATACAGGGTGTCCAAAAAAAACAGGACCGTAAGAAAGTTGAATAACTCGGTCAATTTTGCATATTTTGCCTTGAAATTTCAGAATTATTTAGTTCATTCAATGTGAATTTTGTTGTGAAAGTTTGATAATAATCTATCAATTGAGTCAAAAACTACAGCTCCTTACAAAACATGCCTCAAACGTGCACCTCTCATCTCTATGCTCAATTCAATCCGGCGAACAAAGTTGTTGATGATCCTCCTACACACATATCTTTCTGAATGGACAAGTTTGTTCAAAGAACAATTGCTACTGGAGCTTACATCCTCCTGATGAAGTGTTACAGCATCCATTGCATTCTGAACAATGCACTGCCTGGGTGGCAATGAGGAAACATGGAATCATCAGTCCCTTTTGGTTCGAAGGTGACTGGGGACGTGCTATAACCATGAACAAGGATCAGTAAGTTCTCACCAAGTTTTGGAGGTCATAAGCACCAGAAGGGACATCTAAGGAGATAATTAAGCAGTGGTTTCAACAAGCCAATACCACCCCCCCATTGCAAATGATATGCTGAAATGGTTTAGGCAATGCTTTGGTGGTCAGCTCATCAGTTGCAGAATGCAAACCATATGGGCACCTCATTCGCCTGATCTAAATCCCCCAAATTTTTATCTTTGAGGATTTCTCAAAGCCAATGAGTATACTGACAGGCCCCTTACAATCTTAAGAGGGCAATAACTACCCCAATATTTACCATCCACATTAATGTGTATAGGTCAGGGTCATTAACAACTTTGTTCGCAGGACTTGTTTGTGCATAGAGAGGAGAAGTGCCCACTTTGAGCATGTTTTGTTAAGGACTGTAGTTTTTGACACAATGAACAGATTATCATCAAACTTTCTGAACAAAATTCACATTGAATGAACTAAATAATTCAAAAATTTCAAGGCAAAATATGCAACATTGACCGAGTTATTCAACTTTCTTACGGTCCTGTTTTTTTGGACACCCTGTAAGATACTTATAAATGACCCCGTACCCGCATACTTTGATACATTGCATCTTTTTTCAACGACACTCCTTGATTCTGAAATTTTGCAATCCTATGTAACTTTCCATAAGGAACAAAATGATATATAACATGATAGGGTAGCTATGCTACATGTATAAGTTTAGAGGGGGTGCATACATATGAAACATCCTGTATGTCTTATATCAAATATGTAGTTTTAGTTAGATAGTAGTCTTAGTGAGTAGTTGTGACTAATGTAATCATGTAATGATACAATATATCAATAAAAGTTATGTATATAATTCCCCCTTTCAGTGGTTACTGACATAGTGCAGGAGAAACTTCAAAAAAGTCAAAAAATAAAATTGTCCAAAATTGTTTGCAATCCATTATGTAGTCCTTTCATGAAATTTATAAAAGAAATGTATGAATTGCTTGACTTTTTTCTTTAAAAGGATACTTATAAAATAGTTGAAGAATAAGTTGTATGAGAATATTCCCTTCTCTTTGATCACCTTGATAGCACTTGAAAAGAGGCTCTCATATTTTGGCCAATCATATTGCAGCAACACCATCATGTGACCTGCTGCTGTGTCATCTGTCTCAATATGCCCAAAAGCTTTTTCCTGGAAATATATAATAATTCAAATTTTAATCATTTTTATTTGATTCCAAAGTTAGACAATACATACAATTATAATGTATGAAAAGGACATGTTAATTCTTAGGTTTTCAAATAGATTCAATTGAAAGGAAATTTCATTTTCTGAAAATTCTATATTATTTCTTGTGCTAATTAACACTAAATGACTAAGTGATAAATGAGTGATATGTGCATCTATAAGCTAACATGTTAAAATGGCTAAGTCCCGTGTTATGTTTATAAATATGTTTTTATCATTCATTTACTACTTGTCATGACTTAAAAAGTTATTTTAGAGATTTTCTGAAAAAAAGTTGTCAGCTTTTCATTTCTCAAATATTCAAATTTCCCGCCATTTTTCAAAAAAAGTTGAAATTTTTTAATTATCAAATATTCCACCATTCTTTTAAAAAAAGATTATCTTTTTTTAACACCTATGCAAAAATTGAACAAAGGACACACTATTTTAATAATAAAATACCATATCTAATGTGCCACTTCAATGTTTTAGCATATCAAAATTTTTTGCAACCTGAGTGATGTCATCGATGAGTCACTTAGGTGGCAAAATTTTTTGAAAAAATGTCAACCGTTTCTAAATATGCCTAACTTCAAAAATAAATCAATGTTGATTGTCTAACGAGGTTAAAAGGAAGAATATATTACATTTTAGATATTATTCTACCATTGGTTTCTATGAAGACTAAAATTTTGAAATGAATTTTTTCTGAACCATTTTCATGGATTGATGAGTTCATTTCTCGCTTATTTATGAACCCATTTTTCCAAACGCCCACAATTGGGGGCAAATTCATACTTTGTCATTTCATTTCTGTTGGGTGTATACTTTTTGTTTTTATACCAAACAAAAATATTCTCGCAATATAAGGTGCATTATGGGTAGGGTCTGCTGTGAATTAATGAACGTAAGTGACATCTATCTTAAATTATAAGCTCTAATAAGTTATTAATTGCGCATGCGTTATAATGAATTGAACCAGTTAAATTGCTGCATTAAATGCCCATGCGCAAAAAACCGAACCTAAAAATGGAACCTCGCACAGATTGTCCCGAGTACGATTTTCTTATTTTTTTCGGCAAAAACATGCGAGGATGAATGCTGTGCATTGGTCTGAATTATTCCTTATTAAAAGATATGTGTAACCTCTAAAAGTTAGTTTTAAAGAAATTCACGATTTTTCGAAAACAAAAAGTCCTTGAAAAACCACTTTTTGAAATTAAAATAAAAAGTTTCACATATGACACTTTGATAATATTGGGTAAGAGTACAATATAAGCCAAAGTGGTTTAAACTTTATATTGGGGCTTTAACAAAAAAGGTGTGATGATAGACCAAAAGATGGCAGCACTACAATATATCAATTTGATAAATATACATGTATCATAATTTACTGTACTTGACAATTTCTAATTGCAATATACTTTGCTTTAAAACTTACGAGAGTCTCACACTTTAAAATCTTTCTTCTCTTGTACGCTTTTTATATGCATATGGAATCTTGTATATTTCTCTGTAGATGTTGAAGTACATATTATACACATAGTTTTATTTCATTGTCTTTAATAAGTGAGTATTTATGACTTATGTAATCATGTAATGATACAGTATGTCAATAAAAGTGATATTATACTGTATGTGTACATATAGTGTGACATCTCAGGAGATAAGTTAATACAGTCCATAAGATTATGTGAAATTCAATCTTGGGAGCTATATAATGAGTCCTCAATAAGAAAATGAAAAAAAGTTGCCAAATACCTATGATGTTTAGATGAACTAGTTAAATTGGTTAAGCATCATGGATAGAGGAAAGGGAACAAGAATCTGCTACAACTGATAAGCCTTTTATAGTACAAAACCATGCTTAAATAAGATAAATAGGTTTGGAAACAAGTTTGTTTCATTCTTTTTTCTCATGTGGTGGGTGGCACATGGGGACCTGATGCAATCTAAACGTTCTGATAGATCAGAGACAAACATCATCCCCCAGTGTCAATATAATTAAATGTAGAAAAGGGAAGTACTGGGTTTTCTATTGTCATGACAAACAAACAAATCCTTAAATATAAAGCTGGGTTTGGAATGAGTCATTTAATATTTGTCTATTAATATTGGAAATTAAAATTCAGTGGTAAATATTTATGACAGTAGCAACCAAACACCTTTTCTAATCCTTAGGAAAAATGCTAATAATTGTAACTAAAGCCATAAACTTAAAAGCATTTCTACAGAAAAATAAAATTCTTTGGTGTTTACAGAAAACTGTGAAGAAAACAAGCCAAAGCAAACCTCCCATATGATAAAATATAAATGTCACTTCAAACAGATATTCAAATTAAGAAATGGACCATGACCTTATTTCAATTGTATGTTGTTTTATAACTCAGTAAAAAACAAATGAAAAGCAAAGATAGGGTGTATTGGATTCATCTATATACAAGATGCCTCACAATGGACAACTGATATTGAAACTACACAGAGGCAGTTAGGTTACTATGACTACCCTGGTATTCAATAAATAATTAACCCAACATAAAATGCTGCTGTGGTAACAATCTATCAACAAACAAACACGACACAGTTGGCATGAAGCAATTGTGAGCTGCGTCTTTCTACAAGTAAGTACTAGATTTAATAACTTGATAATTCATAGGTGAAAATGAAGTAAAGTTAAAGCAAATGATGAGAAAAAATGCATCTTAGTTAGAAATATGATACGGTGAAGTTTATAAGGTCAATCTCTGGGATTTTAAGTACAGTCTTGAACAGTGTGGTATCACTTAGCTGAAAGTACAGAATATTCTACTGCTATCATATATCTATCACTTCATAGCATTACTTTTACATATTAAAGGGAAATTACAGTAGATGAATAAAAATATTGACAATTTTGAAATACTAAATAGATTTAATTTGGAGTTTCTGATTCAATATTTAAATACTCTATTTTATATACATGTACAGCTGATTGATAAAACAGAAAGTAAAGTCAATGTGTAGATGGAAGAAAATGTCTGAATGTCAGTGTAACTAAGAGGGCAGTAACCTAAGAAACGGAACTGTTGGCATTCCTTTGGTTTTAGTTTTGAAATGTGAAACTGCTGTACACATACCTCTATTTTATGAATGGAAGAGGGCTGAAGAGGGCTGATCATGTACATGTACAGTATCTTAATTATCTTATAATTTTTGAATTATTATATGTTATCAATTGTTGTATTCAATAACCCTCCCTTTTATTCCCAAAATATTTTAAATTCATAATGTTTATGTCACTTGCATGTACCATCTGATCAATAAATCTTCTTTTCCATCAGAATCACAGTAATGTAATTCACTTCTAAAATTGAAAAGGGGAAACAGTAAGATTCAATTGCTTACTGGGTTAGTAAGTTTGTTCCTTTTTTGAAAAGAAGGTTTGAAGAAAGGAACTAAAAAATATGACAATATTTATTGCACAATGATAGAATGCTGACATGAAAGAAATCTTCTGATTAATGGCCCCCATCACAAATATTCTCTTTTGATTTCACATATATGCCATTACTCACTTCGACATAGCAAACAAGATCCAGTCTTATATCAAGAATTATAGTAAAATGAGTAATTGGGTAGGTACACTGCCCCCCCACGTTGGGTGGGCATAGAATAAAAATTGGGCCCCAATTTGGCCCTTTGTTGTCATTAATGGGCCCTTTAAGGCCTTATTCTTTAATTTTAGGTCAAATTTTGAAGAAAATGGGCCTCAAATTTTCAAAATTTGGTTTTAAGGGCCCAAATTTTTTTTTATAATACCTGTAATTTAGGCCCCCTTGGTTCTTCCCAGATCCACCCCTGCCGCATATTACATGCCATGACACATCCGCCACTACATGAAAAGGCATAAAACACATTCTGGGGGTGTGATAACTACTATTAGAGAATCACGAGTGGGTGACAAGTAATGAAACAATCCACTGAACAATTGCGTTAAAACATTGCTATCATGATGAAAAAAACAAGTTACTTCCAACTCATACACATTAATATTCACCTATGCCCTACAATACACTATAATGGCATCAATAGAGAAGCTAAAAAACCTTACTTCACCATGAATAAATTCTTTCAAAAATCATGCTGTTTTTCACCATTCTGAGCACTTTTCACATGATTTGGGCATTTTTTGAGGCAAAGTTGTCAAAAGTGATCACCCCCAAGAAAAGTGAACCCCCTTGGCAAATCATGGCTACACGCCTGAATGTGTACTGTATAGCGATACAATGGGTGGGTTCTATTTAATAATACCAAAAACAAGAAGTGTATGATTCATTTCACCTTGTAATTTAATAAAGTCGATGAATTCATATAACAAACCTACAGTACTTAATGTTATACATATGAAGCTTATCAAGATAAGGTAGAAGGGCCTCTAAAATATGATAAAAACTAAAAATATGAGCTCCAAATTAATAAATTCGGGAACCATGGATAGGCCCTAACAATGAAGGACAATGAAGGAGAACTCTTTTAAAATAAAATCACAGAAGTATATCAGAAACTTCAACAGCACTACATTCAATATTTCAATGACTATTGACATAGGATATCTTATCATTCAAGACAAATACTACTTCTGATTTACAATATTATGGGCCAATCCTATTATTAATTACATTTACAAGATCAAATCAAAAGTCTATGTTTGCCCTAGGGCATATTCTTATAGGTGCAACAAATAGTGGACAATAGAGTTGCAGGTAACCATAATTTCAAAATTTGGTCAAAATTTCACAATTTCTTGCTTACAGCATTCCTTATTATATAGCCAATTCCCTAAAATCCAAAGAGTTATTAATTTCTGGACACCACTTTGATAGTTGATTTTTAAAAGGTTATAATGTTGAAAAATGTTCAGTGTTTAAATTCTTCAATGGCTTCAATTTGATCAGACATGTCTTTTTTCTAAAAAATATTAATGTTAAAATTAAAACTACAACTATAGGGAAACATATTAAGCTTTCAAAATTTTACAACCTCTATCCTTTACTTCCACTTTAACTTAACAAAGTAACCCCACAGATGGCTATTTTCCACACAGTTGTATCTTGAATGTTTGAATGTTTTTACTGTTTAGGCAGTTTTCATTGTCTGAAAATTATCAACATACAGACAGACAGTAAGTTGTGACATTTTTAATCAGTAATAATGTTGCGTCGTAAATTATTTCGAATAAATCATAAAAAATGAATAATAAAAAGACAGTTGACTGGTTAATGATTTCTGAGAACATTATTCAATCGTTATAATCATTAAATGAATCATCCAATCTAGCAAACTGACGGTTGTTCTTCTTAGTTCAAACATTGATTAGTATAATAAATGTAATGTACTGTAATACTGTGTACCAGTGGTTCAGTACTGTATTAAGTCTTTATAAATGGGAGACATTTTAATTTGAAAAATCCTCATCTTCATGAATGGTTGAGCATTTACATATCAAAGTTTATTTTTTATTTTAGGTTATTGTTTTACTCATGAATTAAGGATTTAAGCCCTGGACACAGTGCAATGTGGAATGATCATTCGTTGAAGGTGTTGCTTTTCAAACTTTGCATGAGGTGAGCCAGCACTGCGAGTTAATTTTAGGAAACAACGCATGAAAGGAATGGTCCTTTCACAATACACCGAGTCTTGGGCTTAAATTCTTTTCACATATTGCAAAATATTTTCTACCATGTCACTTTGGTTGAGCAAACAGAATTCAAAATTGACTGAGTAACATAGAATTGAACATTGGTTGAGCAAACAGAATTCAAAATTGACTGAGTAACATAGAATTGAACATTGGTTGAGCAAACAGAAATCAAAATTGACTGAGAAACATAGAATTATACAATGGCTGAGCAAACAGAATTTCAAAATTGACTGAGTAACACAGAATTGAACAGTGTTTGAGCAAACAGACTTCAAAATTGACTGAGTAAACATAGAATTGAACATTGGTTGCGCAAACAGAATTCAAAATTGATTGGGTAAACATAGAATTGAACATTGGTTGAGCAAACAGAATTCAAAATTGACTGAGTAACATTGAATTGAACATTGGTTGCGCAAACAGAATTCAAAATTGATTGGATAAACATAGAATTGAACATTGGTTGAGCAAACAGAATTCAAAATTGACTGAGTAACATTGAATTGAACATTGGTTGAGCAAACAGAATTCAAAATTGACTGAGTAAACATAGAATTGAACATTGGTTGAGCAAACAGAATTCAAAATTGACTGAGTAACATAGAATTGAACATTGGTTGAGCAAACAGAATTCAAAATTGACTGAGTAACATTGAATTGAACATTGGTTGAGCAAATAAATTCAAAATTGACTGAGTAACATTGAATTGAACATTGGTTGAGCAAACAGAATTCAAAATTGACTGAGTAACATTGAATTGAACATTGGTTGAGCAAACAGAATTCAAAATTGACTGAGTAACATTGAATTGAACATTGGTTGAGCAAATAAATTCAAAATTGACTGAGTAACATTGAATTGAACATTGGTTGAGCAAACAGAATTCAAAATTGACTGAGTAACATTGAATTGAACATTGGTTGAGCAAACAGAATTCAAAATTGACTGAGTAACATTGAATTGAACATTGGTTGAGCAAATAAATTCAAAATTGACTGAGTAACATTGAATTGAACATTGGTTGAGCAAACAGAATTCAAAATTGACTGAGTAACATTGAATTGAACATTGGTTGAGCAAACAGAATTCAAAATTGACTGAGTAACATTGAATTGAACATTGGTTGAGCAAATAAATTAAAAATTGACTGAGTAACATTGAATTGAACATTGGTTGAGCAAACAGAATTCAAAATTGACTGAGTAACATTGAATTGAACATTGGTTGAGCAAATAAATTCAAAATTGACTGAGTAACATAGAATTGAACATTGGTTGAGCAAACAGAATTCAAAATTGACTGAGTAACATAGAATTGAACATTGGTTGAACAAACAGAATTCAACTGAACAATAGAATTGAACTAAAATTTAGTAAACAGAATTCAACATTGACTGAGTAACATAAAATTAAACAATGGTTGAGCAAACAGAATCCAAACATTGGTTGAGTGAATACAGGTAAACAAAGCAATTTGTTGAATTTCACAATATGACAATAAAACAATTTTCATATGTTAATATTGATCAAGATATCTCGACACAAGCACATATGTGAATGCATTAATTCATACTGTGCATGTTCAATGCAACACCCCAGTAGATGATAAAACATGTGATAATGAAAAATAACTTCAGCATCCGTGAAGGAAAATCAATATAATCATATTACGTGTATCAGGGTTTAACCTGAATAACCAATCATACTTTTTCTACAGAAACTTCCTAGTTGCTTTGGTAATAGTAGTAAAACCAATATTAATATCAAAGGTACTTGATACAGGTAAGTTTAATATTTCTTGCTACCAGACCTGGATTCATATGTGTAGATCTTCACTATCAAGGTAACCATTTACATTTTTAAGACATAGCTCAATTGACACTTATCATTCGTATCACCACATCATGAGACATTGTGTATATACATTTATACGTTTTTTTAGATAATAATGTGTAAACATGTAATATGATGTAAGTTGCGTCATTGTATCCAACACTCAAACATACAAGATAAACTCAGAGCCTTATCATATATTGTATCTAAATATATATGTTTTTCATGACAAGGAGCTCTTATTCTGTGTCAAGATGACACACAGATTCAAGTGAGTGACCTTAGATTAAAGGACTAATACCTTTATTTCAGAGATAAAAACTGAGGTTATATATAATTCATAGACTACTTATTTTTTCTGATCATTACTAAGAAATTGAGAAGGAACTGAGGTCTTTGGTTAAGGACAAAAGATAAGTTTAGGTCATACTATTATATCAGCCATAAATCATTAATTCCAGGTATTGAGTTTGATCTTGATATGATAAATAAATAATGAAACAGGAAATAATATCGATTCGAAGTAATATGTTTTATCGTGAGGTCATAACTTAGTAAGGAATCATATATGCTCAAAGATGTACCTCCTCCAATTCAATTGTTCTTTTTATGATAACATCATTAATCATAGAAAAACAGACAGTTAACTTAAAGAGGGATGTTGCGATAGGAAAACATGATCAAGACACCTGGACTTTATCAAAATTGATTATCTGTAACTTGAATTAACCCGGGAAATTCAAATATCTGATAGGTCATTTTTATTAGCTCACATGGTGAGCTATTGCAATCACTCACTTGTCTGTCTTACTGTCCGTCCGTCTGTCTGTCAACAATTGGCCCGTTTTAAAACCTCTGTCGATAGGATTCTCGTTTTAAGTTATTTTTGTTCAAAATCAATTTAGAAAACCCCCTATGACTCCTGGTTCAAAAGCTCGCCTATTTTCAAATTGGCCGCCATTTTTGTCTCGCAAAATCCACTTTTCGACCATTTGCTTTAAAACCTCTGTCAATAGGATTCCCCTTTTAAGTTATTTTAGTTCAACATCAATACAGAAAACTCCACTATGACTCCTGGTTCAAAAGCTCACCTATTTTCAAAATGGTCACCATTTTTGTCTCGCAAAATTCAATTTTGGCCCTAGCTTTACAAATAATTTCAGGTGTCCTGCATTGTAAAAAGCCATGTCACTGTAAAGAGTAGTTGTATGAGATAATTAGAATTATATCCGTTTTTTTTTACTTTCTGTCATTTTAGCCATCATCCACTTTTGAGCAACACCATGTGAGCCCAGTACCCATGGTACTATTTATTGTTTATCAGTATGGTTACGTGCATGTGACCAAAGGAACTCCATAAATGGCAGTTCTGGGAAATCTAAAATAAAATAATGGCTGCCTGGCTCAAGGCATGTGCCGAGTTTGCTGATGCTTATGTCATTTGAAAAGGTTTTCCCTCAATTGCCACGATCTAACTAAATTGTGTTCAACTCTGACAGTTGGTTGTTCCATTGGTTTTCTCAATATATCGGCAATACTATACCCATGAGATATATCTAAGCTATGTAAGATATCATATATGCAAGTACAATGGGATATCACTGTATTTCCGGGGGATAAACCTAAGGCGTAATCTACCTTTAATGTTAATATTGCAAATAACAGTTACATGTCATGAACACAATACATGAAACAAGATTCTAAGTACTTTGATGCATTATATAGCCAATGCCTGATGTGTCTTATGCATTACGTGTCTAGTCCCTCATGTGTTTGTGTCTTATAATGCTGTATGTGCCAAATGTCTTACATGTCAGATGCATTTTATGTCTTAGAGTGCCTTACATATCTAATGTATAATATATTGTCTGTGTAATGCATAATAATATGTGTAAAGCCTTTTGCATCTAATGCATAATACAAGTCTTATGCATTCAGTGTCTAAGGTATAATATGTCTAATGTATTGTGTGTCAAATATACCTTGTGTGTCTAAAGTTATTATGCATCTGTTCTTTCCCAGTCTTGGGTGATTAACAAGAAACCAGGATTTGATCTGAATAACAAAATCCATATTATGACTGGGAAAGGCTAATCTCAGGTGAATTGCGCAATTTATCATCATGTCTATTTGATTGAAATTCCAAGAAACTGTACTCTATTTTTGTATTAAATGGTTACCATAGCAGAATATCTAGAAAAACAATAATACCACAGAGTGGGAAGTCTCAATGAAAAAATAATACCTATTATTACCACCTTGCCGGGCCAGTTCTAGGGGTTTTAGTGCTAGTTTAGAAGGCATTCATTTTACTATATCGACCTGAGAAATGTGTGATGTCATAGTGGTGGTCCATATGGACCGGTCTAGAATATATTCTGGACCGGCAATTTTTCTCCTCGGCCCTTGGTCCAAAATTTCACTATATTGCCCTTAGAAATGATGTTATTGTACTTATCTGAGTTATTTCAGGATTCTGAAATATTTCAAATTGTAATATCTAATTGCTCTGGATTTGCACGTTGAAAGCCACATATGCATAGAACTCTAAATTCATGGTAATTCCTGCATTTGGGTGTCATGTTTGATTTACTGAGGCATGCATCCAAAAGATGATACAACATTTGAGAACAACAGTAAAACCTGTTAACAAAGAACTGGTCAAAACTGTTCTTTGTAGACTTTGTAGACAACTGTTCTCTTCTTTGTTGAGAGTATATTGCACAGTAGTCTATAGAAGTTGTCTTCCAGTAGGCTGTGATACCCTTTTATTTGACATCAGTTAACATGTTCCATAAGATGAGAGGGTTGTGTATTTTGGTTTTTCAATTTGTTGACCTTTTTCTAAACTGCCAAGCTAACTTCCTTATTAAACATTTTGAACAATAGTATACAGGCATAAAAAGATAATTTTAGTTGTTGATTTTTGTTATTGTAGAATAAATTAGAATAGAATATGCACACCAGCTAGTACCCATAGCAAGCATTTACACACAAACAGACCCTCTCAGTTCTAATGCACAGTAGTACATGTATGGTATTTTTAACACAGTAAAGAATATACACGATTTGTATCATGTCATTGTCATATTTTAATGCACATAACTAATGAATCAATAAAAAACTAGACAAAATTATATATCACTATTTTTCTGCTTATATGCAGGACTATATCCATAAAAACAATGTCCAAAATAAAATGTTCAACAGCATTACAATAACCATTAAAAAATATGTCAATATGTTTGACAAAAAACAATGTCTGGAGTTGAGAAATAAGAGGAGAATAAACAGGTTGTCATTAAATTATAGGGTTTAATGCACTGCCTCAGAAATTCCTCTTTACGTGGACACTTTAAGTACTTTAAAGACCCAATATACATGCATTTTGGGAGACTGTGTTGAAAACTGTAAATTAATTTAACATTGTGTATAGTCTTAATGAAAATGTGAAATGTAAATATGCTGCATTCTGTTGTATCAAGTACGTATACAGATGTATAGGAAACTTCATGTGAAGGTGTCACTGGTAATACAAAACATGTGAGCTAAAAATCAATTGAGGTTTCTACCGCATGACGAATTTGAACAAAATACCACAATATCCTGCTACTACATCCATCAAAACTAGAATTGCATATAGAAAACATTTCCAGACTTTGTTCATTGTACATAGATTTCCAAGGTATAAGGTTTGTCTTGGAATCAAAGACCTAAACATCTGCCAAGTTAAAAAAAGAGTCATACACACTGGCAGATCCAGAAGCTAACAAGTGGGGGCACATTTCAGCTGAAAACATTTTGGGACCCAAGTAAAGCCCAAAAAGGCCCACTAATTTTTTTTAGCATCAAACTTTTTTTCCGGGCCCAACAAAGGGAGGGGGGGCAGGCCACATGCCCCCTAGATCCACCAGTGATACATATGTTGCCAAGAAGACCTCTGATTGGTAGAATCCCAAAGTAGAGTGCAAAAATGAAAAAAATAGAAAGTGAGTACAGACTTTTAAATCAACATGTAAACCTAATATTTTCAGACTGGCAAGATGTTGATAAAAGACGTTCTATCTCCCTGCTCCGTGCTGTTGCTGATCTGTGTATTCAGTATCTCAGGTAAGAAAACAGAAATGAAAAACACATCTAATCTGAATAGCTTTGGGACCAACCAAAAGTGTTTGCCAGGTGTTCACATATCAACGTTTTTATAACAAAAGTTAATTGGAAAATAAAAATGTTTTGGAATTGGGAGGTGTGGCAGGAATTAGAAAGGACTCAACAGGGAGATAAAAATTTGGAAACAAAAACAAAAAGTTTTTTGATAAGAGAGGTTTCATGCACAGCGCATGATATTAATATATTGTTTATTTGTTTGGCACTTTTATATGACAAACCAAGGATTGTACCAATTCATGTCTGAAAAAACAAGTATTATCACTTTATGATACAAGCACAATCTAAAAGTATTTATTGGTAAACTGTCTGTACTGCTTTGTGTAATGATAAATGGCAACATCGTTTTTATTAGAGTATATGCCAATTATGAATAATATTCTGGGAAAAATGGGTTTCTTTAATAAAAGAGAATTATTTTCTGATTACACTTTCCCTGTTTTATGATATTCATGTATAATGATATTTCACATGACTTGTGTGCTTATCATAAAACGTCGACAAATGACTGCGAACCCATCATTTCAGATTGAACGTGTTTTCCTTTGTATTTCCTGAAATATTGAATAGTTCATTTTTGAAAAGTTGATTTACAAAATGATGGATTGAGTACAATTAATTTAATATAAGTGCACAATCAAATATCTGCCACTACTTAATAAAAAAATTATAAACGTATGACAATAGAAATATATGAACTTTCATTTATAATTCATAAGGTAGGGTACTAAATAATGTGGCTCATGTCACTTAAACAATCGATGAGGAGATTATGTTGTTCATTTTCATTACTGCTGATTTCTACTGAATATAAAAACCCACTGGAAATTAGTAATTATGATATGAAACGGGTTGTGGCCTATAATGAGAGAAAACACTTTTAAAATTAAAAATATCATGCGTTGGACCATTAAGGTGATCCCTTCCAGATCAAAAAACATCAATGTACATACGCTGACCTGGAGCAAAAAATTCCAATACTCTATGATCCTATTTTTTCACAGTTGATACTGCAAGTTATAGTCTATTGGTGCTGCCTCGTGTTAATGTACTAATACATTAGAAGTTGCCATTCGAAAACCACATTTTAATTATTTGATATCATGAATTGTAGTATGAAGATATCATATCCTAGTCTCTTAGTTTCTGTTTGCCACATGAGTCAAATACTAGACTTGATCAGGGGTTCACTGTTCTTACATTTCTCTCTGATTTTTTAAAGTTCTGGGATTTTGTCTTTCCCATAAATCAAAGTGGGAGGTTATTCCAATTCAACTACATATTTATTTAGTATAATTTTTGTAATTCTGATTTCCTTATTTTCAATTTGGGCTGTTGTTTCCTATTAAGAAATCACTCTAGGATGTTAATCTAATTTGATTTATAATGATCTTTCTAATTATCATAATGCTGATTATTACTAAATTGAATGTTCCACCTAAGTTCCACCAACACAGGTTAATGTTCAAGTTTGGAAATGTTCCACTTACATAGGCTCAATCTACATTAGGTTTTAATAATTGGACTTAAAAAGTGTTCCACTTGGAAGGTTTTACTGCATAATATTTACAAATATCTAAGCACGAGTGCCAAAGGGAAAGGACCAAAAGTTGGAATGGAACTTAGCAAGAAAAAGCAAACTGAAAGTGCATACCAGTCAAGAAAAACAAACCCCATATATCCCAAAACCATGATCTAACTTGAAAAGAAACAATGTCTAATACCCCTATTTTTAACATACTAATACAACCTGTTTTGCACAAAGAAGGTACCGTATACAGAAATCTCAAATTCCCACCATGGGTTTAATGTTTGGGTGACCATTTTGAATTTTCATGGGTACAAGTCAGAAAGATACAATATATGTGATATACTTTAAAAAAAACTGTGTTTCCATAATAGGTGTTAGGTAGATAAATATATAGCGAAGAAATGCTTGAATTTCTGAAATTTCTATATATTTTTACTGACATGTTATCTGTGAATAGCATTAGTTTGAAACAAGAGCAACCGTTGAATAATTGAAAAGAACCCGTAAGAAAATGGCATGGAAATTAAATTTCGGAATGCCAAATGGAGTCGAACAACAGAAAGGACACAATCATACTAGTCCATATGGTATCTCTTTTTCCAACCATCCATGATGCAGAATGGATTTAACAGTGATTTTTGGACATACATATTTAAAATATCCTAAGCCATGTAAGGTATTCAGTTACAGTATATTCATATATGTGTAGATGATACTTAATGAAGAGGAAATTGTGGAAATAGTTGCATACTTCATTCTACAGCGATGCAGTGAGGATTAACCCTCTCTCCAACAGTCCAAAGCATACATTTTGAAATTGCCGCTTGTATACTACGTTTATAACCTTCATTCAGTATTGGTGATCAAGATACCTTATCGATAAGAATTGATACCACACTATGTGGTGTGAACATAAAATGGAACAAATATTATTTAGAACTAAAAGTGACAATATTATCGGCACCCCTAGTGTCAATTTCAGTCTCTAACTCCACGAGAAAACAACAGTTTTCAATTGGATGGTGTCATTTTGTTAGGAAATGATTTATCTTTAAAATGATATATAATACATGACATGGTTTAATATATATCATACGAATCATTCATCTTTAAACTTGGGTATTGTTTTTTTGGCCCACCCTGTATAAGAATTCTTGTTCATTATAAAGGTGACGCTACTGAAACTACTATTACAATCCCCATTGAGGCTAATCCAACTACTGCAACTGTACAGGCAAGTACATCCATCACAACAACAGATTCAGCTGCAGCAAACACAACTACTGCACCTGTTACAGGTGATAACAGTACATCTTCTTCACCTCCAGGTACTTATGTTTTTATTACTTTAAATAACAGGTAAAATCTAAACAAACATATGAAACTTCATAAATATAATATCTTGAATTGATATTTCATATTTCACAAAGACTAGTTTCAGATGAGAATTGGTGTTGATTTTTTATTTATTTATTCATTATCTAAAAATAGACCAGATTTTCTAAATGAAACACTTTCGTTTTTTTTATTTATTTTTTTTATATGTGATTTATTTCATAGTAAAATAGAATTATTACATACACATGTTGCGGCTTTGCAATGGAGCATTATAAGCCACAATTGAATAATAACAAGATTTAAAAAAGAAAGTATGACAATGGATTTGCAATAAACAAAAGAATTATTGTGTACAAAATTATACAGTTTGTGGTGGAAGAAATACTTACACTTTCATTATTTCAACCATTACTAGAAACTCAATTACTAAAACTACAAGAGATGAATGATCTCTATTGTTACAACATATATACATAGATTTGCCATTTCAAACTATGTGTTGAAGTATTCATGTTTTCAGCCAGGTAACACATGGAGAGTGCATAATACAAAACCTGTCAGTTGATGAAATATTAAAACAAAAAGCATTCATTATATACTTGATAAGGAAACTCTGAAGACCATCAAGAAAAATGGATCTGTCTAAAAAGATGACATAATTTATAGTACATGTACATGAGCTAATTACATGGTTTGCACAATATCCCATCTTGACCAACACACAGGACAATGGTGTCAAATATATACTGGTTTACCCAAAATTCAGTCAAACTGATACCATACTTTAAATCTACATGTAAAATTTCATCTAGAAATAAGGTTTTAAAAAGTGTTGATCAACTTTGAAAATTTAATTTTCTTTGAAAATGTGACTTCTAGGTCGGGGAGATTCCCCAAGGAACCCATGTTATAAAATCACAAAAAGTGAAATATCTTTTCTAATATTGGAAAGATAAAATTATACAAAGACTGGATGATCGGGAGCTGGATACATAATTTTAAATTTCCTAAAAATTAAATGGCGAAACACGCGGGCCAAGATATCGATGGGTTTGGGCGAAGAAATTTTGAATAAATGAGATTTGATTGAGTGAAGATTTGTATAGCTATCAGATACACAAGGGTATATGAAAATTGAACCACTAAAACTGATGAATATTTAAGTTTAAGGGAACTTTCTACCCTGTCATGTTATCTACCCCAAATTAGCCACCTGATGGTGAAAATGGTAACCTATTTTCACCATTGCAATTCTCTTTAAAAAGAGAAACAATATAATGTTTAATTTCAGAAGCAGTTTCTGGAGTAACAACTGAGAATACAACTGATAGTAGTGGAGCTGAAGGCACCACTCAAGCCCCTACTTTTTGTCACAAATGTATGGGTCGAGATTGCAATGATAAGCCAACCTCAGCAAATATGACATGCGAAAGTACAAAAAATGTATGCTGGGTATGTAGATGAATGTCTCTTGAGCTAAGTTTTAGGAGACAGGTTTTATTTCAAATTTCTATTTTAACAACTTTGACATACATGTACATCTTTGAAATAATGACAAGCCAATTTTCCAAAAAGTCTTACAGTTCAGACTTTATATCCTTTGATTTTTATTATGGTTTACTTGGCAAAAAATTGAGTGTGAAAACATCTCCTTTTTGTTATTCTGCTGAGTTTAATGTATTATGTAAAAAGAGGATTCGAAGGAAAGCTTTTGGATGAACTTGTAGGCACTGAGTGTTAAACAGACGCTTTGTTCTAGAAGCCTAACACCTGTTTTCAAATATATTGTTTAATATGAAGTAATGAAACTCACTTGTAAAGTGAATTAAAATTTGTTTCAGACGGTGGTTGACAAATCAGATTCCTCAAACCACACCACAAATCGAACATGTGACACACCAAATGACGCATCGTGTAATGCTAGTGACGACTGTAAGTGTGCTGGTAACATAGTAGCCTGTTGTTGTATAGGGGACAAATGTAATACCAAAAAGAGCAGTGAATTGGGATGTAAAAGTGGCAGTCCTGGTGCGACCAGCTTTTCATCGGCCCTCTTGACTGTCTCACTAATGGTGTTATCTACATACCAAGCTTTATAACAGTGACACCTAGTGTATGCAGGCATGATTAATTTAACTAAAATAAATGCACACATGCCATCTTTTTTCACCAGGAGGAGAAGCTAATATTTTAAAAATATATGTTATTCCCCAGGATGGATTTCATATGAGTATTATCCTGAAAAGACAATATGATATTTCAGGAGTATTCTTTTAAAAAAAATTGTCTCAAAAAGGCTTCAGTGGAATTTTTTTGCCAAAAAAGTTGGATAAAAGTTAATGATGAAAACCTTTTAACAAAGAAAATTCACTGAAAATGTTTTAGTGTAAAATGGACATGACAAAATCTTTGACAAAAAGATTTTTGATGAAAAATGGCTAGAAATGTTGATGAAAAAATGTGGTTGAAACATTTTTGATGTAACATCTTTGACGTAAAATGTTTTTGAAAATGTTTTGATGAAACATTTATGAGAATGTTTTTGCCAAAAAAAATAAGAGTAGCGTTGATAAATAGGATATTTTGATAAGGTGAATAGAGTATGATTTTTTAATATATCTTTGTTCAATAACGCAGATGTACTGTATATAAGAAAGTATTAAGTAATATAACATATTCCATAATTCAACTTGATTATAACTCAACTTAGTTGTACAAGTGCCATACATTCCACATACTACTACATATCATACTTTTATTAATTAATTAAGAAATATGATTGCTATATCAATAGTATTTATTTATTTTATTTATTTATTTATTCAGAACTACGCTTTTGTATCAGCGGCACACTTTCAAAGGTGCGTCTTTACAATAAAACATAATATATCTAAAACTGAGTCTTAAGTATCTTTAAGATTGCACTAAAACTTTAATGGTTAAAATAGGTTTCCTATGCGACTAAAATACTAAATAACTAATACATCTTAAGTAAAAACATTTTAGATACTGTGTCAAATGTTGAACCTAAATCTTGTCCCCCAAGTCTAAAAGCCTCATCACCTAGAATCCATTGAAGTTTATATTCAGGTGAAGACGCGAAGAATGTTTCACTCAGGGCAGATGGAATTTTGCTTTCAATTGTTTTGAAGAACACATTACGATGGTCATTATAGTGGGGACAGAGTAGAAGTCTATGTTCTACCGTTTCAATCATATTTGTACAAAAATTGCAATTGGGGTCCGAAAGTTTATTTTTCCATCTACATGTTTCACTTTTTAATTGGAACTTTCCTAATCTCGCAAGGAACTTTATCCTTGCGCCCTGAAAGTCATAGTCATTTCTAAGGTAGTTTTGAAGTCCTTTTCTGGTGGAAAGCGTACTATAAAAGGATAAGGATGATTTTTGATCAATTTCATTCTTAGTATAAGATTTACATTCTTCCCTTATCCTGTTATCGTATTCATTAATCATTTCATCAGAATCATGACTTATGCCATCGAAACCGATGGAGGACAGAATGTCATCCATTTGTTCAATGTATTTCCAGCTATTGGTTTTATTATTTTTTAGTCTATGTGACAAAGCTGCGATGAGGTTGCTTATAAGAGAATTCTCACTTTTGCCTAAAAGATGAAAAAAGTATTCAACTTGTCGTTTCAGCACAATCAAAAGAATAGGAGTCCATCCTAGCTCGTTTATAGCGCCAATATATGCCGGAGTGCTTTTGATATTGAAAATTGCTCGCGCTGCGTTATATTGCATCGACTGAAGTTTATTTCTGATCACTTTTGTATCTGTAACCCATACACCACACCCATGTAAGATGCTTGGTAGAAATTTACTTGTATATAACGTGTTCCCAAAATCAATCCTCTTAGCATTGAGATGTTTACTAAGGGTATATGAAATATGGTTTTTCAGCTTGACCGCGTTTGGCGCAAGTTTGTCAATGATGTGACAAGAATCTTTTAAGGACCTATCAATAAAAATTCCTAGGTATTTATATGTTTGAACCTCATTTAATTTTAGATCTCCCAAAGACCAAAGTTTAAGTTTATCAATTTTCTTACCTATGACCATAATTTTGGATTTTTTCTCACTAAATCTAAACCCCCATTTAATTGCGAACTTATTTGCAACTTGTAACATAGATTTCAAGTCATTTTCAGATTGACCGAGAAGGACAATGTCATCAGCCCACATCAAACTTGGGAATTTTTGGTCCTTAAATGAGATCCCAACATTCGCTTTTAAAAGTTCGTCTTGGAGATCTGTCATTACAATTGAAAACAGTGTTGTGGAAAGAGTACAACCCTGCTTTACACCACAAGTTGTGGTGAACCATGAATCTCCAATGTATCCATTATTTAACTTTACTTTGTTCTTTATGTTTTTATACATCTCTCTCAACAATCGCCATGCTTTGCCTCTAACGCCTTTTTCCCAAAGTTTAATAAACAAAAGGTCGCGATCCATGACGTCAAATGCCTTGGAAATATCAAGGAATGCAAGGAAGGTTTTTTCATTCTTATCTTTTCTTAGGCTGCATAATGCTTTCAATTTAAAAACATGGTTTTCAAGACGCTGATTTTTCCTATATGCTCCTTGAAAATCTCCAAACACATTTTTGCTTTCGAAAAAGGACATAAGATGAGTATTTACTAAAGAACAAAAAAGTTTGTAAACATTTGAAGTAATAGTGATTCCTCTAAAATTGTCAAGTGATTCATTAACTCCGCCTTTATGAAGGGGTTTTAAAATACCTTCCTTCCATTGGGATGGATATGTTTCATGTGTTTTACAAATTTTAAAAATATCTAGGAGTGTTCTAATCATTGATGTACCTCCATACTTAATGAATTCATAGGGTATCATATCAGTCCCTACTGCTTTACCATTTGGGAGTCGTTTTATATGTGAGACTAAAGTTTCGGAATCAAAGATGAGTTGATCGATGATATCAAAGTCGAAATGGCTGGAATGCGGATCATTTAGCTTGTTTTCAATATTGTCAAGCTTCTCCGCATGTTTTGATATTTCAATCTCTGGTGATTGTGGGTTGCGATTTTTGGGGCCAACATTAGCCCAGTAGTCATTCATTATTTTAGCGACTCTTTTTGGGTCATCAATAATTATATCCGGGTATTCGGGGTGTTGTACTTTTATGGGGGTATCATTTTGCTGATTAAACATATTAAGAGTTCGCCAGTAAGATCTTGAGCTTGATGATTTTTTAGAAGCATTTTTAGTAAGAACCTTTATGTGTTTTCTTACCATCTTTTCTTTAATATATTGTCGGACTCGGTCTTTCCTTTCAATATAAATTTTCCAAATATCGTCAAAACAATCGAGATCGGAGAGGCCAGAGGCTCGCCAGTACCTACAAAACTGGTTAGCTTCCTTACGACTCTGGATGAGCTTTTTTAGTTCTTTATCCCAAAAGGATCTATGGTTTAGTGATATGTTCATGTGACCAATCGTGTTATTCCCTGTATTAATGACTTTATCCCTCCAACAGACCCACATTTCTTCAGGGGTTGCAAAAACCTTGGGGTTCCAGTCTGCAAAATCATCATTTAAAGCAGACTTAAAAAGTTTCCAATCTGTTTTATCATTCATTTTCCAAAGGCATGCATCAGGACTGGTTTTGTTAATATGTCTCAAAACTGGCTTACATGAGTTTGTACTAGATTTTTTTATATCAAAATCCGTCATAATCATGCAGTGGTCGCTTCCAATTGAAAAATTACCTTCCTCATCAATTATCATAGAGGAAAGCTTATCATAAAGGGCTTGGTTACATAACAAGTAATCAATTGTGGATGTTATATTTCCTCGAAACCATGTATATGAACCATTACACTTACTTGAAAAATTTAGAACCTGCATGTTTGTGACTTCACATAATGTTTCAACCATTTCACCATTAGGACTGGGGGAGTCATTTTTATTGAATTTGTTTAGCTTGCCATTGAAATCACCCATTAATAGCACAAAATCACCAGTATTTTCTAGAGTTGCAATATTTGAGATTAATTCATCAGTAAGAGCATGACTACGTTCTGGATCTTTACCATCATTAGGATAATAGGTGATACCAACACTAAAAGTTTGATCATGTATTTTTACCCGGATCCAGTATCGTTCGAAATCATCCCTTTTTGAGCTCAAAAGGTCGTCATTAAGTACTTTGCAGTTTTCAGAAGAAACAAAAAATCCAATTCCCCCACCTTCAGATTTAGCGCGGTTTTTATCGTACCATTTATGATTATTACTTTTAACAATAAGAGGACGTTTGTCATTAAAAAATGTTTCCGCAACAGCCATTAATGTTATGTCATTTGTTTCTAGCAAATGTTTCAGCTCTTGCTGCTTAGCTTTACCTAAAATATTTACATTGTTATAAGCAAATGTAACACTGAGATTGTCATTTTGGCATTTAGCCTTACGGCTGCGTTTAGACCTTCGATGTCGGGTTTTTATATCATTGGGGAATGAGGCTTTATCTTTCGTGACATTGGGGGATAAGGCAGACTCATTGCCGTTACTCTAATAATGGGTAAGTACGGAAAACCTATTATTTCCAAGAAAGTCATTGTTCTGATGATCATATTCAAAAGACTGGACACGATTAACATAATGATTGTCCTTCATGACATTTAAATGACCCCTTGCAGGAGGAATATCATTGGGTTTATTGGTTTATTGCAAGGTTAGTTCTTCAACTTCATTATCATAAATTGTGACTTCATCATTGTTATGGTGCCATCTACATCTTCAAGCTATAGTTTTATAATGATTCTAAATGGATATAGGTTTTAACTGATGTGATTACAACAAATGGTGTGGTGCTAATTAAAATAGTCTGGTGCTTAAACAGCAATGCTCAAAAATGATGCGGTGCATTAATTATGTGGTGCTGATGAGCAAGTGATTTAAAAAATATCTAAAAATCATGATCTCTTTGTTTAAAATAAATTATTCAAGATATTTGTAAAAAAACATAATATGTAATATATTTAAAATGTGAACATGGTCTTTTGTTATTTATCAGCCCAATTTCGAATTTCATACTTGAAAAGTCTCTCAGCATATAGAAAATGGAATGGGTGAAACATAAATGCATACATTTTTCTGTAACTAATTTCATTAAAAAAACAATTTTGTTCTTCCATTAAAAACATTGAAAATAGAGAGAGTGACTGACAACATAATACACTGTAAAATGGACATTTTGACACAGTGCCTTATGTTTTACAATTTTGTTTCTCTTTTATCTTTAACTCTTATCAGTTCAATGTTGAATGCACTCACAATAAATCAATTTTGTAGATTTTGATATGTAATGAGTACATATGGCTGTTGGTGTGTATCCACAAAATTTTTATATACATGTATACACGAGAGAAACAAAAATGAAATGGTTGAGATGCTAAGAGTTAATCATTATTCTTTGAGCTACAAAATGAAACAAGGCATTAACAAGCAAAATGTCACCACCTGACATTTGTTACAGATGCCGACCACAAAAAGCCAAATGTTGAACACCATCCACAAAAAGTTGGAGACGATAACAATATGTCACCACTTGTGGTGGTAACATGAAAATGGACCAAAAAATTTACTTACCTTCAAACAGTTGATGATAAGCTTGATGCAGTAGGGAAGAATATCACTTTCTGTGCACGACAAAAGTTGCAACTGGTGAGACGATCCTGGCGAAATCTCCTCCTGTGATTGGTTGGAATCAGTAACATGGGGTAGCGACTCAATGACATTTAGTAACATTTCACAGGCTTTCTGTAATAATAAAACTTTTATTACTTCAAAGTACATGCTTATTGACCAAAAAATTAGGGATTGCTACGGTGATGTGAGCACTTGAGTACCCTGCAACCATCATATAAATTGGAATTGAACAACAGTTTCAAAAGATCTCTCTTTATTGAAGAGTGTGACAATAGCACTCTGATTAAGGGTAGAATTGGTACTGCAAGTAGAGGGTGTTATCCACGAACAATAATTTGTAATGTGAGCTACATATTATGATATGCTACCCTGAAACTACTAGCTTGTCATACATAGGCGTAGCCAGGGGGGTGCCATACCCAATAGAAATAAATGCATGAGAATGAAGAAGAAAACAACTTTAAAATGCTTCTTTTGAAGCTTCTTCTACGCCCCTGTCATACTTTCCTCAGGCAATATAATTATATCTTAATGAATGTGAAAATATCTTTCATGACCTTTTATTAAAATGTGAAACAAATACAAGCTACATAGGCAGAACATATTGACCATTCAGTCTGAATATAGGCTAGAACAAAAAAGAGTGTACATACAGTTACTCTTTCACAAAGGGTGATGATATGTTGGAGGAAAAACATGATGTCACATACATTTATCATTCACAGGCAATAAAATCACATTCAGATCAAACTCTGGAATAATAGAAATAGATAATGGGGGATGATGAAGATTGAAGACTTGATGTAGTACTACTGCATGTAGAAATATTCTATTTATATTATGTTATTTTATTTACCTACCGAATATGTGCCCATACAGTAATAACATGACGCCAGTTGTAAATCAGCACGAAGCTAAAAAAACAAAAAGAAAGTAGTTAAACTTTTAAGACATTAATTTATGTAAAAGAGCTGATCAATAATCTTCAAGCAAACTTCTACTTTTGAAACTATATGCTTTCATGTAATTTGAAGTAACAAGCTCTGAATTATGATTCAATGAAACCATGGTTTCTATGTCCAGGTAATTTCCAAGTAAATTGCAATTTCTTCTGCGATCTGTTAAGTGCTCACGTTGTATAAGCAAATTCTGACATGAATCTATGAGATAATTCAAACACCCTCAGATAACCACAATATTCCTCTCCGACAACCTTACAACACCCCAAGGAGGGTTTGTTGGTTTCACACAATAGCTATTGTCCTTCTATGACAGGTGTACGACAATATAGTTTGTTGTAGGTTTATGACAAAAGTCTCAGTTTGGAGAACAAAGTTTGGACAATTTTGATATTTTTACATATTGTATATTTAAATGCCTTCTTTTGAATATCCATAATTTGGGTAATATTTCTATAATTTTCTTAAAAAAATTATAAGCGCAGAACACTGATGAACTTCTTCTCCATCGAGACTTGTCTTTTATTGAATCGGTCTACTGCACATTATGTCTGCTTTGGAAAATTTTGATATTTTTACATCTTGTAGATTTAAATGTCCTCTTTTGAATATTCATAATCTGATTTGGGTGATATTTCTATATTTTTCATGAAAAAATATTAGTCCAGGAGACTGTTCTCCAAACCAAGACTTGATCTTTCTGGAAAAGGAATTTTTACATGTCGTGAAAACACAATTGAATCAATGATATCGTAAATCTACAACATTTCTGGAAATGACACCCTGGTTATTTTGGAAAAATCACAGCTGCAAAAGGTACAGTCACAATAAGATTCCAAAGGCATACTATTATATTCATTGTTGTCCATGATTTAATTTAAAATATATGACCCACTTTTTAAAATCATTAATTGAATTAATTGAGCAACTGCAGTAAACAAGAAATGTTACCAATTTGGTTTATGAATATAAGATTTCTTATTTTAGTTGACCTGAGAGGCTAGTCTGGACAGTTTATTTCATTTATTCTAAAATAACTTACAACAGAGAAGTTGGCATTGGACTTCTTTATATTTTCTAATTTGGCTATAGCTTCTCTGTACTCTCCCTGAAAGAAATAAAAACACAGCATTAATCTAAGTTATCAAAACTGTAAGTCCTAAGTTATCAAAACTGTAAAAGTTATTTCTAAGTGCCTGTAATTACTGAGTTCATTATTTTTTAGACAGACACTGTTATCAGCAGTATATTGTTACAATATATTACTTTGGAGAATGAACTCTTAACTGAACTAATGAATGGACAACATAGATCCCTACTTATACAACAAATGATCTCAGGAGTATTCTTTATAATACTCGATTTCATGTTCACTCCCCAAAATATCTTACATAGTGTTTTACAGCTATTGATATTTGTAAGATCAATTATAAGTTTATTTTGAGTACTGTATGTGGTATTTTATAATTTATTTAATTTTGTAAGTTATACCCACTGAACCTCTTCAGTGAAATATGCTTTATTCCTTACTAATTCAATTCTTTTTCTCGACTCTTTAAAGTTTTAATAGAATCTCTACATTTCAAATTATGATCATACATACCTGGTATAGGTGGCAGTCCGTTTCAAAATTACTCAGCCACGGCCAGTTTTCAGACTTCCAATAGTGTAAAAGCTTGGTCAATTCTGAAATTTTTCATATCATTGTTTATTTGTTTTTATTTCTTTATACATTACAAATAAAACATACACACTTATAATCTACTAGCTCCTTTGCTTACAGCAGCATACAATGGCATGGAAGAATATACAGAGTGGTCCAAAAAATGGGACACTCATATTTTAAAAATAAACAATGTATTTGGACCACCCTGTACATGTACCTTTTTCTAGAGATTCTTTAGAGTGTAGAAGCTGCCAACATCTAAATGCAGTGGTGAAGTTCTGGACCACCTCCAATGATGCAGGGACTGTCTTACTTATGTGGATGCTGGCCCCAGCATCAAGTTTCATCTTCTTTGACTTAGGCCTGGATACATTAATAAAGGTATAAAGTTGATTTTATATTTTCTTTTGGAACATATACATACATACACACGATAAACACTAAGATGCACAGCTTTCCTGGTAAAAAAAACAGAAAAGCAAAATTCTACAGCCAAAAAGGAAAGCATACGTACTATATATAATATATATACAGATTTATTTTTGTTTCTAAATAAGTTAGATTGTACTTAGAAATAGTGTTGCATAGTATGTGTTATACTTAGCTGGTGCTAGAGATAGGTAACATCCAAGGTGTTATACATAAACCTTCAGGGACCCAAGTTGTGAGAAACAGCTAGAAAGTGAAAATGGATATTGGAAAGTATTACGCGAGATTTTTTCAGTTCTTGTTGAAAAATAAGTTACTTTTATGATGTGGGGTGATATCTAGAGTTTGAGACTTGCGAAAATAAAATATCTTTATCTTTATACATTTCCTATAATTTTAGGGGGGTCAGAAGAAAATAGACTTTAATTCATAACTTTGGAAGTATATGAGATACAAACTTAATTTTTTCACCAAAATTTATGAAATAACATCAGTAATGAAGAAAAAAATATTTTGAATGAAAAAAAGCTAATTTGCATAATTTAACCCTTAAACTGCCATAAAAACTAGTAAATGACGAAATGATGTTATATCACATTTACTGTTATTGCCTTCATATGAAGTTATAACTTATGAAATAATTCCTAAAAATGCATCTATATATGTATAATAAATGTGCAAAATATTAGAAGTGTATCTTAGATAAAGACTGTGAAAAAATTTCTCCCCCTACCCAGATTTTTGAGGGGAGGGGGTCAAATAAAAATGGACTTTAATTCATAATTTTAAAAGTATATGAGGTACAAACTTAATTTTTTCACCAAAGTTTATGTAATAACATCAGTAATTCAGAAAAAATATTTTTGATACGCAAATAAGTTAATTTGCATAATTTAACCCTTATACAGTCATAAAAACTGTTAAATGACGATGCGATAAAATACTACATTTACTCTAATTGACCTCTCATGAAGTTTTAACAAATAAAGTAATTCCTAAAAATGCATCTATATATGTATAACAGATGTGCAAAATATTAAAAGTGTATCTTACATAACGACGCTGAAAAAAATTTGTCTCCCTACCCAGATATTTGAGGGGGGTCAAATGGAAATGGACTTTAATATATAACTTTGGAAGTATATGAGGTACAAACTTAATTCTTTCACCAAAATTTATGTTATAACGTCAGTAATTCGGAAAAATATCTTGATATGAAAATAAGCTAATTTGCATAATTTAACCCTTATACAGTCATAAAAAAAGTTAAATGACAAAGTGATGAAATACGACTTCTATGAAGTTATAGCTTGTGAAATAATTCCTAGAAATACATTTACAACAGGTATGCACAATATTAAAAGGGTATTGTATATAATGAGTGTGAAAAAAATCTCACACCCTACCCTAATATTTTAGGGTTGGGGGAAGTTAAAAGAAAATAATAAACTTTGATTCATAACTTTGAAATCGTATAAGAAAGAGCTTATACATGTATTTCTTCGCCAGAATATTGAGAAATCACATCAAGAATGAAACAAATATTACATGGAAACAATATTATACTAGTAGTAGTAGTAAATTTATTTATTAAAGTCTAACGCACTAAAGATGTTACATTAAGATACATACATGAATTAAAACAATTCCTGGTTGATGCCGACCTATTAGAGACCATCGCATGTAACTATTTCACGACTTTTGACTAACATATTTATCATACATTTTCCAAGTGTCCTTTGAACAGTTTTTTTTCATTCATTATTATACAATATTTTCCTAGACTTGTATACATGTAAAAGTCACTATGGATATCAGTCATTTAGGCAAACAGACTTAATCGTTCATTTTCAAACATATGACATTCTACTTTAAAGTGAGTTTCTGTCTCCATTGACTGTCCACATGGGCACGATCTCTGGTCTAGGGGAGTTGCGTTATTTTTGTTTATATTTCAATATAAAAACAAACCATCATTGGATGTATTACACTTGTTTGCAGCATCCAAAATGATATTAGAGCATTACCACTAATTATGGATGCATTTTTGGTTTATAACAATTATACATTTCAATGAATGCTGACAAACCACTTTTTGAGATTCCAGAGCCAGGGAATGGATTTGGATGTCAAGTGGTTCATATTACTCTTGAGACCATTAAAATGACCAAAAAACTGAAACTTGATATAACAAAAATCCCAAAGTCATTTTGCACATGCAAACGATACAAGGACAAAGCAATATGTTAAACCACTTGCTCATGTGCCACTGCAGGTACAGAATGTTTTGCTGCATGTTCATGGACAGGAATAAGTGGATTAACCCAAATATATATGATGAGATTTTCACTGCATCAGGTACCTACAACCTAGAATATGACACCAGTCCTCACAGTGACTCTGATTATGGTTCAATAAACTTTAGAATTGTTATGGTTACCTTTTTAAGGGTAATATTCTGAAACATTGCAAGTTCAATTCAACTCAATTTATTCATACATTTAATCATTATGTGTACACATATTATTAATAATAGGTGGCACCACAGGTGATGTTTAATACCCGTACGTATAGTAGTTAAATCATGAAGTCTATCATTATGTTGTCAACGAATCAAACCGGAATGTAATCACAAAAGTTAGATTATAATAACTAAAGCTGGTATGGGGGATCCATGATGCTCGTTTCATTTGAAGCCAAGGTGCCATATGCCATGGGGAAATTTTATGAATGTGTAGCTTCATTAATTATTATTTAAAGATGCCAGGCTACCGCATTGATGCAAATAATCTTTAAAAGTGTGATTCTTATAAAATATTAGTTATTAGACTCCAGATGTAAATCTGGAGTCTATTGTTTTCGTCAGTATTCTTATTATTATTCTTTATTATTATTATTCTTTATTATTATTCTTTCCCAGTTTTCTCGTTAACTAGAAGATATTGAGTCAAGTCCTATATATGGTCCATTTAGGTCCTAGATCTAGTTTCTCGGAAATTGGGTCAAATTTTTATCTAGGTCAAAGGTCAAGAACTAGGTCAAATCTTACATTTTCAACATTCTGTCATTTATCTTCATCGTTGTTTATCGTAACTTCTAAATCTTTTTTTCATCATGTAGCTTAGAAAAAGCCAAAGCAAAGATATGACATTAGATTTTTGATTACTCTTACCGATTTTTAAATATGGCGTCCAGAAAGTAGGTCACGACAAAAAGTTCTCCAAATTCAACGTATGACATATGAACTAAGGGTAGAATTTTCTCAGGAATCCGAATCTGCAAACCAAATTTTGATCCGACTTCGGGTTCAAAAGTTATGACATTTTAAAACTTTTTTTAACCTGCCAATAAGCACGCGCAAGATTGAAAAAATCAATATGATGGTATCCTGATAGAAAGTCAAGAGTAGTGAAGAAAATATTGAAAAATCCTTCCATCCATCCTATCTATCCTATCCTATCCTATATCCTATCCTATATCTATCCTATATCCTATCCCATATCCTATCCAATCCTATCCTTCTTTCCTATCCTTCCTATCCTATCCTTCCTTCCTATCCTATACTATCCTATTGTTTCTTCCTATTCTATCCTATCCTTCCTTCCTATTCTGGAAGGAAGGATAGGATAGGATAGGAAGGAAGGATAGGATAAGAAGGATAGGAAAGAGGGATAGGACTGGACGACTTGGCTTATTCTGGACGACTCGGCTATATCCATCCCACCTATCCTATTCAATCCTATCCTTCTTTCCTATCCTTCCTATCCTATCCTTCCTTCCTTCCTATCCCATCCTTCCTATTCTGTCCTATCTTATTCTTTCTTCGGATTCTATCATATCCTATTCTATCCTTCCTATCCTCTCCTATCCTGTCCTATACTATCCTATCCTAACTTCCTATTCTGTCCTATCATTCCTATCCCATGAATTCATCCATCCATCGGCTTATTCTGGATGACTCGGCTTATTCTGGATGACTCAGCCTATTCTGGATGACTTGGCTATTTTGGATGACTCGACTATAATATCCATCCCACCTATCCTATCCAATCCTATCCTTCTTTCCTATCCTTCCTTCTTATCCTATCCTACCCTTCCTATTCTGTCCTATCTTATTCTTTCTTCGGATTCTATTGCATCCTATTCTATCCTTCATACCCTGTACTATCCTATCCTTTCTTCCTATTCTATCCTATCCTTCCTTCCTATTCTGTCCTATCCTTCCTCCTATCAATCCATCCATTCATCCATCAGTCCAGCCATCCACCTGCTTATTCTGGATGACTCGGCTTATGCTGGATGACTCAGCTTATTCTGGATGACTTGGCTTATTCTGGATGACTCGGCTTATTCTGGATGACTCGGCTAAAAAAGGTCTTAATCTGGAGTCTGAAATTGAACTTGTTCAATTTCCAAAGTCTAGTTATTTTACCTTCCCCAAGGTTGGTATGGTCAGAATTATTATTTTAGATCTTTAGTAGTTTGGAGCAGCCCCCAGGTTGGCCCATGTACCTCCCTTGAGAGCCTACCCTTCTTACTGAAGAAACAAGAAATGATATAGTCAACTAATGATTAATAAGCTAAGAGAATATGCTTCTTCAGTTTTGATTTCAGAAAAGAAGTGGAATTTGACTTTTTTATTTCTTCTGGGAGATTGTTCCATATGGAGTAACCACTAAAGGCTATTGTTTTTTGCCATAATTTTCAGTTTTGCTTTAGGAAGGGTGAAGTTTGATTTGCCTCTAGTATTATATCTTTGAAAATCTCCATGGGTATTGAAATAGTTGGGAAAAATAGCTTCATAATTGTTGATATCATTTTTCCATTTAAATGCTAGTATTAAGAAAGGATATATTGTCAACGTCCTTACTTCATGTGAAGTCAATTTCAGTATAGAACCACTTTGCCTTATAATGATTCTCATGACTGTTTGAAGCTTATATTATGCAAATTAGTTGAAATATAGTATTGTCCCCATGTAATATTCGTTTCATTATTGATGTGATTTCTCAATTTTCAGCGAAGAAATATAAGCTCTTTCTTAAATTATTTCAAAGTTATGAGTTAAAGTCTATTATTTTCTTTAACCCCCCCCCCCGAGCCCTCAAAATTATTAAGGTAGGGTGTAAGATTCTTTTCACACTCATTATATAAAATAACCTCTTTATATTGTGCATATCTGTTGTATATTTTTTCTCGAAGTTATAACTTCATAAGAAGTCAATTAAAGTAAATGCCATATTTTATCACTTCGTCATTTAACGGTTTTTATTACTTTATAAGGGTTAAATTATGCAAATTAGCTTATTTGCATATCAAAAAATATTTTTTCTGAATTACTGATGTTATAACATAAATTTTGGTGAAAAATTAAGTTTGTACCTCATATACTTCCAAAGTTATGAATTAAAGTCCATTTTCATTTTGACCCCCCCCCCCCTCAAATATCTGGGTAGAGGGAGAATTTTTTTCACAGTCGTTATGTAAGATACACTTTTAATATTTTGCACATCTGTTATACATATATAAATGCAACTATATGAATTATTTCATAAGTTATAACTTCATGAGAGGTCGATTAAAATAAATGTCGTATTTTATCGTTTTGTCATTTAACGGTTTTTATGACTGTATAAGGGTTAAATTATGCAAATTAGCTTATTTGCATATCAAAAATGTTTTTCTTAGTTACTGATGTTATTACATACATTTTGGTGAACAAATAGGTTTATACCTCATATACTTCCAAAGTTATAAATTAAAGTCCATTTTCAGTTGACCCCCCTGAAATATCTGGGTAGGGGGAGAAATTTTTTAACAATCTATATATAAGATGCACTTTTAATATTTTTCACATCTATTATACATATATAGATGCATTTTTAGGAATTATTTCATCAGTTATAACTTCATATGAAGGTAATTACAGTAAATGTCGTATATTATCATTTTGTCATTTAATAGTTTTTATGGCGGTTTAAGGGTTAAATTATGCAAATTAGCTTATTTTTGTTCAAAATATTTTTTTCTCCATTACTGATATTATTTTGTAAAAAAATTAAGTTTGTATCTTATATACTTCCAAAGTTATGAATTAAAGTTTATTTTCTTTTGACCCCCTCCCTTCAATTTTAGGGTAAGGGGAGAAATATTTTTCACAGTCGTTATGCAAGATACACTTTTAATATTTTGCACATCTAATAAACATATATAGATGCATTTTTAGGAATTATTTCATAAGTTATAACTTCATATGAAGGCAATTACAGTAAAAGTTGTTTATTGTCATTCCGTTATTTAATAGTTTTTATGGCGGTTTAAGGGTTAAATTATGCAAATTAGCTTATTTTCGTTTGAAATATTTTTTTCTGAATTACTGATGTCATTCTATAAATTATGGTGAAAAAATTAAGTTTGTATCTCATTTACTTCCAAAGTTATGAATTAAAGTTTATTTTCTTCTGACCCCCCTGAAATTATAGGGTGGGGGGTATAAAGATGAGGATATCTTATTTTCGCAAGCCTCAAACTCTAGATATCACCCCACATCATAAAATAAATATATTTTCCAACAAGAAAATGAAAAAATCTCGCGTAATACTCTCCAATATTCATAAACAAAAATATTCAGGCTGGGTCCCTAAGGATGGTGCTAGAGATGCAATATACTTATAAATAGCAAGTCAGTACTCTTGATGCATTACTTAGATGGCGTAACAAAGTGTTTCACTTACTCTGATGATGTTGAAGATGTGTTTCTGGAGCATGTCTCCACGAGAACCAGTGGGGGATGGAGACCTGGGCCACTGCTAGTCGCTGAAACAATAACAACAATGTCATGACAACTGTAATTTATATTTTCCTCTATAATTAGAATTAGTTGAATCTTTTGTATTTTTATACAACTGTTTGCCAACACTGTATTTCTTGTTGATTCCAGGATTTTCTACAATCAAAAGTTTCAAAAAACCCTACAACATTTTTGGATGTAATATCTGCAAAAACATGTAATACTAAGTTTACCTGCAAACTGATCTGATTCAACCCTGCTAGCATGTAATATAAGACACTCTAGGAAAAGAACACTTCCACAGTAAACAGTCTCTTTTGTATCACCTCTCTGTTGCATAGCAACCAGATGTTGCCATTGAGCCTCCCGACTAGAAATAAAACAAACAGTTTAAATACAGATGCCAGATATTTTAAAAAATGAATTGAGAAAGTAAATGTACTTTTGATCTTCCTCTACTTGCACCCCCCCCCACACACCCAGCCTCATACAATGTCTATGTTCACCCAATGTGATACAATCCTGAGAAATACACAGAGTACAGTGTACCTTTTAAGTCTGTACAAGTTGCCTATGTTCCAACCAAGTTTCTGACCAAAGAGTTCAAGCAGCTCAAAGAGGCTGTTCCAGGGTGTTGCAATTACGCTCTCACTCTCTGTTAGACCTGGGATTATGCCTAGCTTTTTAAATGAGCCAGCTGCAAATGATGTTTTAGTAGGAGACATCAGATCTGGAAATAGATGAATTGATACAGAAATCAGTTCTGTCAATGAATATCAGGATTCCCATATCAAAACAACAATAGTACTATGTTTTTCTGCCTTTATTTTTGTCCCTTGTAAATGAGTGGAGATTGCATGATACTGAGACAATTTTACATACCATGCATTATAGACTATTAATTAAATGTTACTCACCAGGACTCTTCAACATTGGTGTATTAATATCTTTGGATGGGGGTTGGGCTATATAGCTGATGTAGAACTCTATAGACTTCTGGAGCCATTTCTGTATGTGTTTAACAGGGGCATCAAGTTTCTGGTACCGAAGTATTATAGGCATGATGTCACACACTAGAAAATTAAAAATAATGATACAACACATTGAAAAATGAAGAATGGTGTATCCGACTTTTACAAATAGATTTATATACAGGGTTGGGTAATTTCTAACATGTATCTAATGGTCTTCTAAAAATGAAACAAATAAGATCTAAAGTGAGTATAAAAAGCAACAAATTTATATCGAAGTATCCACATTTTTGAGTGTTTTAATCGAGTATTTAATATTTTTTGAGATGAATGTAAAATTAAGCATTATAAATTGGAGGAGCTACCAATGAGCTTTCAAATACCAATATACCTAAATATTTCCTATAGCAGTTTATAGATGAATGGAGGTGGGCATGTTTCTCTGTAAACAGTAGACTATCCACCAGCTTCAACTGAAAACAGAATTTGTGACATTGTTTAAGGACCACAGCAAAAGGTCACTGCTAGGGATAGTTAAATATAAATTAATATTTAAATCTCATACACCCACCATACCTTTGTTCATTATTTTATTTTATCTTGAAACATGCAGCATTGAGATTTATTCAAATATAGGTTGCGAATGTTGAATGTGTTATAAATATTGTATATCCAGTGTTAAATGATATTGAGATCAATAGGACTATGTAAAGCCTAGACCAGACCTTACCCCATGTTGCTGTATAAGATGGGGAAATGTGTTCAACACAAGGACCATGAGGCGTGCTTGTTCTATGATGTCCTTGTTCTGTTCTCCGATCTTCAACAACATCTTACTTTGCATTTCTGGTGGAATATTTTCAAACACACCTACAGATTCAAACATTTGCAAAGATAAAAAATATGGAAAAAGACAAAATGTTACATCACTTATGATAAAATATATTCAGTGATGTTGCTGGATCAAATTAACAGTTAGGTGTAAAAGATTCCAAGTATAGAGCCACAAGGTTGAACATGAGCGTGTCAGAGAATGTATACTTAAACAATGCTACATAAAAACATTTCTACCTTTAAGAAATTGATTTTCTTGAGTTTTACATTGCACTGCATTAGAAATACTTTGTAGTTCACAGGCAAGCTTTTCCTTGTCTGGAAACTCTGTAAACCTGTAATAAAAAATGTTCATTTTATGTTTCTTTTATATGTTTATTTGATGATAAATATCTACATGTAATTCACAGCTGAAGCTTCATTTCTTCAGAGACCAGGATCCTTTTTAACTCATCATTTCCATCAAATTGAAATCAGATCATTCATCCATTGCTGTTATCTATAATATATTAATAAATATTACTTTTAAAGAGGAATTACATGTAGCTTGCTCTATGGCTATCTAATATTAGCAATAGTTTATGTACTACATAGGTTGGTCCTTACTAGACTCTGATTTGGGGCTAGTGAGGGCAGACAAGGAGAGCAGATTTTAAGCTAGACTACAAATTGCTTGATATCTTTACTGAGTCACATTTATTGAGTTATCTAACTACTGTATAATAACTATACCCAGCTGTATAACTATGGCAACTGTTTGTTAAACTTACATTTCTTCCAAAAGCCTCGCTGCTTCCTTTGTGTCTTGTTCAGCCTTTGCAATGCCATAAGCCTCAAACTGAAAACAGACAATTTTTGAGAATTGTTGGAAATCTTAATTCAACTTCTCATAATATGGACTGGCAATAGGGTTGAGGTAAATGTACATGTAGTTCTGCATGTTCAGAAATTTTAATGGCTTCCTGAGAGAGTAGTTTCTGTTAGCTTTGGAATCTCACTAAGTCATAAATTTTCCACAATAATAACTCTGAATATACAGGTATGTTATTCAAATCATTTGGCAAATCTCCATTGATGGAATGTTAAAATTCTTGGTTTATTTGTTCAACAACCAAAATGTTCATGATTAATTTCAATATGGACATAAACAGAATCATTCAAATAGTATTTCATTCGAGTTTTAGACAGATTTAAATGTAATGACCTATAGCATAGCCAGGATGAGGCAGATCAGGGGCTTGCCTTGCCACTTTTTTAACATCATTTGAGAAATATTCCTCTATCAATGATGAATTGTAAATTACTTAATTGTGCATAAAAAGGATTATCATTGTGTTCTTCTCTTGCCAACATTGAACTTAGTTCATATTTTAATGGAGTTTTATAAGTATAACTACATGTATCGTTCATATTTCAGAGGAATGATTTACATTTGTATTTCTGACTGAGTTTCATACATGTAGCCTCTAGAGTCTATTTCACTGTATAATTGCGTCAGTAAAACCTAAAAATTAAGAAATCAAAATATCATTATGCAATAATATATGGAAAAATACATTCCTATTGTACATGAATGACATTTGTATATCTTGGATTGCTTCTAGTTTAGCTAATAAAGTGTGTGGCCTCTATATTTGGATGCTTCTCTGCCATGTTATTTTCAATAAGATTAACATGGCTGAAATTCTTCAAATTAGAAGAGGGCACAGGCTTATTGCACAAAAAACTAAAAAATCTGAAATATACAAATGTCATTCATGTACAATATGAATATACTTTTCCATATATTATTGCACAATGGTCTCCCGATTTCTTATTTTTGGGGTTCTACTGACGCAATAAAACAGTGAAATGGACTCTACAGTTTGGAACCAGAACAACGGCAACGCCAAAGCGTAGCGAATCCCATCGAACAGAAATGGCTGGCATTTTTACCAACGAGGCGCAAATAGCATAAAACAACACACCAGAAAGGCCACCATTTTCAAAATGGTTGCTCACTAGCCAAGTTGTCATCAGAAGAAATAATATCCTTTTAATTAGCCACCTCTAAAATTTTTGAAAAATCGCACACGTACTTGTAAAATAACACACATAAAAATGGTGGCCATTTTTCAAAATGGCCAACTACTCCCCAAAGTTTTATTAGACAATGTGCCAGGCTTAAAGTATTCACATGTCAAATATGAACAAAATCGCTCCACTACTTTTCGAGTTATAGTAAAATACGTTAAAAAAATTTTCAAAATGGCCGCCTTCTACCAAAAGTGTCATAGGACAGTGTGCCATGCTTATAGTATTCACATACCAAATATGAACAAAATCGCTCCACTACTTTTCGAGTTAAAGTAAAATGCGTTAAAATGGCGGCCATTTTTCAAAATGGCCGCCTTCTATCAAAAGTGTCATAGGACAGTGTGCCATGCTTATAGTATTCACATACCAAATATGAACAAAATCGCTCCACTACTTTTCAAGTTATAGTAAAATACGTTAAAATGGTGGCCATTTTTCAAAATGGCCGCCTTCTACCAAAAGTGTCTTTAGACAGTGTGCAATGCTTATAGTATTCACATACCAAATATGAACAAAATCGCTCCACTATTTTTTGAGTTACAGCCAAAATCGTAAAATGACGAGTAAAGGCCGCCATTTTTCAAGATGGCTGCCATGTGCTTCTTTAATATCTACATTTGTAGCATTATTAATGTCCTTTATAATTTTTTTACATTTAAAACATATTGCTATTACAGTTTTACATATAGCACCTAAATTACTGTAAAATCCTCACTTAAATGGCCGCCATTTTGAAATGAGCGGCCATTTTGAAAATCGGCTTTCGAGCAGAACTTCTACCCCCATAGGGTATATGTGTACAAAATATGAACAAAATTGGTCCAACGGTATTTGAGTTATTGCCCGGACGGACGGACAGACGGACGGACGGACGGACGTACGGACGGACGGACGGACGGACGGACGGACGGACGGAGGCGTTCCCTATATCCCTCCGAACTTCGTTCGATGGGATAACAAAATAAATGACAGGTGGATTTTCTACAACCATATCCAAACCATGGTGTTTTGAAAGCCCTATAGTCTCAAATATTGTCTAGATACATATCCCTTAAAATTTATATATTTAACATTTTGTATACTGTCATGCACTGATGTATGACCTCTTGAAAATTCTCTTATTTTTAACATGGGAAATCCTCACTTCAGCAAATCCATGTGTCATTATTTTTGTTCCAAACTGTAGTTTAGAATCTGAATAATGGAAATGTTGTAACATAGCCAGGATTTTATGCCATTGACGACCAGAGGCACCTCTGCTGTAACAAGCCAGATACTGGACATGAAAGGGAATGAGCTGAAGTCAATGCCCCATGTACAGAACATGTAGGAATCAAATCTAGGACCTTACGCTCGATAGACCTAAAGCTACTGCCGACCCAGATGGATTGTAGTAGCAACTTGTTATCAAAGGTCATTACACTATCCCCCCAAAGAAGATGCCGCCACTGTCAACCAGGATATACATAAGTGTGAGTCCCATTTCTGACACTATAATGACACAAGGCTCATCAGGGGAGCTGCAGTGTAAAAACCTAAAGATGCTGTACATCAAAGTGAGTGTGCGAAATTCAATTCCCCGTGAGGGACATTTATTTATTCAGCTTATAACTCCATTACTGACTACTCCTAAGGCTACACTTGTACTGTACTGTAACTACAGTGTAGGGTAAACTTTCAATTATTCCCGGGTGAAATTATTTCTGAATTTGTCCTAAAATCTCTTATGTCGTACCTGTATTGAGAAGTTTTTCGGAAAGAGCGTTCTAGCAGTAAGGAGCCATGCTTTGGAAGCATATGGATCTGTAGTTAAACATTGTCTTGCACGATTAACAAGCCAAGTTTCAGTGTTTTCTTCATTTTTCATTTCAACGTCCTCCATCTTGAAATTTGTACGTGCGCAACGAGAATGCGCAGATTTTATACCTCTAATTGTTGAATTCCTAAAATAAAATAGAAAGTGACAATGTTGAAATGTTTCGAGGAGTGTATCATAGATTCCCTCGGGAAAATTTCAAAAAGAACAATTGTCTTAAAGCTGAGGAACTATGAGTTCAATTATAACCGGAAGCCGAATATATTGTACTTCCGGCTTGATGAAATTGCTTGCATTCCGCCAACATTTTAGAACTTTTGCAAAAATGGTAATATATACATAAGTGTCATCAAATATTATTGACTGTTAGTGTGTATAAGTTATCCATGATTCGTTTGATATGTCATTCGTCAAGATTCATCTATTTTTGGCTCTGCAATAATGTGTAAAAGAACCAATATGACTTTCAAACAAAGAAACATGCCGAGCGAGCAATACCTCATTGGTACATTTCCGTATCTTATGTGTACTACACTCAGAGACAGAGCCAGAAACCCGATCAATTTCAAGTCAATTTTCAGTGATGATTCTTAGTACGAAAATCTAGATCTGTTTAGTTTTTTGGCATTCTGGGTAAATGTCAAGGCTGCCATTTTGGATTTTCTGTCCTAAAATCTTGTCTACGCGATTTCTGGTTAACTGTTTGACGGATCAATTTCAAATGTCCAGGGGTGGTTCTTAGCACAGATCCGGAGCCAGATCCAGCCCATGTTGGTAGTAGGCTCAAAGGATAAATGGGAAGATGAGACACGAGCCAAAAATGGCACATCAAAAAAATGACCACCCAAAATTATGACCCTCGTACTGACCTTATTTTTTCCATCTGTCAGACATTGATTGATCAATATTTACCCTGTAATCTCTTCTTTATGTATTAGTTTGAATGGTTGCATGATATCCATTATTGACGCTGTAATTCGACTTTTCCCGGGACATTTATTTCAAATTTTCAGAGCGTAAAGATAATGGAGCACTTCGGTAATTTCCGGCAGTGTCCGATGTTGTTCGTCTCTCAAATTACGTCACATCGCAACAAACAGCCAATGAAAGTAAAGAATCGCGTAGCCTAATAAACCGTCATTATTGTTTCTACGGGAGTTTAAAGAAACGTCATTGGACTTCTCTGTAATCTCTGATGTGACGTCATCCGGAGTGGCGTCACATTCTCAGAAAAGGCATTTGACTTCGGGAATAATCATTTGAACAACGGAGATAGCCGAAGTGCTCCATTAAATATACGCTCGCTTATTTTATGCTTTTATCAACAGACGCTTTCTTGGATGTTTGGCTTTAGTGATTTGAGTTGAAGCTAACAACAGTACGCATCGTTTGAGGTATGGCATGTGATATTTATTGATAAACTGACTCCAAAATCAAGGAAAAATAAATTTTCCGAAGATCTCGTGTCTTGTCCTTGAGTATATTTATTGAGCCTAGACACAGAGGAGCTTTTCTGGCAGAGGTCCGTGGTTCTTAGTATGAAAATCCAGAACTGCCTAATATTTTGACCTTCTGGGTAAATTTTAATTCGGTGGCCATTTTGGATTTTCCGTCCTAAAATTGTGTCGATAAAGTTTTGTCTACTCATTTTCAGGATAACCATTTTATGGATCAATTTCAAATTTTCAGGGATGATTTTTAGTATCACAGGCTGGTATTGAAATATTTGTCCGCTGTGACGGAGCATGCTATTTTTCATAAAAACACTAAGAATACTTCATGATTTATTTTTTAACTAATATGTTTCGTTAAACCATACAAAATTACTTACTCCATGCAATGGATATATCATTTGCGGGTAACTTTCACTTCTGTTTGAAGTCCAATTACGCTGGGAAGAAAAGCTATTGAAAATGGCGCCGGAGTATCATACTTCAAAATGTACCATTTCTTGTTTAACTTTCTAATGGCACGATATAGTGACACAATAATATTTACACATGGTTTCAGCATAACTATGAAGGTACAAATGAGATGTTGATGTATTTGGTCTTTTTATTTCTTTTATAAAAAATATTGTTTAATTTTTTTGTCCGCTGTGACGGAGCAGTTGCAAATGTGAACTGTGAAAATGATCTGTCACAGCGGACAAAAAATATTAATATTATTTTTTATAAAAAAAATGTAAAAGACCCAATGCATTAATATCTCATTAATACATTCAGAGTTATGCTGAAAACATATGTTTATATTATCGTGTCACTATATCATGCCAATAAAAAATTAAAAAAGAAATGGTACATTTTAGTGTTTGATACTCTGGCGCCGTTTTCAATAGATTTTACTCCTAGCGTTATTGGACTTCAAAGAGAAGTGAAGGTTACACGCAAATGATATATCCATTGCATGGAGTTAGTAATTATCTTTGATATAACGAAACATATGAGTTAAAAAATAAATCGTGAAGCATTCTTAGTGTTTTTATGAAAAATAGCATGCTCCGTCACAGCGGACAAATCTTTCGATACCAGCCTGTGAGTATGAAAATCTTGGAACTGATTAGTTTTCCACATTCTGGGTAAATTTTAAGGTGGCCATTTTGGATTTTCCATCCTGAAATCCTCTGTGTAAAGTCTTGTCTACACGTTTCCTAGCAAATCGGTTGACAGATCGATTTCTTATTTCCAGGAATGATTCTTTGTATGAAAATCTCAAACTACATAGTCTTTTGGCAGTCATGCTAAATTTTAAGGCGGCCACATTGGATTTTTCTCTTAAAATCTTGTCTTTTCAACTGATTAGTGTTAGGCATACAGGATGTAAAATTTGCAGTATATAGAATCACTCATTGGTTGGGACATGTTGTACACATTTGTGTTCTTGTATACGAGTTGTGGACCACTCAGTCAAACACCCAGATTTACATAATGCACAAACAAATGTGTCTGAACAGGGATTCCCGGGGAATATTCACTAGATGACAGTAAAGTATGTCTACAATTGAATAATTGGCTTCCAGAATATTTTTTATCGCACTTTGAAAAAGTGCTATATTGTCGTCGTCTTGTGCTGTTGGGCGGGCGTTTGGGCGTGCGGGCGGGCGGGACATAAACCAAATCTTGCCATCAAATTTCCAGGATAACTGCTTACCTGTTCAACTTGAAATTTTTACAGATGCAACAGCAGACTAGTACCAAGATCTGATTAGGTTAAGGGCATGCTGGGTAAACTACGTGGCGGCCATTTTGAATTTTTCAACAAATCTTGTCATCAAAATTCCAGGAAAACCACTTATCCGTTCAATTTGAAATTTTTACAGATGCAAGAGCAGACTATTGCCAAGATCTGATTAGGTTTTGGGTATGCTAGCTGAATTACATGGTGGCCATTTTGAATTTTTGAATTTGGCGGCCATTTTGAATTTTTCAACTTGCTCCAAATTGACCAAATTTTTTTTAAAAAAACATCTACAAGTTCTCAGAAGTTCAAATCTGACCTTAGATTTCAGATTTGACCTTTCATTCACCTTCAGTGACCTTGAAAAGGTCAAAAAAGTTGATTTTCTAAATCGATATTTTTGATTTAAATTTAGGTCAGCTTAATTACAAAACACCTACTGAGGTCTGAAAAAGTGAAATTTTCAAGGTCGAAAGTCAAGGTCATTAAACTAGGTCACAAATGATGTTATCCAAGTTTCTCAAAGTTTGAGACTACAAATCAATTCTTGTCATCAAAATTCCAAGAAAACCGCTAACCTGTTCAACTTGAATTTTTTACACATGCAATAGCAGACTAGTGCCAAGATCTGATTAGGTTAAGGGCATGCTGGGTAAACTACGTGGTGGCCATTTTGAATTTTTCAACAAATCTTGTCATCAAAATTCCAGGAAAACCACTTATCCGTTCAACTTGAAATTTTTACAGATGCAAGAACAGACTATTGCCAAGATCTGATTAGGTTTTGGGTATGCTGGCTGAATTACATGGTGGCCATTTTTAATTTTTCAATTTGGCGGCCATTTTGAATTTTTCAACTTGCTCCAAATTGACCAAATTTTTTTTTTAAAAACATCTACAAGTTCTCAGAAGTTCAAATCTGACCTTAGATTTCAGATTTGACCTTTCGTTGACCTTCAGTGGCCTTGAAAAGGTCAAAAATTTGATTTTCCAAATTGATATTTTAGATTTAAATTTAGGTCAGCTAATTACAAAAGACCTACTGAGGTCTGAAAAAGTGAAATTTTCAAGGTCGAAGGTCATCAAATTAGGTCACAAACAATGTTATCTAAATTTTCCCAAAGTTCAAGACTACAAATAAATTCTTGTCATCAAAATTGCAGGAAAACCGCTAACCTTGTCAACTTGAAATGTTTACAGATGCAAGAGCAGACTAGTGCCAAGGTCTGATTAGGTTTTGGCCATGCTGGGTAAATTGCATGGTGGCCAGTTTGCTCTTCAAAGTGCGATATTTATCACTGTGTGTCTTGTTTCAACTTTCTCTCATTTTCATCTAAAACTATAGGGAAAGCCTGCAGAACTCATTCAGAATTTGCCTTTTCGGCTTTTCCATTTGGAAAATTCATCAGTTCAACTTGCAGAAAACTGGCAACTATTCCTTTAAATACAGGCTATATTCTGTGTTCTAGGCCTCTTCTCCAAAGCGTGCTAAGCTGAGTGGTGAAGAGAGAGAGACTAGTCTTAGTGCACTGAAGGCTGCTGGATGGACTGAGGTTGAGGGCAGGGATGCAATTTATAAAGAGTATATGTTCTCCAATTTTATTCAGGTACATTTTGGGGATTATTAATGAATGTTGTATGTTGCTCTTTTGCTGTTTTATGTTGCACATTTATATTTTTATCGCACTTTGAAAAAGTGCTATATTGTCGTCGTCTTGTGCTGTTGGGCGGGCGTACGGGCGTGCGGGCGGGCGGGACATAAACCAAATCTTGTCATCAAATTTCCAGGATAACTGCTTACCTGTTCAGCTTGAAATTTTTACAGATGCAAGAGCAGACTAGTACCAAGATCTGATTAGGTTAAGGGCATGCTGGGTAAACTACGTGGCGGCCATTTTGAATTTTTCAACAAATCTTGTCATCAAAATTCCAGGAAAACCACTTATCCGTTCAACTTGAAATTTTTACAGATGCAAGAGCAGACTATTGCCAAGATCTGATTAGGTTTTGGGTATGCTGGCTGAATTACATGGTGGCCATTTTGAATTTTTCAATTTGGCGGCCATTTTCAATTTTTCAACTTGCTCCAAATTGACCAAATTTTTTTTTTAAAAACATCTACCAGTTCTCAAAAGTTCAAATCTGACCTTAGATTTCAGATTTGACCTTTCATTCACCTTCAGTGACCTTGAAAAGGTCAAAAAAATTGATTTTCTAAATTGATATTTTGGATGTAAATTTAGGTCAGCTTAATTACAAAACACCTACTGAAGTCTGAAAAAGTGAAATTTTCAAGGTCGAAGGTCAAGGTCATTAAACTAGGTCACAAATGATGTTATCCAAGTTTCTCAAAGTTTGAGACTACAAATCAATTCTTGTCATCAAAATTCCAAGAAAACCGCTAACCTGTTCAACTTGAAATTTTTACACATGCAATAGCAGACTAGTGCCAAGATCTGATTAGGTTAAGGGCATGCTGGGTAAACTACGTGGCGGCCATCTTGAATTTTTCAACAAATCTTGTCATCAAAATTCCAGGAAAACCACTTATCCGTTCAACTTGAAATTTTTACAGATGCAAGAGCAGACTATTGCCAAGATCTGATTAGGTTTTGGGTATGCTGGCTGAATTACATGGTGGCCATTTTTAATTTTTCAATTTGGCGGCCATTTTGAATTTTTCAACTTGCTCCAAATTGACCAAATTTTTTTTTAAAAAACATCTACAAGTTCTCAGAAGTTCAAATCTGACCTTAGATTTCAGATTTGACCTTTCGTTCACCTTCAGTGACCTTGAAAAGGTCAAAAAAGTTGATTTTCTAAATTGATATTTTGGATTTAAATATAGGTCAGCTTAATTACAAAACACCTACTGAGGTCTGAAAAAGTGAAATTTTCAAGGTCGAAGGTCAAGGTCATTAAACAAGGTCACAAATGATGTTATCCAAGTTTCTCAAAGTTTGAGACTACAAATCAATTCTTGTCATCAAAGTTCCAAGAAAACCGCTAACCTGTTCAACTTGAAATTTTTACACATGCAATAGCAGACTAGTACCAAGATCTGATTAGGTTAAGGGCATGCTGGGTAAACTACGTGGCGGCCATCTTGAAATTTTCAACAAATCTTGTCATCAAAATTCAAGGAAAACCACTTATCCGTTTAACTTGAAATTTTTACAGATGCAAGAGCAGACTAGTGCCAAGATCTGATTAGGTTTTGGGTATGCTGACTGAATTACATGGTGGCCATTTTTAATTTTTCAATTTGGCGGCCATTTTGAATTTTTCAACTTGCTCCAAATTGACCAAATTTTTTTTTTAAAAACATCTACAAGTTCTCAGAAGTTCAAATCTGAGTTCAAAAAGTTGATTTTCTAAATTGATATTTTGGATTTAAATTTAGGTCAGCTTAATTACAAAACACCTACTGAGGTCTGAAAAAGTAAAATTTTCAAGGTCGAAGGTCATCAAATTAGGTCACAAACAATGTTATCTAAATTTTCCCAAAGTTCAAGACTACAAATAAATTCTTGTCATCAAAATTGCAGGAAAACCGCTAACCTTGTCAACTTGAAATGTTTATACAGATGCAAGAGCAGACTAGTGCCAAGGTCTGATTAGGTTTTGGCCATGCTGGGTGAATTGCATGGTGGCCAGTTTGCTCTTCAAAGTGCGATATTTATCACTGTGTGTCTTGTTAATGTCAAGTATAAATCTAAGTTTGAGATGAAATGTTGCATTGCATTAAATAATATACTGTACTCCTGGTATTTAACGCGTTCGATTTAGTTTCCCGATTTTCGCGAAATTGGTAAAATCGCGAAAATTAATCTTCGCTAAATTGTCAATTAAATCCCGGGGATTGTGAAATTTTTCATTACCTGAGACTCCATTGCATTTTCTGTTCTGTAAAATGTTTGTCAAGTGTTTTTAGGCGATAAATGGGATACTAAGTAACAATTTCTGTTACAGTGGCTTATTAGATCAAATAAACCCAAAAATTATGACGTAATAGAGGTTAAGGTGCAGCGTGTCGTTGACCAAGATGACATAGTAGTAGGTATACTTAATGAAAATCGCGAAATTTAATAGCCGCGTAATCGTGTTTTCTCAAAATTTGCGAAATTAAAACTTGCAAAATTAACTGGGAGTACAGTAGATTAGATAATATGTAAAATATAAAATGCCTTTGTTGATACATTATCTCATATGAATTAATAGTCTCATATAAATGTGTAGTGTAGTGTAGTGTTATGCAGTGTAGTGTAGTATAATACACAACCACTAAAATTATGAATTTATAATTTTGCAGGCCTTTGGTTTCATGACAAGGGTTGCCCTTCAGGCAGAGAAGATGGATCATCACCCAGAGTGGTTCAATGTGTACAATAAGGTATAATGTTTGAACAATTGTTATTTGGGATATAGCCAGGGTGCAAAAATAGACAAAACAAATTTTCAAGTGAAAAAGGTAAAGGTGAGGCAAACTTAAGCAAAAGAGGACATTATAATCCTATGGGAAAACATTCTCACTGTAAAGTCACAAAAATAGGCCCATATGTCACCCCATAGCATAGGTATTTAATAAACCCCCCCCCCCCCCCCCCATTGGAATATGTGAAATATGACATATTCAGTTGTATGCTACATTCACATTTTAAACGTCCATATTTAATTTATTTTCTTCAGGTTCAGGTGACACTAAGCACCCATGATGTCGGTGGATTGTCATTGAGAGATGTCAAGCTGGCAACATTCATGGATGAAAACACCAAAGCATAGATTAGTCTACTTCTTCAATACAATAACCATTCCTCACAGGGCCCAATAAAATATACAGAGTTGAACCACTGCAATGGACATCTGATTTATATAGGGTTATACACATTGAGCCTGTATTAATTTACTTGACCATTGGTTGGAATACTATCCTTAGTCTATTATGACTTGTAACTGTAACTGAAAAGAATCATGAATTAAATATTAATCATTTTGTAATGTTATGATAAATCATTGTTAAAAAGAGTGGAATTTGGAGTGAGGGTTCGAGAATATTTTTTCTAGTCAAAATGATCTGTTATTCTCTTTTATCGTATGATCTGTAAAATGAAGCCTTCTGATTTGGTCAGTTCTTGCGCTGTACCAATCTGTATTGCTACTGAGATTGTCCGCATTGATCATCTCCGTCGCAGTACAGAAAATATTGGTACGGAGGGGACATTCTCAGTAGCAATACAGAGGATCACACGATAAAAACGTTATAGAATGATTTGAAGTGTAATACAGGATATATTCTGTCTCGATATTCTGTATTAGCACTCGACTTTGTCTCGTTCCAATACAGAATTTCTTGAGCAGAATATATCCTGTATTGCACTTCAAATCATTCAATAACTTATAGTATTATTTTCTTGTTTTATTTAGAATATGCTGTGATATGGGCCCTGTTCATTTGTTTTAGTTATAGGGACATTTAATCAAATATTGCATAAGGTGCATAGAATCTTTGACCCTCAACTTTGATAGGTTAACTAATAGGATCTTTCTACGCTTGACAATGTCGACATACATATTGTTATTGAAGAATGGATTCAAGAGGTGTATGTAATATATATATGTAATGAGTGATATTATCAGAAGCAGCTACATGTCATGATCTGCATACTTATGCTATTTATTGTGTAGCCTAGGGGCCTACCAAAATAAGTTTAGAAATAAGGGATCCTTGGAATAAGACTAATTGTTTATAGGGATTGGTTTACATAGATTGAAGCTTCAGCTTATATTTTAAGAAGATTTATCAGGAGAGTGCATTTAATATATTGCCTTCGCACCTTGCAATTTTTGACATAATATAAAGTTATTCTGAAACATGACAGTTTTTCTATGCACTGGCCAATTTTGCCAAACATACTGACATACTCAATACACCAAAATATCAATATTTGTGACAGGATGTGCCATTCTTATTACAGATCTTCTTGGTTTTCCTTGCTTACATGGCTTATATCCAGACATTAGCTAGTACATATTGGAATGAATGTCAGTGCTTATGCCATACTCTCACAGACTTACACTATGTAATGTACTTGACAATGTTATCAGGTTATTGTGTACTCATCAGCCAATCACTGCCATGACACCTGTATTTTGTTCATCTTTATAGAATAAATTCTTAGATATGCCAAAGAGTATAAATGATTTCTATGAAAAATAAAAATTTATTTATGCATAGTAAATTAGATAGAAAAAATTATTGTTTGTTGTTCAGTGTCTTAACTACAATTTACTTGAGTGCGCTCCTTAGTGATCTTTAAATAACCTCTGCTGCACTAAGGTTCCAATACACCATTGGAAAGCTGGGAGAGTCAGTTTTAAGAATCTAACCTCCATTCGAATTTTTACTGAGTGCAAAATTAGGTATAAACCCTTTCATCATCAAGGGGTAAAATAAAGGAATCAATCATGCTTTTTCAATCAAAATATGTTTTGACAATCAGTTTCTATTTTCAATTTAAATGACCACAACAACAAAAAACAAAATATCCATGAACACAATGCCAAGTTTCTTTTTTACATCATAATTTTTCATATAAAACAAGGAGAATGTTCTTAAATTACACAAAGGATATATTTGTGTCACCATGATCAGTTGCGTGACTGCTCCTCTCCTTACTTTATATGTGGGTGGGAGGCCAGGGTGGTTGTATTGTATGTGTAATATTATCTCAAAAGTACCAACATTTTTTGAAGATGGATCTCTAAAAATTTATTAGTTTTCAATAAAATCTGCATATTTTAATATGAATTTCTTCTTCTTTTGCAGTTTTGTATAAATGAATTTTGGGGGAAACTTTTGCAATATTACCAATTTCTACCCTTCAAAATTGGCAAACTATTTATCTAAAATCCAGTTTTTCTAAAAAAAACTGAACTCAATTGAACATTGTTTTTCTATTAAACCAATTATTGATAACAGTATATAAAATACACGGTCCTTTATGTAATGGTCACTGATTGACAACAATTTATTTAATGTGAACATTGTTTGTATATATTTTATAAAATTGTTTTTGTGAACATTTTTTGTTTTTTAGTGCAATTGTTTTTGTTCCTCCGTACGCAGGGCTCCAAAATCCAGAATACCTTCTGGAGGGAAGCATTCTGAACATCTGCTTAGGAGGATGCAAAATACAACATTTTCTCAGACCTCTCAATATTACAGAAAGGAAATTAGTTTGGTTCATTTAACATGTTTAACAAAAAAAAAATATATATATATATATAAAAGCTAAACAAAGCAGACAGCACATAAATCTACTGGTGGAAAGGCACCAAGGAGGCAGCCACGGGAGGAGTCAAGAAACCTCACAGGTACAGGTTAGGAACAGTGGCTCTCCGTGAGGTCCGTCGTTACCAGAAGTCCACCGAGCTTCTCATCAGGAATTTGCCATTCCAGCGTTTAGCTAGTCCGTGAGATCGCCCAGGACTTCAAGACCGACCTGAGATTACAGAGCTCCGCCGTCATGGCCCTTCAGAAGGCTTCAGAGGCTTACTTGGTTGGTCTTTTCGAGGACACCAACCTTTGCGCCATCCACGCCAAAACGTGTGATCATCATGCCCAAGGACATCCAACTGGCCCGTCGTATCCGTGGAGAACGTGCCTAAGAAACCACCCTCTTCTAACTCAACACAAGGTCCTTCTCAGGACCACCTTTTACTTTCAAAAGAGACGTTGATGTTTTATGAATTATAGGCTGTTGGTGTGATTGTGTTCTGCGAATTTTATGGTTCAATTACTCGAGAAATCTCAGGACTTCAAAATGGCACCCAAAGCAGCAAGCAAAGGAAGCAAGAAGGCGGTCAAGTCAAAAAGACCAGCCGGAGGAGACAAGAAACGCCGAAGGAAGAGGAGGGAATCCTACAGCATCTACGTGTACAAAGTCATGAAACAAGTGCACCCCGACACTGGAATTTCCAGCAAGGCCATGAGCATCATGAATAGCTTCGTCAACGACATCTTCGAGCGTATCGCCGGGGAAGCGTCCCGTCTCGCCCACTACAACAAGCGATCAACCATCACCAGCAGAGAGGTACAGACTGCCGTCCGTCTCCTTTTGCCCGGTGAGTTGGCTAAGCACGCCGTCAGCGAGGGCACCAAGGCTGTCACCAAGTACACCAGCTCCAAATAAACTGTCAAGTTTATGTCTACAACACACAAGGTCCTTCTCAGGACCACCTTTTACTTACAAAAGAGATATTACGTTTATGAATTAATTGATCTAATAACCTTGTCATATAATTTCGTCACGTCTGGAATGTTTGTATGTGTGGATAGAATTGCGTTCGGTTGTCTCGGGTTAGGTAACTGATTATAATGTTAAAAGTGAGTAGGTTAAGCACGTCTGTCGGGTCGTCTCAAACAAACGGCGAGATATTGCCATATAGTGCAATTGACAGATTTATGCATGCTTACGATGTATCAATTTGCCCCTGTCATACGAAATTTACAAAATATAAGAATTGTGTGAATGTTTCTCGCGTGAAATATCGCCCCGTTTCCCCCATTTTCCTGCAATCCGATCACCACAAAAGTGGTACCACTCGGAAAGCTATCGTTTCCTGCCGGACAATGGTGCCATCGTTTTAGGAATCCGTCCTGAAACAACGGAGGTAGAGGCGGAAACAAGTGACATTTCTAAAAAGTCAGTTCGGAGTCGAAAAAGTGGATTGGGGCTGCAGGAAAACCGACCAATCACAAGGCCCGATTTCTCAGTATTTCTTAAGTGATTCTTCAGATTCCCAGAAACGTCTTCACGCTAGAATTTCACCTATCTATCAAAGATGGATCGCTTTAAGAGTGATACCATCGGAAAGCTGGTAATATCAGCTTCACGATGACATTATTCTTTTGGAAATCCACCGAAAAACGGCGGAGAAAAAGACAAATAAGTGCCATTTCTAAAACGTCGAGTTTGGAGAGCTAAAGTGGATTGGGACTGCAAGAAAGCCGACCAATCAGAACGCAGCATTTCTTATGTGAAACTTGGAATTCGAGAAATCGTCTTTACTCTCAATTTCATGCGTTTTCTCGCAAACTGATCATAACCAAAGTGGTACCATCGGAAAGCTATCGTTACGAGTCAAACAATGGTCTCATTTGTTTAGAAATCCGTCCACAGACAGCGGAGTTATAGAACGATAAATGCCATTTCTTAAACAGCCAGTTTAGAATCGGAAAAGTGGATTCAGACTGCAACAAGATTTTATGCAAATTAGCTATTTAGCGTAGTAGTTTAGTAGGTCACAAATCTAGGTCAGTAGGTTTGTTCTGTCAAGGCCGCGCGTGTTTTGATATAAAAACGAATTTCGCTCAGACTGACTTCATTATTTCGACTTTCAAGCTCGTAGTAAACACAATCGAAGAATCATGTCTGGCCGTGGTAAAGGAGGAAAAGGATTGGGGAAGGGAGGCGCTAAGCGTCACAGGAAAGTGTTGAGAGATAACATCCAGGGAATCACCAAGCCCGCTATCCGCCGTCTCGCGCGTCGTGGTGGTGTCAAGAGAATCTCCGGATTGATCTACGAAGAGACCAGAGGTGTACTCAAAGTTTTCTTGGAGAACGTCATCCGTGATGCCGTCACATACACCGAGCACGCCAAGAGAAAGACCGTCACTGCCATGGACGTCGTCTACGCCCTGACTAAGGACAAGGCCGTACTCTGTACGGATTCGGAGGTTAAACAACCCAGCGACAACAACAATTACAAGGTCCTTCTCAGGACCACCTTTTTCTTACAAGAGAGAAATTATCAAGTTTATGAATTGACTGTGTGTGTCTGACTTGCTTGCGTATTATTGGTAATAGAGGTCCCATCTAAAATCGTATCTAGGGTTTGTGTGATAGGCTTTCATAGTTTAATAGCCCCTATTGTCTTGCCCCGTAGACATTTAGATGATTAGCTCCATCGAATTCTTGATACCGGGCCGATGTCTGCGTGTTGTAAGACTGATAACGGTCGACTAAAAATTACCCCCTACATGCAATTTGTCGAAATCCAACGGTCACTTTGAAAGCTGTTTTTCTTGTATTTTTCGACGCCCAATCGCCATGAATCATCTAGTGAGTGACAGAACTTTCAATTATCTTTAAGATGAGTACCAACAAAACGACGTTGGTGTTTAGACAGTGATAGAAATCAACGATTTTCTAAGACAGGTAGGGCAAAAAATCATTTTCGTTTCAGCATTTTGTTTTGCGACACTTTCGCCTAAAAAGTGGATTCAGGCTGCAGCTGAGAAATCACAAATGCTAGTCGCCTGTGATTGGTCCATTAACGCGCCTTCTCCTAATGAACCAATCGCACGATAGCCCGCCCGGAAAGTAACCAATCAGCGATGAGCAGCGTAGTCGGACCCCAGCCCATATACCGGTGGCGATTTTCACCTCGGAATTAACCGTTTCTCAGTCAATCTAAGAAGCTCGCATCAAAATGGCTCGTACAAAGCAGACAGCACGTAAATCTACTGGTGGAAAGGCACCGAGGAAGCAGTTGGCTACCAAGGCCGCCCGTAAGAGCGCCCCAGCCACCGGAGGAGTAAAGAAACCTCACAGGTACAGGCCAGGAACAGTGGCTCTCCGTGAGATCCGTCGTTACCAGAAGTCCACCGAGCTTCTCATCAGGAAATTGCCATTCCAGCGTTTAGTCCGTGAGATCGCCCAGGACTTCAAGACCGACCTGAGATTCCAGAGCTCCGCCGTCATGGCCCTTCAGGAGGCTTCAGAGGCTTACTTGGTTGGTCTTTTCGAGGACACCAACCTTTGCGCCATCCACGCCAAACGTGTGACCATCATGCCCAAGGACATCCAACTGGCCCGTCGTATCCGTGGAGAACGTGCCTAAGAAGCCACCTTCCTCCAACTCAACACAAGGTCCTTCTCAGGACCACCTTTTACTTTCAAAAGAGACGTTGATGTTTTATGAATTATAGGCTACTGTTGTGTGATTGTGTTCTGTGAATGTGTGTGTTGATCGAAGAGTTCAAGCCAGGCTCGCTAATCTACTGTAATTTTTTATATTAGGGAGGGTGATAAACAAACATAGGCTACACATGTCTGTCAATCGTCTAGCCTATTGATCAGTTGTGTAAATTGTTGAAGTCCAGGCTTCTATCTGCGTGCATTCAATTTCTTCGATGCGATGCGATTCATTGATTCGTGTTTGGTACATATGACACGGCGATGGCATCATGCTGAAATATGGGGAGGGGGTTGTCTGGGGAGGAGAGATCGATGGTTTGCTTGCTCGGCGCTATCAGTCTCATGTTGATGTTTCGACTGCCTCTTAAAGTACATTTTCGATCCACCTGCCATCTTTCTTTAAGATGTGAAGCTGTTTGCAGGCAAATTCTTACTAGAGGCATGACTGGAAGAATTGTTTTGTCAGGAGTTTTGATTGTTTTTACCTGTGTTTGTGACTGAACTACAGGATAAGTATTATGTTTAGACAAAAACAACAGGGAAACAATGCAGTCTTATGTGTAAGCTTAGTTAATCCCTCAGTGACAAGAGAGTTTAATTTATGTTGAATCCCACATTGGCTCACTATGGAGAAGTCTCTCCATATACTTGCTATACCAATATTTCTTGATCTATCAATCAATTGATGTTTGCTTGAATAATATCCAATATATATTTCTATCTAATTTGTGTTTTCACTTTCAGAAATAGCCTATTTGTGAGTTGTTGATCAAGAGATCTTTTCAGAAATGTATAGGCAGTTTTTGTGGTTTGGATGCTACTAAGAGAATTGTCTAAAGCATGTATCCACTGATTGTAGGCATCATGTAAGGTAGACGAAGGGACCTGATATTGCTCATATTTCTGTTCAATTGTCAATTTTCACAATTAGGAATAGTAGATGTGAGTTGATAATCAAGAAATCTCTTCCAGAATGTGTACAGTAGTAATATAATTGAGCCTTTCATGTGTAGAATTCTGTTAACAACAGTCCTTAAAGCCCTGGTATTCGCCATGGTAACATGGTGTACAGTAAAAGAAGGGACATGTTGGCTATCAAATTGTCTATTTTCACCATTAGGAAAGGCCTTTCACGGTGAGTTGATGATGAAGAAATATTATCAAACATGTTTATCTTTTAGGATTTGACTGTACAGAATTGTGATGAAGATTGCCTCAAACATGTTTCAACTGACTGTAAGTTAAGCATGGTATATGGTGGAAGAAAGGACTTAAATGCTAACAATTCTATCCAATTGTCTACTTTCATTATCGGAATGACCTTTTTTTAGTTGGTAATCAAGAAATCTGATCCAGAACTGTTCATTTTTGAGGACTTGACCTAGAGAATTTTGTGAAAATTGTCTAATTTGACTGTCTATATATATTGACTGCCTGTGTGTATAGGAATGGTATATGGTAGAAGAAAGGACTTAAATGCTAATAATACTTTCCAAATTGTCACATTTCACGATCAGAAATAGCCTTTTTGAGTTGGTAATCAAGAAATCTGATCCAGAACAGTTGAATTTTGAGGGCTAGACCTATATAGAAGTTTGTTAAAATAGTCTAATTTGGCTGTCTATATATATTGGCTGGCTGCCTGCCTGCCTGTGTAGGCATGGTATATGGTAGAAGAAAGGACTTAAATGCAAAAAATTCTCTCCAAATTGTCTACTTTCACCATCAGAAATAGCTTTTTTGAGTTGGTGATCAAGAAATCTGATCCAGAATTGCTGATTTTGAGGACTTGACCTATAGAATTTTGCTAACTCTACTAATTTGATTGGCTGTCTATATGTTGGCAGTCTGTTGGCATGGTATATGGTAAAAGAATGGACTCAATTGCTCACATTTCTATCCAATTGTCATATTCACTACTAGAAAGGGCCTTTTTGAGTTGATAAGCAAGAAATCTTTCCAGCTCGACTAATTTTTGGAGGATGCGATATGGAAAATTTCGTTCCGAACATTGTCTATTTACATGAGCTGGGCTGTAGGGATGGTATATTATAGAAGGCACATATTTCTATTTCTACGAAGTAATCGTCGACTACGACTATTACAAATAGCATGGCATATGATAGAAGAATGGTCTTATTGCTCGATATTCTATCCTATCGACTCACTCTATATTTACTATTAGAAATAGGCTTTTTGAGCTGATAATCAAGAAACCTCAGCGAGAAACTCAACAAGTATTCATAATTATCAACATTTCTCTTTTGTAAGTAAATGGTGGTCCTGAGAAGGACCTTGTGGTTGTTGTTTTGAAGTTGTCGCCGCTTATGCTTTGCTGGCCTTGCTCTTCTTGGGCAGAAGTACAGCCTGGATGTTGGGGAGGACACCTCCTTGGGCGATGGTGACGCCTCCGAGAAGTTTGTTCAATTCCTCGTCGTTGCGGACAGCCAACTGAAGATGACGGGGGATGATTCTGCTTTTCTTGTTGTCACGGGCAGCGTTACCGGCCAACTCCAAGATCTCAGCAGCTAAGTACTCGAGAACGGCAGCCAGGTAGACTGGGGCACCAGCTCCCACACGCTTGGCGTAGTTTCCTTTGCGAAGAAGACGGTGGATTCTTCCTACTGGGAACTGAAGTCCAGCCCTGGTGGATCGGCTCTTTGCCTTTCCCTTTGCTTTGCCTCCTTTACCGCGTCCAGACATGATAGATCGTGATTGCTTCGAAATTACAAAGTAAAATAAAATGATCGAAATAATCCAAATTTCCCTTTATACCCTCAGAGTGGATTCAGACTGCAGAAAACCTGGCCGCTTCGCGAAGCTAGTGTCTCGCTATTGGTTAATTTTTAGAGCGCTTAAAAATTGACCAATCAGCGACGACCAGTATCGTTGAAAGTCGAGTTTCTCTGCAGCCAGAATCCACTAATTTGCATACGATTCTCATATAAATACATTTCGCTCCGACCTGGCCATTTATTACTCGAGAGATCTCAGTACTTCAAAATGGCACCCAAAGCAGCAAGCAAAGGAAGCAAGAAGGCGGTCAAGTCAAAAAGACCAGCCGGAGGAGACAAGAAACGCCGAAGGAAGAGGAGGGAATCCTACAGCATCTACGTGTACAAAGTCATGAAACAAGTGCACCCCGACACTGGAATTTCCAGCAAGGCCATGAGCATCATGAATAGCTTCGTCAACGACATCTTCGAGCGTATCGCCGGGGAAGCGTCCCGTCTCGCCCACTACAACAAGCGATCAACCATCACCAGCAGAGAGGTACAGACTGCCGTCCGTCTCCTTTTGCCCGGTGAGTTGGCTAAGCACGCCGTCAGCGAGGGCACCAAGGCTGTCACCAAGTACACCAGCTCCAAATAAACTGTCAAGTTTATGTCTACAACACACAAGGTCCTTCTCAGGACCACCTTTTACTTACAAAAGAGATATTACGTTTATGAATTAATTGATCTAATAACCTTGTCATATAATTTCGTCACGTCTGGAATGTTTGTATGTGTGGATAGAATTGCGTTCGGTTGTCTCGGGTTAGGTAACTGATTATAATGTTAAAAGTGAGTAGGTTAAGCACGTCTGTCGGGTCGTCTCAAACAAACGGCGAGATATTGCCATATAGTGCAATTGACAGATTTATGCATGCTTACGATGTATCAATTTGCCCCTGTCATACGAAATTTACAAAATATAAGAATTGTGTGAATGTTTCTCGCGTGAAATATCGCCCCGTTTCCCCCATTTTCCTGCAATCCGATCACCACAAAAGTGGTACCACTCGGAAAGCTATCGTTTCCTGCCGGACAATGGTGCCATCGTTTTAGGAATCCGTCCTGAAACAACGGAGGTAGAGGCGGAAACAAGTGACATTTCTAAAAAGTCAGTTCGGAGTCGAAAAAGTGGATTGGGGCTGCAGGAAAACCGACCAATCACAAGGCCCGATTTCTCAGTATTTCTTAAGTGATTCTTCAGATTCCCAGAAACGTCTTCACGCTAGAATTTCACCTATCTATCAAAGATGGATCGCTTTAAGAGTGATACCATCGGAAAGCTGGTAATATCAGCTTCACGATGACATTATTCTTTTGGAAATCCACCGAAAAACGGCGGAGAAAAAGACAAATAAGTGCCATTTCTAAAACGTCGAGTTTGGAGAGCTAAAGTGGATTGGGACTGCAAGAAAGCCGACCAATCAGAACGCAGCATTTCTTATGTGAAACTTGACCGATTCACCACTGCCAAGCTCATCCATCCGCAGAATAACCCCAAATAACATGCTATTTACATCTTGTGAGTTTCAATGACGCGCGTTTGATTTTATAAAAAATGCCAAACTTGTGACAAAGAATTTCATCAGCTATTGCACCGAACCGGTCCGTCTTGTCGCTGCAAGCAGATTGCCCCGAACCGGTCCGTCTTCTCGCTGCAAGCAGATTGCCCCGAACCGGTCCGTCTTCTCGCTGCAAGCAGATTGCCCCGCACCGGTCCGTCTTCTCGCTGCAAGCAGATTGCCCCGAACCGGTCCGTCTTCTCGCTGCAAGCAGATTGCCCCGAACCGGTCCGTCTTCTCGCTGCAAGCAGGATGAAATTCTTTGTCACAAAGTTTGGCATTTTTTATAAAATCAAACGCGCGTCATTGAAACTCACAAGATGTAAATAGCATGTCATTTACATCATACCTTGATGGGGAAAAATAGATCTTATATGTTAGAAGTACTAAATAAAAGTTATCGTGAAAATGAGACAGTCGTTCTCGAGAGAAAAGAGCATAAATGCGCATTTAGAGAGTTTTGGTCGGTTTAAAAATCTGTAAAAAATTGGGGTACTTAAAAGCATCGGGAGGCATCATATATTTCAAATTAGACACGAGGAAGTCAATATTGAGCAAGTTATGGCTATTTTAAATTCAAATAAAACCGTTAACCCGTACCGGTCCAGCTTTTGACCCGTACCGGTCAATTTTCGTTAGCTGCGTATACCAAGGGTGAACACTGGAGTTTCCCCCCCTTTTTGATCCCATGCCTGTTCATTCTATTACGGGTTGCCATCGAAAAAATTGTCCAGCTTGATAGAGCAAAAAACACATAGAACATAAAACACTAAGAAGTCTAAGCATTTTACATTACTTCACAAATTATAAAATATAATGTTTTAGAAAATAAAATAAATAGAAGGAGGCTTGTGTAGGGTCAAGATTGCAGTTAAAAATCCCATTGAGGACCATTATAACTTTCATTTCATAATATATTCATGGGCACAGATCTAGCTCAGCGAAACAGTGCCTAGTGTTCATTGGAGTCTTGTCTAGCTTGCCTTTACAAGATAATGATACGGCGACCACACCCTTTTTGAGATAATTGGTCAATTGTGACACTACCCCCTCTCTCTGCCTACAGAAATTGAAATTCACAAAAATGAAGGCAAAATTAATACGCCACTTGACTCGAAATTTTCCTTCAGATAACCCAAATAAACGCATTTTCAGAAGAAATGGCATATTGTCTTTGCAAAAAGATGACAACTGTACCTACATACTAGCTTACTGACTCGTCATGATCACAATTGTGTTGGGACTACATTTATTTTTTAAAACTACTTTTTTGGCTGCGGTTCTATGTAAGCAGTCACGAGCTAAAATGTCACGGCACTTAGCCATTTCTAACCATGCAACATGTATACTCTACATTGCTACACATTGCTACACTGTGTCAAGCACCTATACATAGGCTGGAAAGCGTGGTAAACGGGGTACATATCCTTACCTGTATACTCTACATTACACTGTGAGGCAGCTTCTACACATACCATGGAGGTGGGGTAAGCGGGGTAAGCGGGGTCCATACCTTTACATGTATACTCTACATTGCTACACATTGCTACACTGTGTCAAGCACCTATACATAGGCTGGAAAGCGTGGTAAACGGGGTACATATCCTTACCTGTATACTCTACATTACACTGTGAGGCAGCTTCTACACATACCATGGAGGTGGGGTAAGCGGGGTAAGCGGGGTGCGTACCTTTACATGTATACTCTACATTGCTACACATTGCTACACTGTGTCAAGCACCTATACATAGGCTGGAAAGCGGGGTAAACGGGGTACATATCCTTACCTGTATACTCTACATTGCTACACTGTGAGGCAGCTTCTACACATACCATGGGAGTGGGGTAAGCGGGGTAAGCGGGGTGCATACCTTTACATGTATACTCTACATTGCTACACATTGCTACACTGTGTCAAGCACCTATACATAGGCTGGAAAGCGGGGTAAACGGGGTACATATCCTTACCTGTAAACTCTACATTGCTACACTGTGAGGCAGCTTCTACACATACCATGGAGGTGGGGTAAGCGGGGTAAGCGGGGTCCATACCTTTACATGTATTCTCTACATTGCTACACTGTGAGACAGGGTATACATTTCATGTCCACTGACTTTACTTGGCAAATACAATCAAATAATTTTAAGTGTCAATAATGTTGCGAGGGTAATAGAAGAAAGTGGGCTACAATATGACTTTATAGATAGCCTGCATGCATTTGTAGATGACTGTCATATTACTCTTATATTGAACTTATAAAAGCCTTCTGTTTGTATGGAAAAGCGATATTCGAAAAACAGTCACTTTGAAATGAAAACAATACGATATTATTTTTGGTGTTTATACTTTATTTATAATCTATAGGCTAAGGTCGATAGAAATAATTTAAAAATAAATATGGCATTGTAATCGACCTGTATTTATCTTTGTCTAAGGGGGGGGGGGTTCAAAGATGACATACGCTTATAACATAAACCTGTATTGAGATGACATCGACTCTGGTTCAGATCCTTAATTTTATGTTTATGAAGATGAACTCATCTGTCGTCACTGATCCATCACCAATAATACAACACTGTTCCTACTCACCGGTCCAGAGTACTGACCTACCTCAACACAATGCTTACGACACAGCCAAGTCCACCATACCTACAACTGCTGAGCATGATGCTGAGAAAAACTGTGTCACGAAAGTTAATACTGTGATGTCAGCTAATGTACTCTCTGATGTTACTACTTCTTCTCCTTTATCACCAACAACTCCAAAACATTTTACACATTTTGATAATACTTTTATGGAAAATGTTGAAGCTGAATTTCAACGCTTTTTGGTAGAGTCATCCTGTAATGAAGATACAACTTTATCTGAACCTGTAACCACACAGGAAATTTATAACATTATTGTTAAAAGCTCGAACGGTAAGGCCCCTGGACATGATTCGTTAACTAATGAGCATTTTAAGAACGGTGGAAGTTTACTGGTAAAGGCTATTACTGATTTATTTAATACAATGATAAAGTTAGAATACATACCACAGAGCCATAAAATTGGCAATATAATCTCTCTATTCAAGGGTAAAAAAGGACAAATTGGTTCAAAATAATTACGTTAGAAATCATCCGAACAGCAAAACATGACGAATGTCATGAGAGTATGCGAGTCAATGTATATAAAGATAATCAAATACCTATGTGCAGTATTGCAAGTGATTCTAGACAGTAATATATTTCACCATGAGTACTTTCATGGCATACATAAAGTGGTTTCTATCATAGAACAATATGTTTTCTTTCAAGTAAAGTACCCATGATGATAAAAAATATCAATCGAAGGATTCGAAAAATTATGAAGAATGTCAACATTT